TTAAAAGAAATAATCTGTTAGCTATTAAATTTTAAAAGACGTCAAAAAAAAGTTTGTTTAAATTTAAAAATTTTTTAGAAAAAATTCTAATAAAGATCAATTTTCAATAATTTTGCAAATTTAAAAATTTTTAAAAGTAAAAAGGATATATATTTTTTTAAATATTAAAAAAGAGGAAAGGGGGGGGGGATATATTGGAAAATGACAAAATAAAAGGGAAAAAATAAAAAAAAGTTTTTTTTAAATAAAAATTGAAATGACTGACAATTGTGTTGATGAATGAATGAATATATTTATTTTTTAGAAAGGGAAACAGCTGGAAAGAGAAGAAGAAATAAAAAAAAGTTTAAAACAAATGACTAAAAAAATTTAAAGTTCTTTTATCTGATAAGGGAATAAATCGATTTTGGAATTTTTTTTGATTTAAATTTAATAAAATATTATTTAGAGGGAAAGAAAAGTATTTTACAAAAATTAATTAAAAATAAAAAAAATCAAGGGAGAGAAAGAATATTTTTTGGAAAGGTTTATAATTATTTTTTAATTATTATTTTTCTTTAAAATAATAATAATATCTACGTATTACTTTCATTTTTGTGGCTAAAAAGCAATAAAAAGGAAGAAGCGTGCCAAATGTCCCTAAAGCATTTTTTGAAAAAAAATAAAAAAAAGGTTGCATGAAAGAGGAAAGAAAGGCTTTAAGCATTCATTTAAATATATTTTTCTACATATGCTTTTAAAAGAGTCAATACATATAAAAATATATTTGAAAAATAGATTATTAAAGATTAATTTATTTTAAAAGAATTTGTTCAAGAAAAACAAAAATTATGTAGAAATTAGTTTGTTAAAAATATATTTAATTAATTAATTTATTTTTCTTTTAATTAAAATATAAACAACAATTATCTAAAATATTTAAATTTATTAGCACAAAAGTAGATTAAGGTTTTCAAAAAGAAATATTGAAAGAAGCCAACGTACCGCAGCGCTAACATAGTTTAAATTAGTCGAATCCGGGACGCCCTGGTATGATTCGATTCAGCTCGTCGCGGCACATCGAATCATACTAGGGCGTCCCGGATTCGACAAATTTGAACTAAGTTACAGCTCTGCGGTACGTTAGGCTCGCGGTACGTTGGGGTGTACCCAGAAATATTACAAATTCTATTTTTATAAAAATAGGCAAAATAATTTTTTAGTAAAACAAAAAATATTTTAGTTAAAAAATATTTTTAAGAAATGAATTTATTCTTCCAATTTATTTAAATAAAAATATATACCTTCCTTTCTATTTGCCTTATTTGCATTTTAATTTAAAAAATAAAGCCACCCAAAGCTGACTGGCTTTAATTCTTTTTCCTTTTTTTATAAGGGCCCCTAGTACCTCTACATACATACTTACCTAACTAGCTTTGCAAATATATAAAGCCTTTTTCTCAGCCAATTTTTTGTTGGTTATTTTCTTGGATTTGCATTTTTTCTTAAATAAACATCCAAAAAAAGAAAAAGATAATTAGAAACGGCTGCCAAGTAAGGAGGGATTTTTTAAAAAATATCGGGGGAAAGAAAAAGAAAATAAATGCCAAGTTAATAAAAAAAAGACGACAATTCCAGATATATAAATAAAAAAAGAATTAATGCAAAAAAGGCAATTTTATTTATTTTTAAAGTAATCAGTGCCCAAAGGGATGCTTTAGGGGAAGTAAATAATTTTTTAAGGAAAGAGGAGAGAAAAAATATTTTTTCGAAGAAGAAAATATTATTGAATGTAGGCATCTATTAAAAAAGAATTATTTGAAGTTATTAATAGACTTTGTTAATAAATTATTTAAATAGAACCAGAATTTTTAAAATAATAGTTAAAAGATTAAGAATAAAATTTAGTAAGGAGAATTTGTATGTATAATACAATTACAATTCGAATAAATCAAAATTATCAGCTGGAAATTTTAAAAACGAGAAAGTCTTCCTCACAATTCCTTTTTCTCTAAAAAATAAATTTTAAATTAAAAGAGGAAATTTCCTAAAAAAATGGGGAGGGGGAGGGGGGGAGTTCTTATTTCACTCTGACAGCAATTCTGATTTAAATTCGAAAAAATAAATTTAAAAGCAAAATTTAAGAAAGAAATGGAAGAGAAGAAATACAAAAATATATTTATCCCTAGAGATCTACAAAGGATTGAAATTGGAAAAATAAAAACATAAAAAAATTTATTTTAAATTTTTTGGCTAAAATTAGATTAAATTAGAAAAATAAAAATGTTGTTATGTAAATATTTTGACAAAATAAGTAAAAACAAAATTAAATAAATTAAAAATAATTAATTAATATGTTATGATTTTAGAAAAATATCAGGAGTTAAAGTGAATGATGATATCCAAAAAAGGAAAGTACTTCTGATGACAAAAAAATGTAAAATATAAAAATAGAAGTAATTAATATTTTAATATAAAAATAGTTAAAAAAGTCTAAAAATAATTAATTGGATGAAGAGGAAGAAGGAATGGTTGGAAATAAAATTAAAGAAGAGGAGGGGGAGATTTTTGAAAAAAATTAAGTAATTCTTTAAGTGAAAAAAAATGAGCGAGAACTGGTTGAAGATATAAACAAATAATAAAATTGAATTAATTTAAGAAAAAAGATTTTAGAAAGATATAAAAAATTATTTACTAAATTAATCTAAAAATTGAATAAATTGACAATCTTTTAATTATCAGAATTGCAAATAGTCTTTTTATTGTTTGAAATGATTTTTGTTTTGTTTTGACAAAATATTTAAATACATTTCTTAAATTTTATTTCGAAGATAATATTTAAAATAATTTAAACAATTAAATTATTTTAAATTAATTTTGATTAAAAAATAATTAAAGAGAAAATTAATTAATTATTGCAGTTTTAGCACTAACGATGGATTAATGGCGGCAGCTTTGTTTAATATTCACAACCAAAAATAATCGATGACTGGGCCAAATTAAATAACAAATTGGAAAGTAGGGTGGGGGGTTTTGTTTTAAAATTAATTTAGTTAAAAGAAAAATTTTGTATATAAAAAATGTAATAAAAAATTTATTTATTAGAAAATACATCAACAACAAAAAAAGTAAATATTTGTTATACTTTCTTATTTTTTTGTCCAAATTTAGGCAAAAAGGGTTGGGGGTTGTTTTGCCATAAAAATATGGCAAGGCACTTTTAAGGCACTTAAATATTGCTTAAACATCCAAAAACAATTTTCTATTGCCTTAAAGTTTTTTGGGCTTTAAATCTAGACATTTTTACTTTTTTAAATATATCTCTTATCGGTTGTTGCCCAATTTTTTCTTTTTTTTGGTATTGAGAGTCGATGAAAGAGCCAAAAACTGTTCCCTATATATTTCTCTACATTTCCTTTTTAACAAAAAAATATTTGGGTATATACTTAATACTTTTTTACAACATTTACTACATTTTTTTATCTTTGCAAAAAAAAAGAGAATAAACAATTGAAATGGAAGAAAAAAACGAAATAAATAAATAATTATTTTTTGTTTATAATAATTAGAGATATGATTTATATGGACTATCAATCGAAAAATATGGACATATAATATGGACTTATATAAATTCTCAAAATATGGACTGAAATATGGACTAAAATCCAAAATATGAATCAAAATTCGACCTTATAAACATATGTTAAAACAAAGTTTTTCGTGCGTTTCAATATCCAACTAGGCTAGGAAATAAATATGGAAATCCATACAAAGCCCATCCCTAATAATTATTTATTAAAATTAATTGAAAAAGAGAATGTGGGGGGATTGTTTATTAAGAATGAAATAAGGAATGGAATTTTATTGAAACTTCAAATAAACTATTTAAATTTAAAATTTATTTAAAAAAATTTAAATAATTGTAATATTTAATTAAATAAATATTTTAAATAAATGTAATATTTGTTGTTAATTTATAATTTAAAATTTATATTTTCTGTTTCATTTATTTCAAAAAATATTTTAAATTTAAAGAGAATTTAATTTTATTACAGACAATAAAAAGGGCCACATTTTGACAAAATATTGATGGAACGGAATAAAAAAAATAAATAAAAGGGAATTAACAAAAACGTGCAGACAGATAAATTATAATAAGTAATATTTTTGAGTATTTAGTAAACAATAAAAATAAATATAAAAAATTTAAGAAAAAAATTGAGAAAATATTTAGGTATATTTTATTATGTAAAAATAAATTTGGATTTAAAAAATATTTTTGATGATTTGTAGAGAATATAAAAAATATTTGGATTAAGTTTGTACTTTTATTATGCAGGTTCCTTTCTTCAAAAAAAAAAGAAAATAGAATGACTATATATAATTAATTTATAATTCTAAGAAAAAGTTTTTTTTTATTTTAATTTACTAAAAAACAAAATTCCCCTCCCGCCTTCCCAACTTTAAAAAAATTAAAAAAAAAAGAAAAAATCCTCAAAAATTAAAATAAAATTGTTTAAATTTTAAATTAATTAAATTTACAAAAATTATTTCCAAACATTTTTTTATTTCCTTTTTTATATTTCACCCCAAAATTCCCTTGAGAGCTTTCCACTTTAATTTAAAACAAAACTCCATTCATTTTTATAAATTTACTTGAGGAGTTTCTACATTTGGAATTATTTTGATGAATTCAAAAATTAATTTAAATATATAGAATTTATTTAAAAATATAAAAAATATATAAAAAATTATTTAAAAATTAAAAAAATATTTTAAAAATTTTTTTTAGAGAAGATTAGATATTTCCGGATTTATTATTCTAATTTAAAAATAATTTATTTATAAAATATTTCCCCCCAATAATTATTTAAAATAACTAAAATTAACACAAAAATTAATTAAAAATTGTTACAGACAATTAAAACAAAAAAATTACATATTTAAATAATTCTATAAATAAAAAAAGAAATTAATTTTAAACAATAAAATATAAAAAAAATTATTTAAAAAATTCTAATTTATTTAAATTTAAAAAACTTGCCGTTACTAATAATGCTTGCTTTTTGGAGATTTTCTTTAATTCTTTGATGATTATAATTTAATTCATTAAACATAAAATAATTGTGTTCCATTCGATTAATTCGATAAAGATGGGGCTGGATTGAAGCCATTAATAAATAACATTCTCCATATGGAATACTTTAAAAAAATAATTTTTTGTATTTAAACAAAGAAACAAAACTCTACCTAGGATTAGCAGCATCGTGTCTTTGTTCATGAAATAAATAAGAACTTCTTTTCCAATTCATAACAGAAAATAATGCAATTACTGCATTTTTAACAACTTTATATGGACTTGATATTCTTGTCATTAATTGATATTCTCTTCGATTATCTGTTTTTGGAGGAGGATTTTTAAACAAAAAAGTGAACAAAAATAGGAGGAAATACCTAAATTAGATGTTAATCCAACAGAGGTAATTACTGGAATTCCATAAGAATCATTATCTCTCCAATAGGGAGACATTCTTGCAACGGGAGCTAATGCATAAACAAATGCATAACCTTTGGAAAAAATAATAAAATCCCAAACAAAAATAACTAATCTACCTATAATACAATCAAGTGTATTATTAACCAACTGATTAATTGCTACATTAGGTCCATGAGCATCGGAAAGTTTTGAATCTTCAAAGTGAATATGTAAAGAATTTTGGGGTACCAACTGTCTTCTGTAGACTTCCTCAACAGCCTTTTTTGAATTTAAATTTTTTTATTAAAATTATTTTTCTCCCATGCAAATTTAGAGAGAATAAATAAATAAATTTATTATTTATTTTAATTTATTTTCACCTCATCAACAACAGGTTTTGCCTTCAAAATTGTAATTCCAAAAGGATTTTCATTTCTACGTCCATCATTTGTCGGTAAAGGAAATAAAATATGTATTGGATATTCTTCAGTAATTTTATATTTTTTATTTTTATTTTCATAATTAATTGTTGATACATTTGAATTTTGATGTTTACGATGGCGGGTATGTAAATTATTAAAAGAATTTTCTTTTTTACTAATATTTTCTTCTTCTCCTTTTAATTTTAAATTATTTATTATTTTTCTTCTTTTTCTTAATTTAATTATTTTTTTATTTAAATTTGTTGAAATTTCTTTTTTCCTCCTTCCATTAACAAAATTTTCTAATGAAAATTTAAAAGAAGAGGAAGAAGAAGGTATTGAATATAGTAACCATTCATTATTATTTTTAATTAATTCTTTATTATTATTTAATGTTTTATCAGCATCAACTATATAGAAAAGCATTGTTGTTATTATCCAAAAGGCACAAAACTGTGAAAACACCTTTGCCGTTATTTTTATTTTTAAATTATTTTTTGAACAAAGAATAAACGTTTTGTTGATTTTATTTAAATTTTTGTAGTGGCCTTGAAGTTTTTTTAAAGAATTTTCTGAATGGCAGTAAAACATTGTGCCAATCAAGCATTGTTCTTTTTTTTAATTATTAAAGTAAATGAAGAAGAAATAATTAATACAAAAATATTTTAATTAAACTTGAAGAAATTTTGAAGCTTTTTTCAGTTTGAAAATTTATTTTTAAAATTATTTTTTGGCATATAAAAAGGTGACTATATATTTCTTGATTTTTCAAAATATTTTTGAAAATGCTGAAAAATTATTAATAAAATAAAAATAAAAAAATAAATTTTGACAGATGGAAATATTTAAATAATATTTATTTCTCAAAAAAAAGAAAAAAATCTGTAAATGGCATCTAATATATTTTGTAAAAAAATACGTAGATATTTATTAGAGTCGTATATGTACATAGAATATAATAATTGAAAAAAGAGCGCGTGAAAATGAATAAAAGTGTTTATTGAACTAATTTAGCATTTAAAATATAAATATTTTAAGTTTTTGTTGAAGCTTACAATTAATTATTTTATGAAGAAAGGTTAAGTATATTCAGATTATTTTTTTAAAAATTCAAAGAAAGGAAATAATTTTGAAAATTAATTTAAAAACGGAAGAGATTTTATTAATTTTTAGTTAAATTTTAAAGAACACGTCATTAAAGTTATTATGTGTAGTTGCTTTGGTGATAAATTAAATACATATCTAAGTATTTATTAGGTATTTAATACTAAAAAGTATTTTTTTAATAAAAAATTATTATCCATGAAACCCTGTAAAGGTAAAAATCAATGAGAAAATAAAAAATAATATATTTTTAATAAAATGAAGATTAAAAATACTCAAATAAATAAAAATTAATTTAAGTATAAATATACACATGATGTGTATATAATAAATGTTATTGAAAGATAATTAATTAAAATAATTTAAAAATTACATTTTTTATTTAAAATAAGCAATAAACTTAAAAAATTTTTAAATTAAAATAATTAATACAAAAAATAGTTTAGAATTTTTTTTCTAAATTTTAAATAAGCGCTCAAAAATGAACGTTAGTCTATATTTAAAAAAATTACAAAAATAGACAATTTTATCAGTTTTGTATATTTCTTAAAATTATTATAGATAATTTAGATAAAATATTATTAAATTAGTTAAAGATTCTTGATAATTAATATATAATTAATATATAATATTTAAAAAAATAATTGTTGAGACATTCTTTAAAAAGATAAAACTTTATATGTAATAAAAGAGAGGAGGTGTTCTTAATTTTTAAAAATTAAAAAAAAACTTTGCACAATTAATTTCTGAAAATTTTCTCCCCAACAAATATAATTATTTTTAGAAAAAAAATTTAATAAAAAATTACTAATATTTATGTAATTTATCATTATCAATTAATTAATGGGGAATGTGTGTCAATAATTTCTAAATTTTGCAATAATATATTTTTGCTGAAGCTGTTAATTTAATAAAAGAATTGATTGATATAAAAATAGTTTTTTATGATATTTTATTTGCCTAATTGGTAAAGAAAAAAATTTATTTTTATTTTTCAATTTAATTTGGTAAAGAAAAATTTTTAGAGAAAATTTGCAAAAGGTTGATAATCAACCAAATAAAATCGCGTGCAAAATATCAAATGATTGGAAAAATTAAGCCGATTGAAAGTGATAGATAATTAAAATTGTAAAAATAATTTTTAATCTAAATATAGAAAATAAATTTAGAAAATAAAGGAAGAGGGAGGGAGTGAATTTATTGAAAAATAATATGTATGGAAATGTGTTAGAAATTAAATTTAGAACAAAAACATTTTAAAGGATTTAAAAATTAAAATATTTAAATATTTTGTATTTAATATTTAATATAGAATAAAAATTAAAATGAAAAAAAATGAAAGTAGAAAATAAGAATAAGTATTTTGTGGAGAAAATTAAAATCCGTTAATAAAAAGAAAATATTTAACGGAATTAAAAGAATTTATTGTTTGATTAGCCAAATTCGTTGTGAAATAATGATGGTTAAACAATATGGAAAAAATAAAATTAAGAATGTATTTAGCAAATAAATAATTTGAAAAAAATATTTAGATAAAAATTATTTAAAATAATTTTTAAAAATATTTATTTCTAAAGCATTTTTTATGTTTACAATTATTTTTTGGATATTATTTTGAAAAAAATATAAGAAAATAAAATTTTTAAAAATAAAAAATGTAAAAATTAAAAGATTTAATGAAACCAATATTTAGTAGAGGAGGAGGAAGAAAATGAGGTAAATAGGAATAAATAGTGATTAAAAATATTTAAATAACACATATGACATAAAAATTTAAAATTAAAATTAAATATTTATTCTAAAAAATTAAATATTGGTAACATTATTTGACATATAAATTAATAAAAAAATAAAATTAGTATCTGAACAAAGAAAATTCCATTTATTTAAACAAATTAGGGACACATATGGTAAAAATAAAATATTTTTATGTAAATATTTATTTATTTAATATAAAAATTAATTTAATTTTGCAAAGGTTTCACATTTATTTGTTTGTTTTTATCCTTTTTAACGCTAAATATCTACAAGTATATAATCCTAGATATACATACTAAAAAGCCTTTTTATTGAGGTTTATGACATAGTTAATATTTGCAAAAAATAAGGAAATATTTTAATAAAAAAATTGGGAGAATATTTAGCAGTAAAAGCTGCAAAATAAATTAAAAAATGAAGGAATTCGCTTTAAAAAATAACTAAAATTTTGTGAAAAAATTAATTTAAATATTTAGTGATTCTTTTAACTAAAAAATTATTTTAATAAAAAATCTTTGTTGGCAACTTTGTTGGCAAAAAGTTGAAAATGAGGATGTGAAAATGAATTAAAAAAGTCGAGAGTAATGTGAGAGAGAGAAGAGTCCTCTCCCCTTTTTTCTAAAATATTTAACTAACTAATTCTTTTTTAGACACATAAATAGAGACACAAATAAATAAAAATATATATTTATTTTTCTTTTATTCATTCTCTCAATTCTTTTGCTAAATTGGTTGCATTTTAACTGCCACTTTTAGAAAAAAAAACTTTCGATTTCCTCCTAATACTAAGAATTTTTGCAAAAGCAAAAATTCTCAGAAAATAAAGTTAAAATAGGAAATAATTACTAAATAAAGTAATTTGATTTCAATTAATAAAAAATTAAAAATTAAACAAAAAATAAAATAAATCCTAACTAAAAATATTTTTAAGTGTTTATTTTACTTTTAATATTTGTTTAATGCTAAATCATTAAATATACTTTATAAACAAGCATTTTTTTTTATTTTTTCATTTATTTTTGTGAAGTATATACATAAATAAACTAAAAAAAGTAAAAATGATTCACATTTATTTAGACAAAAATAAAATTTTAAATTAAAATATTTATATAAAATTTTAGACAAAAATTTTTAATTTGAATGAGTATATTCAATAATTTTATAACCAAAATATTTTCTACAAATAAAAGTCTCTCCTCTCTCTTGCTAAAAAAATATTTTTTTATTGTTGGGGTTATTAATATTTTATTATTTTTTCTTGTATTTAACCCAAAAAAGTCCTTTGAGAATTAAAAAAATAAAAGTTGAAAAAGTCCATTTCCCTTCGGAATTACAAGCAAAAAATAATGTTTAAATAAAAATTTTTTTTTGAAAAGAAATAAGAAAGAAAAAAAAGTTTTTTTTATTTAAGACAAAGCTTTAAATAAATCTTAAAACGATAAAAAACATCAAAAAGCTATATAATGGGTATAAATTATAGTCAAAAATAAATAATGTGGAATTTTAAGTAGGGAATTTTTTTATTGATTTTTATTTAGAATTTATATGTATTATATAGATTGCTTTTTTAATATGTATACCGTATAACTTGTATTAATTGCCCTCCCTTCCCCACTTCCATTAATTACCCCATCCAATGATATATCGAAACAATAATTACCCCCAACCAAATGCCCTAAAACACGTTCAAATTTAAAACCTCGTTACCCTTCTTCGATTAATTACCCCCTCCAGCGGAAGGTTGAAAAAATAATTACCCAGGGTAGTTATTAAAGGATATACGGTAGATTTTTTAAAATATTTAATTAATTCTTAAAAAATATTTAAAAATATACCTAATTAAATATTTAGGAGAGTTATTATTGAAAGAAACTCGACGAACTCGACTAACTATAAATTAAAGGAGGGGGTCTTATAAAGGTCTTATATTTATGTGAAAACGGATTTAATAAATCAAATGAAAAACTAATTTAATACTTACATTCTTAGAAGCCTTTATAAACAAAAATTTTGTCTTATAAAATATTTCTCTTAAAAATTTAAAAATAAATCAAGCTAATTCTTAATATAGAAGAAAGGAATGTTCTAAATAAAAACGGAAATAATAATAAGTATTTAAAAAATTAATTTAAAAAATATAGGAATTAAAAAAAATAAAAATTTATTTTAAGATTTGTATAATATGACAGACAGGTGTATGTAAATATTTAAAAACGGAAAGGATATTTAAATAAAATACAAATAATATTTAGGAAATTATTTTAAAAAATAACACTTTAATTGGGTTGTTCAGAACCAACCGAGAATTTCAGTAAGTAAAATAGACTTTAAAAAATTATTGATCCCAAAAAAATAAAAAAAATTTTTAATAAAAAATATTTAATTTTCTTAAATTTAAATTAAAAAAATAAAGTTTGTTATCCAAGTATTTTATTTAAAAAAATTATATTTAAATTAATTTAAAATTATTTTAAAATAAACTTTAAAAAATAAAAGAAAGAGAAAAACGTTATTTATTTATTTCCCTTCTCAATTTACACAAATTTTGTCTTTTAACGCGTGCGCAATATATATCCCCCTTGTAATATTACTACATTTACATTGATATATAATCCTTTGTCACCACATTTTATTTTTTTAAATCTCTTAAAAGCAAAACTGTTTCCACAGCAATTTTTAGGCAATAAAAGAAGGAAATTTAAAAAAAAAAGGAAAAATATGCGTGGATAAAATTAAAAAATATTTTTTAAAAAATAAAAATTAAATTTTAAATAATTTAAAATTAAAAAACAAAAAAAATATTTAAAAAACAAAAGACAACAGAAAAACTAAACAAAAACAACAAAAATAATTAAAAATATATTTTATCCAAACTGCAAACCCACCACTATAATTATTGCCAGCCTTTTCAATCAACAATTGTTTATATTGTTGTCGATTAAAGGCAGAATCTGTAGATGTTGGGGATACAATCAAATCGGCTTCAACTCCCCATTTGTTCTTTTTTGCTCGAAGGAAGAAACCCTTTGGATTGAAAAAATATTTTTTAATTTAAAATTAGTTAAGCTTTTAAAATATAATTTTAATATTAATAAAAGAGAATTCTAATTAAAATTAAAAAATTCCAAAAGTAATTAAAGTTAAATAAGTAATCCATAAATATTTTAAAATAAATTAATTATTAAAAAATTCTAACAGAAGAAAAAAGTCTACAGGAACCAGCTTCGTGTAATTCATTTTGCCAAAATTGTTTTTCATAAAATACTCGAGAATGTGACCAATTCATTCGGTGAAAGAAAAATTCAATTAATTGAATACTGTGATCCTAATTTATTTTTTATTTAAATATTTTATGTATATTTAAATTAGGGCTCGATCTCCGTCCCCGTGGAAGGGAATTCCCCGGGCACGGGGAAGTCTCCCCCCCCCAGAGCCCTCGTTCCCCGTCCCCGCGGTTCGAATGTCCCGCAACCCCCGTTCCCCTAAGCCCAGCCCCCGCCCCATAATATCGAATCATAATTTAATTACTTGAAGTGGTCCAAATTGTGTTACTAAAGTTGTGTTTTTCTCTTCTTTAAAAAATTCACTAGAAAAATAAATTGAAAAATAATTAAATATATTTTTGGTAAAAACCTAGAATGTGAATTTGTAATTATGGGAATTTTTTTGTAGCTAAGAATTCGCATAATTGTAGCAACTAAATAATCACAAGCCGGACCAAAAGCAACATTAATCTTTAAAAAATATTTGAAAATAATTTTAATCTCTTCTTTCTTCTCCAAAATTCACCCCTTTATTATTATTCCATTGCAAAGCTTCTAATACAGCCCAAGCTGCATGACGTTGTGCATGGCATTGAAGGATAGACTTTGTTTGGCCTATAACTAGCCATTTTGGATTATTTGTCCATTTTAATAAGAAACGATTATAAGCATCCTCGATAGCCAAATCTTTGATTTTTTTATTTTAATTTTTAAATTTAAATTAATTAACCAATTATAGGGGCAACAGAATGCATTGTAGCTAAATGCCTTTCAATTACTTCTAAAATTATTTTTTATTTATTTAAAAATTTAACTTAATTTAAAAACCATCTTTTCTTTCATTTTTTTCAATTTCTACATCATTAGGAAGAAAAATAGCCCCAAAAAGTGGAAATAAAGAATTATCGTTGTTACCCTCAACAAAAATTATTTTGTTGATAATTAATAGAAATAATAATATAAACATTATTTTTCATTGCAAAAATAAAGAAGAAAAAATATTATTAAAAATATATTTTTTAGAAAAAATTGGAAAAAAATATTTTTAAGTTGTTTTTTAGTTAAAAATTTATAGAAGGATTAAATAAACAAATTACTAAAAAAATAAAAATTAAATTTTTAATAAAAAAATAATTTTAAAAACAATTAAAATACATCACTTTTATTTAATATTTTTTGTTCATGTTTTTCAAAGAAAATTGTAAAAAATATTTTTTGAATAAAAACACACCTCTCTATTTAAAAAAAACTTTTTTATTTTTAATTTTGTATTTTTTAATTAATAAATAAAAATAAAATTTAAAATTATTTTTTTAAAGTAAAGAAAATAATTATTTAAATAAACAATAATAATCAATATAAATAATAAAATCAAAAATAAATGAAGAACTTTTAAAAACAAAAAATAATAGTTTGATTAATAGAAGTTAATATTAAAAAAATTTATTTTTAACATTTTTATCAGTAAAAAGATTTTAAAGTGATTAATAAAATTAAGTCTAATTTTTAGAAAATTTAAATTCAAACCCGTTCCTTTGAATTTAAACCTTAATATCCAGTAATTAATATTAATTAATATTAATATCCTTAATATAAAAAAATGCGCGTATTTTTATATAATCTAGTTTATATTTGCCCAATTTTCAGATTTATAAAACTCGGGAAAATTAGACAAAGTCTATAAATGAATTTGAAAATTACATGTGTCCTCTAATTATTAGTAAGCAAAAAAGAAGGAGAAGAAAAGTAAAATAATGGCAGAAATTGTGATAATTTAAATTTGTAGGCAATTTTAGATTTAAATAATTTAAAATATTTTAGAAAATAATACATATTTTTTTTTGAAAAATTAGGAAAAAAACAACAAAAAATAAATATTTTTTGAAACAACATCCATTCAATTCCTCAAAACAAAAATATTTTTTATTAAAAATATTGCCAAATTTTTTTACTTTAAAATCAAACATCCTTTGGGGGTTATAAGAGACTTTTACTTATATAAAAAATATAAAATGAAGGAAAAGTTAAAGCATTTATTAAGAAATTGTGACAAGGAAAAATGAATTGAAAGGAAAAAAATATTTTTTGTAAAAGACATCAAAAACAGCTTGTTGGGATAAAATAAGCCTTTGGAAATAAACAAAGTTGGCAGAAGAAGAAAAGAGATAATTGCTTTGAGGAAGGGAAGGTACTTTAATAAATTTTAGTTTTTATTTGCAGCTTTTTAATAGTTGGGAGAGGAAAGAAAAAAAAGAAGGTAAGTAATTATTTAAGTAATTAATAAATGTTTAAATAATTTAATTATTAATTAATTTAAATTTAGTTAAACATTGTTAATAATTATTTAAAATTTCTCTTATTTTGATAGAATAATTGTTAGAATATTTTTATAGAAAATTGGATTTTAAAATATTCGTATACAGGGAAAATGAATTGAAAGGAGAGAAAAAATATTTTTTTGTAAAAGAAAATAATTTACATTAATTAAAAAAATTTTTAAATATTATTTTAAGTTTTAATATGATAAACCAAGAAATATAAAAAATAAATTAACATTTATTAATTTATTTAAATGATTTATTCAAAATTAAATCCATAAATGTTTTTTTAAGTTTTAATATTATGTTTAGTAGACTATTCATTATTAATCCAAAGCTTTAAATTTAAAAAATATTTTAAGCAAATAATTTAAGAGGAATTAAAAGAAGAATATTTGAAGAGAGATAAACCAAAAAATAAAAAAAACTAGACATTTAATGTTTGTAAAATTGAAAAAAAATTTTTTTTAATTAAAAATTAAAATTTAAAATAAAAATTTAAAAACAAAAACGACCAAATAAAAAAGAAACAATAAAAAAGAATGTGTTACATAAATAATTAATGTAATATAAATTTGGACCAACTCAAAATTTTATTATTAGTTTTTTGTTTAATATTTCAATTTTCGGGTTTTTCTCTTTATTATCATTCCAGTTGTAACATCCTATGGGAATGGGAAATGAGTATATATAGAAAAGGAAAAGGTTCGAGAAGCGGCTTCCTTTATTGAAGCAGAAAATTTATTACTTTCTCCTTTTGCACAAAGTTTGCCAACCAACAAAAGGCAGAATAAAAAGAGTGGATTGAATTGGTGGAAGAATATAGCCTCGAGACTTGTTTTTTTCTTTGATTATAAGCCGCAATTGAGAACAAAAATAAATAAAAGTTGTACCAAAAAAGTTGAAATATTTTAAAGAAAAAATTCATTGAAAGTGCATTAAAGGATAAAAATATTTTAATAAAGAATTTATTTATAAATAATTTTTAAATTATTATTTGTATATCGTATATGCTCGAATAATTAACCCTGGTAATTATTGTTTCGACCTCTCGCTGGAGGGGGTAATTAATCGAGAGGATGTGCTAAATTTGAGGTATATCTCAATAAATCGAGGCGGAAATCCATTTATTTTTTGATATTCTTATAATGTTTCAATAATTAAAATTGACAATGATTTTTTCAATATTTTTAAAATTAGAGAAAGAAAAGGAGGGGGTAATTATTTAAGAGAGGGTAATTATTTGAGCATTTACGGTATGTAGATTAAAAATTAGTTTATTAAAATTCAAAACTCAATCTCAATTAAAATTTGTATTTAAATTAATGAGTTCCATATTTATTTGCAAAAATAAACATTTTAAAACAACAAAAAAAACAAAATAAAATTTTTACAAGATAAACTACTAAATTATTCGTAGAAAAAAACAAAAATCAACAATAAACGGATACTCAAAAATATGAAAAAAAAACAAAGAAAAGCCTATTTACTTGCTTTTTATAAATTAATATTCTAATTTATATTTATTCTCTAAAGATGTTTGTGTTGGCGGCATTCTTTTGAAATTGGCACCGTCTGTTCCTTTTCTTCTATTTTGTTCTCTTCTTCCTGTCTAGCAAGCATTATATGGTTTGCATATTCACATTTCTCACATAATTGTGGAGAACAATTCAAATTTAATTTAAATGTTGCATTCTCTTTTTCTTCTTCTTTTTTATTTTGTAAAATTCTTTCCAAATTTTTTTCTTCTTCTCTTTCAATTTGATTATTTATTTTTCTACAACGTCCACACCAATCTAAGCCTTCAACAAATGGATCAAGTAATTGAATATTTAAATTTAATGAATTATTTTCTGATAAACGAACAAAAGAAGAACCAAAAAGTTCAACAATTTCTGAATATAATTCTCCTTCTTTAAATACTTTTTGTAATGGGGCTAATTGTTCTGCATTTCCACTAATTAATAAACCAAAATGCCGAATGGAAACTTCCTTTATTCGACGTGTTTTTAATTTTGGATGTTCTCCCTAAAATTTGAAAATTTTAATTAAAAAGAAGGTTGTTTAATAAAAGAAATTAAGAATGGGAAGCATTATAAAAAAAGTAGGGATCCAAAACTAAATTCAAAATAGCAAATCACCATTCATTTTCACAGAGACATTTTGAACAGTATGTGAAAATTTTGTAGTTTTTTTCCACCATAGTGTAGAGCAAGGTCGATAACCTATTGCCAATTTCCGGCTTTCCCCCTGAACCCCATCTCAGCCGCCCCAAAAGTCGAAAACTTTGAACCCCTATAACTTTACGAAATAGGGGTCAGGGGGAAAAAGCCGGAAATTGGCAATAGGTTATCGACTTTGCTCCACACGATGGTGCAAAAAAAAAACTACAAAATTTTCACATAAAGTTAAAAATGTCTCCTTGTCAGTTAAAATATTTGTTGTTTTTAATATAATCTCACATTATTGATTAAATCAACAGCTTCATTCCGTAACTCTTGAACAATCCTCATTAATATGTAAAGATCTTCTTTATCACCTATTGCTTTATTTAATTGGCTTTCATCTTCTTCAACGTCAAAAACTCCTCGGAATGCCGAGGCAACGTTATTATTAAATTGTGGATGATATGTAAAAAATTCGGCAGCCAAATGTGGCAAAATTGGAGCTATTAATTGGACAAGTGTGTAGCCCAATTTGTTTAATGTAAAAAGAACTGATTGATGTGATGCTGAATTAATTGGTTCACAATAAAGACGGTCACGAACAGATGTCTAATTAATTATTTAAAAAGTATTTTAAAATTCTAGAAAACTAACAATATAGGAAGAGGCATCTTTTTGTGTAAATTGGAAATATTCTTCCATTAATTTCCCAAATCTGTAATCATTATAACGAGAACGAATCAACTTTGAAAAATCATTTAAACGAGCCAGAATATACTAAAAATTAAAATTTATTAAAAAATATACTACATAATAAGTACCCGATCCAAAGTTTGTAGTTGAGGTATATCCATATTTTCATTTTTGATATTTCCTCCAAATCCATTATAATTCAAATTTAATTTCTCGGCAGTTTCCATAGTTCCGAGTACAAAACGTAAAATCAGCCTAATTCCTTTTAATCGACTCTGTAGATCCCTAACCATGCTCGGACCAATTCGAATTTCGCCAGCATTATCAGCTCCCATCCAGGCAGCCCAATAACGAAGACCGTCCGCACCTACTGGATCACTAGCTAATGTGCCATCAGTAATCTTTATAGAGATTAAAACAATTAAATTATAATTTAATAACTAACAGCTTCAGGCAAAACTACATTTCCTTTAGATTTTGACATTTTAGATCCTTTATCATCAACAGCCATTCCATGAATGAGAATTTGTTTAAAAGGGGCAGAATTCTACAAAAATATTTAAAATATTAAATAATAAAAAGCCACTTGAAGGGCCATAGAAGTAATAAAAGATGATTGAAACCATCCACGAAATTGGTCCTTGCCTTCAATTACTACATCAGCAATTTTTCTAGGCGTTAAAGTATGCCAAGTAAGTCCACTATCCATCCATACATCCATTACTTCTGTTCTTTTTTCCAAATTTTTGAGGGAGGAAAAAGGAAACCCCTTTAAGAAAAAAAAATATTTTTTGTTAGAAAAATAACTTAAATAAAAAGACTTTCTCTACCTTCAATCTAGAAAGTTCTTCGAGTGTTAAAGTCCACCACAAATCCGTATTTGCTTTACTTTTAACTAATTGAGCATATGACCGAATAAATTCCCCGCTTGTTTTTACTTCCTCAACATCTCCAATCATTTCTTGTCGAGTAATTGCTGGAATAGGAACACCCCAAGCACGTTGTCGAGAAATACACCATTCATTTCGACGAGTAAAAAATGTAGAGAATGCAGCTCTAAGATCTTTGTTGATAATTTAAACACTGCTTATATCAAATAAGCCTACCAACATTTCCAGCAGAAACATTAATTCCAGGATAAGAATAAATTGCTTCTTCACATCGTTTATTTAATGAAGATACATCAATAAACCATTGAGGGCAACTTCGAATAATAACTGGCTAAAATTTAAAGAGAATAATTAGAAAGAAAATATAACTCCCTCACTTTATTATAACGCCAATCATAAGGATAAGAATGGGTATATTCATATTCAAACAGAACGTCTTTCCTCAAAAATTAATTTAAATAATTTAAAACTTCAAATCCTCACTTTAATTTATTTAAAGCAGCTCGTGTCCCTTCCCCTAACACTTCCTTGCCTTCAAAATCATAGCCCATATGACGAGTATATCTCCCCCTTTCATCAACAAAACATTCAATAACATCACGTTGAGAGCCAATCTTAATAAAAAAATTTATTTTGAAAAAAATATTTTTTCTAACCTTATAATCATCATGTCCATGTGCATAAGATAAATGTACTAAACCAGTACCCATATTTGCAGTTACAAAATCTGCAGCAATAATTTCTTGAGCCAAATCATTATACATTGCATTTTTATAAAAATATCGACGATCTCTCGCCAATTCTTCGCCTTTAATTGTACCAACCAATTGAAATTCTTTTTTAAGAAGTTGAGAAATATTAGAGATTAAATCTTTGGCTACAATAAATATTTTTCGAGTAGCAGTTTTGCTAAAAAAAATAAAAATATATAGAAGAAAAAATGTTTTAAACCGAGTTTCTTCAGGTGATTCAATTGCGGCATATTCTATATCAGGATGTACAGCAATTGCATTATTCATTGGAATGGTCATGAAAAAGAAAAAAAAAGAAGTTATTAATTAAAAAATCTCAAAGAAAATTTTTTGAACTACCATGGTGTTGTTGTCCAAACCATCAAAAATAATTGTGTCGATTTTTTACTAGTGGGTGCAATTGCTGATTTATTTTGCCATTGTAGTTGATCAATATCAAAATTAATTAACTAAAAATTAAAATCGAGCAATTTAAATCAGAAAGAATTTACTCTAAATCCAAAGAAAACAGCCGTGCTTTTATGTTGATCGTTATATTCAAGTTCTGATTCTGCTAGAGCAGAGCACGAATAAGGAGACCAAAAAAAAGAAAAGTATTTAAAAATAAATTTTTAAATGTTAGAAACTCACCAATAAACAGGCCCCATTTTCCTATAAATCAATCCTCGATCATAAAGTTGAGCAAATATTTCCAGTTGTTTAGAGACATAATTAGGGCTCATTGTAATGTAAGGATCAGAAAAATCAGCTGAACAACCCCAGCGAAGAAAGGAAGTCATTTGAGATTGGATAGAATTCACAGCTATTTGACGGCAATTTGCACGTAAAAGAAGGGCGTCTTGCTCCTTCAAAATTAATTATTAAATTAAAAATTAATTAAAAACCTTATTATTCGTTTCCTGTTTTAAAACCTTTAATTCAATTGGCAATCCATGACAATCCCAACCAGCTTTAAGATCAACATTATATCCCAACTGGACTCTACTTTTGAGAACAAAATCCTTCAACAATTTATTTATTGCATGCCCAACATGAACATTCCCGTTTGCATACGGCGGTCCATCAAGTATAGTAAATCTAATTAAAAAATATATTTAATATTGAAGCAATCCAATTCAAAACAAAGATACTTTTAATTAATTTTGTCTAAATTAAAAAAATTTACTCACTCCTTTAAATGTTCATTTGTTTTACGCGTCTTCTGCCACTGATAAAATCCAGAAAAATCAGCAATAGCAGTGAGATGCGAGTCTAAACGAGAACGTTCCGAATTTTTAGGCAGAACAGGGAATTCAGTTTTTGGAAGAAAAACAGGTAAATTTTTGAATTTCATCCTAAAATAATTATTTATGTTAGAGACAAATACGTGAACAACCTACAAAAATCTAATTTTTGACCTAACAGTTAAACATTTTTTTTAAATTTAAATATATTAAATTATTTATGGAAATATTCCCAAAACACAAATAAAATTCAATTAAGAAAAACAATTTTTATAATTTAGAATTTTCTTTAAATAAAAACAAAATTTATTTTATATATTTTATCTTTCTTCCCTATCAGTCTGATATTCATCCTCATCTCCTTCATCCTCTTCCATTCTCATTCTTTTGCGTTCTTCAAGTATTCGTTCTTTTCGATGTTTTTGCTTTTCTTTTTTCTCTTTTTGATATTCATCCCAATGTTTTCGTCTCATCAATTGTTGAGTAATTGCCCGAAGTTTCTTCTCGTTATCAGCTTCTAAACGTTCACCCTTTTCTCTCAATTCATCAATTCTTTTTTTTAATTCATCAATATTATTTTTATGATATTCAAAATTTTGAAGATTATCTTTTTGTTGCTCATTTTCCTTCTTATTTTGATGTAATTTGTCCATTGTTGTATGGATATGTTTTTTCCCGTCAAAAATAATAACAGGAGTATCATCCCTTTTTCTAGAATCACCAAAACCAGAAATCTTCCAATAATTGACTAATTTAGGTGCAAAAGTTTGACGATAAAATTCTTCGCCTCTTTCAGCATACCAACTACAAAAATAAATTTTAAAAAATTTATCAAAAAAAAAACAAACATTCCAAAAAGAAGTCCACCCAAATGAGCAGCATTGTCGAAAAGTCTAAATTTTGTAAATACTCCAACAAAAAGCATTGCAGTTTCAAATAAAAGTATTCCAATTAGAGCATCTAAAAAAATTTAGATTATTTTTTAAATAAAAAAATAAAACAAACTTCCAGCAGAAAATTGAAATTGTGGAAGAAATAAAATACTAATTTTAGCATCTGATGCCACAATACAAACATAACCAATTAAAGCAGCAATAGCTCCACTTGCACCAAGTGATGGCAATAATGATTTTGTAAAAGATTTAACAAAAAGTGAAACGAGTGAAGCAAAAACCCCGCCAGTCAAATAAAAGGCTAGGAACTGAAAAGTTAAAAAATTAAGATAAAATTTTGAGTAAAAGTTGTTTTGTTAAATTAAAATAAAAATGATGGAAAAATGATTATCTAACCACAAGCTAGATTTATCCGAAAAATAATTTTTTTTTATTAAAAAAATAAATTTTTAACCACACCTCCTCCTTTCCCAAAAATTGAAGTGTTGCATTTGAAAAACTATTTAATACGTACATATTCGCAAACATATGTAGCGAATGGCTATGTGAAAACACACTCAATAACATTGGTAAACAAAGGAGTTCTAAAATTTAAAAAATTTATTTTAAAAAAATTTAAAAATATACTTGATGCAAATCCATTTGTAAAGAAAAGGCTCATAAATTTACTGAATTTAGAAAAACGCCAAAGAGCAAACACAGCAACATTTGTTGCTATTAGAGTAGCAATTAAAGTATCCACTCGTTTATTTGATTCTTGTTGTCCAAAATATATTCGTTTAAATTCTGTCAAAACATCATTGAGATCTTGGATAGACTTTTTGGTATTTTTGTATTCGGATATAGAAGCAATTGAGAAAGCTGTGAGGCCAGTCTTAATAAAAAATAAAGTTGATAATATTTAAAAGAAAAAACTAAACCGCAGTTGTAAATGCTACTGCTCTCCATAAATGACTTTTTGGCCTCAGTTCAGCTCCTTCTTGCGTATAATTTTGTTTTGCCTCAATTTTTGTGTCGATAGCATTTTTTAATCGATTTCCAAGCCTGCCACTCTGAAACCTTGCAAATTTACTAGTTGATGAAGATAGAAGACAACGTGCGGCCTTAAAATCAAAAAATAATTAAACAAAAATGCTTACAAAACAAGCTGGATAAAAATTTTTAATTAAACAAAACAAACCTTCATTCTTAACGGAATACTCATCAAAATTCTCATTTGCATCATCTCTGAAAGGTTAAAATAAATATAAATTTAACACTAACAAAATAAATAAACGACAAAACGTTAACGAATCAAAAACTAAAAAATTCTTTCAAAAATATATTTATCACAAAAATAACAACAAAAAACAATTTTAATTTACTTTAAAAGAATTTAAAGAAGAAATTCCCAATTCATTTTGTAAATCTACAATATTTTGTTCAAATCTATTCTCCCAGTCAATTGCCAATAAAAAACGTCCCTCCAAAGCTTGTTCCAAAATCCAAGGTAAATTTCTTTCTAATAATTGTTTTCTATGTCTAAAATAAAAAATTATGTTATAAAATTCCCCTTTAATCTATACTTTGGCCCAAGCCGTATACCACCAAAAACAGCTGCAGCAATGCACATTGGAAGCCCTACAAAGTAATTTTTATTCTTAAAAACATATAATATGTCACAAATTTACCCAATTGAATAGCCTCAAAATATTTGACAGTGACCTAAAATTAAACAATATTTTTAAAGAAAATTCTAGTTATTAAGTAAACCTCTCCAAGCATAGTAGTTGGCATTTGAAGTAAAACATGGTTAAAGTCGTGAGTTTCTCGATAACTAAAAATTAATTTAAAATTTTTTTAAAAAATTTACAAACCGTTGCATAACATAAACAAGTTCAATATCATCAACAAATTGAACGGGGGGCCTTGAATCAGGACTTGTATGTAATTTATTTAAAAATCTCAAATATTCCCTTCCAAGGGTTCCATCAGGTAATTCAGCTAAATATTCTCTAGAAAATGTTTTTTCAGTAATTCTTGGTTGCTTTTTCAAAAGTTCAGAGCCAGTCACATCCTTGGCCATTCTGTCTCGGATATGAATAAGTAAAGATTTTGGTACCTAAAAAAGTTATCATCCACAAAAAATTATTAATTTATAAATTTAATTGAAAATAAAATCAAAAAACCTTATAGAAAAAAAAATAATTTTTTACCGTTGTCTCCCCCATTGTTGCAATCATATCTCCACGTTCCGGATAAACAATAGACATTATGGCGGAGCCAAAACCCAAGAGAGATCGTTGGAGAATTGTCATATCAATTTGTTCTGAAATATTTGTGGAAGGAAAATTCGAATTGGAAACTAAAAAAAAATTTTTTTTTAATATATAAAAACCAATCAAAACCTATTCTTTCATCTCCCCTCCCTCCATTTCCAAAATCCCTTTCTGAACTTTCTCCCCACGCTGTGCCAAAATTTCTTCGATGTTTTTCTTGCCATCTAAATCGCTGAACCAACCCAAATTGTCTGCAATTATGTGATGATTTAAACAAGAATCGCATTTGACTATAACAATTCCCTGTTCGTAAGAAGTTTTTGAGAATTGTTTTGGACCCTAAAATATATTCTTAATAATTACTATTAAATTGGAACACGCCCAAAAGGGCGCGCGGCCATAACTTGCTTCAAGATTTCCAAATCTTAACAAATTTAGGATTAAACGATTCCTCTCATCGAGTCAAATGGCTTTGCATCATTATGGCCGCGCCCTATTTCGGGCTGTACCCTATTAAATTAAATTAACCTGTCTTGAATTGCAAACTTTGCATGTATACAAAATAGCCAATTTTTTAGGTATTGAAATATATTCTTGTTTGGTAATTTTATTTTTGTTGTCTTCAGAAAGTTGAAAATTACTATTTTTAATTAAAAAATAATTTTATTTTAATCAAAAATTACCTTAAATATAAATTCCTTTGAATTGATAAAAAACGATGATAATGAAAAGAAAATTGAGGTTTAAGTCTGATATTTCGAAGTAATGCAGTCGTTAATAAATTAAAAGAATTCATATAAAGCTAAAATTTTAAAATTAAATCTTAAACTTAAAGTTGAAGAAATCTTAACAAAAATAACAAAAAAATCCGCACTAGGAAATCTGCACTGAAACTGCTTAAGCTCACCAAATTTGTTTACCTTTCAGTGCCATATGTTTGAGTATTTACGAAGTATACGGTAGGAAGAGAGAATAATTTAGCATTAATTAAAAAATATTTTTAAAGATTTATTAAAAAATGAAAACAAAATAATTTTTGTTTCCGAGTGTTTTTGTGTTTGTTACAAATTTGGTTATTAAATTCAAGAGCCAATCAAACATACTAAGTTAATGCAAGAGCAAGGCAGTGGCTATCTAAGCGAGAAAAATCACAAAAAACCAGAAACAAAATTAAAAATCGGTAAGTTTTTGTGAATAAATTTCTGCACAATGACTACAAGAATTCTGATTTTGGGGGTATTTTTTAACAAAAAAAGTATACAAAATAATTTACCCATTAATATTTTCCTTTATAATGTTTTTCCTTCCCAGTTAGCCACTTTTCTTCTGACTTTTTTTTCAAACTTTGGCATCCCAAAGGACCAGGCATTATTTGGTTTTTCCTCTCCATAAATATTTTTCTGCGTCAAGAGGCACAATAAAAACGAATAAATGCTTTTATGGTTTTGATGAATCTGGCTAACCGCTTTTAAGTCAAAAAAGGAATAAAAGTGCCGCAATTCTTTACAGCATTTTTGCCTTTAATTCAGCATTTCCCACGGCTTTGATAGTTTAGTTTTTGCATTTATTTGTATTTTATTTGAATTAATAAAGCTGAATTAAATAGAAAAAAAATTATTCATTATTATTTTTATATAAAATATTAATTTGAGATTTTTATAAAAATTTGTAAAAAAATTGCCCTCCCTCAATTAATTACCCCACTTCCATTAATTACCCCATCCAGCGATATATTGAAACAATAATTACCTCCGAACAAAGCCCTAAAACACGTTTAAATTTCAAACCTCATATAATTACCCTCCCTCGATTAATTACTCCCTCCAGCGAAATGTCGAAACAATAATTACCCAGGGTAGTTATTAAAGGATAAATGGTATATTTTTTATAATAATTAATTTATTACTTTTTTCTATTAAAATACAAACCACACAAATATTACTAATCTATTTAATATCTTCATTTTCACCTCATTTTCAAGTCAATCAATTTCTGTCAAAAAATAATCCTTTTCCATCAATCTTTTACTCTCGACTTTTTAACTAAATCATTAACTGTTGGAGACGGATGGGCTAACTAATATATTAAAAGTATTTTTTGTGATTGAATGAAAATCTTCCAAAATTCTTTAGTTTTTTTTATTACTTTTTTTTGCTTCCAACAAATTATTTTTGGAATTATAAAAATAAAAAATATACTATAATTTTATTTAAATTTTTTACAAAAAAAATTTTTATTCACATATTTTAAAGTTATTAATAATTATATCCTCTACACGTCCTTTATTCACCCTTTATTATTATTTTTTTTTACATTTTTCCCTTTCCGACTTTGTGCCATTTAACTAGTAGTTGCCCTCCCTAATATACTTTTTTTTTCATGCTGAGCTCCCAACGGGATCTCCATGTTTAATTACATATTATTCTCCCAATATTTACTTGATAAAAAAAGGTGTTTTTATTTTTTTGTAAATTACATGTCATTTCCAGAGCTACAAAACTTGGAATTATGAAAGCTCTTTTTTAGTTTCTTGTTTTATTGAAAAATATTATTTTTTAAATTTTTTAAAGAAAAATGCTATGCTGTCTAGTCATCAACAAATATATTTTTTACCTAATTTAATTAATTATTTAATTATTTTATTATTTATTTTAATGTTATTTTCTTTCCAAATTTCTCAAAAAATAATTTTTGTAAATTCTCAACAAAATATTTCATCCTCAAATAATTTTTTATCTTCAACAACAGAAAATTTAATTTTAAACGAAATATTTAATAATAATTTTAAATTAAAAAAAGAACAAAATAAATGGAAAAGATTTAGAAGAAGAAATGAAAAAATAAGAGGAAGGAAACGAAGATTTTTTGGTGTAATAAATTCTGATGATGATGAGGATTATCAGCAACAACAAGTAAATTAAATAATTTTGAATTATTTAATGTTTTGAGCTGAGAGGAATCTTTTTAAAAGTATGTAGTTGGAAATTTTCGGATATCCGGATCCGGTATCCGAACCGAAAATTTCAGGATATATTGCCTTTTTTCGGATCCGGATCTGCCAACCTTAGCATGAAGAGGAGAGGAGGAGAGGGGGATAAATTAAATTCCCATGTTTTAACAAATTTTCTTAAAATTTTTAAGGATCCCAATTTATCCACCAAATCAGAAAAAAGACGGGAAGAGACTGAAACAGAATTGGAAAATGAATTAATGGCCGAATTTGTTCGAGTTTCACTCAAACAAGAAAATGATTTTAATGTTCGATTCCGCAAAAAAACTTTTAGTAGGTTTTCATTTAAATAAAAATATTTCTAAAAAAAATATTTTTTGTTACAAAATAAATTGTTTAAAAATATATTTGAAAAAAAAATAATTTTTATGAAAAAAAATAATAAGAAAATCCAATTATGTTGCCAACATTGGGGAAGGAGATTAATTCTTTTTTTTCTCTCTATGTAATAAAAAGGACAACAATTTCTATTAAAGCTTCAATATTTTTATATTAAAAAATATTTTTTAAATAATAAATTCTTTTTAAATAATTCTCTCTGTTGGAAATTTTTTAAAAATTTTTAATTTTATATTTTTTAAATTGTAAAGTGAAATTTCTTTTCACCTTTTAACAAAGCACTTTTGCCTCCAATTTGTGGAGGAGGCGCATTTAATAATAGCGTGTTTTCGTGCTTTTTCTGTTTAAAGACATTTTTGAATTGGAGGGGAGAGGGGACTATTTTTATATTTTTTCATAAATACATACTATTTATTCATCCAAATGCCCTAGTGTTTACAGGTGTATTGAATAAAAACGATAAAATAAAACTTTTTAATATGCCAATAAATTTATTTTTATTTGAAAAACACGCAAATATTTTTACTTTAATATTATTATGGGATTTTTAAAATCATTTTAATTGGATTTGTAACGTCAAAGGCTATTCATTGAATTTTATTTTAATTTTTTCTTTTTAAGTATAAATATTTTTACGGTTTACAAAAAATAATATTTCTAAATAAATTAAATTTATCTTAAAAATTAATCTCATAATAATAAATTGGAGAGAGAGATATAAATTTTATATAATCTTTAATTTTAGAATTTTATTTTTATTAAACTCTTCAATCTCCTCAATCCTTTCAAAATATATATTTTTATTCCCTTCTTTTTATTCAAAATAGTAGAATTCTTCCCTTTCCTCTTCTTCATTTTAATTTAAGTCTTAAATAATCGGACTTGTTTCTATCCACTTTAAATACTTTTGGTCATCTTCTTTCCCTTCAACAATTTTGGGCACATATTTTCCTTTGCCCAAAAACGTTTTGAGAGAAAGATATTAATCTATTCCCCCCCCCCCCTTCCCCTTCCTTTTTTTAACTTACTCTTGGGCGTTCTTTACTTCTTCAATACCTTTCTTCCTTACTCAAAACGAGAAGATGATTGGTCCACTTTTCTATTTAAAGTAATCTCCCTCTCCTTTTCTTATTTTTTTTAAATTTCCAATTTATTTTTAAAAATTTCATTTCTTTTTATTTAAATTTAAATCTAAATTTAATTATATAAATTTTTATTTTTTTTCTTTTAATTTAAAAATTAAAAAGTAAACAAATAAATTAATGGAAAATTGTTTACTCATTTTGTGTCAAAAAATATTTTTTTAAAGATTATATATTCTTCAATCCTTCTCAATTTCAATATTCTACTTTTTATTTTCATTACAATTTTTAATTATTTTTTTTATTTTTGGCAATTTTCCTTAGAATTTTTTAAAAAGTTTTTTTTTTTATTTTTACCTCTCTTATTCTACCACCTGTTTATTCTTCTCAATCGGTCATTTATTTAATAATTCACTTACCACCTTCTTTAACCACAAAAATCCTTCAATTTTTTACATTAATTTATTTTTACTAAGATTAATTACTTTAAAATTATGTTTTTTAGTATATTTTTAATATTAATTAATCATTTAAAAAAAGAATTAATCTTCTCCCAATTATTTTTAAATATTATTTTAAATTCAACAAATTTAAATGAATTTATTTCCTTTAATTAACCTCTTTTAAAATGTTCTACAATTATTTTTTATTATTTATTAAACAAATAATTTATTTAATATTTTTAATTAAAACAAATATTTTTGTTTTTGGTATGTTTAGTAAATTTAAAATAAGAGGGGGAAGGGGTAATTAAAATATTATATTTATTTATCCTCTATTTAATAATTTTTTTCAAATCTTTGGAGAATATTTTCACCCCCAACATTTTCTTTTCAAAATAATTATTTTTTAAATTTTTTTTAATAAATTTATTTTTATAATTAAAGCAATGACACAACCATTTGAATGTTATTCTTGTATGTCTTCCAGTTATCAGGCAAAATGGGGATTTTTGAAAGAAATGTATTTTGCCCCAAAAGTTGCTTATTCATTTAAAGATTATTTTAAAGAAAATAATTTTTAGATGTTTGCCGATGCCTGTGATGCTCCAATTCCTCGAAAAGGCCTTATACCGACTGTTTTATGTGCCTCATTTTGTGTATCAATGTTAGAGCCGAGTGTTGAGGCTGGCTAGTTTTTTTTTGATTAAAATTGTGAAAAAAAAATATTTTTAAAGGTGTTTTTGTTGGTTTTAAATATATTCGTGGATGTGGGGATTTAATTCTTCGACACGGATTTAATAAAACGGCTATACAAATACACAGATTTGCACAAGTATTTCTCAAAAATAATTTTTAAATATTTTCCCTTCAAAAAAGGTAGATAAATGCCGTCAATTACCCCGCGCCCATTTATTTAATCAGCCAAGGCAATTAGAAGTGGCAGTTACAGGAAATTTACAATTATGTACTTGTTATGGTGAAAGATGTAATGGAGGGTCTTCCTCTGTTTTAAAAAGAGGAAAAAACTTGAAATTTTTAATTTTATTTTCTTTAATTATTTTATTTTTAATTTCTAAATATTTAAGGATTTAATTATTTTTTAAAAATATTTTTGTTGTAATTTTGCCGGTTATCTTTATTTAAATAAATATACATATATAAAGTTATTCATTTTATTAATTAAAGAAAACAATTAATGTTTAGTAGATTATCTGAAAGCTCTGATTTTGGGGATTTATAAAGCTTCTTTTTTTGTCTCTAATTTAAAGGGAAAATATTTAGGCTCGTCTATTTCTGGTCCATAACAATAGTTTATAAAATTTAAAAAGTTATTCTACCAAAAATTCTGAACTTTTACTTTAAAGATCTAAATTATTTCCAAGACAATAATTTAAAAAAAAATTTTAATTTATTTTAAATTATAATTAAATATAATTAAAATGTATTTTTAATATTTTTCTATTTTATTCCTTTAATTATTTTCATTTTCTCGATTTCTTGAAATTAATTGGAAGTTTTTAATTATAGAATTAGTTTCCGGTTGTTTATTATTATTTAAATATTCTTCTTCATTTAAATTACAATTTGAGATTGTTTTATTTTCACAATTTTTTGTTTGTAGCCATTCTCCAATACATTTAAAGCATTTATTTTTAAAAGGAAGAAAATCTTTAATTAAAATATAATTATTTAATTAATTAATTTAAATTAATCCTACTTTTAAATACAAAAATACATTCACGTTTTCTTTGTCTAAATCCTCCTTCATTTTGAATTCTTTTTTTATTATTACAATTAATTTGGCAATTACTCCATTCACTCCAAATACTCCATTCACAACAAGGACCTTTTAATTTATTTAAATTTTAATTAAAGTAAGAGCGAGGTAAAAGTTTAATCCCGGGCAGGCTTCGATCCTGCGACCTCCCGGCAGTTATTGCTAGGCATTTTCGCTCACCGCGTACAGGTGCTCTACCGACTGAGCTACCGGGACGCTACTTTCACTTTCTCGTTTAAAACGCTCACCGCTTAGTGAGCGTTTTAAATGCTAACCAGCTGGATCTTTCTCTTCCTTACATTAATTAATTTAATTACCAGCATCACAAGCTTTTCTTTCAATTAAATCCCCTCCACATTTATTTTCTTCTTCCATTTCTATATTTAATAATTTTTTATCATTCCATTCTTCTCTAAATATTAATTTAGAACTAATTAAAGGTGAACGTCTTCTTTCTATTGCTGAACTTTGAGAAACATAAAAAAATAATATTTTTTAATTAAAAAATATTATTTTCTTTTAAATATTCAAATACCTGCAGTTTTTGAGGAATTAAAGAAGTTGGGTGAATATTATTACCTTTTAATTAGAAATTTTTAAATTAATAATTATTATAGGTACCATCATAATTATTATCAGTAATTTTGTCTTTTAATTGATTATTTAATGTGCTAGATATCCTCTACAAAAAAATATTAAATAAAAATAAATTTTTAAATTTTACTTCAGGTATAGGAAATGTTTCTTCTTCCCCCCTCTCTTCCTCTTCTTTATTTTCTTCTTTAATTTTAAAGGAATTATTTTTATTATTAATTTCAGAATTTTCTTTTTTTAAACATCTTTTAATTATTTTATATTAAAAACATTCATTTTAAAATTAAAACTTTCTCTGACGTTCACAAAATCCTTTTCCACAAGTAACACTACATCCACTCCATTCACTCCACTGATCAAAATACTTAAATAAAATTTATATTAATTAATTTATTTTTAAATTTACATAACAAGCAGTTAATCTATTATTTTGACAAAATTTAAATTCTTTTTCTGCTTTTGTTCCTCCAAAACAGCCAAAACCATTAGGAAGGCATTCCCGAGATCTTTTTTAAAAAAATATGTCCTCCTCTTAATTTTATTTTAATCTAAAATAACCGTGTCTGCTTTCCACGAGCACAATTACCAGAACATTCTGACCTGTTTTTGATTAATAATATTTTTAATTAAAAATAATTTTAATTTCAAAAATTCCAATTCTTTAATATTTTGTCTAAAATCAAGGACTATTTTGTCTTTTATTTACTAATCAAAAAATATTTAATTTATTAACCATTCACTCCATTCTCCCCATTCTGGACATTTATTTAAATTACATTCACTATCTTCTCTTGAAATACCTTCACATTCAATATTTGGATATTCATTATTTAAACATTCTCTTAATTATATTTTAATTATTTTTTTAAATCAAAGTACACCTTTTTCTTGTTTTTAAACTTTTTTCTCCACAACTTTTAGAACATAAACTCCAATCTGTCCATTCTGACCAAGATGGACATTTTTGTGTATTACACAATAAATGTTCTATTTTTGGGCCTTTACATTCCTCTGAATTTTGATTATTTTTAGACATTAAGCATTCACGACGGCGAATCTAATAATTGAAAAAAACAAAATTTAAATTACCTATTCAAATTATACCTTCTCCCCTCCTCCACACTTTTTGGAGCAAGATGTCCTTTAAGTATTATTTATAGTTTTTAACAACAAATTTTCTTTATCAAGTTACCATTCTCCCCAATTACCCCAAATTGGACAATCTTTGTTTGTTGGAGATTCACAATTTCTTTGTTCAAAAGCTAATCCTTCACATTCAATTAATTCATTATTTCCCCCTCCATTTTTATTTAGTATACAATCACGTTTTCCTTTAAATATAGATTTTTGGGTAAAGGTTATTGGTCTCTTTCTAATGCGAATTCGTTTTAGTCGATTCGGATCTGAGATTATAATCACCACAACAATTACTTAATGATAAAGGCAAAAACAAAAAACCTTTTTTTCCTTGGAGACCAGAAAACTTTACCAATTTTTATTTAAAATTATTTTTAAACTTTGTTGTATTCCAGCCCCACTGCAACTACTTGACATTAAAGAACATTGCCCCCATTCTCCCCAATTTGACCACTAAATTAATTTTTTAAATTTATAATTATTATTTCTTTTAAAAACCGAAGGACATAAATTTTCTCCACACGGTCTAAAATCTGTATAAGGTCCAATACATTTATTATCACCACTTTTACATTCCTAAATAATTTTTAAAAAATAATTTCCTTTATTATATTTTCTTGCCCTATAACGAATTCTTTTTCCATTCCCTCCACATTTAACAGAACATCTTAAATTATTTTATTTAAAATTTTAATTTAAAAAATTTTTTTATGCTTTGTCCATTCTGTCCAATCTTTCCATTGATAATTACAAGAAGGCATTGAACATTGCTGAATTTTTGTATCTTCCCCTTTTTTTATTTATTAATTTTAACTAATTATTTACGGAAAAACCTTTACAATCCCCACTTTTCCCACTAGAACAATATCTCCTCAATTTTTTTGTTCCATTTCCACAACTAACAGAACATAAACTTTCTTCTGTCCATTCCATCCATTGAGGTTGTGGAGCACAAGGATCATTACTTTTTAAAGCTGGACAAGGAGGATTTTGTTGATTTTTTTGAAATTGTAGACGGCAATAGCCTCCTTTTATTTTTTTTTTTTGAATTTATCCCCTTTCCATTCCTTTCCCCTAACCTCTACATCTTTGCCCCCAAAGTCCTCTAGAAACAATTAATGGCTGGATAGGCTTCTCAGCCTCAACTTTTCCATTTTTATCTATTTCAATATATGGATCATCTGCCAATTTTATTCCTTCTGACACTTAATATTTTTTTGTTAAAACATATTAAATTAATTTAATGTCAGCTCTCTTTAGCAGCGACACTAGAAAACTAAAATGGAAAGTCGCCTATAACGGGATCGTCAATAATTAGTCAATATCCTTGAATTAGTAAACCTTGCCAGTGGATAAGATAAAACGTTTTAAATATTTTTTCTTAAAAAGTCGCTAATAACGAATGCCGACTTTTTACAAATTAATTACCAAAATTATTAAAATTTTCTTTATCCATTTCTTCACTTCTTTCCTTTTGTTCACTTAATTTTTCTTTATTTAATTTAATTTCAGACGGAATTGAAAATAATAATTCCCTTCTAGAAAGGCTTATAGATTTTAATAAATCAAAATTTTCTTCAAATATTTTTTGAAGACAAGGAGGGTCTTTTAATTCCAATATAGTATATTTTTCTTTTTCAATTTTTGATGATTGGTAATTTAGGGAAAATGAAGAAAAATATTGTGTAAGACTTTGGCCATAAAACTGACATAATTGTTTGCCCTTAGAAAAAAAGATTTTTGAAAATGCCTGAGGCAATCTAATTTAAATTTTTCAAATAAATTTTCGAACATTTTTTACAACAAATAAAACACTTTTGCACATTTCCCAATCATCTATACAACGTTCTGTACATTCTAAAATTCCATTTTTTGTTTCAATACGTTGGTAAAATAAAGGGAAATTTTCTGGCAATTTTATTAAAAAATGTTCACAAATTGTTTTTTCAGTTTTTAAAAAATAAATATTTTGTAAAAAATAAAAGAAAAATAAAAATGGTTGGGAAACTAACATTTTGGATTAATTTAAATTTATTTTGGTTTATGGACTAATTTTAGGGGGAAAATTTTTGGGAAAGAAATAACTTTAAAATTAAAGAATTTAAAATATTATTGGCTAAAAATGATCATTAAATCAGCGAAAGCAAAGCTACTTGTGTTTATTGCTTCTTTATGTAAAAGAACTTGCGTTCAAGTGTATCCATATTACTCAATGATATATCTAGTAAATAATTATTAAATAGTAATTAAATTAATATGTATAGAAAGATAGGTAAATTAATAAATTTATATCTAAAGTTTTGAATTTTAATAAAGAATACCCCCAAATAATAATTTTTGTTGTTACATTATTTATCTGGCATTTATTTACATATCACATTCCATATCACTTCCAACAAAAAATGTTCAGTTTATTGCAGTTATTTCCTATTATTTTTCCTATTATCTTCCTATTATTTTTCTTCCTATTATTATTTTTTTTTTCTTCCTATTTATTTTTCTTCCTATTATTATTTTTCTTCCTATTATATTATCTTCCTATTATTTTTCTAAATAAAATTAAAATGGCAACACTGACTAATTCTTCAACAAGAAAGCGCTCTAAAAACAGTGTATCAGAAATCGATTCTTCTGATAGACTGGCTGAAATTCAGACAAAATTGACAACAGCTGGTATTTCTATTTCCCCATCGAATTCTAATCCTGATTTAATTTCGACAATTAATCTATTAGTAACTCTTGTGATACAACAGACAAAGCAAATTTCGACCCTACAAGAATCACTTATTAAAATTGAGCAACATCTAAGCACCAAAAATTCCGATTCACCGCCCGAGGATAAGGAAAAAAGCCGCTCGATTGTGGTTGTAGGCGTTCCTGAGTCTGAGGGTCGGAATGATAGGGAAAAATTTGTTAATGATAAAAAAACCATAAACAACATTATTGATTCGTTGGGAATTCCTGCTGACCCTGTAACAATTTATCGAATGGGAAAACAACGGACTGACAACAAGGGCCGACCACTTAAAGTTATTATGCCGTCCTCTTTCCATCAACGACTAGTTCTCGCTCGTGCAAAATCTCTTCGGTCATCACCTTCCCTTTCTAATATTTTTATTCGCCCATCACAAACTAGAGAGGAACGACAAAAAGAATTTGAACTGAGAAAAGAATGCCGTGAGAGAAATAATGCTCTTAAAGAAGGTGAACCACCTTGGAAAATCTATAAAGGGAAAATAGTTAGGGCTTTTAACCACGATTCTTTTTAAAATTATCACATGGACCACTAGCAAAATGTTTATATTTCAATGCAAGATCTATTAAAAATAAACTTACAGATTTACATTTCATATTAGCCTCATTTAAATATCAAATAATTTTAATAACAGAAACGTGGTTAACCTCAGAATTTTCCGACACTTTATTAATTAACGACTTACCATATAAAATTTTTAGAACTGATAGACCAAAAAGGGGTGGAGGTGTGGCCATAATTCTATCTAATATTTTTTCAGTCAGTAACATAAAGTTACAAAAAAATCGATTTAATTTTGACATTTTATGTATTGATCTTACAGACTGTTTAGGAGAAAAAATCCGGCTGATTAACATTTACGTACCCCCCAAAACTTCAGATAAACAATTTACAGATTTAATATATATTCTTGGAAATCTAATATCTGTTCCCTATTCTGTTGTTATATCTGGGGATTTTAATCTCCCAAATATTAACTGGTCTGAAAATCAATCGGAAAATAACCATACTTTTAAAGAATTCCTTACACATTCTAATCTAGTTCAACATATTGATTTCCCAACTAGATCTTCTAACATTCTTGACTTATTAATAACTGACAATTTAAATCACATTTCTAACTTATCCTCACTTCCTCCCTTTTCAACCTCTGATCATAATCAATTCTCATTCGATATAAATTTAAAGAATGAAAAGATAAATAAAAATAAAATATTAAATTTTTCTCTAGGTGACTATAATTCCTTAAACCTACATATATCTCAAATAAACTGGAATTTTCTTTTTGTATATGCAGTTCCTTATAATATAAATACAATCTATGAAATCTTTACTAATACTATAAACGATTTAATCAATAAATTTATTCCTGTTACTAATATTTCATTCTTAAAACTCCCTCCGCATTTAACAAAAATAAACGAGTATCGATCTCTTCTCTGGAAAGATATTCATGATCCCAAAATAAAATTTAAATTCAATTATGTTAACAAAAGATTTGAAAAAGAACTTAAAAAATTCTATAAATATAGGGAAAACAAATTAATAAGTGATAAGAATCCAAAAAAAGTTTTTAACTATATCTCATCACAACTTAAGGTAAAAAATCTTAGTATTCCCGCAATAAAGGATAACTCCAGAAACATTTTAGTAAATACTGATAATGAAAAAGCTAATCTTTTTGGAAATTATTTTCACACCATATTTAACAAAGACATACCCACGAGTTCAAATTCAGACTATGAAAATTCATCTATTACTAAATTAAGTTATGTAGATATTTCGGAAATTGATGTTTATGAAACCCTAATAAAACTTCAATCTAAACAAAACACATCACCCGATGGTATAAACAATTATTTTCTTAAAAAATGTGCAGGAACTTTAACCCATCCGATTACTCAAATTTTCAGATATTCTATGATGACTGGAACATTACCTTCTGTTTGGACCCATAGTACTATTGTTCCTTTGCTTAAGAGTGGGGATAGCTCAAATTTAGCAAATTATAGACCAATATCTTTGACTTGTTCTCTAGTAAAAGTACTCGAAAAAGTTATAAAAGACCATTTATTAATTGCTTTACAAAATATAATACCTTCTTCCCAACACGGTTTTATGAAAAATAAATCAGTAGTTTCTCAATTAATAGAAGCTCATAATGATTGGACCAATGCTCTAAATGAAAATCTTTGCGTAGATATAATTTATTTCGATTTCATTAAGGCATTTGATTCGGTATCTCACAAAAAATTATTAGAAAAACTATCAAAAAATGGAATAGGTAATCCCTTATTATTATGGCTAAAAAATTTTTTGGAATTCCGCACTTACTCTGTAAAAATAAATAATAAATTTTCAGACATATCATATGCAAAATCCGGTGTGCCTCAGGGCTCCGTATTAGGCCCCATCCTTTTCATATTCTATATTCATGATATTGTTAAAAATTGTTTTACACAAGATGTTAGTTTTAAATTTTTTGCGGATGATTTCAAAGCATATATAATCCATTCAAATACAAATAAAAGATTACTCCTACAAGAATGTATTTCTAAAATAAAAAATTGGGCTGATATAAATGAGTTAAATATATCAATAGAAAAATGTAGAGTTCTATATCTAGGAAAAAGAAACTCTAAATTTCCTTATCATCTCTCCAATCAATTAATCGAATCTGTAAATAGTTTTCATAGAGATTTAGGTATCTTAACATCACCTAGTCTAAAATGGTCTTCTCATATTGACTTTATTAGAAAAAGGGCCTATATTAGGCTTTTCTCTCTATTCAAATCTATCAAAACTAATAATCCTTCATTTCTTACAAAAGCTTATACTATATATGTTCGACCTTTATTAGAAAATTTCTCACAAATTTTCAAGCCTTATCTTAAATCAGAATTAATTAAACTTGAAAATGTTCAGAAAATGGCAGTAAAAATAATTTATTATAGAACTCTTCAAAAATTATATCCTAACAAACCTTGTTATGATGATCTGCTTATTATCTTAAACTTAAAATCTATTGAAATCAGACTCTTAATCAATGATATTATATGCTATCACAAAATTATACACGGTTATATTAAACTAGATCAGCCGCATTATCCAAAAATAAACTCCACAAATCGGAAAAATAAATTTCAGATTCAAATAAATAGTTCAGTTTTAAATGTAAGACATCATTTCTTTTTAGATAGAATGGCCAGACTTTACCCTAAACTACCTCATGATATTTTACTTATCCAAAAAATTCAGACATTTAGAAATGCTTTAAACAAAATTGATCTTTCCAAAATTATTTAAAATAAGCAAAAGACATTTGTAATTCACAAGTCATAAAATTTGTTTAATGCCAGTGATATAAAAAATATTATTCTAACTATAATTATAAATTATACTATAGAATAAACTTTATTATATCCATAGTCACTAAGCATATTTTATACCTATATTTGTTGTCGTATTTTTTATTTTATTTTTTTTGTGTGTTTTTTGTTTAAGGATATACTTATTAGACTTTAAATTTGACAAATTTTTTGTAGTGTTCTTGTTTGTTTTAATTTTGTATTTGACCATATATATGTTTCATTTTTTTTATATTGTGGACGCGTATTTAAAATACGTAAATAAATAAATAAATAAATAAATTTTGTCTTTTATTTACTAATCAAAAAATATTTAATTTATTAACCATTCACTCCATTCTCCCCATTCTGGACATTTATTTAAATTACATTCACTATCTTCTCTTGAAATACCTTCACATTCAATATTTGGATATTCATTATTTAAACATTCTCTTAATTATATTTTAATTATTTTTTTAAATCAAAGTACACCTTTTTCTTGTTTTTAAACTTTTTTCTCCACAACTTTTAGAACATAAACTCCAATCTGTCCATTCTGACCAAGATGGACATTTTTGTGTATTACACAATAAATGTTCTATTTTTGGGCCTTTACATTCCTCTGAATTTTGATTATTTTTAGACATTAAGCATTCACGACGGCGAATCTAATAATTGAAAAAAACAAAATTTAAATTACCTATTCAAATTATACCTTCTCCCCTCCTCCACACTTTTTGGAGCAAGATGTCCTTTAAGTATTATTTATAGTTTTTAACAACAAATTTTCTTTATCAAGTTACCATTCTCCCCAATTACCCCAAATTGGACAATCTTTGTTTGTTGGAGATTCACAATTTCTTTGTTCAAAAGCTAATCCTTCACATTCAATTAATTCATTATTTCCCCCTCCATTTTTATTTAGTATACAATCACGTTTTCCTTTAAATATAGATTTTTGGGTAAAGGTTATTGGTCTCTTTCTAATGCGAATTCGTTTTAGTCGATTCGGATCTGAGATTATAATCACCACAACAATTACTTAATGATAAAGGCAAAAACAAAAAACCTTTTTTTCCTTGGAGACCAGAAAACTTTACCAATTTTTATTTAAAATTATTTTTAAACTTTGTTGTATTCCAGCCCCACTGCAACTACTTGACATTAAAGAACATTGCCCCCATTCTCCCCAATTTGACCACTAAATTAATTTTTTAAATTTATAATTATTATTTCTTTTAAAAACCGAAGGACATAAATTTTCTCCACACGGTCTAAAATCTGTATAAGGTCCAATACATTTATTATCACCACTTTTACATTCCTAAATAATTTTTAAAAAATAATTTCCTTTATTATATTTTCTTGCCCTATAACGAATTCTTTTTCCATTCCCTCCACATTTAACAGAACATCTTAAATTATTTTATTTAAAATTTTAATTTAAAAAATTTTTTTATGCTTTGTCCATTCTGTCCAATCTTTCCATTGATAATTACAAGAAGGCATTGAACATTGCTGAATTTTTGTATCTTCCCCTTTTTTTATTTATTAATTTTAACTAATTATTTACGGAAAAACCTTTACAATCCCCACTTTTCCCACTAGAACAATATCTCCTCAATTTTTTTGTTCCATTTCCACAACTAACAGAACATAAACTTTCTTCTGTCCATTCCATCCATTGAGGTTGTGGAGCACAAGGATCATTACTTTTTAAAGCTGGACAAGGAGGATTTTGTTGATTTTTTTGAAATTGTAGACGGCAATAGCCTCCTTTTATTTTTTTTTTTTGAATTTATCCCCTTTCCATTCCTTTCCCCTAACCTCTACATCTTTGCCCCCAAAGTCCTCTAGAAACAATTAATGGCTGGATAGGCTTCTCAGCCTCAACTTTTCCATTTTTATCTATTTCAATATATGGATCATCTGCCAATTTTATTCCTTCTGACACTTAATATTTTTTTGTTAAAACATATTAAATTAATTTAATGTCAGCTCTCTTTAGCAGCGACACTAGAAAACTAAAATGGAAAGTCGCCTATAACGGGATCGTCAATAATTAGTCAATATCCTTGAATTAGTAAACCTTGCCAGTGGATAAGATAAAACGTTTTAAATATTTTTTCTTAAAAAGTCGCTAATAACGAATGCCGACTTTTTACAAATTAATTACCAAAATTATTAAAATTTTCTTTATCCATTTCTTCACTTCTTTCCTTTTGTTCACTTAATTTTTCTTTATTTAATTTAATTTCAGACGGAATTGAAAATAATAATTCCCTTCTAGAAAGGCTTATAGATTTTAATAAATCAAAATTTTCTTCAAATATTTTTTGAAGACAAGGAGGGTCTTTTAATTCCAATATAGTATATTTTTCTTTTTCAATTTTTGATGATTGGTAATTTAGGGAAAATGAAGAAAAATATTGTGTAAGACTTTGGCCATAAAACTGACATAATTGTTTGCCCTTAGAAAAAAAGATTTTTGAAAATGCCTGAGGCAATCTAATTTAAATTTTTCAAATAAATTTTCGAACATTTTTTACAACAAATAAAACACTTTTGCACATTTCCCAATCATCTATACAACGTTCTGTACATTCTAAAATTCCATTTTTTGTTTCAATACGTTGGTAAAATAAAGGGAAATTTTCTGGCAATTTTATTAAAAAATGTTCACAAATTGTTTTTTCAGTTTTTAAAAAATAAATATTTTGTAAAAAATAAAAGAAAAATAAAAATGGTTGGGAAACTAACATTTTGGATTAATTTAAATTTATTTTGGTTTATGGACTAATTTTAGGGGGAAAATTTTTGGGAAAGAAATAACTTTAAAATTAAAGAATTTAAAATATTATTGGCTAAAAATGATCATTAAATCAGCGAAAGCAAAGCTACTTGTGTTTATTGCTTCTTTATGTAAAAGAACTTGCGTTCAAGTGTATCCATATTACTCAATGATATATCTAGTAAATAATTATTAAATAGTAATTAAATTAATATGTATAGAAAGATAGGTAAATTAATAAATTTATATCTAAAGTTTTGAATTTTAATAAAGAATACCCCCAAATAATAATTTTTGTTGTTACATTATTTATCTGGCATTTATTTACATATCACATTCCATATCACTTCCAACAAAAAATGTTCAGTTTATTGCAGTTTTTATTGTATGTACTACATACTATCCAAGATCTACTGGTCATTTAGTCTAAATTACTAGTTTGTGTATAAAAAAATGAATGGTCCTAAATCAGCTTGGCCGACCCTATGATTTTTCAATTTTTGCGAGTCCGTATCTCGGCCAAAAGTTAAGACTGGGGGTTGATTTCTGTGTCATTTAGCAAAAAATTTACTGGTGCCAAATAAGTACCAAAATACATCCTCATTTGAATAATAATTTTATTTGATAAAAATTAAAAGAATAATAAAAGTGGATAAAAATGAATAAATATTATAACAAAAACAAAAAAATATATTAAGCATATTTAGCAACCAAATCGAATTCTTTAACTTTAAAAATTGTAGGAGTAACATGTTTGGTAGTATCATACAAAAAAGGTTTTTTCTCCAAATCTTCCCCAAAATTACCATCAACAGTACAAGAATGTACACCAATAAATGGACGGAATAAATCTGCTATATTTTCTAAAGCAACAGCTTTCCCTTAAATTTAAAATAATTTTAAAAATATATTCCCCGTCGTTTACCAAATAATTTTCCATTTTTTGTAAAGAAAATATAAGGTTTTTTATCAGAAGAACTCTTAGGGGGAAGGACAACCCCACATCCACAAACATCCCCATCCTTCCAAGTTTCTTCAGGAAAACGAATTTTTCCATATTTAGAACAACAAATATAAACACATTTTGGACAATTATCAGGCATCATCGAAGAAACAAAAGTAACAATTCCGTTAATACTATCCACTCCAATTGATGCCATATCTACTTTCTCTGATTGTTTTTTAACAATATTAAATTTAACTTCAAAATAAAAGAGAGAATTGCATGTTGGCTCTGCTGCTTCTTTATTAAATTTAAATTGGCCATAAACTCTAATCATATTATTTATATCTTTTTAAATTAAAAATTAATTTAAAATATTTATTTTAAATTAATTATTTACTTTTTGCTTTTTCTGATGGAATATATTCAACATGTTGATCTCCACTTATTTTAACAGTTCCCAATTCATTTTTAAATAATTTATTATCTATAGGTAATTTTTGTGTAGCTGCAAATGTATCTGCTACATATCCCCATCGATTCCCAAAATTAATATAACTCTAAAAATAAATAAACAATTTTTAAAAATAGCTTTAAAAGTATTTTATTTTAATTTTAAATTAAATTTTATTCTTCAAACAATCTTTTGAATTTTTCTGGAATAAGTTGACCCTTATTTACTATAGTTATGGATATTCAACTATTAAATTAACAAAATTAGATTTAATTTGTGGGAAAGGATTGCCGGGAAATATTCAAAACAAAACAAGGCAATTTTGAAGTTCGTAACCCCCCCCCCCTCCTCTATCTTTTGAAGGGGAGTACAAACTCCAAATTTACCCAAAATAATTCCTTTTTTAAACAAAAATTTCCAATTTCTTCAAAAAAATATTTATTAAATTTTACCATTCGATTCCAATTTTCTTTTTTTAATTGATTTAAATCATTGGATAAATCGGTAAGTTTATCATTAATATCAAAAACTGAACGTTCAACCTATTAAAAATTAAAATTAAAAAATAATTATTTATTTATTTACTTCATCCACACGCCCAAACAAATCTCGATGATTTTGGAGAACCTTTAAAAAATTTAAATAAATATTCCCTTTTTAATTTTTCTAAATTTACATCAACTTGTGTTTGTAAAAACTTCAATTTATCAGAATGTTCCCCAATTAATTCTTGAACAGAATCAACATTATTTTCATTTGAAGTTAATTTTTCCCTCAATTCTTCAATTAATTTTTGCTTGACAGAAAATTTATTCTTAACAAAAATAATTTTTTCTTTTAAATTAAACTAAAAACAAACTAAAGTAGTTTCTGATTGATCTAAAATAACTTGCTTAATTTCATTAAATTTATCAACACTCTCTTTATTTAATAATTTAATTTTTTCTTCAATTTCTTTTAATTTTTGATTATCTATTCCTTCACAAGCATTATTTTTTTCTTCAATTTTTTCCAAAAGTTTTTCTTGAATAGAATATATTTCTTTTAAATTATCAAAATTATTTTTTGCAATTTTTTCTTCAAAAGTTTTTATTTGTTGATTATATAATTCTGACTAAAATAATAATTAATTTAATTTTTTTATTTAAAAGGAGTGGAGAGCTTGGTAATAGTTCGGTTCGTACCCCCCCCCCCCTCCTTTTTCCTTCCTGAAAGTATTAAAAATGGTCAGACAGTCTTGGCTTATAGAACTCGTCGAGCTGTGTCGAAAGACACCAAAATCAACCCCAGGTCTTAACTTTGGGCCGAGATACAGACCCCCGAAAATTAAAAAATAAGAGGTTGGACCAAGCTAATTTTTATGCTAAAAATTTGATTTAACAAATAATAGCTCATTTGAAAGAGCCTGTCGAGCTGATTCGAATAACATCAAAAAATCAACATAATTGAACAAGATTTGACAAAGTTATGACATAAAGTAATTCTATTATAGTCGTGAGATGCTTTTGCAAAACCAACTCTTTGCGAAGAGGTTTTGTCTGAATCTCGGCCCAGAGTTAAGACCTGGGGTTGATTTTGGTGTCATTCGACACAGCTCGACGAGTTCTATAACCTATGACTGACTGACCATTTTTAATACTTTTAGGAAGGAAAAGGGGGGGGGGGGTACGAACCGAACTATTACCGAGAGCTTTCCCTTAAATGTCAATCAACAAATATTTAGTAGTATCTGAAAACCCCAGTCATTTCTTAGTCTAATTTTGAGCAAGCAAGACCTAAGACCAGTGCTTATAAATTTCAAATTTGCTCGTACTTTGTACTAAAGTACGAATACGAATTTTGGTACGAGCATATGTGCCTAAGACTATATGGAGTCACAAAACTCACAAGCCTAATTTCCAAATTAATTTTTTTTTCTAAATTTCCTTTTATTTAATTTTGATTGACAAAAAATGTATTCCCTCCCTCTCTTTTAAAAAATAATCATTTAATTATTTTCCCCTTTAATTTTTAACAAAATTTGCCTGTTCATTTAATTTTTCATTCATTAATTCTTTAAATTCAATCATTTGTTGATCATGTAATTTTGACTACAAAAAATTATTTTTAATTATTTTCCCTCATTTTTTTCTTTTTTTTTACCTGTTCATTCATTTCTTTAACCAAACAATTTATTTTATCTTCCAATTGTTGAATAACAATTTGTTGAATATCAAAAACATTATCTTTCACCTTTGAATTTTCTTTACAAAAATTTTGTTGTTGCAAAAATAAAATTTGTTGTAATAATTGATTTTGCTACAAAAAAAGAGAATTTTTTTAAATAAAATTTAGAAAAAATTTACAGAATCAAGTTTTGTGTTAACCAAATTAATTGCAAATCCAACTTTTTCTTTGTTAACCTTTTTTAATTAAAAAATTATTTTTTTTTTAAATTTAAAATTCTCAAAAACTTCCAAAATTTTAATTCGATCGTTACAATTATCAAATCTCCATTCTGATGTATAACAAGATCGCTCATCATCACCACAAGAACATTCTTCATATACGGATTTTGCTGAAGATTCACTCATTTTAAAAAAAGGATTTAATAAAAATATTATTTTTAATTATTAATAAAAAATCTGAAAAATTGAAAAATTTTATTGAACAATCTGAAACAAATTTCTTGAAGTTTTTACTCGTTAAAGGAACTAGGTAAATATATTTTTCTAAAAAAATCAAAAAATATATTTTTAAATAAACTAACGGAACTTCTAGTTAACTTGTTGTGGTATGTCCACACAGAAAGAAAGAAGCGAAACATTTTTTAAAAAGAGTAGAACAGTTTGGTTTATTTTTTACCTTCTTAGAGCGGTCCTTCCTCTATCAAAAATGACCCAAACATTTTTCTAAGAAAATAAGTGACCTATCTATTTGAAATTTACTAGAAAGCAGGTCAACTTTTTGTGGGTTGGAAATATAGATTGCCTTTTGCTATATTAAATAAAAATTTATGAAAAAGTTTAAATATTTATGTAAGTTATTAAATTTATTACAAAAATGGTATTCTTGTGTTATTTCCCGCCATTTTCCTTTTTTTAGAATTTGATCGGCTATAACTTTTTTATGCATGAGTAGAAGAACAGTTCGGTTTTTAAAGGAAAATGGCGGGAGATAACACAAGAGTACTCAAAAAAATAAATAGAATTTTTAAAATAAATTTTTAATAATTTAAAAAATTTCAATCCTCCACTCTCATTCTATTCAAGTTTTCGTCTAAGAAATTCATTCCTTTGACATTCCTAACAAAATATTAAATACATTTTTTATTTAATTTCTTTATACCTGTTGGAATTCAGCCAATGTTTTTGTATAAAGTCTTTGTTTGTCTAGTAATGATTGCAATTGTTCTTGTAATTGATCTCTTTGTTCTTGAATTGAACGTTTTTTGAAAAGTTTCTAAAAATTATTTTTTTAATCAAAATATTTTCCCAATTACTTTATCTAAAATTTCGTCAATTCCTTTTGCAATTTTTTGAAGATTTTCCAATAAAGAATCAATATATTCCTCTCTCTGAGCTCTAAATAAAAATATAAACTTAATAATAAAAAATTGCCACTATCTTGAATGGAAGGCGCCTTGAATTAGTGAGCCGAGAGCAAAATTGTCTTTATCACAAAAGATTGTGGGTGTATGGAAAACGGAAAACTACCAACTTGGAATTACAACTTGGAATTAATTGGAATTACCCCAACTTCTTTACAAAATTCATAAAATCTCAACTAATTACCCATGGATGTAAAAAAGCACCCCTCCCCCTGAAATGAAGAAGGGAAAATAGGTGATACATATTTAAGTTACAGATCCCCTTTTCTCCAAGTTCCTACCAAAAAATAAAAATACAAACAAATCTCGCTGTCTGTCAATACTATCCAATAAATCAATTTCCTAAAAAATGTTAAAAAATAAAAAAGAATATTTTAATTTCATTTACTTGTCTCATAAAAGTTCTAACATCCACCAAAGTATTATATTGAGTGTATTGCCGTTTAGTTTCATGATGTTTAGTAACCACTTTGAAATTAAAAAAAAGTTAAATTTAAAACGGTATTTGTTAAATTTAATTATCTTAAGGGATACAATTTTTAAATTAAAATATTCATTAAGTAAAGAATTTTCTAAGTAAAGAATTTTCACTTTTTCTATTATTTCTTCATTTTCTTTGTCCCTAACCAGGGACTAGAGCATGAACCAAAATTTAAAAATGTGATACGAAACATGTAAAATATGAGAAAATTAAAAATATTTCTTCCAAAAATTTAATTAGTTCCCCTAAAATTTAAAAAATAAAATCTTTACTTTGATTGCACAATTCAATAAATCTTCTTTGGTATTGTGCCATTTCTGCTTGTGAAGGTTTTGCTCCTACTTGACGTGCCAACTTTGCAATTTCCTTATTTAAAGAAGCAATTTCTAAATAAAGTATTTCTCCCTTCTTTTCTTTTAAATTTTTTCCATTTTTATTTTCTTCATTTAAAGACCCTTCATTATTTCCCTCAATTTCTTCTATTTTTTGTTCCAATTTAGACAATTCTTCTCTACATTGAAATTTAAAAGAACGTTCAACTGCTTTTAATTCATCCCTTTCAGACAATAAAGTTTTCATTTCTTCAAATATTCTAAAACTTAAAATATTTTTTTTATTTAAACTAATTAAATACTCTTTTGATTTTGATTGAATTTCTTTGGAAATATTTTGTTCTTCTATTATTTTTAGTTCATTTTGTAATTTAACTACAAGCATTTCAGCTGCCTCTATTTGAGTATTTACACAATTTTCTTCAAGTTCCAACTAAAATTTGAAAAAAGATTATTAAGAGAGCAGAATAACTTTGAATTTTTTAAGAAAAGAAAAAAAACTCTGAATTCTCAAAAAATTTTAAACAAATAAAATTCCCAAAACCTTTCTAAATTCTTCCTCCATATCATCTTTTGTTTCTTCTTCTCTCACATTTTTTTGATATTTCTTGTCTATCATTTGTTCCCCTCTTTCGCTAGAATAAATTAATCCACTTTTGTCATCATTTTCTTGAATTATCAACAAATCCTCCTCTTCCAATTCTTTATTTATTTGTTCATCTTCGCTAAAATTTTTAGAAATATCTGAATCTAATTTCGTCTTTAAATTTGTTTCTGTTGGATATTGCATTCGAATAACTCTTCTAAAAATTTTTTCAATAAAAAATAAAGAAAAATAATTAAAATACCTATAAACTTTTCGAGATTTTTTAATCAAAGGCAAAACACCTGAACCACAAATTTCATTCTAAAAAAATTAAAAAAAATCCTTCTTAAATAATGATAAATACCAAATCATCTCCCAATGTCCATCCTTGTTGCTCGAATTGATAAACAGCAAAATTTAAAGTTTCATCACCTAGCCTTTCCCGAACATAACCAGCCTCCTTTACAAGCCACTAAAATTAAAATAATTTTCTTAAAAATTTTTTATTAAAATTTATTTACCACAATAACTGGATGAATATGAAAAGCATCTAATCCTTGAATTTGGTGAGGTTCTAAAGAATAAGGGCATTTAATTTCTGGAAGAACTTTCACTATCTTCTCAGTCAAAGTACTAAAAATAGAAAAAAAAATAAAGAATAAAAAGAAAAAAGGTATTCACACATTTTTTGGCCAATAGTTGAATTTTCTGAATAAAGTAAATCAACTTCAACATTTCCAGCACAAAGTGAAATACACCAAACCATTCCTCCAATAATCTTTAAATTAAAAAAATAAGAATTATTTACTAATAAAATAAAATCCTGCCTTATCAAAAATATCTAGTCCTTGAATTTTTGCACGAAAATAACCAGCATTAATAAGTAATTGAAGAATTTCTACAAGCTTTTCTTTCTGTTCAGGATCAATTACCTTTCCATCCATCTGTTATCAGGAAAAAGTTCAAAAGTTGTAGTTCATAAAAAATATTTTTTTTCTTACATATAAGAAAATTTAAAAGTTACCAAGACTCAAAAAGTTTGAAAACATGCGACCCAAATGACACGGGTAAGCCCAAGTAGGCGCGAGGCCATAACGGCGCAAAGCAATAACTTGCTTCAAGATTTCAGAATCTTACCAAATTTTGTTAGTATTAAACGATTCCTCTCATCGAGCTAAAGAGTTTGGTACTGTTGATAAGGGCCAGAAAATCTTTCAGCAAGTTATGGCTTTGCGCCGTTATGGCCGCGCGCCTACTTGGGCGTGTCCATAGTGACACGACTCATTTGTCGCAACAATTGAGTCGTGTCGCATTTTAACGTGTTGCAAAACAGTTCATGATTTCATTGCTCCATGGATTATGTTATTGTTTGATGACCGTCTCAAATAATTAATTTACAGCTAGATTTTTTTTGACAAATGTCATTCGATAATCACTTTCGCGATCAACAAGATTTGGTTCGTTGGATTGAAAATAAACTTGGCTCTAACGAGTTATGGGGAGGAAAACAGGCTTCTTTTGTGTTAACGCGAGATATTCTTATTGAATTAGAGACATGCTTTCAAGTAAATTTTCTAAAAAGTTTTTAAAATTATTTTCCTCTATTTCAGGAATTGGAGCCCCATATAAAATTGAAGATTATCCAAGCTATGGTTCATATTTCGCCAAAGACTTTACAAGCGGTTTTTTTTAATTTTTCGAATATAATTAATTCATTTTTAGTGGAAAGAACCACTTTTTAATTTGCTGGAAGTAGCTAGGCGAGATCCTGATGATTGGGTAAGTCTTCGAAAATTTTTATTTTTAAATATCTTTTTAGGTGGAGACTGTTGCTGACATTTTCCGCAATTTCCCAGATGAAGGTCTAATCCAATGTTCTTCAAAGACTGATTCTTTCTTTAATCGAACACAATTAGAACTTGAGAGAATTGGTTTGATTTTTAGAAATAATTTTTATATTTTTAAGTTCATTTTAGTGGCTGAAAAAGTTTGTTCAACTAATAATGATTTTATTGTGAAATTGCCTCCAGATTTGGAATTAATTCCTCAATCATTGCTTAAATCGGTAATTTTTTTGTCTTTATATTTTTAATATCATTATTTAATAAGGAAACATCTGAAAACAAAATTATAAAACATTTTGAACATAGAGAAAGGACAACAATAACAAAATCTGCAAAATTATTGGAAGATGTGAAGAAATGTATAAATTGTTTTTATTTTATATTTTTTTTAATTTTTTAGCTGCCGAACAGCAACATAATCCTTCAAGCAAAAAGAATCATGGACTTATTTCTTCATTTCCTATTAAAATTAGAAGTACTGCTAAACGTTTGGACAATTCTTGTAAGAGGGTTTTTATGTTTAAAGATCATTTTTATTTTTAGTGCCAATGAAAGGGATTCCCTCAACTGCGAGTGCATTAAAGATGTCTGGAGGTTTTACAAATGAATCAAAGAAGTACCATCAACGGACGCTTTTAAAAAGGACCGGTGGTGCAATGCTTCTGGACATTGACGATTTACCTAAACAAAGTAGAAGGAGACGAAATGTTGAAACAATAACTTTGGTTGCTATTTTTAATTTTAAATAAAAAGTTTTAATTTTTTTAGAAGAAAGAGGAACAGAAAGAGCAATCTCCTAGTAAAAATTCGCTGATTAAAAATAAAAGTGAACAAAATGACCAAAATGCCAACGGTTCTTTGATTGTAGAGACTGGGGAGTCAACACCTGTACAGGCTTCTTTTGCATCAGAATCTAGTAAATATTTTTTATTAAAATGAAACCAATTTTTTGGTATATACAAATTTAGGGTTTTCTAGAATTTTGGGTAATTTTAGGAATTGTATTGGGGATTTTTAACCCGTCATCCAATAAGATATAAAACACAAATTAGCGTCAAAACATAGAACCCTATCATATGTCTTTCAAAATTTTAAATAATATTATAATATTTCTATTATTCAGTATCGGAAAATCCGCAGCAAATGACTTCATGTTTATTAGACAGCAGTCAAAATTTAGACGCTCATCAACTTTTAACAAATACAAATTTAATGTTTCCACCAATCTCAATGCCGTCAATGTTACCAATTCAACCCGCAATTAATATGGAACAAAATACCGCTTTATCTTCTGCTGGAAGTAGTTCAACATCTCAAAATCAACATCTCATTTACCCGCAACCAATAGGACAAATGATGGTTGCAAATCCTTTTGAAAATATTGTTTCCCTAATTTTTTAAAATAATCTTAATTTTTACTTTTAGCCAACCACGAATTTGGCCGCACTCCAACAATTTGAGAGTATGTTAAAAGATGCAAATAAACTTACACTGTCCAGCTATAATTTAATTATTTCCTTCCTTATCGGGAATAAACGTTTGTATAAAATATTAATTTAAAAAATATTTTCCATTTTTAGATAATCCTTTTGAAAAAGATATTGGACCGTTAATTACGCTTCCATTCTCAGAAACTGTTGAATTTGAACCATTAGCCAGTGGAGTAGGCGTAGAAGCAATTCTTGTCGAAACTTTCTTTCAAATGGATTATCGAACAGGTGAATGGAAAAGGCTAAAAAATTCTCGAGCACTCAAACCAGAAGAATTAAATCAGAGGAAAGATCAACTTTTTGGTGTTAATAAACAATTTGTGAGTAGTTAAAGTTCTTTTTTTTAATAATACAAAATACTTTTAGAATGAACAGACTCTTATAAATGGCCAGTGTGATAATTTACAACAAATGCCAATGTTTTTTCAACCAAACTCTCAATAAATCATTGTATTGTACAGGGATTTTTATTTATAAATTATACATATGTTTCCTTATTCCTGCATCTCCCCTCGCTTATATTAGAAGGATCTTATTTAAAATTCATCAAAAACAACCAAAAAAAATTATTATATTCTCCCTGAAAATTCGGCATTTTTAAAGTTAGAATATGTGTAAAAGTTTTAAATATTTATAAAAGAAATCCTTGAAGTGTTGTAACAAAATCACCGGAAATTGAGTAAATTTTAAAAAAATCACAGATTTGCAAAAGTTAAAAGATATGACAAAATTGAAAATATTTAAGGTATTATAGTCGATTACCTCCTCGCATTTTCCTTTCTTTTTTGAGGTATAAATATTATAATAGCCCATTTAAAAAATTTTTCGTGTTAAATGCTAAATAAAAACAGAATCATAACATGCATATCGGTTAAAATAGGTGGTCATTTGTCCAATTAGGTCTGACTTCATTCATTCGATTTAGCTCGACAAGCTGTTTCGAATGAGCTATCGAAGAAAAATGAAAGGAGAAAAGTAAATGCGAGGAAGGTTATAATTTATAATTCCCACTTGCTAATCATCCAGTGATGTATCAATCACCCTGAAATACTGGCCCAAATGGAAAGGCGAAATTGGAAGTGGTTTAGTCAGGAAAATATTACCTACATCATCCGGCAAGGGTAAAGAGTCGCAAGATTGATAAATTGTTCCTTAAAATTAAAAAAATATTTCTGGATTAATTTATCAAACCATTTCCAAAATTTTGAGGTTTTGTTGACCATGAAGTGTCAGTTTCATCATGATAAACTGGCCCAACTGGGTGTCGTCTTAAACTTCGCACGATGGGGAATGTATGCCCTTCTGTTGAAAATAACAATTTTTCGTAATGCCAATTTAGTGGGTTGCTAACGTCGAATAGCTATAAAAGTCGAATAAAGTTTAAATAATTTATAAATACCAGATAGAGGTATTTGCATGTTTCTGATAAGAAAAATGATTCCATTCGATCCTCAAGTGATTTATCCAAAACGTTGTGGACTGTTGCAAAACCACATCTGGAAAAAAATCAAATTTCCGAATTGTTTCCATTCTTACCCAAAACGAGTATGTAAATTTAAAGAGTCAACAATTTGCATTCCAACACGTTGATAAAAAGGACTTTTTGTTGCCAAAAAGAGTAGATATGTTGATTCAATAAATTCCGGTCTTAACGGATAAAAATTAACATCTGGTGTTTTTGAATGCCAATTAAAGCGTTCAGGGATCATTTCATATTTCTGCCAGATTGCATAATAAACCGCGTGGGAACATATTGCCTCATCTAAATCACCATCCAATACTTGAACGCCAGCAAAACTTGCCTGGAAAAAGATAAAAGTAAAAAATAATTTTTGAAAATAGAATACACTTGTAGAGCGTCCAACCAAGTATTGATAATACTTCCATCACGCATATCAACATTAGGATATAATGGTGGATTTCCATCTCCTTTAGAAAATATAGGTTCTTACTTTTTATTAAATTAATTTTCTAACCAAATCTGCATTTTGGCCGTCCACGCCTAATCTGTTCTCTTATACTTTTTCTCATTCCAATAAACATTTCCAATTCACGTGTTTCTCCAAAAAGAATATGTGCCTTCAACAAATATTCAAAAAATGAATCAAATCCCGCTCCCATTCCTGCCATAAAACTTTTCCATTCCCCCGTTTGAATATCAATAATATTACCTAAAAAGAACTTTAATCCTTAAAATTATTTTTAAAAATACCCATAAGTCCAGTTTCTTTATTTCTAAATTCCCACAAAATTTCATTGACTTTCCTCGCTTTTTCTTCAAATGTTGGATCATTTAATAACCTCGAGAGAACACCAAATTCTAATAATAAAGAGCCAGCACCAGCGGTACAAGTTTCATTCGAAGTACCGGGCAAAACACCATGAATTAAATTAACACGAGGATAAGGAAGTCCTTAAAAATAAAAAGTAATTTTATTTTAAAAAATATAAACCTGTCCCAGTTCCGTTAAAAGCAGGTAAAAGTCTTCCAGCAATATCGTGTGCCATTGTAAGCAATTCAGAATCATACTCAGGAAAAGTGAAATCGCCATGAAAAGGATTTTCGTTAGTTAAGATCATGTGTGCAGAAAGGAGAGAGCCAATAACTCTGAAAAAATAAGAAAAATTAACTGAATAATTTGTGAGATTATAATGCAAAAAACTCCACAAAAGATTATTTATCTTCCGATTATTTAAAGTATTTAAAACAAAAATAAAAACATTTAAACAAACCTTATAGTTGCTTCAAACACTTGAACAGTAACATTTTTTTCAAAAGAAACAGTCTCAATTACAAGCTTAACAGCTTTATGAAAAGCATCTTTACTTCCAACAACAACCAATGTATTTAAAGAATCAATCTATAAAAAATATTATTTAAAAAAAATAAATTTAAAAAATACCAAAGTCAAAGAGTAATCACCCAAAACATCATTAATATTTAAATTATCAGGATTGTTGTAATCAGGCCCTCTTCCTGTACAATGAATTGGATCTAGTTCATCAAGTGGAAAAGCATGCCTGAAAATTTTTTTAATTATCTTCTAAAAATTCAAACTTTAAATAATTATTGTAGCCAAAAAAGAACATTTCTTTAGCCTGTTCTTTAGCTATTTCTAATTCTTCAGGATCTACTGGAATAAATTTATCTGCAAAATTTGATGAAGCAAAAGGAAATTTAAGATGTGATTTGCCATTTAATGTTAATGAAATTGTTATAATAAATAACCAAACAACCAATACATTTTTCTGTAAAAAAATTAAATATTTGTTAAATTAATTTTAAATAAAAATACCATTAATAGAAGGAGAGCAATGAAAATTAAAATTCTGAAATTTTTTTTTTAAAATTTTTGAAGAAAATTTAAAAAGAGAAAAAGGTAAAAAAGAGAGTGTGGCATGTGAAAGAGAAGAAAATTAAATATTTAAAAATAAAAACAAAACGCCAACAAAAAAACTTTTTAAGATTTGTCACACGAATTTGTGTAAAAAAAGCTAAAAAAGCAAGCGAATGATTAAATAAGATTTTTGTCAGTTGTCTAAATTTTAAAATTGCGAAATCTTCTATCTAATTATAGGATATTTTGGGGTTTAATTGAGTACAAAATTTTGTTTTAAATTAAGATTTAAATAAAAAAATTATTTTAATTTTTTAAAAGTCCTACTGTATTTTCTGTCTTAACTTTATGAGTAACCCTCTCTCTCTCTCACTCTATAAGACGGTATGAATTATGTAAATAATTAATTTTCTTTTATGATTTTATATTTTTCTTGTAACACTTAATTTTTAAAAATATAAATTTTTAATTTGCAACCTAATCTAAAGGTTACAAACCTAATCTAAAGTAACTAACCAAATTGACTGATGGATGAGTAAAATTTAAAAGAAAGTGTGTGATAAATAAAAAAGGGTTATTAGAATATGTAAGAAGGGATGAGCAGTTCTCACTGCAAGGTAAAAATCGTATTTTTTCTTCATATCATGACGTATACGTATTAAATGGCGATAAGACCACAACCAAACAGCCACTTAATATTCTCTCTTTAGGCAGTAAAAGCATGCACAAGGCTAAAATTCAGGGAATGGTTTAGTGACTCTTCGCTTTTTCTTCAGTTTCCATTCGCCCCGTTCCTTGCAATTCATCACTACCCAATCAATTCCATCTTCCCATCAACATTGTAATGTGTTGGCGTTTGTTGTTTTCCCTTAAAAACGAAGGAGGGGTATTAGAGGCTAAGGATTTAATTTTAAGGTGATTAACTCTGAGAAACAAAAATAAATATGTATAAATTAAATGAAAAATCTTGAAGTTATTTTAAATACTTTTTTATTCTGTTTTCTTTAACTTTTCTCGAAAATTCTCTCATTTGTTTACAGTAATTTTGTCCTTTTAGACTCTGATTTACCTTAACCTAAAGGCTCTTTAAATTCACATTTTTTTATTTCTTTCTTCTCCTATTTTTTAACTCTTTCTCTCTAAAAATATATTTATTATTATTCATTTCCCCCCATCACTATTGAATCGTCAACGACAACTACGCGAATGACTGCTATTAGTAACATAACAATCTACTACTATTTATTTATTCACTGCCAGCGACGACCGTCCCGTCGTATCGATGCGTTGTTATCGTCCACTGTTGTTGTCCTTTTTCCTCGCTCACTGTTGAGCATTTCTGGCGTTTCCCAAATTCCAATCCCTTTCTGCTACCTCATTCCAAGCATTCCATTCCCTTCCTCCCTCCAAAATTTCCCCGAAAATATCCCTCAAATTCTGCAAAAAATAAAACATAGGTTAATTGATTAATTTAATTTTAAAAATTTGGATAATTAAAATGAAAATAAAAAATGTTTTTATTTTTACAAAAAAAAAGATTACAAAAAATTATCAACTCTTAAAAAAAGTGGGATTGAAAGGTTTTTGAAAAATAACAAGCTTAAAGACCGATTTTATGAGTAAAATTTAAATTTGTAAAATTTCTATATGGACCTACATATTTTTTTGGACAAAAAATGGTTATCCACATAACTTTGATAAACTTTAAAGAATAGACCAAGATTACCTTTTAAAATATTTAGTTTGCTTTCATGTATAAATTATTAAATTTTTATAATTTGCGTGATTTTTCTTTTTAAAAGATTTTTTTCATATTTTTTTGCTTAATTTAAATAAAACTTTGCTTAAGTAATAGATATCCTTCCAAATATTTTTTACGCTCAAAGGATTAAGTTTAATTTATTAAAAAGTGAAAAAGTGTAATAGTTTACTTATATTATGCTAAAATCGTCACGTCTCCTTATTTATAATATTTAAATATTAAATTTAGTACACGTTAGTTTTTATTTTTACTTAATTAAATTATTTAATTGTTTTTCAATACATATCATCATTTTATTAAATATTTTAAAAGATTACTTTAATAGCTTAAATGATTGTGAGGGAAATAATTAATGTAAAAATAATTATTATTTAATTTTATTTTAATTCAATTAATTTACTACTTGCTACTTTATTACGGTGGTTAATTTTTAAATGAATTTTAGTAATGAAGAAACAAATGAGGAGGAGACTAAACAAAGAATGTATGTTATTTTTATTTGTTTTTTTATTAAATAAAATTTATTTTTGTGAAATAAATTATTTTAAAAATAAAATAATTTTATTAAAATAATAAATGTTTGGTTGTTATCTTTTCCATTTTCACTCTCTCATTTATTCAAATACTTCAACTATTCAGAGGCGCATAATAATCTTATATGATTAATTAGAGTTACCTTTTCGGGTCGATCTTTCGAGTCGAGTTGACAACACTAGAATTAATACATGTGCATTTAATATAATGATAAACAATATAAAAGGCATTAAATATTTAATATCCATATGGTACAAACCAAAAAAATTTATGAATATGGAAGTTTAGCGAAGTTAAGCATTGGAGATCATGTTATGAGGCGATTCGTAAATCGTAATAAAGAGAAAGGAAAATAAAATGGAAATTGATACATATGTAGATAATCCGAAAGTACATAAATTCTTTTCCTTGTTTTCCCTCAGAAATGGTTAACTTTAACACATATTGCGTGGTTAATGCTTTTTATTTAAGTTGCCCAAAAATTAATTTATTCCATTATTTGTACTTAACAAAAATATTTTTTATCAAAAATATTAAAAAAATAATTTAAAAAAGGTTATCATTGGATTATGGAAGCGCTGCAACAGCAGCTAATGTCTGGTTACATCATTCAGCATCTGCTGGACATATTCCCCCTTGCAATAATAATATTGAAGCAATGGATAATTCAATTCCACTCAATTCATCTCCATTAAGTACTTCATCAAATGGAAATGCAGCAGAAATGCGTTCATCAAATGATGGGGATGCTGAAGGTGTTTGGAGTCCAGACATTGATCAAGCATTTCATGAAGCTTTACAAGTAAATAAATATATTTTAAATATATATTTATTCAAAAAAAAGATATACCCTCCATGTGGAAGGCGTAAAATAATTCTCAGTGATGAAGGCAAAATGTATGGACGTAATGAATTAATTGCTCGTTATATTAAATTAAGATGTGGAAAATCAAGAAGTTTTCTTTTTGGAAAATAAATTTCAAAATTTATTTATTTTCATTAGCTCGAAAACAAGTTTCTTCTCATATTCAAGTACTTGCAAGGAAAAAACAGCGAGAAGAGCATTCAAGAATAAAGGTATTCAAATAATTAAATGTCTAATTTTTGGATTTTCTCCCAAAAATTATCAAAAATTTTTAAAGACCCAACGTGATAATACTTTACCCGAAACAAACGCAAATTCCTCTTCTGCCTCAACAACCTCATCTGTTTCTAATAATCACACAACTGCCTCTGTTTCTGCTACAATATTGCCTTCCTCAAATAATAGGTTTTTAAATAGAAAATATTTTTTCAGAAAATTATTTTTAAAAATTATTTTTGAAGCCTTCAACAACAAAAACAAATTAAAAAAGCAGAATCTGAAGATTTAATAATTGGACATTCATTGCCTTCTAATTCATTAAAAATATTACCTTCCTCACCAAATAATCAAAATCAAATACAAAATATTTCTTTAGCCGTTGCTGCCTCACAACAACCACTTGCCAATTTAATTACCTCGATTAATAGGTAGAATTTAGAAGGAAAAATATTTTTATTTTAAATATTTAAAGGGATCAAATCGCCTCTGTACAAGCACAAGTTGCCAGGGCAGCCTCAGCAATTTCTCAACAAAATTGGCCTTCTTTAATTGTTACTAACAATAATAATAACCAACATTTAATGGCTGGAGCGCAGCTTTATATGGCTGCGTAAGTAAAAAAGTCTTAGAGAAAAAATTGTCTTTAAAAAATATTTTTGAATTAAATTTCAAAAATTAATTTAGGGTTATCCTTCACGCCTGGGTTTGGACCAAGGCCTGGGTTTTTCCTGTACCCAGAATCCAGATTCAGTCATTTTCTGACCTTCCTGGGTTTTTCCTGGACAGGCCCAAGATCCAGTCCAGGTCAAGAAATCAAACCCAGAGTCCAGGAGCAGGTCCAGGCTTTTCAAAATTTCCGATCTCTATTAGATACCCAAGACAATTTTTAACACAAAATCCAAACAAAATATTTTTCTAGTTCCTCAAATCCATGTTCGAGTGTTGTTGCCTCAATCCCCGCCGCATTTGTTTCTAATGGTAATTGTCAATTAAATACAAATTCTTCATCATCAGAACAAATAATATTTACAACAACCCCTTCCTCAGCCTTTACATGTGCAACAACAATAAATACAAAAATGACTACAATAGCATCTCCCAATTTAATTTTAAATGGATTTACAGCTTATATTGAAGAACAAAATTTAATAAAAAATAGAGAAAGAAGAGAGGAAATGATGGAAGAAGAAGGACAACAAAGAATTGAATTAGTACATATACCTAAAAATTCTGAAACTCCTTTTGAAAGAATTAGTTTAGAATTAATTCAATCAAAATATCCACCAATTTTACAAGAGCTTTTTAAACGGGGACCTTCAGATGCTTTTTTTCTTGCAAAATGTTGGGCAAATATGAATTTTGAAATAAATGATGAACAAAATGCTTTATTTGCTGTAGATTCTTATTATGAATCGAATTTTGGAAGATTTGATATTATTGGTAGGAAAATAAGGGAAAAATAAAAAAATAATTTTTTTTTAAAGTTTCAACAAAAGTTTGTAGTTTTGGTAATGAAGTTGTTGAGAAAGTTGAGGTAAAAAAAGGAAGGAAAATATTATTTATATTTATGTATTTTTAACAGATTTATTCACCAATTGAAGAAGATGAAGATATTAAACCTTCTTCACAACTTTGGCATTTTCGATTAGAAAAATCCCCAATGTGTGAATATATGGTACATAAAAATTTATTTTTAAATTTCTCTTTTTTTCATTGAAGGTCAGATTTATATCAGAATTAAAAAAGCTGCAAGAGCCATCTTTAATGAATAGTGTTTTGGAGAATTTTACAAGTAAAATTAAAAAATAAACTTAATTGTTTTATTTAAAATTTTAGTTTTACAAATTGTTTCAAATAAACAAAGTGAAGAAACTTTAATGGTTATTGCTTTTATATTTGAAGTTCGTGAAGATGGGGAGGATGAAATTTACACAAATATTTATCGTTTAACAGAATAAAAGCCAAAAAGTGAATTAAAAAATAAATAAATGTGCCAACACCCTTAAAAATAATTATTGTGAATTAATATTAATTTAAAGTGCCATTTTAATAAAAATCAACTAATTAATTTTTATAAAATTATTTAAACGCTTTTTACGCGTTGTAAAATAAATATTTTTTATTTTTATCTCTCAAGTAATCTAAAAAATACTTTTCTTTTTAAAAAGAAAAAAAATTTAAAAATTGCTTAGATTGATTTTAGCTTAAATAAAAAATATAAACACGTGCTTATTAAACTAAAAATATATAAAATTTTTGCTTAAAAACCAAAAAATTTTTTTAATCCTTAAAAGCAGAATAAAAAAGAGGGAAAATCTTCAAAATATTTTATTTAAATTAAAATGTGGGCAAATTGCAAATTATTAAAAATAAATTAATTCATGGCCAATTTGGGAATAAAACTTGGAAATCAAATAAATATTTTTAATTTGGGAGACCATGACTTATTTATTTTATTACAAAAATAACAAAAAATTTTCCGGCATTTAAAGGCAATAAAAAATTAAAAAAATCAAAAATTTAAAATAAAAGCATTCAATTTTTGGTCTATTCCTTTTTAATAATTTACTAATTTTCATTCGTATTTTGTACTCCGTCAGGAGTAATTATTTTTAAATTTACTTTTTCTTCTTCAATTTTAACTCCAACTTCTAATTCTTTTCCTAAAAATTATAAAAATAAATTTGAAACTTAAAATCCTTTTTTTACCTGAATCTGCATTAAGCAAAACATTTTCCATTTCCATTCGTCGCAGTTTTGGACGGAATAATAAAAGTAAAATTAAAACGATAAAAGCGGCTATCATTGACATAACCTAAAAATTAAATTAATCAAAATTACCCCTTAAATTATCAAAAAACTAACAATAACTGAAAGAGTAAAATCCATCGGTTCAACAGTCTGTTCATTGTCAGCTACATTAATTGAAATATTTCCATGTCCACAAGTAGGTGGAATAGAAGATAAATGATCGTGTTCCGCCACTTTAAGTAAAGTACACACCTTAAAAAATATTTTCCGAATTTTTTTGTACTTTCTTGAGAAATTAAAAATTAGTTTATTTTCCCAAAAAATTATCAATATTTTAATTTCCCCAATTCAAACCTCATATTTTCGATATAATAATTGTAATGGTGTAGCCAATGTTTTCATAACAGATAAATAAATAATTGTCTGAATTTGTCCACTTAACACAACCAGACCTGTTGATGTTGTTTCGGAGACTGGATAAGTACATTCTGCCGAAAGTTGTAATCCAACTGGATAAGCAGCTAAACCGAAGACACCAAAAATGAAACAGGCCAAAAGAATCCAAATATCCATTTCACGATGAAGTATTAACTAAAAAATAAATAGAAAATAACCCCAAAAAAATTAAAAACCTGAAGAAATACAAGTCCAAATCCAACAGCTACAGCCATAGAAACTTTCATTGTTTCAACATAAAGTTTTGTTCTATCAACAACAAAACCTTTTAATTGTCCAAAAATATTAAATTTAAAAAAATAAAAATACTTGCTCCAGTTGCACCAACAACACCTCCAGTAATTAATAAAGCAGAAGTAAAACCACTAAATTGATTTGAATAACCAGATGGACATAAAAGCTGTTGCATTAAAGTATATAAGGCATTAAACATTCCAATACCTAACAATAAGAAAGAATTTTTTTCAAAAATAATTTAAAAATAAACCTCCTCCCATAACCAAAAGAAGAACCAAATATTGTTTACTTGTAAAACATTTTTTAATTCCTTCAATAAATGGATAACTTGGTTTACTGGCACTTAATGTTGGTGGAATTTTTGGTTCGGAACTCTAAAAAAATTTAAATAAATGTTTGTTGAGGGATTCTCCCATTTTTTAAGTTTAAAACAAAAAAATAAAAATTAATTAATTTACCGTAATTGCCACAGAAGCAACAACCGTTAAAATAATGCTGGGAACAGAAAAAAGTATATTTAAAATTTTGACCTAAAATAAATTATTTTGAAGAAAAAATAAAAAAAAGAAAAACATGTTCACAACTTCCAACAATCATCGGACTAATTAAATTAGCCAAGAGAACACCTAGAGGATTTGACATAACCTTTAAAAAATATTTTTTCAAAAATAAATTTAATAATAAATACTCCAATTGTAGTTGCCAAAGTACGTTGATTATCAGGAAACCAAGCTGCCGCGACCTATTAAATAAAGGTAAAAATATTTAAATAAAAATATACTTTAGTTGGCAAAAACATAATAAAAGGATAGGCAAGAGCTGCAATAGCTTGGCCAGAAATTCCTACAGGAAATCGAAAACCAGGCATATCATCTGGGAAGAATGAACTGAAAAGACAAAATTTAATTTAAATTTACCTAAAAAACCTTGCTAAACGAATAAATGCCCCAATTCCATTTGCCCAAGCAGCAATTAAAATTGAATATTTCAGACATAAAAAAACACAAAATATTATTAGAAAAATGATAAAAAAACCAAAATATCCGCCTGCCCACATTGCAAAAATCCCAATCGGAATCGTTACAAAAATATAAACAGCAGAAAAATATATTGTTGAATTACGTCCATAAAAGGTGTCGACATGATTGGAAATTGGTGAAAAAGCAATCCAGAGCATTGTATTTAAATTATTTAATAAAGCTACCACAAACAAAACGATCCATCGACGGCGATAAGCTCTGAAATAATTTAAAGGTTTTTTTTAATTTTGAGGAAAAAATTCCGATAAAAATTATTTTAATTAATTTAAAAAAGGGAATTATTAATAGACAAAAATTAAAAGAAAATCAAACTTTAAACTAATTCGTTGTTCAGCTGGATCTTTTTCGCAACATTCTCCCAATGAATTTACTGCCTTTACTGGATCAATTATCTATTAAATAAAAATAATTTTAAAATAATTTTATTAAAATACCTGAACTTGTTTTTGTGGCAAAAGTTGTTTGTCTTCACCGCTATCTTTTAAAATAGCTGCATCCTCTTTATGTTCATTATCAGTTGCCATTTAATTTTAATTAACGTTTAAAAATAAATAGAGGTAAATATAAATCAAATATTTAATAAATCGGTAAATAAAGTAAAATTAGAAAAAGAATCAAATACTCAAAGTTATAAGTAAATTATCCAGACTCTAATTGTATAATTATCCAAAAAGGTGATACGACAATTGTATAGCGGGACAATTAGTAAAATGAGACAATTGCACAGTGAGAGAATTGTACAGTGGACAATTGTACAGTAATCATAGCTTTTTAAAAAGAAATTTAATGTTCCTGCTATAGATCTAGGTCACGAGGATCTTAATTATGGTACGAGCGTTAACGCATGGATAAGAATTTGGATAGTGAATGAAAATTTACAAAATAAGATAGCTCTTTTCCCAATTCCGGTCCACGCCCAAAATTCTATTTATCTTTAGTTATGGATCTTACCTAGATGAACAACTTTAATATGGTTTGTGTCGTACTAATAATAGCTTAGAGGTTTGGCACCTAGTTTGGTCTAGTTTGCTTCATAGAAACCCTCGTATCATAAAAAGAATGTTAAAGGAATTCATACGGTGGGAAGAAATTGTAAGAGAAAACTATAATTCTCCGACTGATGGCATTAGGTGTTAGTATTGGATACTATTAAGTAATTATTTAATTAAGTTAGGGGTAAAGGTAGTCTTCGAAAGGCAATCTATTCAAACAGAGATTACAGAATCCTCTCAATTATCTCAGAACAATTTCTTACCGATAGTACAACATTAGAATTATTTTTAAAAAGCTCTGAATACTGTACAATCCAAGACTGATAAACAATCTTCCCTGTTGTGCAACATTCCCAGTTGTTTTCCTAAATGTTGTAAGTTGTGACAACATCTCAGTTGTTTTGACAATATCGCCCGTTGTTGAAACTAGGGTAGGACAACTCGAGATCGATATCGATATATCGGTCTCGAATATCGGTCTTTTTCCAATATCGATATCGTTTTCATCCGATATCGATCTCGAAACCGATACCGATATATCGCCCCAAATATCGATCGATATCGATATTAAATATACACCCCTAAAGATTTCTTTTTTTTCTAAGAAATTGAAGAAATCTGGCCACTTGCCCTTCCAAAATTCTAAAAATTTTCGCCTGCGGCGCTGAAAAAGAATAAATATGGCTACTTGAGCATCTAAAATTATCCATATTTTCCTTTTTTGGTCGATGGTTGAGTGGTAAAGTCGACTGACTTCACTCCCTTGTATAATTTCATAGGGATGGGTTCGGATCCAGAGATGGAAATGAAGCTTAAAAAATTTTTCTTTTGAAAAATAAATTCAAAAATATGTAATAATTTGCGGCGCAAAAATGGAAGAAATTTGACGCAAGGTGCTCCAAAATTTTCAAAATTTTCGCTTGCGGTGCAAAAAAATGCAAGAAATCTGACTCAAGGACCTCCAAAATTCTCAAAATTTTCGCCTGCGGCGCAGTAAAGGGTAAAAATTTTATAATAAATATTTTTATAAAAATACGGTAAATATCGTATATCGATCTCGATATCGGGTCAAATCTTGCATATCGATATCGATCTCGGTCATGTCAATATCGATCAATCTCGATATCGAATTTTTCCTAAAATATCGATATCGTCCCACCCTAGTTGAAACAAGATCCCATGTTGTGACAAACAAATAACATCCAACATTTCTAAATGATCCTAATCCATATTTTTCTCTTTGGACTGTATTTTGGTAATAACTGAATCTTGGCAAGCCTGTGTTTTGTCAGACTGTGTTTTAGCGACACGACGTTTTTTTCACTGGTTAACAAGTCAAAATTTTATTAAAATTTTTATTTATCATTTCATTTCTAAAGCTTTATTTGTGTACAAATTAATGATTAATGCATTTAAATGTGATTATTAATCAGCTTAATTATATTAAAAAATTTCAAAAAGATATGGTAGCGAGAGGGAAAGAAACAATTAAATGTTTAAAAAACCTTATTTTAGGGATATTTTGGGGGGATTGACATGAATTTAGTCAGCAGTCACAAATGCTTAAAATAAAAAATGTAGAAATGAGTGGAAATTTGCGGCAAATATGTAGCTGGACGGCAGATTAAAATTGAGGAATTAAACGAATAAAAAGTTTATTGAAGTTTATCAAAAAAATTATTTAAAATTATTCTCGTATTTTATTTTCTTCAAATTTTCTCGCACTTCCAAAGTCATTGTTGATGTGGATCTCCATTCTGTGTTTGCTCTCCTCCACCCCAAAGTGCTGCCTGTGGCCAACACAACGGCATTGCAGCTGTTGATTCAGCTGAAGGATTACTTTCATGGTGTTTATTGAGCATTTGAGATGCTGCAGCCATAGCTGGGTCAGTTTGCATCATTCCACCAGCATTACCCCCACTTCCTGACCATCTTAATAAAGATTGAAGATCCAAACCACTTGCTGATCCAATTTGTTGAAGTTGATTAGTACCCATTGAAAAAGTTTCTTCGCCTGGCCTTCCAGCAGAAAGGAGATCAGAACATTCCGACTAAATATTAAAATGTTTATGTATTACGTAGAAGGCAAGCATTCATACTTTAATCACTGGTCCAAAGGCCCCATTTCCTTGATGTTGTTCGTATAGTGCAGCATGGTGGCTATCTTGCCCATAAAGTTGAGTCTGACCGCCAGCATTTGCCATAAAGTAAGGATTTGAAATCATTCCATAGGCAGAAAATGCAGCTTGATATGGATCCATCCCTGCATACGGCGATGGTTGACCTCCCGGACTGTGTTGTCCGGACCATCCAATGGCATTGGGGTGATAAACCTTAAAAGGTTAAAATTTTAATCTTTTCTTTTAAAAATTCCATATTTTTTTTTCACTTATTATTTTTAATTTATTTAAAAATATTTTCGAATATTTATGATTTTTTTAAAATAAAAATCCACAATTTTCGAAACAAATTAAGCAACATTTTATCTAGTAAAAATATGCTCGTTTTCTTAAATTGTCTTTTAATATGGTGACAAAAATTTATTTACTACACATATTTAACCCTATACTTAAGCATCCCCCCATCTTTTATCGATGAATAATTTTGTTGTAAATGTGTGAACATCTGTGTAATTTTGTCGGTTAAAAAATAAGAGAAAAATTGGAAGAATTATTTTGGGTTAATATTCATTGTCTAATAAAAAAGTTGGTTTATGTAAAAATATTTTTAGTTTAACCAAAATTGTGATAGGCATTAAATTGGAATTTTTGAAAGTCTCTAGGCATGTTTATTATTTAATTAAAAATTGAGAGGTCATAAATTATAGGGAATCTCTCAAAAATATAATATTTTTTTTTCATTCCCTAACACTCTATTCAAATATTTTTATTTTTTATTAAAATTTATTTTACTGATTGGGGCAAGCATTTAAGTGCATCAAAAGCTGCAGCCATTAATACACTATCACCACCTCCCATCTGGTTAGAAACACCATTAATTAACATTGAAGATTGTTGTTGTTGTTGTGTATTTTGTTGTTGTTGTGCATGTTGTTGTCTTTGATGTGCACCTACTCCCTGATGAATTTGTAAAGCAGCAGCTGCCATAGCTGCTGCATGTTGACTTTTTTTGGATTGATTGTGTGATTGATGTTGTTGAATATGTTTAGCTTTACGACGTGGCCGATATTTATAATCCTTATAAAAAATTATTTTTATTTTGAAATATAAATAGGTTTTCAAGTGGCTAAACAAATTAAAATTTGAGGCTAATTATTTTTAGAATATTTAATTTTTTTTCATAATTTCTAGTTTAGTACTAATAAATATTTACAGGATGGTCCTGCATATGTTCATTACGTAGTCGTTTAGCCTCATCAATAAATGGCCGTTTAGCTTCCTCTTCAAGACGTTTCCATTCTTCACCCAATCTTTTAGAGATCTCTGAGTTGTGCATTTTTGGATTTTCAATTGCCATTTTTTTACGTTGTCCTCTAGACCAAACCATAAAAGCGCTAATAAATTAAAAATAGATTTTAAGTGATTCTTCTATAAATTACTTCATTGGCCGTTTAACACGTTCATCTTGAATTCTCTCCCCTCCATTAGTTACTACTTTCTTTTGTTGTAAATGATTTTGTCTGTGTTGATGATTGTGAGGATGTCCACCAATTGACATTTGCCCATTAAAATGGGAAATTCCAGCAGAAGAGGATCCACTAGCCGAAGAACTACCGGCAGGTGAAGCTAAGAAATGTGAGGAAATATTTTTGTTAGAATTTCTTTTAAGATCAAGTTGTTGTTTTTGATGGTTGTGGTTATCCTCATTTTCATTTGAAAGTGAAGAAAAGAAGGAAGTAATTGGTGCTGATGTAGAAGAAGAAGCAGCAGATGAAGAACAACAACTTGTAGCATCTATAGTAGGAGTAAATTGTAGAGGATTACAACCAACTCCCGGCATTCCATTAAACATTGAATAACAATATTGTTGAGAATCCTTTGGAATTTTTTTATTATTTTTTAATTTTAAATTTTTTTAAATTAAAATGATAAAATTAAAAAAACAGGGTTTTAGTTTAGTTTTTTTAGTTTTTTCACGGCTTTTTTTGAAGATGCCGGGATGAAACCAGGATCGGGAATTCCCGGTTTTACCTGTCCGGGTCCCGGCCGGTTAATTTTCATTTCCCGATCCCGGTTTTCTCAAAATAACGCCCTCTAGTTTTAGTAGAAAAAATTATCCACAACAAAATGAATTTCTAATCCTTGCAAAATTATGTGATTAACGTTTGTAAATCTTGTTTTAACTATGATTTCGAAAAGACATCGAAAACATGGGGAATTTTAATGATTTTAACAAAATATATTTTAATTCATCTTCTTAATTATTTAATTACTTGTTGTTGTTGATCTAAATTAGGATGACTCGAAATTGTCTGTTGTAATTGTTGTTGTTGATGAGTAATTGGTTGTTCACAAACAATTTGCCTTTCTCCATTTGAAGGGTCCAAAATTAAAGGAATATTAGATTGGTGGTGATGGACAGAATTAGAGGGTGTTACTGAATCTGATTTTAAACAAATTTGTTCTGGATGTTCCAACATTGTCATCATTTCCGTAAAAAGGAGTCAAAAAAACAGGAAAAATTTTTATTTAAATTTTTTGTTTAGCGATATTTAATTGAATATTAAATGAATATGTTGTTGTTGTTTTATTGAAGGAAACACTGAAATTAAAATATATGTATTAATGTAAAAAAAAAGTTTTTTAAATATGTAATTCTTTAATTTGGCAATGAGAATTTTAAAAATTAAAAGAAATTAAATATTTATTTATTTTTTAAGTTTAAAGTCTGAAGCAGAGTAGATTGGATTTTGATTATTATTTTATAGAAGAGTTGTCGGTTTGAAAATATTTGGATATCCGGGAGTGAACCGAAAAATCTCTCTGTTCAACGGACATTCACCTATTCCATAATTGTTCATTTTTAAGAGTTTTTGACTGTATTTTTTATCAAAAAAGTGTTAAAATCCAAATATTTTAACTCAATTATTGAATATATAAATTAAATCGATCATAAAAAATTTAACAAATTTTAAAATTTCCTTTATATATTCATGCAATTCGCAAATCTTTTGTTAAAATAAGCCTTTCCCCCCCTTACCCCCTAAAAATATTTAACTAGTCTATTTATTTTCTTTTATTCAAAGCGAGTGAATGGAACCTCTTTTCTGATGCTATTCAAGAGAAGGAAGTTTTTTTGTTCTGTTTTGTTAATAATAAACAAAACAACAACAAAAAACGTTAAAAAAGAATTCAAAAAGAAGACAATAAAAAGGAGAAAATAAATAAATAAACAAAAAAATCTTTAAAAAGGTGAAATGGTCAAGAGAAATTAATTTTTAATAATTTTAATAAAAAATCAAAAAATTGTTTTAAAAAAATAAATTTATTAAAAATCTGGTAAAAATAATAAAAAGATGAATTCCCCCGTGTCGGGAAGGCGCAAGAAGAGTGGGGGGAGAAAGAGAGAAAAAAAGGGGGAAGAAGAAAATAGGCGGAGTAAAAATAGGGGAAACTAAAAACACCGTTTCTCCCCCCTTCCTTCCCCAAAAATGTTTGGACGAATGGGATGAGGCGAAAAAAAGAGGAAGTAAAGAGGAAAAGCGAGACTGGGGCGGGACAACAAGTACAAAAAATTGCCGTCAACACACAGCTGGATTGATATTTGTGATGATTATAATTCCTTCAATTCCTCTCTTATTTTTTTCAACACTACCACAGGTTAAGAGGAGAAGGAAATGAAGAAGATTTTTAAATACCTTTTTAATTTGCCTTAAAATAAACGTGAGAATTTATTTTTAGGAAAAAATATGCTTGGATAGAGCTACTAGTTAAAAAGTAATTTTTGCTGGAAGCGGAAAGTTTTGGTCATTTCTTGGCTGGCCTAAGGAGATATTCTCATAAAACAATAACTTTTTTTTAAATTTATTTTAGACAATATATAAAGGCGGGAAAACCCCTGTAAACTTAATTGAGAAGACAAAAGAGAATATTAAATAAGGGCAAAATAAGGAAGTAAAAAAAGTAAATAAAGGGGAAATCCAGAAAAAAATTTCGGCAATAAAATTAGAAGGAGTTTTTAGTTTAAAAACAATTATTAAATAATTAGATTATTAAAAAAATATTGAGTTTTGTTATAAAATATTGAGGGAAAATAAATAAAAATATTTATTTATTTATGTGAATATACGCCTACACACTTATGTATTTTTTTACAATTCCTAATAAATTTTTTGCTACTACAAAACAGAATTAGATACAAATTTACAATGTTTGCTATAATTTTAAAAATATAAATTTTGACTTTAAAAAAACAATTTCTGTTAAAAACATTTAAAAATCTTAAAAAAGCAATAAACAAGCAAAATTCTTAATTTAGAAAATTGGTTCTGAGGGGGCCGATACCCAAGATAGAACTTATTTCATTTCAATTAAATCATCCTTAACACTATTTATTTAATTAAATATTTAAAAAAAAAGTTTTCAGTAGAAAATTTAAAAAACAAAAACATTAATTACTACAAAGATTATAAAACTTTCAAGTCTCTTTTTATATTTCAAAAAAATTTTTTTTTCAACTTTCCTTTGTTTCTGTTTATAGTGTTGCTTATTATGCGAATTTTGTCGTTAATAGAATTTCTTAAAATTAAATAATCACATGCTTATTTTAGTATTTTTATGTCATTTATTTTCTTAATTTGCGTGTTATTTTTATTTTAAACTTTATTTTTTTAAATTTATTTTTAATTGCGCAAATAAATCTTTTCATTATTATTAATCATTTTTTACTTAAAAAGAAAAATAAACAATAATATTTTAATTTACCCAAATAATTTACGTTAAAATATATGCGTCAAAAAATTAAAAATATTTAAAATTATAAAAAAGTTTCTCATTTTGTTTTTATTCTCTTACTAAGCTAGGTCATGTATAAATTTTGTATCTATTCCCAATCAAAAAACCATAACCAAATGAGGAAACACCTAAACTACAAAATTTGTTTGAAATTTTCTGGATTACCTAGCTAGTTCAAGGTATTTATCTTTTACGCCAGTCTTTATTATCTTTGATTTAAGGTGAGATATTAGCAAATAATAGTTGTGATATCTTAAGAAAAAAAAGTAAATGATTAAGTTTTCAGATTTAACCAGGATCAAACAGCCATTTAGCCAAATTTAATTTTGATCAATCATAAGTTGATCCCTCACATAATTTTTTTGAAACTACCATCATTCGACTCAGATCGTCGAGACACTTCAATAAGTCTCTTTATTTATTTTGACCCCTCCCCCATTAAAGAGTAGGAAGTGTAATACAAAAGAGATACTTAATTTCAAACAATCCGATAAGAAAATAAGAAAAAAGGATGAGAGAATTATTTAATTTTAATTATTTATTTTATGTCGGTATTTTTGTTTTATAAAATTAAAAATAAATTTTGGAAGAGAAAATCATTGCCGTCTCAGTCAATTTAATTCTCCCTTTGCTTTTAGAAAATAAATAAAAATACAGCTGTAAATAAATGTGACAGATTATAAATTATTTTTCTTTTTCACAAAACTTTTTCTACAAAAACGTGCCCAACTAAATACAATAACTAAACAAAAAAGTTTCTCCTCTTCATTCCGCCTCCCTTTTAATCTCTAAACTAAATTTGAAAAAAAAGCTAGCCGTTTACTAATTCTCTCTCTCCTTTTTATTTTTAAAAAAATCACTTGATTGGATAAAAGAAAAAGAGAAATAAAAGGAAAGGAGAAAAGTGGATATAAATTAAAGAGAATATCTAAAGCTTTTTAGTCTTTTTTTCAACATTAAATGTTTTTGAATAAAGTGCAAAGTTTATTGGAAATAAAAATGATTGGAAAAATTGATAATTTAATTTAAATTAAAAAATAAAAGTTGTAAATAATTTTAAAATACTATTTCGACATTAAAGGATAGCCTTAACTTTAAATTATTTTTCTATCCAAACTTAAAAAGTTTCTAAAATTTAAACTAAAATTTATTTTTATTTTTTACAATTTCTTCAAATATTTTTTTTTCTATCCAAATAAATTACAGTAATCACCCCCACCCCCTCCCTTTCATCTACAAATATAAATCCATTCCCGTCATCACTCCCTCAAGTTTTTTTCCACACAAGTCTCTTCTCCTTCCCTTCCCTCTCCCCTTTTTTTCTTCTTATTTCCATCCGGCTGGCTAGAAAAGCTGAGACGAGGGGACTGAAAAAACTGAAAAAACGGCCAACAATTTTCGCTGCATGAGTGGTGATGACACACAAATAAATAAATAAAAAGAAGGAAAAAGAATAAATACAAAAAGCAGCGGGACATTCAAACAAAAGGCAAAACCAACGTTATATGCTTTTGCTAGTTTTTGATAGAAAATTGAAGTTGAAATAAATAAATGGGGAAGGAGGGAAGGGAGGGAAGGGATGAATGCTTAAATGAAGTTATAAAAAGTAGAAGAAATAAAATTGAAGGAAGAAAAGAAAAATTTTTGAGGGAAAAACTTGGAGAAAAATCGGAAAAGTAGAAATGTTAAAAAATGTTGATTGACAAGCGAAAGAGTAAAAAAATTTTTTTCACCTCTAACTCATTCGAAATATGTGTGAATATTCGAATTTTTGAAATGTCTGAGAAAACTCCAAAATTCTTGTGTTGAAGAAATAATATTCGTCTTGATTTTTCAAACAAATGGTTAAGAAAAAAGTGTGAAAATAATTATATCAAAAATTATTTTGAGGAAATAGAAGGAAATAGAAGAGGAAAGAATAAATAGATTAATAATATACGAGAAAATCCGATTGGGTTTGGATTAGTTTCTTTCAATCTCCGAATAATTTTGTAAGAAAAAAAGGGGAGAATAAATAGTAACTAACAACTACAGATCATCTACGGCTGCAAAATTAAATAAAAGAGGGGGGAGGGAAGGAAGGGAGAGGTCATTTAATAATAAAAAAGGAAGTAAAGATTTTTTAAACAAAAAATATAGGTTTTCAGGTATTTTTAATTATTTTTAGGTATTTTTTAAAAAATAAAGTGCAAATAATAAAGATTTTTTGGAAAACAATTTTGTATAAAAATTGAAAAGAATATGAAAAAACATGGTTATAATATGCAAAAAATATGTAAAGAATTGAACAAAATTGCGTAATTTAACCCTAAAAGCAAATAAAAAAAATAAAAATAAAATACCATATTTCTATTTTTTAATAAAAATTTGTATAAACACATATGTTTTTAATAAAAATTTATTTTTTACTAAGTATTTAAATATTAAATTATTTGTTTGTCAAGATTTAAAAATTCCAAAAAATAATTCGAAAAAATTCCAAAAAGATAACCCTTATTGTATTAATATGATAATTTATTTTAAAATTATATTTAACTAATGATTTTATTTTCCTCAATATCCTCTACTTAACCATAAAAATAATTTTATTTTTCTCTAATTTAATTAATTTACCTAAATCCCTAACCACTAATTTGTTTTCTATAAATTTCCACGTTTATTTATAAGAGATCAAATTTTTCTAAAAATTTCTTATAAATAAAAATTTTCTTGGCCAAATAAAAGTAAACTATAGTTGAGCAAACGAAAATGATCTGGGTAAAAAAAGAAAAGAAAAATAAATATTTAAGAGAGAAGGGGAAAATACACAAAATTATTTTTTTGTTTATTTAATGTAAACAAACAAGATTGGTTTTTAAGTTGGACAAGGAAATAAATCGGGATCGGGAAAGGAAGGGAGGGATGGAGGGGGAGAGTATTTTACTAAAGAATAGATCGGCGGCCATCGTTCGCGCTAATGTTGGCTAAGGGGTGTTAAGTAATATTTGTAGAATAAAATCTTTTTTAGAGGAAAAGAAGTACAAGATATTTATTTGAGGTAAAAATAAGTAGAGAAAATTCTTAAAAATTTAGAAAATAAAATAAGGAGGGAGGGGGAATATTTGTAGAAATTAGTCCGTTATGATTTTGTGCGCGATATTTAAACGAAAAGCCAGCAGGAGGTTTGTGTCTGTAAATATGTAAAAGGTGTGAACAACAAATATGTATAAAAATGTTGATTATGTACAAGCAAATAAAAATAAAAATTATATTACAAGAAATTATGTAAATAAATAAATTTTTCTAATTTTTTTGTTGGAATAATTTGGAGACAAAACCACCCTTATTCGAATTTTATTCATAGAAAAAGAATTATAATTAGGGTTGTCGGTTTCACCAAATTCTTCGGTTAACCGAAACCGATAAACCGAACCGACATTTTCGGATAACCGAACTGAACCAAAAATTTTCAAGGATTAAGGAAAATGGATTTGCTTTTACCTAAGAAGCTATTTTTAGCCTAACCAAAATAACATTCAGGGGTGGGAGATATTAAATAAGTACCCAAATATGTATTAAAATAAATTATATTAATAATCAGACAGTACATTTTTAAATAAAAACATAATTTCAAATTTTTTATTACAATTACATACCTAATCCCAAATAAATTAGATTTTTTTAAATTAAAAAACTAGCTGTGGGTTTGACCACTGATGGCGGAGGATAGCTGGGTGCCTTTAAGATACTTCGGGTCAAATTTTGTTCTACCCGTTTGAAAGCCTATCGGCTTTGGGGCGCGCTTCGCGCGCTGCTAGAGAGTTTTGATGCTTGGAGATGGGTGTCAGCTCGGGCCTTCGGCCCTCGCCCTTACTTTTAGACACTTTAGGATTAATCCTTCCAATTAGTCACTTCGGGCCATCATCTTCCCCTCGATAGGACTTATCATGCCACTTAGAGTCACTTCGGGCCTTCGGCCCTCGTTTTCCCCACGTTGGGGAAGCCGATGGGTGTCAACTTTTAGATGGGTGTCAACTCGGGCCTTCGGCCCTCGCCCTCCCTTTTAGATGGGGTGTCAGCACGGGCCTTCGGCCCTCGCATTCCCTTTTAGTTGGTTGTTACTTCGGGCCTTCGGCCCTCGTCTTTCCCCCATTGGGACTAATCCGTCCACAGAAAGTCACTTCGGGCCTTCGGCCCTCGTCTTCCCCACGTTGGGGAAGCCGATGGGTGTCAAATTTTAGATGGGTGTCAACTCGGGCCTTCGGCCCTTGCTCCCCTTTTAGATGGGTGTCAGCTCGGGCCTTCGGCCCTCCCTTTTAGATGGGGTGTCAGCACGGGCCTTCGGCCCTCGCCCTTCATTTTAGATGGGTGTCAGCTCGGGCCTTTGGCCCTCGCATTCCCTTTTAGTTGGTTGTTACTTCGGGCCTTCGGCCCTCGTCTTATTAGAAAGTACATTTATCAAATAATACATTAAAAAAGAATAGGTTTATGTTGATAGACCTATGGAGCGTCGGCAAGACGTTTGTGCAAAACCCCGCGCTTCGCGCGGGGTTTTGCGGCACGCGCCTTGCGGGTGTCAACGGTTTAAGATACTCTGGCAGTTTAATTTTTCTGTGCCCGTTGGAAAGCCTATTGGCTTTGGGGCGCGCTTCGCGCGCTGCTAGAACTTTATTCTGCATGGAAGAAAAGATTAGCCTTGCCTTTTCATCGCTTCGGGCTTCGGCCCTCATCTTACCACTGTTTGGCCCCGTCCTTTCACTTAGAGCCACTTCGGGCCTTCGGCCCTTGCCCTCCCTTTTAGATGGATGCCAGCTCGGGCCTTCGGCCCTTGCTCTGCCTTTTAGATGTGTGTCAGCTCGGGCCTTCGGCCTTCGCACTCCCTTTTAGATGGGTTAGCTCGGGCCTTCGGCCCTCGCCTTCCCCCAGAAAGGACTCATCCTTCCACTTAGCATCACTTCGGGCCTTCGGCCCTCGTCTTCCCCACTTTTGGGACTCATCCTTCCACTTAGCGTCACTTCGGGCCTTCGGCCCTCGTCTTCCCCACATTTGGGACTCATCCTTCCACCCTCATTTTGTGATTTATTCGAAAAACAACACAAAATCAAACAACGTAAACCTATGGGTCGTCGGCGAGGCGCTTGTGCAAAATTCCGCGCTTCGCGCGGAATTTTGCGGCACGCGCCTCGCAGGAGTCAACGGTCGCTGGGTTCTGGGTCAGTAACATAAACCTATCCGTTTTTACTGATTTTCAGCTTTGAAAGGCAGACCTACCCTATCATTTTCAGTTTTGAAAGGCAGACCTACCCTATCAGCACAAAAATAGTTATTCCATAGAATTTTCTGATATTGTCTGAAGAATCGAAAACTCACTCAGACGCCCATAATGCACCGTGCCTAAATTTTTAGATTATTTCCTCTTGAATGATTACTTAATCGACCGTACTTCCCAATCCCAAAAATCCCGGATTTCGGAGTTCGAACTCCGAACTTCGACTTTCGGCTTGATCCTTTATCCCACTAAGCTCCCCTCATTATCCCCTCTCGAATGAGTACTCATTCGCTCATACTTCCCAACCCCGAAAATCCCGGATTTCGAAGTTCGAACTCCGAATTTCGACGTTATCCCTTATCCCATTGAACTCCCCTCAATCCCAGCTCTCGAACGACTACCTACTCACCCATACTTACAAATCCCGAAAAACCCGGATCCCGAAGTTCGACCCCTCGAAACTTGCTTCACCTTCCCCTGCTTAAACTCGAAACTTGCTTCAGCTTCGAGTTTCAACTTGCTTCACTTACAATTTCACCCATCAATCAAAATTTCTCTCTCACCTATAAGATATGCCCCCAGGATTTCGTCATTTTCGAAAAAACGGACTTTTCACCGAAAAACCAATTTTGTGTCAGGCATATCGACCTTTAGACTTGGGATTTCGACTTCGGGTTTTTTTGTTTCGGCATCTCCAAATCATGCTCCAGTGCCCTCCAAGCGGAACTTTTCCGCTATCTTTATCCGTTCCGGAGATATCCCCGGTATCTATGCGATATAGGTACCAAGGGGGGCAATTATTGAAAAAACAACATTTTTCCCAGATGCCCCATAAAAAGTACCCAGCAAGATGTCAAAGTCCCAAATTCATATCCCAACTCTGTAAAAAGTTCTAGGTTTTTGAAAGTCCCGTAGTTAAACTACCAATACTTTTATAGGCAAAGTAACTTTTTTTATATATATATATTAATAAATTTAAAAAATTAAATAACTTAAAATAATCTTTTTAAAGGGTTTTTTCAGTTTAAATATATTTAATGTCACCAAAACAAAAAGAGAAAAAATACTTTTATTCATGGGAGGATCGAATTGGTTGGAGAGAGAAGGGGGAAAATAGGCGTTGCAAATGGCAAAAATTTAAAAAAAATTTTTTAAGAGGGAAAAGGCGGGGCTGTTTATTTTGGAGGTATAAGGAGAAGGGGGTTTGTTTTGTTTTTTTACAAGGTAATTGCGCGACGTAAATAATTTTCTGATAATAAAAATAAAATAATTTGACATTTTTATGAAAAACAGTTGACATTTATATTTAACAAAAAAAAACTTTAAAATAAAAATTACAGTAATTAATTAACTAGAAATATTGTTTTTAAAATTAGTTTTTGTAGATTTATTTATTACTAAGAAGTTATCTTTTTTTAAAAAAATTCTCTTTGGGTGTCTAAAACAGAACTGACAACCTTATTTTATATTTTTAAAATAATAATTAAATAAATAAAATATTGTTGTAGAATTATTCTTATTTTTATTCCTTAAAAAGAAGCCACAGCTGGCAAATTCAGAAAATAAATTAAAAAATAATTTAATAATACTGGAAACATATATTTAAATTAATTTAATATTTAATTTAAATAGAAATTATTTTTAAAAAATTGAATTTAGATATGTATATCCTACCCTAAAAAGATTAAAACTTAAAAACGAATAGTTAAAGTTTGTGAATATTTAATAAAAATAAAATAATAAAATATTTATTTAAATATACTTACATTTTTTATTGACCAAAACAAAAATTGTAATTTTGTTGTTATAATTTTTTGGATTTAAAATAAATTTCTCATTTTTGTTGTTTTTATTAATTTCCTTTTCCTTTTTTTAATATTAAAAATAATAATAATTTTTTCTTTCTTTTTTTCCTCATTTTTGATATTACAAAATTAATTTTTAATATTTTTGTAGTATAAAAAATGTTGTTTTTTGTTGATTTTAATGTTTTAATTTTTCTTGTCGTCATCCCTTTCTTCAAAAATTTTTGCAAATTAAAATAAAAATATTAAATTAATTTTTAAAAATATTTTTAGTTTTAAAATTGCGTGCCAATCTTTTTGCAACAAAATAAATAAACAAAAAACATCTAATAAAAATTAAAATCAAAAATTATAAAAATGTTATTAATTACGTAATAAATAAATTTAAATCTAATTTTGGAATTTCTTTTAAATAAAAAATATAAAAATATTTATTAGTCATTTCCTATTAAATTAAATCTGTTCGGACTAAATTTAATAATCTCGAAAATATGATTACATATTTAACAGAATATTTAAATTAAATGTGAGGAATATTTTAAATTGATAATAAAATAGAAAAATCTTTTTTAAAAATATGTACTAAAGAATTAATTCAAATTTTTTCGTCTTCTTAATAAAATGTTTGGGGCTATCTTTAAATTCGAGTACAACAAAAAGATTTGTGACCCGCCCTCCAAAAATACACAGCTTTTTTGCCCGATTGCCGCCACGCTACAAAACATGGAAAATAAATAAAATAAATATATTTAACAATAAATAACCCTTCTTCACCCTTATTCCCCTCCCTGGTCCGCCTTTTTCTTTATTTTTCTATTCAAAATTTTCTCAATTCATTTACAAATTCTTTATTTATTTTCAATTCTTTTCTGCGTGTTCTCAATGAAGAGAAAAAGGGGGAGAAAATGTTTTTATTGTTAAATGCTTTTGTGTTGATGCGCCCAATTGTGTAGTTATTTTGTCTTCTTTTGAGATGCTTCATCGACCTTTTTCCATTCATTCAATTCTTTTCCCGCATTTCTTTACACAATAGATTTTGGTATTTATTTATTTTCCACAACAATCCAAATCTTTCTCTCTTTGTTTGATTCCCCGCCTTTTTCTTAAACATTTTTAGAGGGGTTAAGCTTTAATCAACAACTATTTGTATATTTTCTTCACTAGATATTCCCTTCCCCCTCTTATTTTTTCCTATTTTTCCTCTTATTTCCAAAATCAACAGCTTTTTCCTTTCCCTTCTTGTAATTAGCATTCTCTTCTTATTTTTCTATTAAACAACATAATTTTCATATTTTCATATACTACATATTTCAGTTATTTTAAAACCTCCGTAATTAGTTAAATAATTAGTAGAAGGGGAAGGGAGGGGGGATTGTTTTGTTTATTTTAAATTCTATTTTCTTTTTTTTTCTATTTTCCCATCCTGAAAAATAAGTAAAACACAACCATGCTTGCATTCAACTTAAAAGAAAATTGCCGTCTCCTTGCCGACCTTTGCCCGAAAACAATTCTCTTTTCTTTTTTTTCTAAAATTTTCCAACATTTCCTTCCATTCCCGACCTTCTTTCCTTTTTACCTGTCCAATTTCATTCCTCACAATTTACTCCTAAATTCATTCGCTCAATTTGGTTTTTGGAAGGTATGGAAGAATTATTTTGTTACTACATATTATTATTCCCTCCTCCCCCCCCTCTCTTTTTTCTTCTACTCTTTTCTCACTTGAGTGAAGAATTCTTTTCTTAAAATATAAAGTACTTCATTTTTAAGCGTGGCCGGCATATGGTTGGTTGTTATTTCGGTTGTTCTTCTCGATTGAGAAAGATTCTAAATACTCTTCTGGATGAAGTGAAAAATAAAAAGGAATGGAATAATTGAATAGAAAAAAGGATGAAGAAAAAAAGGGGGGATAAGGATATTTACAAATTGCCCTTTTATTTCTTCTCTACACCTCTAAATACTTGAAAATATTTTATTTCTTTTTTTTTTATATTTCTTAAGTGAGTGCGAGCGTGTGCTCTCTTCTCAAGTAGCTTCGAGAATATTTGAAATGATTTGTAGGAAATTTTATTTTAAAAATTGGACTAAATACATATTAAAAAATTATTAAATTTCCATTTTAGTTAATTTAAGAGTTTTAAATTTAAAGAAATTAAGTTTGTTATTTATGTATGTACTTGCAAAATTCATAAGAAAGATGATACAATTATAATGGGAGATTTTCTACATTGTTTCTATTCTATCTCACATTTTTAAGCTACATTGACATCTATTCTTTAAAATTTTCAATATTGTTAAATATAATTTTAACAACTTTCATAAAATCCACTATGATTCATCTATTTCTTCAAATCCATCATCTATTTCAACACTATGTGCAAGCATTGTCTTTTTTAAACCCGCCTTGATTAGGTTTAAATTTTCAGACATTTATGCTCCAAGTCTACAACAAAAGCCCAGCCATAGAGAACATGCTTTCACTTGAAACAGAGGTTGCTGGCACACTCAAAAAACATTTAGAAAAGAAATTCCAAAAATTCTATCCTTAGGGGTGTATTTTTCAAACCGAAACCAGTTAGTCTACGTCTCCGGTTTTCGACCCCTTGTTTCCAGTTTCGGGTAATTCGCCAAAGCGAGTTTTTATTTTAAATAGTTTATTTAAAAAGTTCAGTATATTTCTAACTCAAAAAATAAAATCAGAGTAATCTAAAACCATTTAATTTTCGAAAAAGAAGGTTTTGCAATTTTATTTTTTTAGAATTTTTCATGGACTCCCGTCGCGAGATTTTCTATTCAACTAAATACTAGAAGGGTCTTCTAGTATTTAGTCAAAGAGAAAAAGAATTATTTATTAGAGGTGTGCTCCCCCATTCCCTTCCTCCCCCTCCCCCCCCCCCCCCTTCCCCCATCAACAAATAAAAACAGACAAATAACACAACACAATAGGCGGCTTAAATGGCCGGATTAAAAGGGGACAAACGCCAAATAAATAACTAAATAATAAGAGCAAAAATGTCCCTCACAGAGTTAATTGCCTTGTACTTCTCCCTCTACAATTTTGACTTGTTCTCTCTTATAAATTTTTTTTCTGTAAATTTTGTAAAAATTACAAAACCTGTCGAATTATTTGGATCAGCGATTTTTAGAGAGGAAATTTAAAAAAAAGTTTAAATTGATTTGTGTTGTTTTAACTTTTATTTAAAAATTTTAAGGAAATTTATTTGGAATTTTTAAATATTTTAATGAAAAACTAATTTTTGATTGTATTTAAATTAAAAGGAGCAAGAGGGGAAAAATTATTAAAATTCAAGTAATTAATTAAAGACTTTAAAAATTAAAATCATTCAAGTAAACTCTTAAAAACAAAATTTTTATTTTAAAAAATTCTCGGTACTTTTAAAAAGCACATACCGTCTCTCTCTCCTTTCCTTCCATCAATTCCTTTGAAAAATTCTTTCCGGTCAATTTAGCATCGTTTGTTCGGTAATGGTAACCAATGATTGTGGATGGTTAAATTAAAAATAAAAAAAGCTTTTAGGGAATGAATTTAGAAAGAAAAAAGAAAAGAAAAAAGAAAAAAATATATTGGCAACTTTTTTTTTAAATTGAGAATAAAATTTGAAATTTTTATTAAATTGTTAATTTGATTTAAAATTTTCTTTATTTATTAATTTTAAAATTTAATTAAAATTCAATCTTCAATTAAAGCTGTGACTCTTGGTCTTGACAAGTTTCTATAGAAATTTTTAGATAATATAACTAATCTAGGTAGGTTAAAATCAAGAAAAATTCAATTCCATCACAGAATTTTCGCCTCCCTCTTGTGGCCTAGTTTTGGTCTCTTTTGATTCTTGGAAAATTTTCGGTCCCGGACAGCTCTACTAACAACAATAAAAATATAAAAAGGTCAAAGCCGCTTATAATGACAGGTCTGAACAGACAATAGAAGAAGAAGAATGGGCTTAGTATATTTTTGACCCTTTAACTAATAATATATTGAATGAAGGAGAGGGGGAGAGATTAGCTTATATGGCGCTCGAATGAGAATTTACAAGAGAATTGGCTTGTTGCGATTATTTGAAGAATATAAAAAAGAGAGAGGAATTTAGTAAAAGTGTGGAAGATAAGAAATGGATTTTTTGAATATTTTTGGGAGATTTTTGGAAATTTTTGAATTAAAATAAAGATTTTAAATAAATTTATAAAATTTTAGTTTATTTTCTACGTAATCAAAAAATTAATAAAATATTTATTTATTACCTAGTAAATTAATTCAAAATATTTTTATTAAACAAAAGTTATTTGTATTTAAATTATTCGGCCATTGTCCGTTTCTGTCCACTGAAGTGGCATGATCGAAATTATTTTTGTAGTGGAAAGACAATAGAAAAAGAAAGAAAATCCTTTTTACTCATTCTTAACCCTTTTATTAATATAGTGAGTGACACTTACGCTTCACAGAATCGGCTAATTGTTGTTCTTCTTGTTTGGCTTTTTAAGGGATTATGTGGAAAATTGTTTGGCAAAAAAGTGAAATGAATATTTTTTTGTTAAAATTAAAAATATTTTAAAAATAAATTAATTTTATTAAATATTTAAAATTAAATATTTTATTTTATTTTAAACAAAAAAAGCATTAAAAATATATTTATTTATTCTCTTGCGCAATAGCAATCATAAACTACTTCTTATTCACAATTTTTATTCTTTAAATATTTTTTTCCACTCTTGTGCCATTTTATTTTTTAATTTAAAAAAGTCATCAATCAATTTATATTTATTTTTTATATAATAATTCTTCCAAAGAAAGTAAAGCTCAACAAGTAAATTCATCAAAAATAATCCTTGAAATTGTTGATTTTTTTGCTTATATTTTAAATAAATTTATAAAAAATACAAAAATATTTAAAGTTTTATTTAAAAAAAATTAAAACATTTCAAAAGAAGGCTTTTATTAAAAAAAGATTGAGCTTTAAAACCAATTTAAAAAAAAAGAAAAAGGCTGAGAAAGCGCCTTATTTTGTAAAGCAAAAATAAGTACAAAATCAGTTAAACAAAAATAAATCAAATTAAATCAGCATCACCATCACTTTCTTTTATTTTCTTATAACCTTTCCCATAACCTAAAAATATTTTTAAAAAGTGAATTGAGGAAAGGTTTGAAAAGCGGTGAATTGAAATAAAAAAATAAAAATAAATTCTCGTCTAAAAACTAATTATTTTGACCTGAATAAAAAAAATTCTATTATCAAAAAATAACCTAAAATATAAAAAAGAGAGACCGAAATTATTTTTTTATAAATAAAGAACAAAAATATTTTTAATAATATTGTAGACAAAAAATAAATAGAGAAAATTAGGTAAATTAAATTTTTCAGTTCCAAATAGGGTTGCCAGCTGGCTCGAACCGAAAGCCGAGGCTTTTCAGCTCGAAAACGAACCGAATCGAAACAAACCAAGCTCGAAAAAATGCACCGAACGTCGGCTCGAATCGAAAACGGCAACACTAGTTCCAAAAATTAAAATTTAATAATTAAAATATTTACTAAAAATATTAAAATTTATTTAACTAAACAAAAATTCTCTTCCAGAAATTTTAACAAAAAAATATTTATATTTTATTTTTTAGTCTCGTTTTGCAATTTTTCCCTTCCCATTTTTGACTTGGAAAATTGCCGACATTTTTTTATTATTTAATATTACGCAGTTGGAAACAAAAAAAACAAGACGGGAATGCCTAAGGAAAGGAAATGTTGCCATAAAAATTAAAAGAAATGTCGGCATTTAATTAAAATCTTTTTAAAAAAATAATGTATTTTTTCCTGTCCCGGCATTTTTATAAATAAAAATACAAAGTGATGATGGTTGTTGATATATTTAAGGTATTTTGTTTTTGTTGAAATGCTCGTTTTCTCGCTAATTAATTTTTTTTGTTATTTTTATTAAAAGAAAAAGAATTTTTTTTGATTTTTTATGGAAGTAAATAGTACAGTATTTTTGAAGAACAAATATTTTTTTATTTTTAAAAATTAGTAAAAAAATTAATTCTAAGCTCAGAAATTACTTTCCCCATAATAAAAACTTTTTAATGATTAATTAAAAAAAGAAAATTCCAAAATTAAGGCATATATGTATTTACTAATTAAAATATTTATCTTTAGTTATTCTTTTTTAATTTCCTCCACAAATTTATTAAAAAGTAAACTAAATTGTTTATGTCGACTAATTGCATATTGCATATAATTAAATTGAATTTTTGAAAGATTTGACTAAATAAAAATATTTATTTATTTACAAATTAAAATTAGTACTTGATGAATAGCCCAAAGTGTCCAGAAAAAATGTGCGGCCTAAAAATTATTTTTAAAAAATATTTTCTTTAATTTTTATAAAAATAAAACCAACACTTTCAAAGATTAATAATTGTTTGACAAGATTTTTTAATTCTAAATCATCCAAAGATTTTCCCATAAAATTAAGAAAATAACATTTAAGGAAATATTCTCTTTCATTATTTGTAGGGCCGTTAATTTCATAATTTGGTATTTCATCAACACCTTTTTTAAATTATTTTTATTTTTTATTAAATAACTACCAGCATATTCACACAAATGATTAGCTATATCAAATAATTGGGGATTTGGACCTGCATATTCGTAGTCGATAAAATGAATTTTGTTATTTAATTTATCCAAAAGAACTTTAAAAAATAAAAAATATTTTTTAAATATTTTAATTAATTAATTAACTATTATAAATAAGCAAATCATTATGAGAGAAAACCATTGGTGAAGAAATATTTTTTATAAAAGCAATTAATTGTTCAAATTGATTAATTAAATTAATTTCTTAAAAAAAGAATTAAAGTGCCGAATAAAAGATAGGACCAAGGCTGTTAAATTAGTTTTTTTTCGATTCTCTTTTTTTAATTCAGCGAAAAATTCGTATAAATATCTGTATCATTTGTTGACAAAATTTTACAAAAATAGTTAATAAAAAAGAGATATGTAATCGAAAAAACTAATTTAACAGCTCTGGCCCTATCTTTTTTTCGACAAGTATAAATATGTAATTATTTTTTTAATTTTTTTAAATTAAAAATTTTAAATATTATGTATGTAATTATTTCGGAGAAATAAATAATTAACTAATTTTTATTTTTTTAAAGTTTTTTTTCTCATTTAATTTTTATTTTTTCCTTTTATTAATTATTAATATCCCCCCACAAACTTGCAAAATATTCATCAAATAAAAGTTGCCCTGTTTCTGAGGATATTTTATTTGGAAGAGTTTCAATCCAATTTTTTAATTTAATTTCAATTAATGGTTGCTGATTTTGTTCTTCTTTAGTAAGAGGAATTTTGTGAATTAAAGACAATGAAATACTAATTTTTCTTTAAAAAAGAAAATAATTTTTTTTATTCATTCTCATTAACTTACTCAACTATACAAGGTTCTCGTACACTTTTAATCGAAACACATTCCCCAGGTAAATAACCATAAACTAATCCATTCTCAAATCTTTAAATAATTTTTAAAAAATAATTTTTGTTCAAAAACTTTGCATAGACTGGAGCAGCTAGACCATTTTTGGAAAGTCTTTCAAAATTTTCTAATTCAAATTCTCTATTTTAATTAATTAATTAAAACAATTTTTTTATTTTTAATTTACCGATCAATTATTTTATCAGACCCAGCACCAAATACTCTAAAAATAAGTTTGTCTTCTTTTTCCTCTTCATTACAAACACAAAATATTTTATTAGTAATTCCATTAGTGAATACCTATTTTTTGGTTAAATTGAATAAATTAATTTTAAATAAATTAATCTCGAAATTTTTAAAATTAGGGATTGAGTACAACATTAAATCCTCTCGATTGAAATTCAAATTAAAGATAATTTTACTCTTTAAAATATTAATTTAATAAAAAAACAACTTCAATCTCACAATAATCCAATTTCCAAGTTGGCCTTATTTGCTTAATAATCATCGAAATTCCACACGTGGAATTCCCATTTTCAATTTTTATCGGCTCTTCAAGAGGTATTTGTATAGGAATAAAAGGAAAATATTTTTTTGATTTCATTTTTTAGAGAAAAATAAAATTGTTAGTAAATTAGTAATAACTAGTAGTTGGCGCAAAATCATACGTTTTATATATCAAAATTTGGGGGACGTAAAATAAACAAGTCATCAATGAATGGGAGGAAACAAACACTCTTTATATGGAGGCCATACTTTTTCCTTTTATGGATTTAACTTTACATATGTACTAGTATATGTAGAGTTAATGCAGAAATCAATAAAACATTATGGTTAAATTACAAAGTCGATATTTAGAAGTACTATCTTGATGAAGTTAAAGAATTACCGAATATTAATTACCAAGTTTCAAAAAAGCTTTTAGACCGTTACTTATACAAAAGCCCTCTAAATTCTCGCTAATTCGGCATTCAAATCCCAACATTAATAAAAACATTTTAAATATTGAATTGTTTACTGATGCAAAAATAATAAAGGCGATTATAGGCATAACCAAAGAATTGATAAAATCAGATAACACTCACATCAACTAACATTTTCATAAAATTATTTGGTTATGCCTATCACATCCAAATATCAGGGCTAGGAAATTGTCGGAAAATTGTTATTTTTAGTATTTTCTCCAGCCCTGATAATTAATGGTAGACCAACAAATTTAACTTTAAAATGATCATCAAATAATTGAAAAATCCCAAATTGTTTGATCATATAAACTTAAAAAATTCGTTCCGTTCAGTATCTCTCATCATTTATTCTTCTCATTGCTTCAGAAACTTCTTAAGAACGGCTGCGACTGCGACTATTATAGCGAACAGGACTTCGCGAACTTTTACGATTGTGACGACTGAAGAATTCAGATTTTTTCTCCTTACTAATTTAAAAAATTTTTGTAAAAATTCTTGCTAATTGTACATTTACAATTAGAAAATATAAATCTAAACTTACTAAGGTCCTCCTCCACGAGTGACAGAATAATCAACGCGGACTTTCATTCCATCAATGACTGTGTCCATTAAATGATCCTTTGCCTATAACAAAAAATCTTTTTTTTCTGAAATAATCAAAAAAAAACATACGCGTGTGGCATCCTTAGTGCTCGTAAAGTAAACAAATCCGAAACCACGTGAACGTCCAGAGAATCGATCGTAGACAATTTGAACGGACTCAATCTCACCGTATTCGCCAAAAAGTTTACGCAAATCACGTTCACTTGTATGCTGAAATTGAAGAGAATATTTCAAAAAAATTTTAGCCAAAATTTTACAAACCAGACTCATCCCAAAAACACCAAGGCACGGACCAGGCTCGGGATTGTCTCGTCCATCAGCATAACGATGAGTTCGTCGGTAACCGCCACCACCACCACCATAACGGTCACGACCATAATCACGATCATAGTCACGTCCATAGTCTCGACTATAACGATCACGAGAACGGCTGAAATAAATAAATTTCAATAAAGTATTAATAAAAATAATCAAACATCATTAACTTTCGTTCAAAAAACTAAAGGGGTTAAAACATCTCTACCAAAAATAGAAAGGAAAGACAAATGCTTAAACAAAATCTATTCAAGGATCTTTAACTCTAAAAAAATAACCAGCGTTACAAATTTACCAAGCAGCATTTGGATTTGATTTGAAAATTAATTTAGTGCCCTATATGTTTGCTTGAATAAAATTGACTGCAACAAGTTAAAATTGACGTTTGTAGATAAATTTGTAAGGCAGCATTGAATAGTCTTGATTTGAACAATTAAATCAATTTGTTTGGAAAAATGAAAGGAAAGGAGAAAAAGACAATCCCTCGTTGAAAATTGAAATTAAAAATGTGGCGCAAAAGGATTTTGAAAAGGAATTGACCACCATTCTTGAATGCTCAATTCGCAATTGCAGCGAAGAATTTGTTTTGTTTAAATTTGATAAAAACATTGATATTGTATAAATGCTCTAAATGCATTAATAGATAATTTTTTGGAGCTAGGTAAAAAAATACTGCAAATTTCCATTTTACAAACCTTCTACGACGATCGTCATCTCTTCGTCTCGATGAAACAACTTCACGTTTTGGCGATGGACTTGCACTAAAAATTTAAATGTAAAGAACTTTCCATTATATTCCGAGTTCGTTCAATGGAGTTAAAATACACGATTTTAGTTGTATTGATTAGTGAAAACGCATACCGTTGTCTTATAAACTAAACAGATACCCAGATAATTTGGACAAGGTAACATTTTAAATGAGAAAAAGGAAAGCAACCCGAAGAAATAAAAATTTAATCCCCATAGATAGAAACCTGTAAGTATTCGAACGAGAACGCGAACGAGATGCACTTCTCCGACGTCTCTTTGAACCATCTACTGGGCTGTAGTCCTTAAATAAAAAATATAATTTAAAGTATTTAATTATTAAAAATACCCTTTCGCGCTTAGATTCAGAACGTCCCATCTTGCAAAATTATTTTAAGAATTGAATGAGTCTTTGCTTCACTAAAAAATAATTCTTTCAATGCTAAAAAATAATTGATTAACATAAGCGATTTCACAATCAAATCAATATACTAGCGTGTAAAATCGAATGGAAAGTTAAATAATAGGGGAGAGGGTAAAACAAATCGGAAACGTGTCATTTAAATCGATTATATTGGTTATTTCGAAAACCCTTGAAACTTGTGTCAGATTTCGTCCTCTGAAGGAATCGACGAACAAGAATAAAATTCGCTACCAATAAAAATAATCTTAGAAAGTAAGAAATTATAAGATAAAAACATCAAAGATAAAATCCCAACCAAATAAAACAATCTACATAAAGAATTGATCGCGAATTGGCAAACATTAAGTTGAAAACTAAGAGTCCTTCGGTGCTAATCGATGTTTATACGTGATGAAAAAACTGGTTCATTTTATTGTGGGTATGGTTGCCATTTTCGAGTCGGGCAGTCAGTCGAGGCATTCTTCCGGGCTTGCTTTTAACGGAACGAGTCTTTTACGGACCAAATATCCTAAGCCAAACTTAATCTGTCGGTCAGAATCGGTCCATTTTGGCACCAAGGAAACCCCAAACTTAAAAATTCGCCGAACAATGTTTACAAATTATAAAAACAAAGCGGACTTCATTTTTGAAAGCCACGTTGTAATTTATAAATAACAAAATAAAAAATAATTAAATATATTGCTAGATAGCAACTATTGCATAACAGAAAAGACAAAAAGGTCAACATTTTTTAAACACAAAAAACATAAATAGAAAATTTAAATTTTATTGAGCCTTTCACTTAAAGTTTGTTCTTCATCATTTTTATTTGTCCCATTCCTTTTATTTTCTTCCTCCTCATCATCAGAAGAATCACTACACGGCAATTGTTCATCATTAAATAGTTCCTTGTCAAAAACAATAACTTTAGAAGGTCCACTTTCATCTTTTTCATCATCCATTTCAATAATATGTCCAAAAGCATCCACTGCTTGAAAAGTATTATCACCAATTTCGAACGCTTTAATTTGATCAATCTATATTTTAAAAGATTTTTTAAACATTTTTACAAAAATTAAACCTCTCCATCCTCGCTTGGTTCACGTTCATATTGAGCAACACTTCCATCTTCCACACTTTCCTCACGGCCCAAATTTTCTTCAATTTCAGCAATGAAATCAGGATTGAATGTAAACAAATCTTTGCCAGAAAGACCAGTCTTAAAATTATTTTAGATTTTCTAAAGTGTAAATACCTGTTTTCCACTTTTGAAACTCGCAAGTTTTTCACGTTCACTTTGCAATTGTTGTTGTCTCTTTTCTTTCATTTTCTTCTTTTTCCAAGTAATAAATGTGTCAAATGTAACTTTTGTCAATTCTTTATCCAAAAGTTTTGAACGCTAAAAATAATTCTATAAGAAGATAAAGGTAAAATAACCTCTTTTTCAATGAATTCCTCCAAGGAAATTTTCGAAAGTCTTGTCTGTTCTTCCATCTTTTTCCTATCTTTTTTGAGTACATAACCTTTTGGAAGGGCATGCCTAAAATAAAACTGATGTTGCTTATTTAATTTTTAAACCTGTAAATACATCCATCACCATTAGGACATTCCCAAAACCTAAAATTTTTGTATTAAATTCATATAAATTTAAAAAAAACTAACCATCCATATTTAGAATTCTCCACAGCTTCCAAAAAATATTTACACACCTAGAAATTGGAATAAATACGGAGCTCTCTTGTAGATATATATAATTAATTAACTCTTTGTAACACACACGCTATTCCAAATACACCTTCTTATGGGATACATTGGTTATTACCCAGAAGTTTATTTACAAGAGAGGGTCCGATTAAATTAAAGACTCACAATATCTGTTTGGTTTGGCCTTTTTCTGTCCTTTTCCCCATGTTTCTTTTCAGCAACATCTTCAAGAGTCTTCTCGTCCCAATTTTCATTGGTTTCTTAAATAAAAATAATTTTAGGAATAAATATACATTTTAAGATTAAATTAACCCTCTTCATTCGGTAATGATCGACTGTCTACATACAAATTCTTTTTTGCAGTTTTTTGTTGAATTGACAAATCGTGACTGAATTTGCATTTATTTCTAAAAAAGTATTTAATTTTATTTTAATCATAAACAAATAAAACCCTTTAGTGCACATTCCTTGCTTGAAGAAAACACAAAGAACCGATTTTGGATCAACATCTGAATTTACAAAAAAATAAAATTTTAGTTCCAATTTTAAATAAATTACCGGCGCTTACATTTTGTTGTGTTGAAGTTTTTGCGACTGGCTTGAAAATTTTGCTCATATCTTTTAAGTCATCATCTTCATTTTTCTTTTTTTGTTGATGTTGTGTTGAAGAACCACCAAGTATCTAAATAAATTGTGAAAATATTCTTGTTAATTAAAAGCAAACATTCTTTTCAATTTGTGCCCTCAATTTTTTATTCTTTAATCCAAATGTACGATCCTTTAATACTTCTTGCTTCTTTTTCTCATCCGCCTTTTTATTTTTTGGAGGCTGATTTTTTGGCGGCATATTATGTCTACATATATCTACGGCTTAATTAATTGAAAGAAATTAAAAACAAAGAAAATTCTAATTACATATGGCGTGAGTCTTTAAAAAGAGGAGAATTAAAAGAAAAGAAAGTGGACTCAAAAGTTCAAAAAGTGCCAAACTTTGAAGGGGCCGTACATAAACGGCGGTACACAATAACCCCAACCGGATTTCTTCTGACCTTGTTTCCCGATTTTGTTCTGCGCGGTTAGCTAGTCTTTAGATAGTTGGTTGCATAATTTTGGTCGTGCTGTTTCGGCTTGCGCAGTTTTGGGCTGCCCCTTATCCCTGTATACTGAATCGGCGATACTGAATCGTCCTTTACCGTTCAAACTGTATCAGTACAGTATACAGTTTGAACGGGGTTAAATGAGAGGTGGGAATGTAATTCTCCAAGGAATTCACAAATAAATTCAAAAATTATCTATGTGATTCTTAATTTATGGGATTTCTATTACCAGAATATCAGTTCTGGTTCATCTTTATACACTAATTAAGAAGAACAAACGATTAAAAAAGCTAGAATTAAAAAAATTTAAAAGACGTGGTTTTTTAAAAGGCTGGTTATTTTTTCATAAAAATTGTTTAGTTTTACCGTCTTTCAAAAAAGTTAGGAGCCGTTAACTGCGAATAATCGTGATTTAACATACTTAGGCGAGTGTAACTTTCTAAGAAATGATCGGATTTTTTCATAAAGTTAATAAAAAGAATAAAAACAAATATAGATTCTAATTGATAAAGAAAATTTCTGGAAATGATCGAAATAAAAAAAGTTATGGCATAGAAAAAGGCGTTTCAATGCTGAGTCGCCGAGACTCTATTGACAAGCAAGCCTAAAGGTTTAGGTTTGTGCTGAGACTGAAAATAAATGTAAAGACAAAAGAGTCTTGCTGACTTTTGGACATAATTCAAGTCAATTAATTGTTTTCATCTGTTTCTTTACTGATTATTTATGCCATTATAACATAGTTACACCATTTCATCATTTTACTAGACAAACCGATTTTACTAAATAAATCCGAAAAATTAAAGAAAATTTTACAAATTTTAAATTTTTATTGACTTTAGGTTTAAAAATTTTTAAATGTCTTCGATTAATCAAAACGAGAATAAAGAAATATTTTCCTGTCAGTTTCGAGGCCTTGAATTCTGTTGTGTTGTGGTTAATATAAAATTTTAGTTTTTATTTCTTTTTTTAATTTTAGGGTGACATTCTTTCTTCAAACACTAACTGTATTGGTGCTATTTGTGATTCCAATTTTTCTCTAACATTTGGACTGACTAAAGCTATAAAGGATGCTGCTGGAGATGATTTTTCGGTAAACTTTTATTTTTAAATTTTATTCGTTCAGATATTTTTTTGCTATAATAAAAAGTTTTGATTGAGCAGAGTTAAATTAAGTAGAAATTTAAACCATTTGTTTCATATTTTAGTTGAACCTTCAACGAGAAAGACGTAAACAAACTTCTTCAGCAATTTCTGTACGTCTATCTCGTAATTGTGGTTTGCAGACTAATTTTGTAATTCTTTGCCCTGCTCGTCGTTCTAGCCGCGATTCTTTTGATGAAATTTATAACCATTTTCTTAACAAAGCAAAAGAACTTCAAATTCAAAGCATGACACTTCCTTTGCTTGGGACTGGTATTTTAAAATTTATGCATAAATCTATTTAACATTTAAGGACATTATGGCCTATCCTTTGATCTTGCCACACAGTTTCTTAAAAAAGCTTTTACACAATTTGCTGATTTTGGGAATTTAAAGGTTTAATTTAATATTTTATTTTTTTACTTTTATTGTTTATTTTAAGAAAGTTCAATTTATTGATCAAAGTGAAAATTCAATGGGCTTATTGCGGGATTTCTTCAACACCCAAATGTGTTCTAAAACAAATGGTGTCAAAAGCACTTTTGATTCAACACATTCCAGTTTAGATGTTTAAATTAATTATTTATCCAGTTTATTTTACCTCATTTATTTTATAATAAAATAAATTTTATGGCGTGAGGACTTTTTTAATTTATGTTTAAAAAATATACATAAATTTTTCAATCTGATAGTGTAAAGTTGCACTTCATGTGCGAAAAAGAACGTATTTAAAGGCCAATAATTTTTCTGATAATTTAAATTAACTTAAGAGCATACCCCTCACGCCAGTAAATAGAGTCAATTAATTTTCTATTTTTAAGGTCCCGATATTAGCATTATTGTATTTTCCGGTTCTTCAAAACCCAATACTTGCGGGCAATCTTCTTCAAACAATCCAGGTAAATATTTATGTCATACATTTTCAAAATGACCATTTCTTTTTCATTAGGGTCTAGTGGAACATCATCTTCAAATTCTGATAATTCGCCTAATATTAACGTCAGTCTTATTACAGATGGTAAGTAATATTTTTAAATTTTTTACTTAAATCAACCATCCTAGAAACTAACATTTTATTGCGCACTAACGGAATCAACCCAAATGTAACCATCAATTTTCTCATGAACGATGGTATTTTTTAAAAACATTTTCGTGAAATGTGTTCCAAAAGATTATTCCTTACCTCTATTCGTGACTATATACAGTGTTAAATATTTTGGTTTGAGTTGATTCATGTTTCTTAATCATTTATGAGGGGGATGCAAATATGGGTGGTACTTTCCATAAAATGAATATGCAATTAACTTTTTGATAAATTCTAAAAATTTATTAAATTAACAATCCTTTAGACGATTCTGATATGGATAGTTTTTGGAATGAGAATGTAAGCTCAAATCATTCTGCTGTATCTATGAATGACTCACACTCATCAGTGTCAGACGTTAGTGTTTCTCTTGATACAGATCTTGATTCAGATCTGGAAGATAGTGATGAAGAAAATGATCTTTCAGACTTGGATGTAATTAAAATTTATTTTTTATATGTATTTATTTTTTTAAATCAGGGGTTCTCTTCGGAATCAAGCGCAAATGAAGATGAGGCTCCAAAGTCGCAGAAGGTTAAATTTAACGACGAATCTGTTTTTTGGAGCGTTGTTCCCCATCAACAACTTTTATCTTCTCAAAAACCAACAACATCGAATAATGCTAATCTTGATGATTCAACACTTCCTTGTTCTATTTGCCTTTGTGATATGCGTGATATATTCGAAAATGAAGGAAACTGTGTTGTGCAATTATCACTTTGCTCACACATGTTTCACATGGAATGCATTCGAGTATTTTTTGATATAATAACTTGAAATAAAATTAGCTTTTAGGCTGCCTTTAAAGTGAAAGAACAATGCCCATTATGTATGTGTTGGTACAAGGATCCGATAGGCTATCAACCTAAAGATGGTATTTAATATTAAATAATAGAATAACTACTAACATAAGTCCGTTTCTGGAGGAGATAATAAACAGAGGCTAGGTAAGGCAGGGTAATTAGTTGAGTAATTTCATTTCATACGATAATGCTTTTTAATCCTGAGTTAATTATTAAGTAGATTATGCAAAGAAGATTTATATTTCAGCGAAGATGACCGTCCGTCAAATACAAGGCCAAGTGCAAGGACATAAGGATGCTAAAGGCTTTCATGAAATTACATATCATATTCCTTCTGGGATACAAATTGTAAGCAAAATTTTGATGTTTATAAAGAATTGATTTTATTTTTCTAGAATGGACACATCCGACCTGGTCGTCCCTATCGTTCAATGACTCGCATAGCATATTTGCCTAATAACAAAGAAGGGACACAAGTATTGAAATTGTTGCAATTGGCATTTAAACGTCGACTCATTTTTACAGTCGGCGATTCATTAACAACTGGACGGAAGGATGTCCCTATTTGGAATGGAATTCATCACAAAACGAATAAGGAAGGAGGACCGCAATGGTATTAAAAAAGAGTGTTTGTATTTTAATAATATTTAAACTTTAGTTATGGCTATCCAGATCCTGGCTATCTTTCACGGGTTAAAGAGGAATTGGCCGCTGTTGGGGTTAGAAGTGAACAATTGAAAGATTAAAAATTTTAATGTTTTGAAAATTTTGACTTGATATATATTTAGTTGTCTTTAATTTATTGATAAAGTAAACAATTTATAAACTAACGATTTTTGTTACAAAACTGTTATTTGTCTGTTATTGGTATTTCTTCTGAATTTAAGAAAAATATCGTGGGAGGACCAAATCACGGATTTACCGGATTCAAGGCCACCTTTTAGAATGTTACTTAGATCGTATGAAGTAGGAAAAACTAAAAAAAATCGCAAGAAAAATTGATTTTGTAGGTCAAAAATTTATGTACTCTGAAACGTCCTCTTTTTTGCCGTACTCTGAACCTGCTGCTATGAAACGGCCTTCGTTTGGCTGCACTGAATCGGCTACTCTGAAACGGGCTTTACCGTAATTTTCGGTTCACGTCAAGTTGCAAACAATCGATATTTCTAAAAGTTTCATGAATATAAATTCACGTGTTTAGTGTTGTATTTGGGTTTATATAGCTTAACTCGGGTTCTACTATTCTGGGGACTTGTATTAGACTGAATTACATTATTTAAATATTTCTTTATTCCATTCAATTTATTCTCCATATAAATATGGGATACAATAACAAGGGAGAGAAATGGTTGGGCCAAGTCTTCTAATAATGAGGAAAAGTCTGGGGTATTTATAGAGACAATTTAAGGGTCAAAATATAAATGGAAAGTGAATAACAAAGATAAGATAAGAGTCAAGAATTGTTTGGGAATGTCGGGAGACCTTTATATTTAGAAAAAGGTCAACTTTATATTTGCATGTGAAAATGCAAATTGTTTATTTGATTAAGCGAATGCAGCATTCCTTCCCTCTTCGAAAAGAACGTCCACGTTCTAATATTTTGGGAGATTTGTTTAAGCTGCTTTTTTAACTAACTGCTTTTTTTTTAACTAAATTTTCTCCGATTGAACGGGTGGCACTTTAATTTTTATTATTAATTTAGCTTTCTCGTCTTTTTTTCTCATGACGGAATTTTCAATAATTATTTTTCTTTTTTTTTTGTTGATATCGCTTAACAATCTCCATTTGGGTTTAAAAATCTTTTTCTTGTCATCAAAGATTTTCTGCTGTTGGTGATTTAACTCCATATTCTCCGACTTTAATAATTTTTAGAGAGAATTACTGAATAGGGCAGATTACATAATTTTGGGGGTTAAAAACAGAAAAATTGCATACATGGGAATTAAGAAAAATATTGGGTTACAAAAATTTAAAAAAAATTAATGAGTTTGACAAGAACCTATGGAGTTTCTTTCACAGCCTAGTTGAATTTGGAGCATCATTTCTTTCCAGTATTGTCCATTGTATTCAGATGATGAGTGCCATGTGTCATTTTGCATCCAGTTGACCAGTCATTTTATTGTTGACCCTTATCATTGAATTGTTGAGGCATAGTTCCATTATTGTTGTTCTTCTCTGACTTCTAATTGAGTTTCTCCGTTTTCAAAACGGGCAAAAGATTTTATGATCAATCTTCAAAATTTCTTATTTTTTTACTTTTTATGAAAAATTCTTAAACACTTTTTTCCTTCCCTTCAATAAAAAAATCGTCTTGTTTTGCTTGTCTTCCACAGCTATCACTGCTTAAAGATTAAGTTTAGATCCATTCGCGGTTTTATTTGCTGCGCTTCCACGCGTCTTATGCATTATAGCCAGGCACCTAGCCCGCACAAAGCTTCGGCTATTTAATTATTTACCACAGAAAGTTCTTTTCCGCTTCTATCTTCAGTGTTAACTTTTCAGATCATTACATCTTCAAGACGGGTTTTTTAAATCATTCCATTTCAATATTTCCACTTTCTAGAATTTTTCAATTTTTCTCACATCAGGCTATGCCATTATTTTATTTGTGGATGCTTTATTAATTTCAAATTTCTTAGCTATCTCGGTTTATAACCGGTATTTTAATTTATTCAATTTCACGAATATTTTCTTTCTTCGGGTCAATGCCCGGTATTTTTATTTTTAGTCCTCTCAGAATAGCCCGGGACATGTGGCACCAATTGTTGTATTTGGGTTTATATAGCTTAACTCGGGTTCTACTATTCTGGGGACTTGTATTAGACTGAATTACATTATTTAAATATTTCTTTATTCCATTCAATTTATTCTCCATATAAATATGGGATACAATAACAAGGGAGAGAAATGGTTGGGCCAAGTCTTCTAATAATGAGGAAAAGTCTGGGGTATTTATAGAGACAATTTAAGGGTCAAAATATAAATGGAAAGTGAATAACAAAGATAAGATAAGAGTCAAGAATTGTTTGGGAATGTCGGGAGACCTTTATATTTAGAAAAAGGTCAACTTTATATTTGCATGTGAAAATGCAAATTGTTTATTTGATTAAGCGAATGCAGCATTTAGCATTTGCGAATTCCGTGCAAATAAGCAGAATTGTTGACATTTTTTTATATTATGTATTATTTTTAGAGATCAGATTTAATATCTTCAAATGTTCTTTAGTGGAAATGCCTATGGGAACAACCGTGGCGGGCGTTCACAAAATGTTAATTAAGTTTCTTATAATACTAATGTAATATTACTATTTCAGCCTAACTATAATTGGCCAAATTCCACTTCTGGGTCTGGTGCAGCTAATGGTTCTGGGTACAAGGGTGGATTCAGTTCTGGTAGTAGCGGGGATCATGGAGGCAGAGCTAACACTTTAAAAACGGGCGGATTTAGTCGTTGGAATCCCTCCAATGAAACCAATGAGGCGAAGAATAGTGACAGCAGCTCTTTGGTGCCTATTAGCAAAGACAATTATACTCCAGTTGCTTCTGTACAAGCTCGCGATCAGGCCGATGTGGATCGTTGGATGGTTGAGAATAATGTTTCGTTAAATGGCGAGGATGTGCCGTGCCCAGTTTTTGAATTTGAAGAATCAACCTTTCCAGGTCTGTTTAATATAAATTTCATGTCTAGGATCTTCTTTCAAATTTTTAGGGATGATTGTTAATCTTCTGTTAACTCATTTTCAAAAACCGACACCAATTCAAAGCATTTCTTGGCCGGTCGCTTTGAGCGGGCATGACTTGGTTTTATTATTTCTGTTTGCAATATTGTACCTTTCTTTCTAGATCTCAATAGCAAAAACTGGTTCTGGCAAGACAATTGGTTTCATTTTGCCTTCTATTGTGCATGTTCAGTCACAGCCAACACGAAATCTTCAGGATGGACCGGCTGTCATTATTCTACTTCCAACTCGAGAGCTTGCTCAGCAAGTAGAACAAGTGGCTCAGGAATACTGCAAAGTTATGCGAATTAATCTTGCTTGTTGTTATGGCGGTTCACCTAAGGGGCCACAGATGTCAACTATGAAGAGAGGTCTGTTTAGCACAGTTTTGAATTTTACGGATTTTAATCTTGATCATTTCTCAGGTGTTGATATTTGTGTAGCTACGCCTGGCCGACTTACGGATTTTATTGACACGAATGTTGTGAAGTTAAAACGTTGTTCTTTGCTTATAATGGATGAGGCTGATAGGATGCTTGATATGGGTAAATTTACCCTATTTCTGTTTAAAATTTCTTCTATTAGGTTTTGAGCCGCAAATTCGTAAAATTGCACAACAAATTCGAGTATGTTCTTATATATTAGTCTTTTTCCTCCAACTATTAATTATGAATTTAGAATGATCGCCAAACATTAATGTTCTCAGCAACTTGGCCACAAGATGTGCGCAAACTTGCTTCAGATTTTCAAAAGAATCCAATTCATTTAACTGTTGGATCTTTGGAGCTTTCTGCCAACCACAATATTGAGCAAAATGTTGAAGTGATTGATGAGTATAACAAAACAAAACGACTTGAAGAGATACTTGAAGATATTACGAAACAAGTTCTTTTTTATTTAAAATAGTAACTTTCGCATATTTTCAGGTTCAATCTAAGACGATCATTTTTGTCAAAACTAAAAGGAAGGCTTATGAACTTTCTCGTTTGGTTCGTCAATCTGGGTACTAGTTTAGTTTCATAATCTAAATACGTTACTTTTCCAGTTATCCTGCATTATGTATTCATGGAGACAAAGACCAAAGTGAACGAAATTGGGTTTTAGAACGTGAATAAACTTTTTCTTTCAAAAAAGTTAATTTAATTTTAGAATTCAAACAAGGAAAAGCTAGCATTCTTTTGGCTACGGATGTTGCAGCGAGGGGCATAGGTAAAGAAGAAAAAACTAGTCAATGCTTCCTTTCTTCTTCGCGGCCATATTCATGGTCTAGAAGGTGGAGAGCATAAAATTTGTTCATTTCTGCGCATCAATTGTTCGCTTATTAAAATAGCGACATTTGCGTGCAGCTTGAGTAAGGTTTTCAATTGCTTTATTTGCAAATGCAATAAATTCTGAGAATTCCAAAAAATATTTTCTGAATTTAAATTAAAAGAAAAAGAACAATTTTATTGGTTTTGACTGTTAAATTTTCATTTAATTAATTCTCATTATTTTTTCATTTCTCAGATGTGCATGACATAAAATTCGTGATCAATTACGATTACCCAAACAGTTCAGAAGATTATATCCATCGAATTGGGCGCACTGGGCGTCGTGATCAGAAGGTTTTAATATTTAAACCCAAATTAGATTAAATAGATTTAAAGTCAGAATATTCAAATCAATGAAAATTTCAGGGAACTGCTTATTCCTTTTTTACAAGTGGAGACAATGCAAAGGCAGCTGATCTAGTCAAGGTCTTACAAGAGGCTAATCAGAACATCCCAGAAGAATTGGAGATAATTGCGTTTATGCGTGATGGACGGGGCAGAGGTAATGGTCGAAAGCGCGATTGGAATTCTGGAAACGAAAATTCATATGGCGGGAGAGGCAGAGGGGGAGGTTGACATTGTTATTTTTTGATTTTTAATTTAACTCGCAATTTTAGGAAGCCGAGGCAGAGGCGATAGTGGGCGTGGGAAATTTGATGGATTTGGAGGAGGAGAGTCAAAGCGTATTCGATATGATGGTATGTTTAAATCTGTTTTACATATATTAGGTGTAGGGTTTGAAATATTTTTTGCTTTAATGTTTAAATTGTAGATGAAGGTGAAGCAAGTCCTTACAAATCAAACAATTCAAGAGGATCTCGCAACTTTCGAGGCGGAAGAGGTGGTGGATACTCAGGCAATTCGGGGCGGTCTGATTCGCGCTGGTAGAGGAATATTTACTTTTAATGAAGAAAGACTTTTAGTAACTGTTCACTATTGTTATGAAATGAATTTTGAAATTTATTAAATGAAAAGTTTATTTCTGAGGATTTTTTTCAATGGTCTTGCAAGCAATAAACATGAGTAGGGCTAGGCAAAACGTGCAGGATTGGTAGTTTGAGTCCCTTTCCTTTTTCAGTCTTTAGTCAATTTGGTTGTCGTTTAAAGACAACATGAAAAAGGTAAGGGACTCGAACTAGGTTTTCATAGCATTGAGACAAGAATAAAAATATGAAAAATGCTGTGAATTTGCAATTAGTCTTTAGAATTTAATTAAATCTCAACTCTGTCATTTCAACTGAAGAATAAATGTCTGTCCTTGACTATTAGCCGCCAGGACAATACTTGTATTACGTTTCCAACAAACCGCGGAAACAAAATCATTAGTTGAATGGTGTTGTGTAGGTGGGACAGGATCAGAAAACGAAGGGGATGGATTAGTAGAAGAGGTAGCATTCCCAGTAGTCGTTTCTGGCGCGGTTGGTTGTATGTTGTCCACAGAGCGGGTTGTGCAGTCGAATGAAAGCAAGGGATCAAAGACTTTTTTGTAGTAGAGATATAGTCTATTGTTTTCGCTTCCTATAATCGTGAATGAAATCTTGGTCATTTTATGTTAGTTTTCAATGACTAACCACAAACAACGTGATTTCCATCTGTTGCCATACCTACAAAATTTTTCTCGTTTTGATGGCCACGCATTGTTTGAAGACATTTTCCAGTGTTAACGTCCCATAGGCGCAGATTGCTGTCTGTTGAACTAAAATATTTCCAAGTAACATCTACACTCGTATAAATATTAACTCACGCAGAGATAACTTCATCCTCGTTGGCATATTTTACATATGAGACGGCTTTCTTGTGCCCACGAAAGACATTCAATGGTTTTCCTGGCTGTCGAATATCGTAAAGATGCACACAATGGTCTATAATTACTTTGGAATATAAAAATAAAGAAAAATATGTAATACCTGAAGAACCGAATACTAGCTTAAATTATAGAAATTAAATTTGAAAGACAAATGGAAAAAAACCTGATTCCGATATTTTGGAGAAAAATAAACACAGCAAACCTATAATTCCAAGAAAATTTTCAACAGAAATTGTTTTAACAAAACAAACATTCACACGAGCATCAATTGTGCAAACAGACTGTGAGGCATGTAACGCCCATAATTTTACTTTTCCATCATCACTTCCGCTAGCCATTAAATGAGGGTCAATATTATTGAATTGAACTGTCCAACAACGCTTCTCGTGTTCTTTAAATGTACGAGTGCAAACGGCAGCTGCAGTGTCCCAAAGCTAAAAATTAATGTCGGAAATAAAAAAAATACACGGTCCGGCCAAAAAAATTATTGAAATTAACAAAAACAAAGATTAACTATAAAATATAAATTAACCTGAACAGTCCCTTCATAATCACTACTTGCCAACATGTTCTTATTGTATGGATTCCAAGAAATATTGCTAAAAATATTTATTTAATAAAAGAAAATATTCATGTATTGAGGATTGATTTTCAAACAAACAATCTAATTGTAAGGTTAGATAGAAACGGTTTATGTATAAATGTCCGAAAAGTAAAATATACATCTTAAGGAGTTATAAAATAAACCTAATTTTTGAATTACAAATTAGCTGCTCCAATGGATAGTGTAACTCCCCTTCAAAGTTGACAATAGCCTCATAATTGTATAATTTAATTTTCTTTGCCACTCCAGCGATTACGAAAAATTCTCCATCTTTATCAAATTCAATGCTAGAGACAATAGAAAGAGAACTGTTAGATTCCAAATTATAGTTTAACGTTGCAAGTAATTTCATATCTCCATATTGATAGAGTCGTTTGACTGTTTCAGAAAATTCGTCAAGTTCAGCATGTGAAACACTACCGAGGGAAGAACTGATGTCTATTAAAAAGAAAATTGGGATTTTTTTTGAAGAACAATTAAATTTTGGAAAAACAGAAAATTAATTTTTAGTTATAGGGGACTACCAAAAAATTTATTTGAAATTCACCGCTATTCTTATTAACATTGAGAGAGGTTTTAGAACCAAAATAGGCAGATTCAAGCGATGCGACATGTCGACACATTCTTCGTCGATAATGATACAATTTTTCTGTAAGGTTAGCTTGAAATTGAAGAGCTTGAGTAGTCGAAGGCGAGTCTGATCGGAGATTGTTTTCTTCTGCTAAAGGCGCCAAGTGATCGTTGGAAGTATTAGATAATGATGGATCAACAGACAATAATTGCATAACTTGATTACTATCAGGAACTAATCGTTGTAAAGAGCTTGGACTGAGTTGGCTAGTTAATGTATTCTATAAATTATGATTAATTATTTAAAAAAATGTATTAAAAAACCAACAAAAATATGTTGTTTATCCCGTTTTAGAGTGTCCAATTCGGCTTGAATTATTTTTGCTGTATTTTCTCTTTTAGCAATCATACGGTCAAATAAGTCATTAAGAAGCAAATTTTGAATCTGTTGATTATTCAATTCTAATTCCGTTTGTCGACGTTTTAGCAGTTCAGAAATTCGTTGAACTGACTCCAATGACAGTTGTTGATTCTAGTAAAAAAAGTGATAAAAAAATCGTCGAGAAAATAATTTTAAGAGGTTAGAAAAAATAAGCCTTTTTAAAATAATGAAATTAAAAAAAAATTTAAGAAAATAGAATCAAAAAATTTTGTAGAATTTGACTTTGTGTTTCTCCTTTTTTATATTCCAAGAAGTCCTCCTATGTATATGAAAAAAATCAAAGGCAAATAGAGGGTAATTTTGGGAAAAATAAAAAAATGAGAAACAATGTTTTCAGATGCTTTTAGATTAACATGAAAAATTTACCTGTATCATTTGTAAGATCTGATCACCATTATCTGGTTGGCCAGTGACCGTTTGAGACGAATGTCCTACACAATTTTCCTTTTTTGTTTCAACGTCAACTAGAATTTTATCGATCATTGAAGAAACCGTAAAATTAGGGCACAAAGTTTTTAGCCGTTTAACATCTAAATTTGTATCACAGATAGGGCACTGAGGAGAATGTTGAATACTATAAAATTAAAAATAATTAATCTAAAAATAAGCAATACCTTCGGGTAATACAAGATCTACAAAAAGTATGTCCACAGATTGTGCTATAAGGCTCATTAAATATTTGGAGACAAATTTTGCTAAAATAAAAAAATTTTTAAATTTTATTTATTAAAATAAAAAATAAACCAATGGAGAGGATTTTCATCTTCATCTTTTCCATGTGAATTGAGCCTTTTTCTGTTGATATGAGAAACAAATTGTTGCATTTTTCTATTTAAAAACAAGAATTAAAAAATAAAATTGTGTTAAATGACTAGAATTTGTATTTGTCCATGTGGCGAAATGGCAAAATTTAGTGAAATATACAAAGTGGAATAATACAAAACGTTAGAAAATTTTGTTAAAAAAGTCAAAATATCAAAATTTTAAAATGCCCATTTATTTAATTAATGTTGATGTTTTAATTTTTTCTTAGTTTTTAATAACTTTAAGTTTTTTTAACTTGTAATGGATGCCTACAATAATGAAAAAGCCTTTCAATCACAAGCAACATTTAAAATGCTTCGACGACTTCATGGACATAATTTGGAGAGCCAAGGATTAAACAACCTTTCTGAAGCTTTCCAAAGCTTTGTAACTAGAGTAAAGTTTTTCAGTGTTGGCAGACTTCGGAGAACCTGGTCTTATTCTGCACTTGAATTTATGAAATATAGACGCTTATTGCCTATGATTGTTGGAGATGAACAAGATCCAGGCAGTGTTTTTGACGGTTTCTTGTAAATTTAAATTTATTAAATAATTTTTTTTAAAGAATTTATGGACATTGGAGTTGATGGCCTTCCTTTTACTGCTCGACAAGTAGAAGCAAGTTTAGAGGAGAAAGGAATTTGTGTCAGTAATGTTTCTTCAAAAGTAACAAGAAATCAATTGCAATCATTCTTTTGCAAATTTGGAAAGGTATTCATTTTTTACTTTTTTTATTCCTTATATTTTTAAGGTTCAATCTTGTCGTATACCTTCATCAAAAGGATCTAGTGTATACGCAACAATGCCAAAAAAGAAATTACACGGAACCTGTTTAATTACCTTCAAGTTTGTTATTTTTTATTATCTTTTGTGAATTGAATACAGACTTAACATTCACACATTTTTCATTTAATTTTACTTTAGAAATCCTCAATCCGCAGTAAAAGCCAAACGAGCACTTCCAGAGGAATTGTTATTTTATGGACAACAAATGGTTGTAATGCCGGTATACTATTATAATAATTTTAGTTTTAAAATTTATTTTTTTCAGTATATTCCTTCATCTGCTTCATGGAGACGGACTGTCTCTTCTCCAAACGCAAAAATGCTAGATTCTGAATTTAATCAGGAATCCTTTTCAGTTGGAAAACTTTCCCGTACATCATCTGGTAGTTCCTTAGCCTCAACTACAACTTGTTCCTCTGCGGTATTTTTTTTATCATAGTTTTTTAAATTTTATTTCTTTTTATATATTTTTTCTTTAAACGTTTTTATTAATCAAATAAATATTAAAAATTACTTTAAAAATTTAGACTTTGGCTTCAACAGCTTCCTCTGCCACAATTCCGATTGATGAACTTCCAGATCGAGCTTTAACGCGTATTCTCTTTTTTGTCGGCCCATTAGATCGTATTCGATTGGAACGTGTCAGTAAACATTGGCTAGAGCTTTCAACAAAAGCTTGGGCACAAAGTCGTTCTCTTCATTTTTCTGAAGAGCCAGAATTACTGCGACATTTTAACAAATCTTTTCCCATGTGTCATGTTCATTTAAAAGCAATTCTTCGTCGTTCTGGCCCACATATTCGTTCATTAAGTCTTGCTGATATAAATCAATTATTTGATGAGAATTCTGTACTTGAAGTTGGAGCTCTCTGTCCTGAATTAACAAATGTTTGTTTATTTATAATTACTTTAAAATAAATGATTTTTCAGCTCAATCTTTCAAGTATTACAGCTTCACCTGAAACGTTAAGAGTTTTATCAGAATCATTTCCAAAGCTAACAAAAATTGCTTATTGTGGAATGACTCAAACAAATGAAAAGGCCTTTTTATTTCTACTTAAATCTATGGCCAGTAGACTTCGTTCTGTTGATTTTCGTGGGTGTACAAGGTTAAAAGGAAGCTTTTTTACTCTCTTTGGGACTGCTCTTGAGGAGGTATTTTTGGAAGATTTATATTTTTAAATTTTTCTTCGATTAAGAAAATAGATGATTTAGTTAATTAAAATAAGAGCAAATTAAAAAAATTTTTTAAATTTACAATCTCAAAATAATTTTCATTAATTACAGGTTCTCTTGGACGGATGCATTTTTTTGGACAATCATGTAATTGAAGATTTAAGTGTTCGCTGCAATTGTATTCACACTTTTAAACTTGATGGATGCAGAAAATTAAACGATGAAAGTTTAAGGTTATTTTTAATTTTTTGTTTTTTATAATAAAATTTTCTAGTTTAATTTCACGCAATTTTAACGGACTTACAACTCTAACATTGTGTGGTGTATTTCCCCTTTTCACAAATAAAGGTCTCAAACAAATTTCAAGAATTAGTTCTCTTCAAACTTTAAGGTTATTTATTATAAAAACTTTTTAGAGATACAGATCTTTTAGTTTGGATTATAACCCTCTAGTTGATGATAATTTACTTTCTTCTGTTTCTGATAATCTCCAAAATCTTCGAAAATTTACACTTTCATTTGCTGGGACAGATTGTCAAATAACAACTAATGGATTGTGTTTATTAGCAAAATTAAAAAAATTGGAAGAATTAGATCTGAGCGGTTTAGCAGCTTTAAACGTTCAAGTATTAAAATCAATTTGCATTGATGGATGTTTGGAATTACGAACAATTTTTTTGAGGAATTGTAGTTATTTGGGTGATGATGGTATTGCTGAACTTGGAAATTTAACAAAATTAGAGAATGTAGATTTAAGTGGATGTATTTTGGTATGTTTCTGTATATTAGTCATCACAGTTTTCGTTTTTGACTCGTATCAGCTTCCAAGGTTGTAGCTAGGAGTTCGATTTCAAGGGGGGTTAAAATGAAGTGTGTGTCATAATTTTGGCATTTACTTTGGATTTCGGACGCATTTTTTGTAAATATATTATGTTTTCAGCGCCGCAGGCGAAACTTTTCGGGGGTGTAGGCGAAAAAATTCACTTTTTTGTCATTTCCCTCTCAAAACTTTATTTTCCCCATATTAGGTGGGGGGCTATACTAGACCCTTGTCAGCTTGTATTCGATTTTAATCTTATAAATTTAAGGTATCAAATGAGTCAATATTGAAGCTTTGTGGTCTGTTTAAAAATGAGGTATGTTTTTTTCTGTTTCAAAACTTTTTATTTATTTTTAGTCAAATCCTCATGCCTATCCAGTGAAAATTATCATTGGTGGAACAATTTGTGAACCACACAAAATTCGCCGTCCAAACGGCTCTCGTGTTATTCTAGATCAAGCTGACAATAGTTCATTGAACCTCAATTATTTGTCCTCCTTTGTTGATGAGAATGAACTTTTTAATGGAGATGAAGATGATGAATTTAGAATTCTTTCAGCGCACAGTAAACTGATAATTTCTTTACTATTTTATTAAAAAATTAAAGGAGATTTTATTTCTAATGCATTACAAACTGAGGAAGATGATTCTCCATTGGGTGATGATCCGAAGAAAATTTTAGCATGGGTAGAAAGGGAGGCTACTGAACTTGGACTTTTTAATAAAGAATAGAGAAAACTATTAGTATATGTAATTCATTCATTTTGCTTGTAGATATTTTTCTTCAAATCTATCTTATTGTTAGTAATTTGACTATAATTAGTGATATATTTTCAATGGATTTAAATTTTTGTAAAGATTTTAATAAATAATTAACAATTTTGGTCTTAAATATTCTAACAATGTGCTTCTCCTTTCAAGGCAAGGCATATCAACTCAAATCAAGTTTTGGGAAAATCAAATTATTATATAAAACGTTACCGATTCCGATTATTAGGAACCTAAAAAGGCCGAATAACCGAAAATTTCTGGTTCGGTGATCGGTACAGATTCCGGATAACCGTAAGTTTCCCAGGAACCGCCAACCTTAATTATATATTAAGGTTGGCGGAAACTACATATGTTAAATTTTTATAATTTACTCTTCCAAAGTTAAAGGTAAACATTAAAATAAAAGCTGAAATTTACTTGCATTGTTAAATTTGAAAAGTTTATTAAAATTTGTACGGTATTCGAAAAATGATTAACTCATTTGTTAACCCTTTTTTGAAAGGTGATACATTTTGTTGAATTTATTGAAAATGTTAAATTCTCTATTTGCTCAATTTTTGCGATGTGAAAAGATTATTCACAATCATCTGCATGATTCTCGACATTTAAATTTTCTTTGAGCAGTAAATTCAACGATTTTTTAAACAAAATTTTTAAACAATGTTTATTAATTTTGTGTTTGTCATTAATAATCGAAATGTTAATAGTTTATAAATGTCATGATTTTATCTTGCATATTGAGAACATGAATAAGAATAACATTGACAAATAATTTCTTGTTTTAAAAAAATTTAAATGTCTCATCCACCCACCTATTTAAAGGCATATAAATTCAGACATAATAAGATTATTTTATCTTCATTCACATTTGTCCCATAATAAAGAAAATGTTACCTAGAATGTTATTGTTTATATCTGTAATATTTTTCTTCCTTCGTTTTTCTTTAGTATCTGGAAACAGTTATGGCGCATATGATAAAGGTAAATATGGGACGGACTACAAAAAACCCAGTTACGACGATGGATATAAGCCCAGCTACGACAGCGGTTACAAGCCCAGTTACGATAGTAGTTACAAAAAGCCTAGCTACGACAGCGGTTATAAGCCCAGTTATGATAGTGGTTACAAAAAGCCCAGCTACGACAGCGGTTATAAGCCCAGTTATGATAGTGGTTACAAAAAGCCCAACTACGATAATTACAAGCCCAGCTACGACAATGGCTACAAAAAGCCCAGCTACGACAGTGGTTACAAGCCCAGCTACGACAATTACAAGCCCAGTTACGACAGTGGTTATAAAAAACCCAGCTACGACAGTTACAAGCCCAGCTACGATAATTACAAGCCCAGCTACGACAATGGCTACAAGAAACCGAGCTACGACAGTGGTTACAAGCCCAGCTACGACAGTGGTTACAAGCCCAGCTACGACAATGGTTACAAAAAGCCCAGCTACGATAATTACAAGCCCAGCTACGACAATGGGTACAAAAAGCCCAGCTACGATAGTGGTTACAAGCCCAGCTACGATGATGGTTACAAAAAGCCCAGCTACGACAGTTACAAGCCCAGCTACGACAATTACAAACCCAGCTACGACAGCTACAAGCCCAGTTACGACGATGGTTACAAAAAGCACAGTTACGGCGGAAAATACGGCGGCGGTTACAAAAAAAGCAAATACAACAAATACAACTCTTATAGCGGTAGCTCCAGCGAGGAAGAATATCCACCAAGACACCACTACAGAGGAGGCTACCATGGTGGTCATCGTTATGGTCACAAAAAGCATCACTATGCCGGAGGTTAGTCACAAAATATATTGGAATAAATTAGATTTAATTACCATAAAACTTGTATTATAATTAAATTCCCCTCAATTTTTCAAGTCTTTGAACATTTATATATTGTGAGACGAACATAAAACATGTTACTGAGTGTCATTCTAATAGAGGTGTTATTTTAATACAGGTTTTATGGTATGCTTCGATTAAAGGAAAATGAAGTTTTGATCAATAGGAATGAGTTCGGGATAGTTTTGACATCATTTTAGCCTTTATATCTTACATTACTTTCTAATATTCTTTCTAATTCAGGTTATCCAACGTACATCTACCCATCACCATATCAACCGATGAGTCCCATTCAACCAATTCCACAAATACCAAGTTTTAATTAAATATTAAATCTATTTCTACATTTTCTTTTTAGACCCTTGGCAACTAACTCCCTCTCAGCCAATTCCACCAATGCCAAGTTGATTATCTATAAGCCTCAATCAATTTTTTTTGCATTTAAGATCCCTTGATACCAAATCCACAACAGCCTTGGGCATCACTTCTTCCAGCAAACCAAAGCAACGTCGTAATGCCCCCAGCTATGCCAATTCTCCCACCGCCAGCAATTGTATGGCCTCCTGGTACCCCCTTTGGTGCTAAAAAAGTGAAACGTGATGGTAAAATTTTAAAAATATACATAATTAATTAGTATTTAACAGTCTATTTTTATTAATTTCCAGCCCTATCCCAAATCAATGATGCAGAATCTGAGCTTGGACTACTCCCACCACAACGTTTTGAACGTGCCATTAAGGAGAAAACTAAAATTCCAAAACCAACAACTGAATTACCAAAAACTACAAAAGAGCCAAAAATTTCAACAACAACTGAAGAAAGTTAGAAAAATAAAAAAAATATTTTAATTAAAATATTATTTAATTATGAAAATATTAAATTTTTATTTTTAGTATATGAAGGGGAAGAAGAACCAGAAGAAGAGGAAAACGAAGAAATTGAAGAAGAAAACGAGTATTTCCGTTCGGATGACAATAATCAACATGTTGGATATATTCAAGGCGAAATTAATAGTATTTGGGAAGAAAAGAAGAAAAAATAAATTAATTTTAAAAAACATATTTTAAATTAAAAAATGTGAGACAATAAAATTAATAATTAATTTTTTTGTAATATTTTATTAAAGAATTTAAGTTAAAGTAAAAATGTTTATTTATAAAATTAAATATAAAAAGTTTTCCTATATACAAAAAGTATATCAAAAAAGCGAAAAATTTTTAGGCTAAAAAATATAGATATGAAATATTTAAAAACCGAAAATTTAAAAAAGATCGTAAATAACACACAATATTTAGGTATATATTTTTATTTTAATCAGTAGTTGTACAGCTTCTAATTAATTGATGTCCAGAACTAAAAGGAGAACTAGACGATGCAGCAATTGCACGTAAATCTCTCCTACATATAGGTAAACGCCTCTCAGTTCCAGCCATTGAATTTCTGTCAATTGGAATTTCTATTCGCCGACAGAGATCTGCAATGTCGCGAAGAAGTTCATGGCGATTTGGATTATTTAAGAATATCTTAAATAATGAAAAATTTTAAAAACTAATTTTAAATTTAATTGCCCCCACCCTCTACTTTCCCAAATATATTTAAGTAATGTTAGGGAATAGAGGGAAATTGTGAGGATTCAATGTTAAAATACGAGAGAATATTCTTTTAAAAAAAATTCCACTAAACTCTCCTCACTATTACCTGTAATATATTATCATCAATTCCATCAGCATCCAAAAGTTCTTCTCCTTCAGATACTCTCCAAGCTAAACGAATTTTACTATTAGAATAAGCACGTAATTGAATAGATGATTGATGTAAAAGAACCCCTTCATTATTTGGAAAATTAATTAAAGCAAAATGTTTTTTATTATTTTTAGTATTATTATATCCATTTTCTTGTATAGAACAACCATTTTGATGTTCATTTAAATTATTATATCCATTTATTTTCTTAAAAATAAATATAATTTTAAATAAAAGAATGGACAAAGAATAGAGAGAGATAACACAAAACTACTAATTTAAAAATAAATCTCGTCTTAATTTTTAAAAAATTAATTACATTTTCTTGTAATAAACAATTAATATTTTCCATTAAAGCATCCAAAACACACTGAATTGAAATAACTTCCCAATTTTTCCCTTCATTTGCCCAAGTAAAAAGATTTGTTAAAGACTTTTTACCAAGTTCATAAGAACCACTCAAAAATGTTATTGAATTATGTCCTCTATAAAATCCTTTAATAAATACGAGAGGAGGGAAAATATCTGACCGGACAAAAACCTTAAAAGAAATTATAATTTTAAATTAAAAATTAAATTTAACAGTTTTTAATGTTTGCATTACAAAACTTTCAACTCCAGGTAAAACATCACGAGTCATTTCAGAATTTAAATATTCTATAGAATATGATTGTTGGGCAAGAACTGAACAAATTAAAGTTTTACGAGAATCTATTGAACAAAAAGTTCCTTTAAAAAGAATTTTCTTTTTAAAAAAATTTTTTAAAAGACCAATTAATCCAGTTCTTGTCGAAGCTATTGAAATAAATTCAAACCCATCCATTAAACATTCTTCTACTAAATAATCCGTTTCTGAAGCAAAATTAGAAGAATGGGGGCGGGCCTAAAATAAATATTTGAAAAAATACTTTTTTAAATTTATTTTTTTTACTTTAATCCATTCCTTCAATTCATTACTATTTCTTGCAATAGCTAAAGTATGTAAACAATTTTGTTCTACACAAACTGGCCGTAACAACATAGGGTAATTACAAACTTGGGTATTTGCATGAGAACTTTAAATAAAAATTATTTAAAAAAATATAATGGAATCCCGCTAATATGGACATTTCCCCAATCTCTTTGGGTATATGTAAGCCTAATTTAATTCACGGTAACACGTCGCTTCACTCATACGTAACACGTTGCTTCACTCATTTCTATCTATAGAGCAACGAATTAGCGGAATTCGTAATAATTAATTTAATTACATGTATTTAAATTAAAAATTATATTTAAATAATTATTTTTCAAAATTTAATTTTTATTTATTTACTTACACCCATTCATCTAATTTTCCTTGAACTGAACCAAAAGAACAAAATCTAATTAAATAAATATTTAAAAATAATCATTAAAAATAAATAACTACTTTAAAGTTTGTAGCCCTCCTCTTTTACAAATAGCCCTAACACTTTGCCTGTGCATTAATTGATCAAATTGGTCAACAGTTAAGCCCTCAATTCCCAATTCTTCCCTAATTTGAGCAATTTGTCTTTGTAAACATCTTTCGAAAGTACAAATTACTCTTTTAACATTTTCGAGAGCAGAACATTGTTCTCTAGTTTTTTGAAGTAAAGCAGCAAAATTGTGGTCTTTTGCAGTTATTGGGCCATCTACATTGTGAATTACATCAACTCTTAAATTTAAAGAGAGAATTTTTGTTTAAAAATTAATTTGGAATTTTTTAAATAATTGTTTTAAAATTTTCGTATAAATTTAATAAAATCTTAGAATATTCCCCCCAAACTTTATTTTTTAAATTAAAAATTTACTCTTGTTCATTAATAAGCAAATCTGAAGGTCCAATAATAATTAAACGAATTCCTTTGGGTTTTCTAATTCCATGAAGAGAAAGTCTGTGACGCCATAAAACAATAATAAATGCTGCAGAAAATGAATGAGAATTTGAAGTTGAAGAGGAGGAGGAGGGGGATTTATTTTGGCCATTTAAATTTTGAGAAGGAGCGGTCATTTTAGACTTATATTAGAAAAATATTTAAAAATTTATTTAAAAGAAGTAAAGATTTAAATATTGTTGAAGAATGGAAGGTTTATAAATTAAATTAAAAATATTTTATATTTAATTATAACCTTTTACTTGTTTATTATTTAATTTATCTAATAATTTTTATTTAAAAAAATATATTTAAAAGAAAAGTACAACTTTAAAAGACTACCAATTTACTCGTAAATTCTAAAAAAATCTTTTTAAATTAAAAACATTTCTAGCCAAATTTTAAACAAAAAATAAATACAAAAAAAAGACGGAAACAAAAAATAGATATATCGAAACTAGTTAAATAAAATAAAGCAATGGCGTGAGAAATTAGTGAACTATAAAACTAGTAAAAATGGATATATGAGGAGAGAGAGGATAGAATTATTAAGTCTTCTTTTATTAAAAAAAGATTTTTTTTAAAAAGAATAAAAAATATATGTACAATTTTATAAAAAAATTAAAAAATAAATTAATTTAAAATTAATAATTAAATTTAAAAATATTCCTTAAAATTAATTATAGGTATTTTTTTTCTTAAATTATTTAAAATTATGTTAGCTGATATACATATTAAAAATAAATTATTTCATTTAATTTCTAAATACTTTCGCGCACAAATAAATTAAATATTGTCTAATAAATAAAGTAGCTTGGCAATACATACATATGTTATTTAAATGGATGTGGGGAGGAATTTAAGGAGGAGAATATTAAAAAACTACGTAAAGATGATAAATTAAAAAAAATTCTTTGGGCATTAAATATTTAAATTATTTTAACAAAATTATAAAAAAAAATTCAAAAATTGATGGTTAATAATTCTTATAAAAATTCCAAGGCTTATTTTTTCATTTTTAATACTTACACATACTAATACTTTTTTTAAAATAAATAAATATAGTAATGTCAATTTATAATGTCAATATTCTTACTTTTTTTTCTAAATTTTTGTTCTATCTTCTTTCATTAGAAAATTCTCCATTTACATAATTAAGGGACAAATGTTGAAACGACTGACTTGAGTCATTTTTTCCTTTTAATATTTTTTATTAAAAAAAGTTTTCTTTTGACTTTTAAAGGAAAAATGAAATGAAATAAATTTAAAGTAAAATGAGAAAATTAAATTAAAAAATATATTTTATTTATTTTTATTTTCACAGAAAATATGTAAAGGTATAAAATATATAAATTTATTTAAAATTAATTATTATTATGTGCTTGTTCTCCTCGGCATTTCATCAAAGTTTGTAGCAAAACGAGGTTTTAATGTTTGTTTTTCCCATCCATATTCTGTTGTTTTATAAATTGAAGAAATACACCAATTAGTGCCGGGAGTGTGTTTAACTTTAAATTAAATTTTAGAATTTATTTTTTAAATTAAAAATAACCAGTAACAACATTTCCTTCACTATTTTTATTTAAAATTCCCCCTTGATTTGTTGTAATTGAAATACGTGAGGGAGGGGAAATTTTTTGTTGTTTAATTGGTATATTTCTCCAAATTATTTTATTTTTATCAGAAAAAGAAGGATTTTCAGAATTATTATTTGAAGTTATTTCTGTAAATAATGAGGCATTTTCGTTTTTTATTTCTTCATTATTTTTGTTTTTTAATTGACTTTTTATTATTTTTGTTTCTGTTTTTATTTTGCCTGTTTCTTCACTAAATAAAAAAAATTTGAGGAAATTAAATTTAAAAATCTACCTTCTATTCCTCTTTATTTCAACAAATTTGTTAATTCTTTCATTTCTTCGGAAATCCAATTTATTAAATAATTCATTTTCAGCAAAATTATTTAATTTTGTTGAAATATTTGTAACAATACGTTCTCCTTTTTCAATTTTTTCTAACATATCACCACCCAAATATTCTAATTGTGTTATATTTATATGTTCAATAGTAAGAAGATTACGATTCTTTAAATTAAAAAATATCTTTAAATTAATTATTTATCTACCAATTTTGAGCCAGATAAAGGTCTACGACGGCATCTACGCATCTGCATTTTATGGTGGATTTGTTGAGTTTTACTTGAATTATTAGAAAACAATATTTTCTTTTCCTCCTCATTTCCTCTATTTATTTTTTGGAAATTAGAATGTTCAGGCTCGGAATCCAAAGATGTTCTTTGAGGTTTTTTAGGGGGAGAATTTAAATGAACAATTGTTTTTAAATGGCCTTTCTCCTCAAATTGTTCCACAATTGACTAAAAAATAAATATTTACTAATATCTTTTCTTACTTTATTTTTAATATTAAATTCTGCTTTTTCTAATTTTGTTAAAGGCAAAATTAACACTTTAGAATTAGCCTGCCAACTATCACTATTTAACTGAATATCAATATTAACCTTTAAATAATTTTAAAAAATACTTTAAAAAAATTAATTTCAATTTAACCTTTTCTTCTTCTTCCTTATTTCCATCAACTTGTTTCTTTATTAATTTATTATTCCATTCAGAAACAATATCTAAGGCTTCTGATTTTGTACTTTTTCTAGAAGAAATAATAGGTAATTGATCATTTAACGAATTAAATGAACTATCTTCTAAAAAATAAAAATATAAACTATCCTTTATTTTTTTTTAAATTTTTTACTTGATTCCTTAAATATATTATTATTGTCTTGATTATCATTTACTAAATATTCTTCATTAATTTCTTGTTGCTTCTTTTCCTCAATTAAAATATTAATTTGTTCAAGAGGTTTCCAATCAAGTACTTCACCACTTTTTGCTAAAAATTTGGGAAAAATTATTTTCAAAAAAATTAAATATATAATAATAGAAGCCTGTCTCATTATTTTATGGCTAATTTTAAAGAAAACTTTATTTTCTTAAAAACCAACATTTAATATTCTCTCCCTCCCCCTCTTCTGTTTGTTGTTCTTTTTTAATAATAGGACAAAATTCTGCCCCTTCATTAATTAATGCTGCTATATCTGAGGGGTCTAAAATTATTTCTTTATTAATTTCTTCTTCTTCTTTTTCATCTTCCTCTTCCTCATCCCCAAAACGTTTATACCAATCTGTTGCACTTAATTTTCTTTTTTCGTTAATTAAAGGTTTAAGTAATTCTTTATTTTCATTTTCTTCTTTTAAATTTTCTAAAGGTTTCCAACCAACAATTTCTTCCTCCACAGATTTAAACGGTAAATCTATTGTCATTATTGGTATATTATTGTTATTAATTAATTCTCTATTTAATTGTAAATTTGTTGAAGAAATATTTTTTGAAGGTAAAATTAACTAAAAAAATAAAAATTAATAAAAGATTGTGATTAAAAAATATACCTCAGATATTTCTTCTACTTTATTTAATTTATCAATTGGGACTAATAAAGGAAAGTCAATACTCAAAGCCCCAGGCTGTAATTCTACAAAAATTCCAGAATCGTCTAACATTTGATCATCCGGACCAATTAAACGTCTTCTGCTATATTCGGGCGTTAATTCTTCAAAAGGAAGTTGAATTCCGACAGTCGAAGATTTTTCTTGTTTATTTGGGGGTGGGGGAGATATGGAAGTAAAATCTGGGGGAGATTCAGCAGCAAGTCCAGAATCGGACCAATGCCTGTCATGTTGAGGTATTGCATTGTTTGGATGGGATTCTGTTGAGGAAGAAGAAAAATCCTTTTTTTAAAACAAAAAATCAATTTAAATTTAAATTTAAATAAAAATAAATACTTTAATTTCAACAGCATCTCTAAATATTTGATCAATAATTTCAATAATTCTTTTAGAATCATTACTATCATCCAAAATATTTGTTGTATTATTCTCTTCTTTTTCAAAAAAATTAATTTTAGGTCTATCAGGCACAGTAACACTCAAAGGGGAATATTCTAATGTTTTGTTTGGAGAAATTAATAAATTTTGAGGTGATTGCTTTAAAAAAATTTATTTTTTTTTTAAATTTAAAAATTAAATTACAATTATTTCTTCGAAATTTTCAACATCTTCAGTAAAAGCTTCTTCATAAAATTCTTCTTCTTCACAATATTTCCATTTACTAATTATTTCTCCTTCTTCCTTCTCTTCTCTTTTACTACTTTTAATTAATTCTTCTATAAAACTTAAATCTGTTGAAGGAATTTCTTTGGAAATATTTAAATTTTTTGAATTTTCTTGAAAGTTCTGGTTTTCTTTTAATTTATCAACATCCTCAATTTCAGTTTTATTTAAATTATTTAATTGCTTAAAGAAAAAAAATAATCTTCTTAGAATATATCTTTACCAGTCTTGGTAATGGATACGGATATGGATACAGATAAGTTCAAAATGTCTGCGGGTATCCGTCTTTATTCGCCGTAAATATCCGGATACAGATACCAAAATCCATGTCCATTACCAAGTCTGATCTTTCCAAACCTTTTCCCAATGTCTTTCTGGGAAAATTGAAAAAACTTTGCTAAGAACTTCGTCTTCTTCCATTTCCTCTTCCCTTTCTTTTAATCCCTCCTCATTTTCATCTCCTTCACTTATATCCCAAATTTTTCTACCAATTCCTCCTTCTTCTTCCTCCTCCTTCTTCCCTTCAATTTTCCCCCAAATTTCTTCTCTTAATTTTCCTCCTTCTTCAATTCCATTTTCAGGAAATAAATTAATACCTCCTCCATATTTACATCCCAATTCATTTATATCTACAATTTCTGTTTGATTGTTTGAAGGCACTAATTTGTTTTCAAGAATATTTTTTAATCGTTCAATAACTTTAAAATAAAAAATTATTTTTATTTAAATTCCTCTCATTTACCATTAGGTAAATATCTTAATCTAAACCATCCAGGCCTTTCCATTCCCAATTCTTCACCACAAATTAATTCAATTTTTCCAATTTGTTTAAATTCTTTATAAAGTTCTTTTTCAGAAACAAAAGAAATATTTCCATTAATTAACGGCAAATACTTTTTAAATTAAAAAAACTTTTTTTTAAATTAATTCAAAAATTAAATACTTTAAATAAATCAATTAATATCCATTGTGTTATTGGCCTTTCTGTTTTTAATATTTGTTTCGAATAAATATTTAGTATATTTTTAAGTTCATTCAACATTTGTAAAGAAAGGGTTTCAAGTCTAAATTTTCTTTTTTCAAAAAGTTTTGATGTCCATTCTTTTTTTTTTAAAGAAAACTTTTATTTAAAGAAAATACAAAAATTTGTCAATACCAAAATCATCCAAAAGTTTGGAAGCAAAAAATTGTACTAAAGGGGAACATTGTTGGTAATGAGCAATTGAAGAATGTAAAAATATATCAGATTGGTGGGGATAATAAATAACAGAAAATTCCAATCCGGGAAGTGAAAAATGCTTTTAAAAATTTTAAATTTAAATTTAAAAAATCCTTTAGAATTACTTTAGATCCATTCCATATCCAAATAATATTTTTTCCAGATTGAAGAGAATTATGGTCTAAAGCCAAACAACTACTAAATTCCCATAAATCAAGAGATGCTAAACTTTCATCCAACAAAATAAACATTTCTTTTCTTTAATTTTTAATTAATTAATATTTTAAAATAAAGACTGAGACTGGGAGTATTGTACGAGAATCGTAAGATATCTCGAAAAATCCTTATCTCAATAACCGAAATTATTGCTCGAAATCTTGTCCGGCTCGGTCTTAAAATATATTAATTAATTTACTCGCTAGTCCATTCTACTAATTTAGCAATTCTTCTATCTCCATCTTGGAGAGAACCGAGAATTGGATGTGGATTATGCAAAAGAAGAGCCCGTGCTCGTCTACCCTTTAAAATTCATTTTTTAAATCTTAATTCAAAAATTCTTTACCTTTTCCTCAATTTTTTGATATGTATTTATTAAATCATTCATTTCCAATTGTTTACCGTTAGTTGTAAGGGGAATTGGATAAAATTCTATTTGAGTTTGTGTTCTAATATTTTTTGCCAGTTCTGGGTAGGCAAAAGGTGCTGGACAGAGAATTAAATCTGAAAAATATTTTTTTAATTAAAGAGAATTAAATATTTTAATTAAAGATTTATTTAATTATTCAAAAAATAGGTTAATTAATTAGGTCAAAAAATACACCATTCACCTCCATTCAAACAAAAAGTATTTACGAACACTTCAAGAGCCGACAATTCATTATTAACCAAAAAAAGTTCTTCCCAACGAAGAGAAACACCAAAGAGTCGACGTAGGTGGCGAGAGATTGATTCTCGAACGCTTAAAAAATTATTTTTGTTTTTTTACAGGTATCAAAAAAATATTCTTTAATTTTTACTCTAATTTAATTAAAAAATAATTTTTTAAAAAACTTACAGTTGACTGCCACCACGTATAGAATAATTACCTAAAAAATGTTCTAGTCCAATCAAAAATGTTGGATCAGAGAACTTAAAAAATTAATTTAAATTAAAATTTTCCCCCTTTAAACACTTTATTTTTAAGCATTTCCAAATAAATATCAACATTATTCTCCTCATTTTTAAGGTTTAATAATTCAAAATTTCCACCATCATTACTAACAATTTCATTTGTTGTTGAATTAATCATTTTAAAAATAAAAAATATAAGGAAAATCAGAAGACGAGCACGGGACACTTTACCGCAATGCGGCAAAATTAAATAATTATTAATTAATTAAATTTTAACTATTTTAAATATTAAAAATATGTATAATTGAAATTTGAAAATTTAAAAGCAAGAACAAAAATAGAAATTTTGGTATTTTATGTTTTTTAAGGATATATTTTAATATTTTAATTTAATTGGAAATATTTAGATAATAAAAATTATTTTTTAAATTTAATTTTTTATCAATTTATTATTATCCAATATTTATAAAATATTTGTTAAAATTTTTGTAGATTTTTTAAAAATGTAATTTAAAATATTTTTACACCAAGAAAAGTTACAAAAATCAGAGAAATGTTGGTAAATCATCAGAAATATTGCTAAAAAATTAGATTTATTAAAAAGAGTTACTTATATTCTATTAAATAAAATTAATCGAGATAAAGATTTTTGTTTAGAAAACAGGTGTATTTATAAACTTTTGTATTAAAGTGTATATTTTAATTATTAAGAGACAAATAATTAAATTAAAATAAAAGTCATGGCCATTTAAGGGGTTTAATTAAAAAATATATATAAATATAAACAATCTCTACTAAATAATAAAACTTAGACAAACGGATCAATCAAAAATATTTTAAAGTGCGCAAGTTTATATTCTCTTTAAATTTTTTTGTTTAATTGATTGTTGGAAGGAAATGGAATGATTTTAAGTACTTATAATAAAAAAAGAAGAGGAGAAAAATAAATAAAAAAAAAGAAGATAATAAAAATTGTTATCAAGTTTTGTTTTAATAATTAAATACAAGCTCCTCAAAATATAAATATTCAACACTAGCTCTTAAAAGAACTTAAAAATAATTTTTAAAAGAAAATTACAGTAAATTCACAAATTAACACAAATATTTACTCAAAAAAACCTTAAAAATCATTCAAAAAATAATTCTAAAAAATATTATTTTGTTTATTAACAATTTTTATATTTTCTTTTTGGCCAAGTTTTAAAAACTTTTCATTTATTTGCGCGGAGGAACACTTCAAATTTTGATTGCAAAAAGGAAAATTGTTTAAGAGGAGGAAGTTGAGAATAGAAGAAGAAGATTTTATTTTCCTAGAAAATAGTTGGAGAGAAAAAAACTTGGAATTTAAACAAAAATATTTTAGAATGAACGGAAGCAAAAAAAGCAAACAGATAAAAATTGATGGAGTTTAAAATAAAGTTTGGAAAAAATATGAAAAATGGGAAATAATAGTAAATAAGTATTTTAGAAGAAAAATTTAAATATATAATAACAAAACAAAATTTAATAATATTTAAATTATAAAAAAATCTATAATTTTAGAATATCTCAACAATAAAAAAACTTTTTGTAAAATTTCCCTATTTAAAATGAAGATTTAAACATTAATAATATTATTTAAAAAAATTTTTCCGAACAATTACATTTTAATAATTAAATAAATTAATAACAATTTTTATTTATTTAATTTTTTTCTTGTAAAGATTGGAGGGTTTGTTGTAATTAATTTTATGTCAAATACAATAAATGGGAATATATATTAATTAAAAAGAATAACTTTTTAATTTCCTTAGAAAATAACAAAAAAAGTTGTGAACAGTAAAATAATCAAATAAAAAAATACAAAAATTATTTTTGTCAAATAATTGAATGAAATAAATGCCTGTCTGTTTGTGTGCGCACAACGTTACACAGAGGTATTTACGTGTATTTTCTGGCAGTTTAACAAAAAATAGAAGAGAATATTTAAGTTGAGGATATTTATTTATTTATATATTAATTCTTCGCGCAGAATTCCCCGTTGTGAAAGATTAAAAATAAACAAAAATGAGAAAAGTTTATAAATAAATAATATCATCAATTTTACAAAAAATTTATCAAAACTTTTTAATCTAAGTAAGAAATATTTTATAAGAAAAAACATTTTGAATTTAAATTTTAATTTCCTTTTAAATGCTCTTTTTATTCGTAGCCTCTATTTGATGGGCAGAAACACTAGAATAAATACTTTGCATTAATCGACGAGCTAATTCCGGTGATTCTTGATGTAAATCACGAACTGCACTTTCAACAAAAATACCTTTAAAAATAAATATTAAATCTTTTTTACAATTTGGATGCCATTTAGGTGGAAGGAGCTAAACCTTCAAGTTAGTATACCCCTTTTCTCACTTTCGTATCCTCTTTTTTCAAGTCCCAAGGGAAGGAAATCCAAATAATAAATAAATCTAACCAAAATATTTAAATCTATCTTGTTGCTTATTTAAATTATTATTATTTTGTTCAATACAATTATCAGTATTATTTAAAATATTTTTTCTTTTTCTTTTATTTAAATATTTTTGTTCACTTTGTTGTTTAATATTATTATTAAATTCTTTATTTTCCACAATTGTTGTAGTTAAATTATATAAAATATTTGTTGTTGATAAATTATTTGAAGACCCCCCTTCCCCTCCTCCTTCTTCTTCCTCAGTATTTTTTAATTCTTCTTTTATTTTTAATAAATTATTATTATTTCCTTCATTGTCAATTGAATAGTCAAAAGTATAATCAGTAAATTCAATACTAAAAAATATTAACAGTTAATATAATTCTCCAAAATAATTTTTACCTATTATTATAGGCCAAACACCTTCTATGACGCCCTTTAAATTCCGGATCTACCCATTGTTGATTTGTCAATAAAAATTTAAGTTCGTCAAAATGTGCCCAACAAGGTTTAACTTTATTTGGTTGTTCTCCACTTTGTGCTCTTTTTAAACTAACTTCATATCTTTTATAAAAAATATCTTTTAAATTTCTCCATTGCTGCTTAACTTCATCAACTATTTTTTTAATTAAAAAATAATTTTTTAAAAATTATTTTCCATTCCTTACATGTAAAGCCATCACCCTCAAATTGATGATGAACTATTTCTAAAGCTTCACGCATAAGTTGCTGATGGTTACGATTATTTTGAGAAGTTCTGAAAAAAATAAAATAAATTTTTTTAATAATTTTGTAGTTACCTCCACAATATTTCATGGTTCTTAACGGCCGCAATAAGTCTTGAACGTTGTTCTCTAGACCAAGGCATGTCTCTAATTTTTGGTTACTTAAAAAATAAATATATAGTATTTATGTCAAAAAACTTTAAATCTTTAAAAATTTTTTTAAATTAATAAAATAATAATTTTATTTTCATAAAGCTTTCGTTGGAAACGACTAAATAATGTTAGATACTAGTAAGTAAAATAGTATATCGATTGCTGCGTTAAATGCGACCAAGCAGCAAATATATTATGGTCGTATAGAGAGAATTTGTGAAAAAAGAGCCGTGGTGGAACGCAAATAATATATAAAATTGTAGTTGGCGAGGAAGGGACGCAGTAAAAGCAGAAAAAAAAGAGAGAGAGACGCCGTAAAATTCAAGAGTACAAATAGTTTGTACATATGTATGTACATCAAGAAACATGCCGACATAAAAAATCGGGATTTCGAGTTTTCTCAAAAATTTCTGAAATTTCGTTAGTCGATGTTGGACATCGGGGTTAAGACTTTAAACACAGTCAAGGAAAAAAAGAGACTCAAGCATTTGTAAAATAAAAATTTAAAATCTCCTAAACAATTAAAGATAGTTAATGACAAAATCAAGAATAGACAAAACGTCCAAAACTCGGCTTTGAATATTGAATCAAGACTTCCGGGGATTTTTTTTAGTTTTGAGTTGAAGTATTGGAAAATTAGTTTAGAAAGAAGCAAGAAACAAAAGAATGGAGATTTATCTCTTTCACCACTAACCGATAAACTGAACTAAAACTTTCAATTAAACGAACTGATAGGCGGAAATTTTTGGAATTTTGGAAGGTCAAGAAGCTGAATATTTAATTACTTCTCAATTGATGAAATAAAACAAAGTTTTAAATCTTTAAGGATTTTAGGAATTAAACAATCTTTGGAAATAAATAATAAAGACTTACACAAACTCTTGTGTTGTACTTCTTTATCTACATATTATTGTCAATTTAAATTATAAAAATATATTTACCTATTAACATCTAGCGCCATGTTGGTTTTTAAAATATATTTCTGCCAATAACTTCCAATATTTACAAAACTAATAAATATTAGCTAATAAAATTTTAACTAAATTAGAAAATTATAGAAATTAATTAGTTAATTAATTTAAAATTTATTTATAAATTTTAATAAAACTTTTATAATTTTTATTTAAAAAGTTCATTTTTTGTTTGAAATTACATATGTATGATTAAATAACTATAAAGTTTATATCTTATAAAATATTTAAATGTTATACATATATGTTTTTTTTAATTTTAGCAAAATATTTTTCAGCAAATTAAGTATTTATTGGTGGTTAACATTTAAAAATATTAATGTTTAATTTTTAAAGTTCACAATTTATATGTATTTCTAAATAAAATTCTAAAATATGTGTTAAATTAAATGTCAAAAATTACTATAAAACGAGTAGAAAATTTAAATCAAATTATATATTTACATCGAAAAAAAATTCCCTTTAATAATAAATTAAAAATGAAATTTAGTTTATTCTCTATATTTTTGATTTTCTTTATAGTGGTGCTTAGTGAAGGAAAGAAGCCACCCCCAGTAATTAATTTAAATTATTTTTAATTTAAATAAAAATTAGAGGCAGACTAGTTTCAGTCCAATGTTTATTAAAAATTTAAATATTTCTTAATAATTATTTAAAAATTTAAAGCTATCCATCCAATAAAAATTTTTTATAATATTTATTCAGGTAACAACATCAAAACCAACAAATCCGCCAAGTACTTCAGCACCCTCAACAACTAAGAAATATAAGCCTTCGGCACGTGATGATGATGATTGGGGTCTCCGTAGAAAGCGAAATGCGCAACCGCCATACAATCCAGCACCTCCACCAACTTACGCACCACCTCCCCCTCCACCTCCTCCACCAGTATACGCTCCTCCAACTTATGCTCCACCACCACCACCATCACCACCTCCATATGTCCCACCAAAACAATATGGACCACCACCACCACCCCCTCCACCTCCTGTCTACGCACCTCCAACTTATGCTCCTCCACCACCACCACCAGTCTACGCTCCTCCAACTTATGCTCCTCCACCACCAACCTATGCTCCCCCACCTCCTCCACCACCACCAGTCTATGCCCCTCCAACTTACGCTCCTCCACCGCCACCAACACCACCAAAACCTTACTACCCACAATACCTTTAATGGTGAGAAGAAGGTGAAACAAAAAAAAGAAGATAAATAAAAGAATGTTAAATAATAATCCAAAACGAAAATAAAATATTATCAAAATTTAATTTTAAATAAATGAATAATAAACATTATTTTGGATATTTGCTTAAACTATTAGGAGATGCCCTTTATCCCAAACATCACTCCCGATATTCATTCTGACACTACTGAAGGCATCTAAAAGTAGATCTTGCAGCACTACAGGCGAAGATATTTTGAATTATCAACACCGAAAAGAAATGTTTTTATTTTTTGTGTTAAATTTTGGTTTAAAAATTGTCTCGTTTCGGCAATAAATCAACGATGTCTCGTAACGGAACTAAAAAACAAAAATCTTACAAAACATCGAAACTAAACGTTTCGTGCATGTTTGTAGGGTGTAAAAAGAAGCAAGAGAGAAGAACATAATTTCAAAAAATAAAAAATAAATTCAAATTAATATTAAAATTATATTAAAATAATTAATTATTTAAAATTTAAAAAAAACTAAAAAATCTTCCATAAACTTTTTTTAAAGATAAATCAATTAAAATAATTTTTGTAAAATTATATTAAATAAATTTAAAGTTTGTACAATTGATATAAAGGAAAAAAAGATTTTTTCCATAAAAGGAAATTATATAATTTTTAAAAAGCTTCTCAAAAATGCGTCAATAATTTAGACAGAAATTTAAAATTAATTAATTAAAGGATATAATTTTTAATTCCTTATTTAAATTTTATTTTAAATAATTTTATTTGTAAAGCTTTTTTCTTTGGGATATTCTTGTTGGCAATCTTTTAAAATTTAAATAAAAATTTAAAATTAAATTAATATATAAATACACAAGAATTATTTAAAATTAACCAAAAATAAAATTAAATAAAATTAATAATTTAAATGGCTTCTCAAAAAATTAATTTCATAATTATTGCTTTATTTAGCATTTTTGCTATAATTGCCTCAGAAAATAAAAAAGAGGTTTTTCTTTTAGAAAATCTTTTAAATTTTTATTAAATAACAGAAAATTTAAAATAAAAATTCCACAAATCTGTTAAATAAAAATTAAATTTAAACAAAAATAATTTTTTAAAGAATTGTCAAAAATGCGCAAAGGATGTTTGTGACATTCCTTGTAAAACAAGCAAAAGTGCCTGTGATAATTGTAAGATAAAAGATTTACCTAAAAGGTGTGGAGGTTGCTTCCCAGCTGTTAAAGAGGTATTTTAATTTATTAAATTAATTTTTAATTAATAATTGACTAATTATTAAACGATTTTTGGTTTTAATTAAAAGTTTTTAGGTGATTTTTGGTGAGATTTCGGATCTATTCTGGGCCTTAGATTTCTGGGCATTTTTTCTTAAATTAATTTTTTAATTCGTAATTTAATCAAATTATCTCTGTTCCTTTTCCAATAAATATTTTAAAATATTTTTTTATTTAAAGACTTGTGAACAATGCAAACACAGAATCTGTGATTATCCTTGTAGTGTAGGTGATTCTGCATGTAAAAATTGTTACAGAATTGACATTCCAAAATTATGTACAACTTGCCCTGCAGTTAAAGAAGTAATTAAATTTTAAATATATTTTTAAAATTTTATTGAAGTTATTTAAATATTAGGTATATTAAAATAAAAATTAAATATAAAATATGTTATTTAATTTTAAATATTTTAAGTCTTGTGAAGAATGTAAAAATCGAATTTGTGATTATCCATGCAAATCAAGTAAATCAGCTTGTAATAATTGCCAGAAAATTGATGTTCCTAAACAATGCGAATCTTGCCCATCTTACAACAGTGTAAATATATTTAAATATTAAATAAAATGAATAAATTAAAAAATAAAATAATTTTAGACTTGTTCTGACTGCAAAAAGCGAGTATGTGGTCACCCATGCTCAATTAATAATGATCAAGCTTGTAATAATTGTATCGAACTTGATCTTCCCAAACTATGCGGAAATTGTTTCCCTGTTGGTTTTGAGGTAAAAATAATTAATTGTTTTAAATATAAATAATTTTTATAGACTTTCTTGTATTGCATAACACGTGTTTGTACACCTCCATGTCTGGCAAGCGATGATGCTTGTGATAATTGTATCCGAATTGACCTTCCAAAGCTTTGTAAATTTAGCCCGTAAGTTAATTAATTAATTAAAAAATGTGTAATTTCTTTAAAAATTTTAGTCTTGAAATATGAGGGATACAAGATTTTGGGATGAAAGAAGATAATGGATAATTGAAAAATAAAACTAAAAGAAAGAGAAGAAGAAAATAAATATTTAAATAAATATTCTAAAATACAAAAATTATATTTTAAAATAACTTTTCTGGATAAATATAAAGCAAGATTTATTTAAATTGCAAATTATTTAAGATTTTGTAGAGAAAAATATTGGGGATTAATTAATATATAATTAGATATCAAATAATACATCGAATAATTATCATCCTTTCATCTACTATTTTCTCTGTAAATATATCGAAAAAAATTTATTTTCAAAAATAAATAAAAAATATTTAAATTTAACGATGTTTTTGTTTTGTTAGGGTTTTAGCCACGTACAAACTTTGTTCTAAAAAATAATTTTATTTTATGTAGTTTGTTGTTGATTTGTATTTTTAAGTTAAAAAAATTAAATTTTTTAAATTTTTAATTAAATTTTTTAAAAATTAAATTTTTAAATTTAAAAATTCTTACGAAAATTTAAAGTAATTTAATTAATTTAAATTTTTTAATTTCTTTAATCCAATTAATTAATAATTATTTTTTTATTTCTTAAATTAAAAAAATTTAACTAAATAATAATTTATATTCTTTAATTTTTTATTTATAGTTTGTTCTAAAAAATTTTTTTGTCATGAACTATTTTTAATCAAAGCAAATAAAAATATTTTAATATAATAAAAAATAAAATAAAATAAAAATATTTTTATGTTAACAAAGTTCGTTTTTAGGTGTGTTTTGATTAAAGAATAATTTTTATTTAAATTATTCTTTAAACTTTTGCCTTTAAATACCCGGGTAAAATTATGTTTAAACAACACAAAATAAATTTAAAAATACTAATCTTCTTCTAAGAAAAAAATAAAAATATGGCGTTACAAAAATTAATTTTTATATTAATTGCTTCTTTAATTTTAATTAATTTGTCTGCTGATGCTCAAAATACTTTTACTTTACCGGTTTTAAATTTAAATTTTAAATAAATATTAAATATAAATTTAGATTTATGATTGTAATTGCGCACAAAATCTGTGCACAAAACCATGTAAATCCAGCAAGGCTGCTTGTGATGGTTGTAAGACCACTGATGTTCCTAACCAGTGTACTAAGCAGCAGTGTAAAATTAAGTATATTTAATTCAATTAATTAAAATTAATTATTTAATTATATTTTTAAGCTGAGATAAATACTAGAAGAAAGAAGAAATGAATATGAATTAATTAAAATAATTATTTTAATGAATGACAATAAATAAATAGGGCATTATTATTTAAAAAACACAAAAAAATTAATTATTGTCATCTTTTTTTAAAAATAATTAAAATTTAAAGTATTTTTTATAATAAATTTAGTCAATTATTAAAATTATTTTTAATAATAAAAGAACAAATATTTTCATTTAATTATCGGTATAGGTAATCTTTTTAGGTTTTTACACAAAAAATGTAAAAAAATTAAAAGTATAATTTAATCATATATTTTTATAAAATTATTTTTTAACTTCTAGATAATTTTTATTTAAAAACAATTAAATATATTTATTGTTTTTAAAAAATCTAAGAAAAATTGTTTTTATTTACAATTTATATTTTTCTCCTTTAAATTCTCCTCTCAAATTTTTATTTCTTTTTTAAATTCATTTTTATTTTTTCCGTCCAAATCCTCTAGCAGATTGGCTTGCTAACCGGGCAAGTAATGCAGCCCTTCTTAACCCCAATTCTGTTGGAGTATCGTTCCAATCATTCCAAGTAGAAATTCTCGGTAATTGTTGGTTATTTGTAAATATATATTGCTAAATAATAATTTAAATTAAAAATATTTACTCAGAAATACTACCTCAGATTTGTCATTTAAAGATGAAAGTCTTAATCCTCTAATTCTTTGATTTCCATTTCTTTGTTGTAAACAATTCGAATTTTGTACAAAAATAATAAATATTGTTAAAGAAATAAAAATTAAACGGAAAAAAGATAATCCGAAAACTGATGATTTTGTTGAAATTATGGAAGAGGAAGAAGAATAAATATTGGATAAATGGCTAGTAGAGTGTTGCATTTTAGTTAAATATATTTATTTTAATTTTTAGATTCTCTTAAATATTTAAAATAATTTAAAGAAAATTGTTGAATGGAATAAATTGTCTTAAATATTTATAATAAAAATTTGTTCAGCATACCCAATGGCATCATTTCCCTCATTTTTTGTATTTTATATGGTTAAAAGATTATTTAAAGGACTAAGTAAAAGTTACATTTTTGGAGATTTAATAATTAAAAAATATTTTAATGTCTTTTTATTTAACAAAAGACAAACGGATATCCATAATTTTATAGTATTTATTGCCAACAAAAATGTATTAAAACCAAATTTTTTTATTTTTAATTACCCAAGAGATTTTAAATTATTAAAATTAACATTTAAATATTATTAAAAATTTTTGCAAAAAATTATTAAAATAATATTGCCGATTGTAATTAGGTAATATTAATTTAAAATTTGGATTTTTTTAAGAATTACTTTTAAATAAAATATTTTTAACCTTAGCTATATCCGTATAAACAGATAAGGATATAGCCAAGAAATGTAAAAAGTATCAGAGTATGGAAATTAAAATTTGTAATTGTAAACAAGTCTGTTACACAAAAAATTTAAATAAAAATTATTTAAACTAAATAAAATTATAAATACATGTCTTCCAACGCTAAAGGCAAAATTTCTGTCCTTATTAAAATAATTAACATATCTTTAATTAATTAAATAAATAAAAATTAATTTAATTTAATTTACATTTTGCCTATAGCACAAACAACTTGCTAGTCTTATATTTAATTTTAGAATGACAAAAAATTTATAAGAAGAAAACCATCAAAAATAACGTTTGATGCTAAATATTTTGTTTAATGTCATACTTTGGAGAAAAGGGGCTAAAGAATTAATAGGTGGCAAAAATTAAATAAAAACAATAAAAGATGGAAAAAACAAAAAAAAACAAAAATTAATTCATTTTTTATTTGCTAAAAATAGAAAAATTATTTTGTTTTTACAATTTTTCGTTTTAAAAATATTTTGCTATGTACAAAAAATATGTATAATAGTTAAAAATCAAACCACAAAAGTTAAGCATTAATTATTTTAGGTTTTGTTAGAAGAAACTGTTTTAAGCGAAATACGAATCTTAGAGGAAGGGAAGAAATTCAGTTCATACTCTCCAAAAATCACAATTCATTCTAGACATAATTTATTTAAATTTACAAATAAATAACGTCAAGCAAATATTTTTTAATTAGAAACTTATAACCGGAATAAATAAATATAAAAATTAAAAATAAACTAAAGAAATATTAGTTTACGTATATTTCTTAAAATGACTAGAAATAACAAAAGAATTTCTTTTTATTAAATAAAATAAAAAAATTACTCATAATTATTGGAATTTAATTATTTTAATTTTAATTTTTACATTTTTTATATGTTTATTTTTAAGAATATATAACAAACAATACATGTTTTTTTATTTTTTAAAAGGAAATTAAATATAAAAGATTTTTTTTATTAAAAAATATTTTTTGGTAATTAAGTAGTAGCTCTAAAATAAATATACATATAAAAATTATTTAAATAAGGAAATTCAAAGAAATATGTTTAAGCCAACATCTTTTAGTATTTTTAAAATTCATCATTTGAAAAATAAAAATTTGTTTGTCCTTAAATTAATTAAGGTAATAATTAATTTTATTTATTCCTATATAATTTGATTTTTTGTAGTTTTTTTTTTGATAAAAAAACTTTAAAGAAATTATTAGATATAAACAATATATTAGCCAAATTATATATAAACATTTACTTTTATTTTGTCTGTTTTTATAAGAAAACAAATTACGTAAGCGGAAGTTTAAGAAAAGAAAAGAAAAAAATATTTTTAAAAATCAGAATTTAATTAATTTTTGCAATTTAATATATATTTTTTGCCTCCAATTGTTTATTTTATGCAAATAAATTGGGGGAAAAAATAAAAGTACATTATTTACAAGAATTTGTTTTAAGAGAAATTTAAAACAAATTAGTAGAAAAATATTTTTACAAATTTAAAATAAATATTTAATAATTAAGGAGGAAATTATTAAAAATATTTTAAAATTTAATAAAAATATTTATTTAATCATTTCAATATACACTTTCAAAAGGTTTGATAAAATATTCGAAAAATTTACAAAAATTAAATAAAATCTTTGAAATATTTGAAGTACGCCTCACCATCACTTTAGGTATTCTGAATCGGAATATAAACGAAAACAGAATGACTTTAATCAAGAATAATATTACACCTTTCCATAAACGATAAAATTTAAAAAAATAATTTAAATAAAAAAAGTTTGTGTGTCTACTAAAAAATATGAGGGGTATTTAATTTCTTGACACAAATAAAAATAATAATTTAAATAATAAAGATTATATTTTTGTTTCAAATAAAATTTTAATTTAAATACAAACAACAAAATTTTAAATTTATTGTTTAGATAAATTATTTAATTAAAAACAAAAATAAAAGAAATATTTAAAAAAAAGCTAAATTTAAACAAAAGATTTTTAAAAACAAAAATCTAAAAATATTTTTAAAGAATATTTAGAAAAATATTTTAAAAAATTTAGACTAAAAATATTTTTATTCTCAATTTTTTAAAAATAAATTGCAATTTAATTTTAACGTAAAATTATTTTAAATTTTTATTTCCATTTTTAGATTAAAAAAAATATAATTTTACAAAATTAAAACAAAAAAAATATTTAAATTTTTTAAAATTAAATTTTTGTAAAAAACAATTAACTAAATAATTATATATTTCTAAATTTAAATAAAATAAAAAATAAATATTTTTTTTTAATTTAAATAATTTAATTTTTATTTTAAAAATTTATTTAAGAAAAAAATAAGGAAATAAATTTATTTAATTTATTTTAAATAATTTAAACAAAATTTATTTTAAATTTTTTATGTTACTAAAATTAATAAATTTACTAGACTGTAGCTAAAGATAACTTTACATCTGCTAAATTGGCTCCCCTACAAAGGATAGATGAATTAAAGGATAGATGCACTAAAGGATAGATACGCCCAAAAACTATCAAAGGATAGATGCATCAAAGGATAGATGCGCTAAAGGATAGATACAGCCAAAAGCGATCAAAGGATAGACAGCTGAATAGGTCGTTTATGTCTGGACAAAAATATTTAACAATCTGAATCTTCCCTGGAAAAACTGTTTTTGTGCTGCTACGGAGGGTAGGCCGGGCATGGTCTTCGCTACACGATGGCCGTGCTTCGCTGCGGTCGTGCTCGCTTCGCTCGCGGCGACCGTAGCGAAGCGGCTGCCGTCGTTCCGCTCGACATGCCCGGCTTCCTCCGCAGCGGCAAAAACTTTTTTCCGCGAATATACTAAAGTACGAATAAAATAAAAATCAGAACAGAAACATGAACTCAGAACAAAGATCAGAAAAAACAAACAAAGATCAGGCACTCAACAGTTGGTACTCAACTGGACTCCAAACTTTATCTATATTTTACCCAATTTTAGACGTGTCTATACTTTAATGGATTTTACCCCTATCTATCCTTTGGCGCATCTATCCTTTGATGCATCTATCCTTTAATCGTTTTTTCCCTTATCTATCCTTTAGCAGATTTTGGCCGCGTCTATCCTTTGATCGATTTTAGCCGTATCTATCCTTTGATTCATCTATCCTTTGAGCGGGCACGGCTAAATTACCTAATTTGTATGATTCGAAAATAAATTTTTAAAAATTTTTTTGATTTTATATATTTTTAAATAAATAATTAATTATTTTTATTAATTAATTTAAAATTCTAGAATACACAGCACATATTGACATTCTGTATTCGTTAAATAAAATATTTTCGATATGAACCAAGCATATGTTCTAAATTAAAATTTTAAAATTTTATTTGTATTTGTTCAAAATCATCGGTAAAGATGTCTCGACTACGGGAAAAACAGTTGGTTCTACCCAGCTCTGCTTGTTAGAACCAATGGCCAATATACAGAATTTACTCCAAATATTTTAGATTATTTTAATATGTAATTAATAAAAAATAAGGATTTTAAAAAATTAGTTTAAAAAAAATTGATTTGTGATTTTAAATCATTATTTTTGCATATACCTAATTTTAATTAAAAATTTTATTTAAATTTAACTTTTGATTTAAATTTTGTGAAGGCGGAAATAAATATAATTTTTATGAAAAATAAATATACTTACATATAACAGAAATAAAGCATAAAACTTTGTTTGAACCCTTTTTTTAAATTGTTTCTTTTAAATTTTTTAATGATAAATCAGATAATAATAGCTTACAAAAAATAGAATGAATAATTGTGATATTTTAATTTTATTTTAATTTTTGAATCACCGTTTTATTGTTAAAAATGACAAATAAAAAGCTTTTTAATTCTTTCAAATAAATTATTTTAAAAATAAAAATAATATTTAAATTGATGATATATTTATTTTAAAAATTGAAAAAGAATTTTTTTGAAAGGCTACTTTATCTTCTTGCATTTTTAATATTGCTATTTATTAAATTTTTAATTAAAATATTTATTCCTGTCAAAGTCTTGCAAGAAATATAAATTTCTAAAACTGTGTCGAAACTTTTATTTTTTATAATATTTTAATAATTAGGAAATTCCGGGTTAGGATACGGTTGAAGAAAATTAATTTATTTTTAAATTTAAAGAAAGTAAAAATATGATTAATTCAAAATTTACATTATTTTTATTGTTAACATTTATTTTTATTTTATCCAAAACAACAGCTAATGAGGATATATTTGATGAATACAAAACATTTGTTGATCAATTAATTGGAAGTGAAAGGTTTTTTAATAGTTTTTATTTAAATATTTATTAAAATTAAAAGAAGGAAACGAGAAAATAATAAATCTACAGGAGATTCTAGCTCTGAAGAAGAAAATGACAAAAATAATGAAGAAATTTTGTTTAAAATAAATGCAAAAATAATATTTTATAAGTAATTTTAATTAATTAATTAATTAAATTTATTTAAAATTTAAAGAAATCAAACAAAAGTTATTCAAATAAAGGAAGGACCAAGTATTTATGTTTATCCAAATAAAGAAATATTATTAGATTATCATAATGGAACAATTATTAAAATAAATAAAAATGAATCTAATTTAGAAGAAAATAATTTAAAAAACAGGAAACGACGATTCTCTTCAATAAATAGATTGTATTTAAATAAATATAATTTTATTTAATTTCAATTTATTAAAAATAGATATATGGCTCATGGATTGTCATTTAATGAGAAAGATTCAGAACATTTTGGGGAAGATGATTTTAATGTAAAGAATATTTTAAAATTTATTTTTATTATTTTATAAGGTTAACTTTGGATCAGAAAATAATTTAAATAAAGAAAAGGAAGAAATTGGAAATAAACAAAATATCGAGGGAAATTTAGAATTAAAAATAGAGGAGGAAGATGATGAAGACGGGAATGAATTTAAAAAGAGATTTGGAGAAAATCCTTATTTGGTTAAACCTCTCTATGATAGAGAAGGGAAAATGGAAGAACAAAATCGAAAAATATTTGATGTAATTTTTATTTAAATAAACAAAATAAAAGAATTATTTTCATTTATTTAGTTGCCAGATAAATCATCTAAGAAAGACAAAATAAATTATTTAATAACGCCCGATAAAGAAATACAACCTCCATCACCTTCACCAAATTTGTGGCTCCAACAACGTTTAAATTCTGAAGAGCCACATAATGAGGAGGAGGAAGAATTAATGAGTATTTTATTAAATAAATTTGGCAGAAATAATAAAAATTAGTGTTCGGCACGGTACGGTATACCGCGGTATTTTTCCCGGTATACCGCGGTATTTTTTTTCGGTATACCGATACCGATACCGTACCGGTCAAATTTTGAAAAAAACGGTATTTTTCGGTATCGGTATTTTTTCGGTATACCGATACCGATACCGTACCGGTCCTCGAAAAAATACCGCGGTATTTTCCGGTATTTCGGTATTTGTGAAATTCTCAAAATTTTCGCCTGCGGCGCTGAAAAAGGAAGAAATCTGTCTTCTGGTCTTCCAAAATTCTCAAAATTTTCGCCTGCGGCGCTGAAAAAGGAAAAAATCTGTCGTCTGGTCTTCCAAAATTCTCAAAATTTTCGCCTGCGGTGCTGAAAAAGGATATATAGGGACATTCTATTAGAAGGGGCATTGTATTTTTCAATTATCCTACTGGGGCATTCTATTAAAGGAGGATATTCTAATGGTGGATGCATAGTAATTTTCAATCATCCTACAGGGGACATACTATTAAAGCAGGGTATTCTAATGGAGGGGGCATTGTATTTTTCAATTAGCTAAATGTCGAGCAATTGTTGGACATTTTGCTGATTCAAATCTTGCCTATGATCGATTAGAAGAAGCTCAAGTCCTTGAGATTGTTAAGATTTATTGTTAAAATTTTAAAAATAAAATTTAAAAAATTTTATAAAATTTTTAAAAAATACCGAATACCGGCCGGTATACCGAAAATGTTGAGACGGTATTTTCCGGTATCGGTATTTTTCCGGTATACCGATACCGATACCGTACCGGTCAATTTTTGTAAAAAACGGTATTTTTCGGTATCGGTATTTTTTCGGTATACCGATACCGAATACCGGAAAAGGTCATTTGCCGAACACTAATAAAAATAATTTAAATTATTTTAAAAATGAGGAGGAGGAGGGATTAATATTAACAACAGCTAAAACATTAAAAACAAATGTAGAAATCATTTAAAATAATTTTTATTTTTATTTAATTTTATTTTAGGATATCAATTTATTTCCACAAAAAACCTTATCTTCTTCGAATAATATTTATAACACAAAAAATATAAAATACAAAATAATTTCATCGCCTACACAAACACAAAAACATCAACCACCTATTGGAAGTGTCCCCTTACCCACGAAATAATACAAAAATTATTTTTTTGGTTCTTTTTTATTTGAAAAAATAAAGAAAAAATAATTATTTTTTGCACTTGCGTGAGAAAATTTATTTTTTTAATTTTACTATGATTATTAAAATAATAAAAGAATTTATTTTTTAAATTAATTTTTGACAAATATAATTTAAAAATAAATTTATATATTTCTAAATTTGAATAAAATATTTTTATTTTAATTGGCAATAGTTAACGGATAGTCTACATATAATTTAATTTATCAGTATTTTCTTAATTTTAAAAATTAAAATATACTTAAGATTTTATAAAATTTTATTTTTATTTAAAGTTTTTATTTAGTGATTGACGTATTTAAAATATGTATTTTAAAAATTAATTACTTTGTTATGCTTTGATGAATATATCCTTTTTTAAAAATAAAAAAAACTATTATTTATTTTTAACATATTTATCTATTTTTCTGCTTTCACAATAAATAAATTCTTTTAAGGCATAAAATTTGAATTCAATTCTTTAAAATCAAAAATTATTTTTATTTTTTATTAAAATAACCCCTCAATTTTTCAAAACAATTATTTTATTTAACAAAACACTTAGTACACAGGTATGTATATCCTTTTAGTACAAAATCGTGGGAGTAAATAGCTTAAAAATAAGAAATATTATTATTAATATTTTATTGTTATATCAATTATTCTTCAATTTTAACCTTAAAAATAATTACAGCTTGAAGAAAATTTTCAGTATTTAACATAAAAGTTAATAAATTTAGAATAACAATTTTCAGAAAATAAATGAAACTTTAAATAATTTAAAAGAATGGACTTTGATTTTTAGAAAAAATGTTTAGAAATAAAATTATAAAAGAAATATTTTGAAAGTTAATATTTTTGTGATTAAATTTTGATGAATATCTAATACGATTTGGCAATATTTATCAAATTTATATATAAATTCTAAACTACAGTTTTTTTTAATTTAAAGGGGAATATCTATTTTCTTTAAAAATATGCACCTGCACAAATCTTTAGTCTAATAAATAAATATAGAAAATTGCTTGAGCCAGAAAAGCCAAATATTTTATTACAATTGTTAATAATTAAATATATTCTAATATATTTAATCAATTAAAAAAATTAAAGTATTTTTAAATTTAAATTATTTTACCAAACTTTTTTTAAATAAAATTTTAAAAGTTTTAATAAATTATTTTTGTTTTAAATATCCTTGTTTTGTTTTTTTTAATTTTTATTTTAAAAGTGTTTTAAAGTCAGAATTATTTAAAGTTTTTATATATTAATTAATTATCGCACAATAATACAAAAATTATTTTATATATTTTTAATTGAAACTTACAGTTAAAATAAATAAATTAATAAATAAAAATTATGTATCGAGCATCTATTATTCACCAACAATTTTCTACTCCTTCACTAACATCTTCACAATCTTCAAAAATAATTAAAAATAATTCTTCTTCAATTTCCTTATCAGAAATATCCAATAACAACACCCCTAATTATTCTTCCCCATCACCATCCTCTTTAAGTACGTCCTCCCCTTCTTTTGAAATTAGTATTGGAAAAAGGCAACAATTTATTTTTTTATGTAAAATACAAGATTTTTGTAATAAAGGGTTTGTTGGAATTTAAAATTAAAAAAGAAAATTTTTAAAAAAATTAAAGAATGTTAGAAGTTGATATTGATGGTTATGATGACTCAACAAAGCTTCTTTTAATTTATAAAGAATCTTTTGCTGGGAGTGAATTTTTTGCTTTACAATCTAAATGTCCAAATTGTAAAACACCATTAATTAATGGTATTTAATTTAGAAAATATTTTTTTGAATTTATTATTGAGAATCTTTAATTGGTAGTAATTTACAAAAAAATTATTCTTTAAAAAACATTTTCTTAATTAAAAAGGCGTTTTGTGCAAATCACATATTCGTTGTTCTATACATGGTTCTGCTTACAATATTAGAACTGGTGTTCTTGAGGATGGTGTTGGATTGGACTCTATTTGGACATTTAAAGTTTTTGTCTATTTAAAATTAAAAAAATAAAGATTTAAAATTATTTAAGATTCACGTTATCGGTTCTGCTCTATTCACAGAATCTATTTCTTTAGAAAAATTAACGTCAACACGAACAGTTTCCCTTTTAAATTACTCCCGAATTTCTTCACAACAAACATTAATTACTAACCCAATTATTGTTGTTGGAGGTGGAATAGCTGGAATTACTTGTATTGAAACACTTAGACATTTGGGATATTCTGGACATATTTTAATGATTTCAAGAGAAAATGATTTACCATATGATCGAAAATCACTTTCAAAAGTAGAGAAATGATGTTTAAAAATAAATATTAAATATTTAGAGATTATTTAATGATGATAATTCACCTTCTTTTACCCTTCGTTCACGTGATTTTCTAGAGAAACGTTTGGGTGTCCATTTATTGCTTGGCCATAGTGTTCGAAATGTTAGACCAGAAGAGAAACGTATTTTTGTGGAATATAAACAAAAGAATGGAGGTGGAGGGGAACCAACACTTGTTAGGGCTTTGGAATATGAGGAATTGGTTCTTGGTTTGGGTGCTACTTCAAAAAGATTACAGGGTGTTCAGGCAAGTTAATTGTAATATTTTTAGAGGAGATTATTGATGGATTTTAAATTAATAAAATTTTTTGGAAAACTTTTTTGGGAAGAAAATTTATTTTTAATTTTTAGGGAGCTGATTATCTTGAAGGAATTACACATTTACGAACATTAAATGATGCTCAACAATTGAGTATTGAACTTAATGAATCAGCAAAAAATGTTGCAATTATTGGCTCTGGGTTTTTAGGATTTGAGATTTCTAGTCTGGTATTTATTAATTCTTTAAATTAAATATAAAAATATTATTTTTAAGATTTATCCAATAGCAAGAAGTGTCTCAATTTATGGTAAAGCATCTACACCTTTAACATTATTAGGTTCAGAAGTCGGAAATGAAATAAGAAAAGTAATAGAGATATATTAAAAATTTTAAAATATTTTTTTAGTTCATTCGAGAACAGGGAGTAATAATTCGTCAAGATTCTGTTCTACGTTCAATGGGGGGATTTGATCGTGTTGAAGATTTAAAATTTCGTGATGGAATGACAGCTATTGCTGATACTGTTATTGTTGCTATTGGTTATTTTAATTATTAGAAATATTTATTAAAAATATTATTTTAAAAGGTATAATGCCAAGTACTTCAATTCTTATGGGTTCAGGTATTAGAACAAATGCAGAAGGCTATATCCTTGTAGATGAAGCAATGAGAACAAATATCCCTAATATTTATGCATGTGGAGATTGTGTTAATTTTCCTATTTCTTTTAATTCTGGACAATTTGGTGAACGGAGAATTAATTTGCCCCATTGGCAAGTTGCACAATATCAAGGTAGAAAGAGAAATTGGGAGGGGGATATTTTCTGTAAAATATATTTTTTCAGGTAAAATAGCTGCATATACAATAATGGGTATTTCTGCCCGTCCTCGTCTTGTTCCCTTTCTTTGGATTAGACTTTTCGATAGACATTTAACTTTTTCAAGTCTTGACCCAACAATTCCTGTAGATGAACGTATTCTTCGTGGTTCTCTTGCTAATAATGATTTTGTTGCTTATTTTCTTAAATCTGATAGAGTTGTTGGGGTAGCTAATTGTGGGCCGGCAAATGTTGCTATACAATTTATGGAAATATTTAAACGTGATAAAATTGTTACAAAAGCTGAGGTATTAGCTAATAAAACAAATGATTGGAAAAGAAAATTTGATGAATAAAATTATTTGTTTAAATAAAATTATTTATAAATATTATTAAAAATAAATGTATCTAGAATTCAAAAGAATTTTAAAATATTTTACTTTCATCCCTAAATTATAAACTTTAAATAATTACATATTAAATTTAATATAAATTTTAATTTAATCTAATTTATTTGCCTTTCCATCTGTCCATTGAGTTACTTTAATTCCAGTACTTTTTTGAGCCTCTTTTTGATACTCCTTCAAGCATTGACGCAAAGCAGCAGCAGCTACTTGAGAGAAACGAGTATATGGAATTCCAATATCTTTCCTTTAAAAATAATTTTAAAATTAAAAAATATTTATTTACCAGAGAGCCATTTAAATAATTTAAATTTAATTTTTTTGCTGATTTTTATTCAAAATAATTTAAAAAATATTTTTCTTTTTTAAAATTGTTTTTAAATAAAATGTGTGTATTGATTTGTTAGCAGCAACTGTTCTTGAATTTCTATTTATTTACTCTTGGCCGCAAAATATTTTTTTTGTTTTCGTATTCTTTATTCTTGAAGAAAAAAGTTTGTAGAGAGAAAGAGGGTGAACTCTTTGAGCTAATTTTTCTATTGGAAATATTTATGTATTAATTCTCCCTAAAAATTAATTTCAAAAATAATTTTAATTTTTGAATGGAGCCAATCCTTTTTGCTAGCCCAAAACATTTTGTAGACGGACATGTTGTTAAAGTTGGCCTTAAACATAATGAATTATTTGTTGCTTATCGAGACAAAACATTGTTGGAGATTTGGTCTGTAAATTGCTATATTCCTTCTTCTTGGCAACAATTATTTAAACAAGAATATCATGATCTTTTTTATGCTAAATGTACACTATCAATTGAACAAAATGCTATTTTTGTTTTAGTTGCTGCTTTTTTTGTTAGTTTATTTGAAAGTAAAATATCTACAGAATCCTTATAATTTTAATAAAAAATCTCAGAGTTTTAATTAGTAATTAAAAATTATTTTTAATTAATTCTAAAAAATAAATATACTACATAGAAAATAATTATTTAATTATTTCTTTTTTCAAATTTTTGGCCACCCAGGGGCGTGATGGAGGTGTTTGTATTCTTCGTTATGATCTAGATAATCACCTTCTAGAAGAATTTTCATTAGATTCAGAAGAGGCTTATAAATTTGAAGAAGTTACATTAGAAAGAGTTGGACTAGTTTGTGGACATAAAGAAAGGCAATTATTTCTTTATGATCGTACAATGGTTACTGGACAAATACCTTTTTGGAATATTTATTTAAATGAAGAAAAGGTTGTATAAATTAAATAAATTTTTTAAAATTAATATTTAGATGACTTTCTGTGTAAATTCACTCCCAATTCTTGATCAAGAAAATATTTGTGAAAACTGTACACGTTTCCCAGTTGTTATTGATGGAGATAAAAGAAGGGCTTTGAGAATAAGTAATGACTATAAAGTAATTATTTAATAATTATTTTTTTTTGGAGAAAAAATATTTTTTAAAGGTTTTTATTTATAATTCTGATAGTGAATGTTGGGAATTATTTAATGTTGATGATGGAAAGTCTGGACTGGATGTGTGAATTTAAAAATGTTTTTCCTTTATTAATTTTAATAAATAAATATTCTTTTTCCAAATTATTCTTCTTAAATTTTAAAGTTGTCCTATTTTGCTGTACGTGGACTTAATGAAACATTTGGGCGTAACTGGCATCGAATTACTGTAATTGAATCGAAATTATCAATTTTTGTTGATGGAGATTTTTGTTTTTTTAAAGTTCTCAGAAATGGAGAACATTTTTTCTTTAAATTTACAATTTCAATGAAAGAATGTACTTATAGGTAGTTAAAAGAGAATATTTATTTTTAATTTTTAATTCTTAGACTAGAGCATTGTGGATGTATATCTTTAGATAAGAGATTAGAAACTCTTTGTTTCTTGTCTTGTTCTAAATTAAAAATTGCTTTTGTCAACAAACATATTGTTGGATTTGTAGCAATTCAGCCACCAGAGTTAAGGGAAATATGCTTTTGGGCTATACAAAAAGAATATTTTGTTAAAAGAACTTGTGATAATTTGTGGAAAGGAGGGAAAACTGAAAAGGAATTAAGAAAAATACTTTCAATTAATTCAAATTTAAAACTCATTGATTAATTAATTGTTTAAACATTTTATTTTACTTTAAAATTTCGACTGCTTTTACTATAATTATTTTAAAAAATAACAAAATTAATTAAAATTATTTTGAATGATTTTGCATTGAAATTGGAGCAAATATTGCCCCTCCAACAATATTTACTGGACCTAATGTTGTTGTGATTGTTGTTGTTGTTGTTGATGGAGTTTGTGTTGTAATAAATGTATTTGAAGATATTGTTGTTGTTGTATTTGTTATATTTATTTTATTATCTCCATTATTAGAAGGTAAAGAAGTTAAAATAATTACTAAAATAATAGCTAATATTCCAATACTTAATGTGGCAATTAATGCCCCTCTCAATAACCATTTTTTACGAAAATTTTTGTTATTCCCATTTCTGAAGAAATTTGTAGTAGAATTACTTCCGTTGCTAGTATTACTTGAAGGTGTAGCAGTAATTGTGTTTCTTGATTCTATTTAAATTATTAAAAGATTTTTAAAAAAATTAATTTACTTTTAGTCGGTTCATCAATTGCAGGTAACATATTAACATGCCCTTTTGGACTCATTGGAGGTGCCATAACTGTTTGTAAATAAGGACCAACAGCTGCGGAAGAAATTGACCGACGTCTAGGCCCGTCATTTATTACACCATCTTCATTTACTGGTGGATAAAGTGGAGGCACTCTACTATTAAATGGAGGTGGTGATTGGATTCGTGGAGGAGGAGGGGGAGGTGTTTTAATTTGTGTTTGTGAAGCTATTGGAATTATTTGTTGTTGGGATGTTGAAGTCTAAAATTATTTTTATTTTTTAGAAATTATAATAAACACAAACATTATTTTGTTCTAAAGTATTTTTTAAATTTAATTCGTCATCATTTTGCGGTAGAGAAAGTGGGGAAGGTATTCTTGCCTAAATTTATATATTTAAAATTATTTTTCTTTAATCTAGAAGAAAACTTTTAATGTTGGTTCAACAATTTTCATTTGTGGCATTTCTTCATCGGCAATTGTTGCTAATGGTTTTTCTAATTTATTATTACAATTTTTAATTTCTTTCTCCTCATCATTATCATTAGATTCTTTATTTTCATTATTACATTCTTTAGGCATTTGAATTATTCTAGATTGTAATTGACCTCTGGAAGCTAAACCATTCTTTTTATTCCGAAAATTGTTCTAAATTATTTTAAATTAGTATATATTTTATATAATTGAATCTCAATTTTAGGGTAAAAAATTGTTAGTAAAATAAAGGTGTATCCATTATTTTCCTAAAATCTTGGGAAAAAGTCATGATGTACGTAAAATGGAGGTCTAAATGTAATTTTATATTTATACTAATTCATAAGCTGCCAATAATTCCTCAGCTCTCTGTCTCATGAGCATTTGCGCCGCTGCTTCTGGCAATGGGACATATTCTCGCAAATGATCACTTAATGCTGCACTTGGTAATACATTGGCAGTAGTTCCATTAATTAAATTACTCTTTTGTGCTCCACTTCCTATCATAAATATAAAATTAATTTTATTGATAAAGAGATAATTTTTTATTTTGTTTAAAAGTTTATAAGTTAATTTTTCCTATAAACAACAATTTTTATAAAATCACTAAATATATAATTAATTAATTTACCTATTCTTCGTCCAGCAGCTGCCATAACTACCCCTTTTGGCAATCCATTAAGTAAAGAGGCTGGAGGAGCAGGTAATTTTATACCACTTGGTTGTAAACGCCGCTGTGTTCCAGGTGTACTCATTGGACTTGAAAGAAGCGAGGGTGAGGCAGTGTTTGGGAATGAACTAAATAATGAATTAAATATTAATATATTAAATATAATCTTTGTACAAATTATTCTTATAATTTAATTAATAAATACAAAAGTGTGATCATTTTTATGAGCCAAAAAATATTATTCAAAAATTTAATTAATAGGAAAATTGTACATATTAATTTTATTAAAAAAATCAGACTTTGACTGTGTTAACACATTTTTGGTTCCAATCGTCGACTGTCTGCTCAACGATAATTTTTTGTTCAAAAGTTGAAGTTGTGTCTGATCATAACTTTGACTAAACTGCTTGACAGAATTTTCCCGTTCTCCGTGTCGGGTTGGCTCTCCTCTCTCCACGTTAAGAATTGGGGGAATAATTGGAGGTGGTGGTCTATCGGGAAGGGAAGATAAAGTTTTATTGAAAGATTTTTCAGAATTTGCTGTTGAAGGAACATATCCAAAATTATTTTCATACTTTCCAGTTTGTTGTCTTTGTCGGGTTAATGTTGTATTTGTAATTAAAGGTTTTGGTGGCAATGTCGTTGATGATGATCCTAAATCTGTTGATAATGCTGCTACAGTTGCCATTTATAATAGAAGACAGATTAATATAAATTTAGGTAGTAATGAAAAACATCTACTGGTATATAAAATAATTTTACAAACAAAAAAGGAAATTATTAAAAAAATTATTTTTTAATTAAATAATATGTATGTACATATTTCTAATTAAATAAAATTATAGGAAATTGAAAAATCACCTGCCCTTATATTAATGAATTTTAACTAAGAAAACAAAAAAATTAATAAAATAATTAAATTTGAGAATAAAAATTTTATTTTTCAATTTAATTAACAAAATCAAATAAAAAATTAAACAAAAACATTCCAAACACGAATTGGCATTTATTTAAAAGACGCATGACATGTTCTGCCTGCCACAAATTAATAATTAAAATATTCTCGCAAAAAAATTTAAAAATAAAAGTGCAAATTATGGTTAACAACGGAAAAGTTTTTTTAAATTTTCTTTACTTTGTTCTTTTTATATTTATTAGTTTTTTAAATAAAAAAATACTTGAAACTGATGTTTTATTACAATAATTATAACCTAAATAGACTTCCAAGAGAATTTAAACGGAAATAAATTTAAAAAATAAAAAGTTTTAAGATGAAAATTGGAAGCTCAAATTTATTAAAAATATTCATACTATACTATACATATATTTATATACAGTTTTAAAAGTATAAATAACTCATTAGAAAACTATCTTCATTACTTATATGCTAACAAATATTTATTACCAAAATTCGTATTAGTGCCTTTGTAGGAAGACCGTGTATGAGGCCAAAAAATAGATGATAGGTGATTTTTTTGCCTATTTTTCTCTCGATAAAACAACTTCAGAGCTAGAATCTTTAAAATTTATATTTCCAAGTATATATATAAATCTAACAGAAAGTTTTTTACAATTATCTGAACTACAAAACGTGTAAAACAAAATTTAAAAAAAATTAGGTAGGATTATTCTTTAATTGCTAGAAAAATTTAAATGTAGAGTTCCCGTTTAAAGAGAATGCTTAAACGAAAAAACTCTAAAAACTTTTGCTGTCTATTACTATAAACACAGTAATTAATTGTAAAATTCTTTAAAATTAAAATAAATATATTCATTAAAAGACAAAGAAAAGTTTTTAAAATAAAATTTTAGAGAAAGTCGGCATGGAAACATGTATAGAAATTGAACACTCCCTTTAATATAAACAATAAATATCAGAATTAAAAAGAAAATTAAATAAACAGAATTAAGTTGGAAGAAAAAAATAAAATTGTACAAACCTAATATTTTATTATATTTATTACATACCTACATATAATTTGTTATATACGTATAATTTGTTATATACATGCTATAATAATTATTTTGTTTTTTTAAATAGCTAAGTACTTATATAACAATTACTATTTTATATTTATTTTTTTCTGAAAATTTTTTTAGATAAAAATATCAAATATAAAATTATTTACTGTTAATAATAACAAAAAACAAAAATAATTGTCAACAATAAAATAAAAATATTTAATTTTAAATTTAATTTTGTACTATAATTTATTATTTTCTTTCGACGCTTCTTTGTCTAAAATTAAAAAAAACAATAATTTTATATTTTTTAATTAAATTTACATAATTTTGTGATTGAATTAATTCATTATTTCTTTCATTTTTATTTATTTTTAATTGTAAATCTGGTAATTGTATTAATATTTGATTTTGATAATTAATTACTGGGGTTGCTAACCCGTTAGACCGAGCGGATTTGAAAAATTAGAATTAGAAATTAATTAAAAATAAAAAATTAACCCCAAAAATTAAAGTCCGAAAACCCGCTCGGAAACATTAGACTTGAAAAATGCTGATTATTTTACCTTTATTGCAAAAATTTGTATTGCAAATCCACTGTTCACTTCCCAAAATATTTCTATATCCAACCTTTTTATTTTTAAAATTATTTTAAATAATATATTTTTACTTTAAATTTTGAATAAGTTTCTGATTCATTCATACTTAAACAACCCCTTGTCCAATGTTGGCCATAACCCTGCCAAATTTCTCGTTGAATAAAACAGAAATGTCCAAAACAATCAGAGTTAGTACTAGTTGAACATTTAACCAAAAGATGGCTATCGTTATTGATAGGATAGGGTATTTGATTATTACAGTTATTCTATTTCAAAATATTTTTAAATTTAAATTTAATTCAATCAACTTTATTGCAAGTACATCCAGTAATTATTTGTTCCCCAATATCCATTCGATAACAAGCATTAGACCTTAATCCCGTTCCTGGCCAAACTTTGCCTAATAATAAATGAAAATTGAATTGAGCTTCGGGACCACAATTACGTGAAATTGTACTTTCTATTAAAGATTTACGAGTAATCTAAAAATATTTTAAAAACTTTATAAAAATTATTTATATTACATTTAATTCTATGAAAAAACATAAATCAGAAATGCAAGAATTTCGAAGAGGTTTAACAATTTGTTGGCGAATAAATGAGGCTGAGGTACGTGATTGACATTGAATATTGTTTGGGGAAGAAGATAATTGAAATGAATTGTTTGTTGAATATTCCGAAATAATTTTATTATTGTTTGCATTGCAAAAATCAGTTGAACTTGAAAAAAATTTTAAATTTTAAATAAAATATTTAGTACAAAAATTAAATATTTAATTTTTACTTGCAAAGACAAAGAAAAGCATCAACTCTATTTTTTATGCAACCCATAGGTGGAGAGCTTTCTCCACGTAGATCAGGTCCAACTAAACATCCTTGTATTATTTGGTCAGTAGACATTACTCTATAAAACCAGATAGCACAAATATCCCCTTTACATGGATCATTACATCTATTTAAATTTAATAAAAATAATCAAATATTTTATTAAAAAATAATTATTAACACATAAATATTAAATTAGTATATTATAATTTTACAAAATTTACAAAAGTTGTCCATTAGGTAATGTTCGACAATCCATACATTTTAAAGAATAAATCCTTGCATTTATTAATATAATTAATAATAAAAATAAATTAAACATTATTTTTCATTTAATTTTAATAATTTCCATTTAAAGGAAAATTTAATTTTTGAGATCATTATTTAATTTTATTGGATATATTTTAATATTTTTAACAAAAAGCTAATAATTATTTTAATATTTTTAAATTAATTTTTCCAACAATGAGAGAAATTTTACTCATATATTTTTTAAATCCCAAAAATGAATTTTAAAATATAAAACAAAAATCTGGTGTATTTTACAGGTAAATTGAGAAAAAACGGATATACACAGCCATAAAATAAAAAGAAAAATTAAAATAAACATTTTTGTTTACTTAATTAATTATTTATTGTCTATTGTTGATTAAATGAAAAGCAATAATTCATAGTTAAAAATTTGTCAATGAGGAAAGAAAAATCTTTCATCTTTTAAAAAATAAAGTTTGTAAAGGAAATAAAAACAGAAAAATATTTACATGGATAAAAACTACTAGTTAAAACAATACTCTCTCAAGGGAGAATTCATCATTTCATTCATTTTTTTCACTAGATATTTAAAAAAGAAAAGATAAGGGATTATGACACAATTTTTATAATTCCATATGATCTGTATTTATAGCGATGAAATTTTTGATGAATCGTGGCAATGAGTTTTTGAAAAATGTAACAAATAATAATTGTCATTTCTTTTTTAGTTACCGCAAACAGTGGTGAATAATGCCTGAAATAATTCAATAAACGCAAAAATACCCCTAAAATACCCCCAAAATACGAAAAAGTAATAAATACACAGTACTGATCAAGTTTGAAACAGACAATAAGTCTTATAAGTAGAGCCCGGAATTTTGTATCGTACCGTATAATACTACCGTATAATACCGATACAGATAAATGCCGATGAATTTCAAAATTATAATTCCATATAATCTGTATTACCGATACGGAATACCGATAAATACCGGTTTCACAAAATCTATACAGTACTCACAACAATAAATTTTTTATTTCTGCGTTTTTACGTTTTGCGTTTGTTTAGAATATTGGCCATGCGTTTTGCGATTTTTTGAAATTATTCCTTACGCCCCCTATTCAGTTTGACCGATTCGGCCAATCTTTTTTGCTTTTCAGAAGCTTTTTGTCTACTTATTGAACTTCGTTTTTAGTATTAATTATGAAGCGTTATCGAAACTTTTTTACTTCATTCCGTGGTCGATTTCTGCTGCCTTTAATTTTAATAAATATATTTATTTTCATCACTTTTTTCTATTCATTTTTCTCTTCACGCCCACAACAACTAGTTGAACGTCAAAATATTGGTTTATTTTTAATTTTGATTTTAAAAATCTATTTTTTTAGAACTCTACTCACAACCAGCTCGTCTAAAAGAACCAATTTCTAAACCATTAATTCTTATGTGGACTAATATCTTTCGTCAACAAACAATGCAACTAGAATCGGATTGTCCTCTGGCTTCTCTTTGTGAATTAACTTATAATCGTTCTTTTCTTCCAAAGGTTTTTTAAATTATTGGTACTACTGAAGATAAGGGTGCTATTTCTGCGGACTTATTTTGCGGACTTTTCCTTTCCTTTACATGTTTTACTTGTAGCAACTAACTGTCAAAGGCCCTCCACCCTATTATTTTTCTTACCTAAGATTGTACATAAAGGTCAAATTTTCTTCTTCCCCTCCTTCCTCTATTTGCCCTGTGGCATATTCAAACAAGAGACATTGATAAAGAGAAGATTAATTTTATAGTCATACACTTATTTTTTGCCTCCGAAAACGATGTTAAACAAAAAAAGAATTAAATAAAATTGATTTAGTCTATAACATTATGAATTTCTGTGTAAAAACATTACATTCTTACTTACATATATTTAAAACTAATTTAACAACTTAAAAAAAATTCAACTCAATATTGAACAACTCAATTAATTTTATTATTCTCTTTAACAATGTTTCTGGTTTGAATATGCCAAGCTCAAATAGAGGAAAGAGAGGAAGAAGGAAATCTGACCATTTTGTACAATCTTAGGTAATAAAAATAATGGAGGGGGGGGGGGACAAGGTTTGAAATTACCCGTATTTTGATCCACAATCACATATTCTTTTTCTATGAAGCATTCCGAGATCAGTGATCCATAGTTGAAATTCATTCATCATCGTTTATGATGTTCAAATTAATGGTGAACACATATTTTTCAAATTGGCATAAAAATTAATCCTTTGACAGTTAGTTGCTACAAGCAAAACTCGCTACAAGCAAAACAACCAAAACATTAAAAAAGAAAGAAAGGAAAAGTCCGCAAAATAAGTCCGCAGAAATAGCACCCTTATCTTCAGTAGTACCAAATTATTTTATTTTTAAATATTTTTTCTCGTTTTCAGTCTTCAGCTGTCGTTTTCCATATTCCTGACATTAGTTGGAATTACTCACGAGGTATACCTACGGTGCCTGTTCTACCAAATCAATCCGCAAACGAACAAAGAATAAATGTTTTTCTAACGCACGAAAATCCGACAACACTCAAAACAATGTATATGTCTGAAGCTTTATCTAAACATGGTTTTCTTATATTTTTTAATATTTGTGATAATAAAATCTTTATTTTTAACAAATTCTTAGGTTAAAATTTTCGTTCTATAAATTTATATTATTTCAGTTCACAATTTTTTCCATTGGGGGATGACCTACATTCACGCTTCTCATGTTTCATTTCCTTATGGTGGTTTTTGGCTTCCCCCATCGGAGACTACAAAACTGGGATTTAACTCAATACAATTACCATCTGATCAAAATACTATTTTACACAATAAAACACAACGTGGAATCCTCTGGTTGGTCTCTAATTGCAATTCAAACTCAAAAAGGGAAGTTGCAGTCGAAGCACTATCAAAGTAAATTTATTTAATCAATATTCTTTTAATAACTTATTTTAGATATATTAATATAAAAATTGGTGGAAAGTGTGGAAAAACACCTGAGGATCGAAATCTTTGTCCAAAGGGCAGAGATTGTAGTTATTTATATTCAAATTATTATTTCTACATTGCTATGGAAAATGAAATTTGCAATAATTATGTTACTGAAAAATTTTGGGAAAGATACACTCTTTCGTCTGTGCCGATTGTTTTGAAAGCTTCGATCTATCAAGGGTAAAATTAATTCTTTTATCAGCCTCGTAGACAGGAAAAATTTTGAGGGATTCATTTTTGAAAATTTATAATATTTTTTGTTTATTTTAGTTTTCCGGACAATTCTTTCATTGCATTGGATCAATTTAAAACCCCAAAGCAAATGGCTGAACATTTAAATTGGCTAATGGATAACCCTATTCAGTATCTGAAATATTTTGAATGGCGTTCCAAAGGTTGGTCAATTGCTCCTTGGAATCATGAAGGATTTAGAATTGGTTTGGTTTTTTAATAATTTATTTAATTTTAATATTATTTATTTTTTGAAGGGCCGTGTGCTCTCTGTGAGCGGTTGCTACGACTTTCAAATGGAAGCGAACCTTTTCCAAGCCCAATTCCAAATGCTGTAAGATGGTTTGAAGAGAATTCTAATTGTGAAGGTGGAGATTTTGCGGTGCAATGGAGTCAACAAAAATAGACCTATATTTTCTCAAAAAGTTTATATTTTTTCATATTTTATTTATAAATCTCATTAATTTAAAATATCTCGTTTTCGTTATCATTCTCCCCTGTGATTATTTTCTTGTTAGCAACATACGTTTAGGTTCCCAACCCATTAATTTGCAGGACAATTTGAGAATGCTAGTCCATCTGAATGAGACTAAAATTAGCCTTATTCGTTTATTTTGAACAAATTATGTCAATTTGAGATCTGCTAGTCTTTAATACTTACAAAATCTTGCGAATAATTGGGTTGTGAATCTAAAAATATTTTTCGTTTATAAAGTTATTTTACTTGTATGTAAATACTAAAATATTTTTTATCGAGTCTGTATCTTCAAAGCAGTTTATATATTTTTTATTTTAATTTCACATATTTTTTTCATATTTTACATTAATTAATCTATTCGATACAGAAAATTTTGTAGAGAAAATTAAAATGGGAATTGGTAGTGCTAATGTTTTTCGCGGTGCTAAAGGATATTTTGGTCCGGGATATATAGGACAGTTTAAAAAGGTTTGGGAACGTTTTGCTTATACTTACGGTTGGTCAGGCCGTCAATATGGTTAGTTTTACATTAATGTTACTGTTAATTGAATATTTAAATGTGTCAGAAATTTCTAATAAATTCGATGCAAAACCAAAATTTAATGTTAATTTTTAATATTGAAGGTCTTCATATTCATGATGCATTTTGGGAGCCAGATCCAGAAGTTAGTGAGGCAATCCGTCGTTATCGTCTAGCTGATCCTTATGGGGTATTAATTTTTATTTTGCTTAAACTTGATAAATAAATTAAAATTTTTTCATTGTCAGTATGATCTTCGTCAACAACGTATTTTACGCGCAAGTTTTTTGGTCATGAACCATGAACGTTTGCCTAAAAACGAGTGGACTACATACGACGGTGATAGCTGTTATTTGGGTTCAATCTTGGAGGATATTGAAAAAGAGAAGTTGGAGCGTGTTCGAACTACTGGGATCAAACCAGGCTATCAGCTGAAACTTCAGCTTTGAGAAGTTGAAAAGATGACAATAAAGAAGAGAAGTTGGAATATGTGTAAGGATTATTTTTTATTTTTAGGATTTAAATAAACATTTTTCTGTTGAAATACATAAAGAATAAATAAATTTATTTTTTATTATACAAGAAAATGCTTGTTGGAATCACTAAAATTGTCCCAATAATCACTAATGCCAATTCGGCATAGACAGCGATTTGTTCAGGAAACATCAAATATGCTTGAAAATACAGCAAGTAAACACAACCAATTATTGATGCCACACTCAGTAAAATTGAAAGGAGCAAAAATGCTTGTGTTTCTGTTAAGTTGCCGCGGCGAGCTGAAAAATTAAAAAATCTATTTTGAATACTTTTTTTAGATTCTATTAAGAATTTAATTATTTAGTAAATACCCCAATGGATCCGTATAAACTCAATTGGTCCAAGTAGTAGAACAATAAAACTTTCACATATTCCAACATGTAAGGAGTAGGGCATTAAACTAACTAAGAAATTAAAGAACCAAATGAAAATATTTGAAATTGTTTACATTTATAAACAAAAACGCCTATAAGAAATATATAGAATATTGTTGAATATCTTGCATTAAAATATAACAAAATCTCCAAAGGCAATGAAGATCGCTAAATTTAATTAATAATTAAACTTTGAAAGCTTTGTCCCAACTAATAAAAATAACTCATCAGACTTACCATTCTAGATGTTTCCATAACTTCCTAATCAAAGATTAAGTTTTATAAATTTATCGTAAAGAAATAGTTATTTGGTTGTCAAGGTGACGCATAAATGGAAATATGTACTTCAACATCTGAAATTTCCCACATTCTCCAATCTTGAAATTGAGTGAGAAATTTGTTTATACTTTTCACTGGTTTTTATTCCTTCTTTATAATCCAATTAAAAGTTGTTATCCGCCTGATGTTTAGAAATCTATTTGAGAATGTTGTCCAAAATTTATCATTTGTAAATTAATAATTTATTTTTAAGTAGGAAAAGGAAAACATACTGTATTGATAAGGGAAAATGACAAAAAGAAAAAATCTGGAATTAAACCGAAACTTCACTACTAGAAAATTGAAATAAACTTGGAATTTCAGCTTTTCGTCTCCTTTAAAATCTGTCGATGCCTAAATACTAAATTCTAGCAAAAAGCTCATTTTTCTATTACTCTTTAAGGATTTATTAATATTAAATACTTCGAATAATGACAAACGATCTAAAATACTAATTTAATTATTAATCTTTATTAATTATGCATTGAAATAAATTATTATCACAAATTAAATCACACGCAATTTGAAAAGAAATTATTAGAAATATCAAATAATTTTAAAAAGAAAATGAAAGTCAAAAAGAAAGAAAAGAGAAAGCAAATGAGGTAAAAAACAAAAATATTTATTGCAAATTAATTAATTTGTAAGAGTATTTTTATTTTAAACTTCCAAAAACATTTCCTTCTTTTCATCATTTTTAGATAAATATTTTTTCAAATTAAATTTAAATTTTGTCAAAATATTTTCAAAAAAAGAATCAAATGATTGCTTATTTTTGTTATAAATATTTAAATAAATTGCTAATAAAACAATAAGGCCTGACCAAATATATTGTTGAGTAAATGGTTTTGAAAATAAATAAAAAGAAAAAATAATAGTTATTGCTTTACGCATTGTTGTTATCTGAAAATTTTGGAAAATTTAATTTTAATTAAAAATTAATTTACAGTAACAGCAACAAGAGCACCAGAAATTCTAACTAATGTAAGAACTAAATTAACACCAAAATACCCAACCGTTCCCAAAATTAAAGTATAACCATAAGTTTCTGCAGGATGCTAAAAAATATTTTTTAAAAATAAAATTATGACAAAACAAAAATTTTAAAAATATTTTTTTTTAATATTTATTTTTAAATTTATTAATCATTTGTTCATTATTTCAGAGAATTATTATTTTTTTTAAATCATTTTTTAAAAATTTCCCTCAAAATTTTTTTAAACTTTCCCTTCGCTCCAAAATATTTTTAAAATATATGTATTTCTTAATATTTTTTTAAAAAAACCTTAGCAAAAAAATAAAAAGAACTAGGCAATTGTCCAGTAAATATAAGGCCAATAAAAATAAAGCAAGTTCCAATTGAGTAAGAATACAAAACCTTTTTTAAAAATATTTATTTATTCTTTCAAAAAGAAATCCCTAACCACTTCCTCATTCGAAGCATTAAAAGTTTTCATTGCTTTTTCTTGAACATTTCCAATAATTGCATCAGCAACCAATGCTAATGAAATCATTAAATAACCTTTTGGATTAAAATTTGGAGATACTTTACTGTCAGCTAAAGTAAATAAAGCTAAGCCAAAACTCATTAAAATGGCTGCAAATAAATCAATAATTCCATATTTCTTTCCTTGAATTAAAATTCCGCCAATTAAAACAGGGACAAGTTTACAACATTTAAAAATAACTTGGGTAGGGTAATTCCTTTAAAAATTAAAAATTTTATTATAAAAAAAATTAAAAAAAACTTACAAATAACCGACAGAAGCATTTGAAAGCCCCATAGTGGCAACTGTGTAAAAAGAAATTTGAAAATAAACTTTCCAGGGAATTCTTTAAAAATAATTAAATAAAAATTAATTTTTAAAAAGGAAACCTTCTACTAACACTCCCAACAATAAAATACATTTCAGAATATGAGAGGACACTATAAATAATAAATTGAATTAAAGTAAGGTACCAGCCGTAGGGTTGCATTCCGGGAAGTCGAAATATTAATTCCTAAAAAAAGAAAATTTTTAAAATTTTTCTAAAAATACCTGCATATATCCATAAATTAGGTAAAAGAAAAATACAGCCAAAGAAATAGCCAAAAATTGTGGGAGTTTCGGCCATGAACTAATATCAAAATTTAGGAGTTTAATTGGTAGAGGAAGGTGATCATGATTGGATATGTAACCATTTTTTAGATCAGACCCCATTTCTTTAAAAAACCTTCCCCTGCAAAAAATAAAGAAAAAAAGTTTAAATTTTGAAGAAAAGAATGTACAAACAAACAAAAAAATAAAAAAATCCCTCCACAAAAACTTTATCCACGTTTCTCTGTGTATAACCTAGCAAAAAACAGAGAAAGATAAAAAAGGATTTTCTGTCTTCATTAAATATAGAATGCCAGAAAATGGCAAAAAAGTTGTATTTAAAATTATTAAATTTAAAACACGATATACACAATTCTTTACACTAATCCTGAGCTCTCATTCATAATTATTTTGGAAATGCAGTACCTACAATCCGACCTTGTACCTAATTATAAGTATTTATTTATAAATTGATTTTTGTTAAAAAAAATTAAGCTTAACCTCAAAATTTTCACATGCGGTGTTAAAAAAGACTCGGGTAAGAAATATGAGAGATTTGACAAATGACTGAGAATAATTTTTTTTAATTATATTTTTGAAGGTGCTTATATGTTGAAAATTTATATATATAAATTAAACTTTTTGTATATGTATGCGTGTATACATTTGCTTCTAGATCCTCCCTTAATGTGTGTTTATATTAAAGTGTGTTTCATATAGATACTTGGTTCTATTAGAACATTTACGGTATGTATAAAGTGCGTAAGTTTGTGTGAATTTCAAGTAAACTTTTTAAACTTAAGTTAGTTCACATTATAGTCTTATGCAAATTTTGATTAATTTTCTATCCCACAACATTTAAACATGCTAAATTTTATTAGATACCTTCGTTCATTATTCTTTAATTTTTTTTCTTAAATTTTACATCTTTTAAAAATTCTCATTATAATTTATTTCAAAGAATGCCAATTTTATTCTCCACGGCAACCAACAATAATTTGTTCGTTAAACAATATATTTCTTTATATCTTAAGTGTTCGTTTAAGGCGTTTCTCATTCTCGGTGTCCATTCTTTTACATTTAGGTATATCACGTTTAAATCTTAATATCAAGTAAATGTTTCTCTATTACCGTTATTTTCATTAAATTATTTTATTCTCTTAAAGTCGACCAAGAATTAAGTGTATTTTTAATAATTTTATTTAAAATTTATATTTTTGATTAATTCTTAAAATCACTACAATTAACACTTACAAGTTTTTTTTGTTTAAAGTTTAAAGGTTTCTCTTAAATTAAAATGAGAAAATCGGAAGAATGCGGCCGAGATTATACAGTTCCCGTTCCCCCACCTCCAATTGACGGCCATCTTTATCCAATTATTGAACATCATCCAAATGAGGTTGCTAGAGGTAATAATTTACCCTCAACTCCATTACCACCTGTTTATTCGCAAACTAATGGAGTTTCATCTGGAAATATTGGAGGCAATTTAATAAATAATAAATATAAAGAATATGTAAATCTTTAATAATTTAGGTCCACCACCATATAATGACCAACAACAACAACAATTTGGTTGTCAACCTATAGGTGTACGTTATTTTGTTCATGGACAACAAGATGGTGGTAGATCTTCAGGCAACAATTCAGGAAGGGAATTTCATGCCATTCACACTACACTTCCTGCCAATGGGGGTAAAGAAATTTATTCTACATTTTCAATTATGCTTGTCAGTTTTTATTGCCAAATTAAATTTTGTAACGATTAAAAAATATTTTCTAAAGATACAGTTTTTTACTACATTTCTTCCTCATCTTCACCATCTGGTCCTAATTGTAAAAGAAATGAGCCATTCCTTTTAATTCGCCGTCGCCGTTCGAGCATTGCTTCAATTGTTTTAGCCTCACTTTTAGCTTCTATTCTTTTAATCGTCTTTGTTCGAATGCATACAGAGTTTGCCAGAAAACATATACAACAACAAGAGGTAATTAAATAATTAAATACTTTATTTATTTATTTATCTCAAAACAAATTTATAACAAATTTTGATAATATTATTATTTGCTTTGGATTATTATTTAACATTCTTTCATTTATCTTCTTTTCTTTTGTTTCACCTTCTTTTCACCATTAAAAGTATTTAGGATAGTAAGGTTTTGGTGGTGTTGGTGGCGGTGGAGGAGCGTAAGTTGGTGGAGCATAGACTGGTGGTGGTGGTGGTGGGGGAGGTGGAGGAGCATAGGTTGGTGGAGCGTAGACAGGAGGTGGAGGGGGTGGTGGTGGAGCATAAGTTGGAGGAGCATAGACTGGTGGTGGAGGTGGAGGAGCATAAGTTGGAGGTGGAGGAGCATACGTTGGAGGTGCATAGACAGGAGGTGGAGGAGGTGGTGCATATGTCGGAGGAGCGTAGACCGGTGGTGCATTACGTTTAGGCTTGTACGGCTTTTTGGTTGTTTCGGGTTCTTTAGTACTTGTAACCGGTGGTGACTAAAATTAATTTTTTAAAAGTGTATTTAATTAATTTAATTAACCGTCGGTTTAAATCCCTCACTAAGAGCAACCACCAAAGCAATCAAGAGAAAAGAAAAGATAACAGAAGATTTCATTTTTTGTTGTAGTTCTTTATTGAATACTATTGTGAATTGATATGTTTAATTCTGATTTTTCAGTCATTTTATATTAAAATTTTTGACATTTAACATTTAATTTAACATTTAAATTAGCAAAAATTATTAAACAAAATGTTAATGTTAAAAACTTAAAATATCATTTTATGACTAAAAATAATATTTAGATTATTATTAATTTAATTTTATTACTAATAATTCTCAACTTTTTAGAAGAATTATTTTTTTATCCACACAAAAATTATTATTTGTAAAAACATTTAAAAATGTTATTTAGTCATTTCTAACAATTATCAAAAATTTTATTAGCACTTTTTTAATTTAAATTATTTTAGAAAAATATTTTTATGCTGATTAACTTTTTGATTACCTAAAAATAAATATAGTCAACCCTTTACTTGAGCACCACGGTACAGGGTTCCTAAAAAGTTTTCCTAAAAAGTCAAATATGGCCACCGTACTCATCAGACTTGAATCTTAGGGATTACTCCTTTTGGTATTTTCGAGGGAAGGGTCTGTTCTTAATAACCCAAAAGTTTGGGTTATTAATCAGCCGTTCGAGGATGAGAGAAAATCTCACCAGAGGAGGAGCGAACTTTTGCCCAAAATGTCTTTTTTATCCAAATAAAGGGTGGGTACTTCAAAAATTCTTGATTATATTTGTTCCTCATTTAGTTCTCTATTATTTAAGCCTTATTTGATTTCATTATCTTTTGATTTGAATTAAGTTATGAGATAAATAGTTTGCATATTAACTTTAATCTTTTACTGAATCTTAAGGATAATTTAACGAAAACAAATATATTTAAATTTTAAAATAATTTTTAATTATTAAAATTAAAAATCTTAATTAATTTAAAAAAAAATTTAAGGAAGTCAAGAGAGAATATAACAATTATTATGGAGGGGGTAGCAACACAAATGATCATTCAGAATTCAAATATCACAATCATCAACCTTCTTCACATTCTGGAATATTTAATAATTATTTTAGTAACAACAATACTAGTACATTATTAAATTCAACAGATTTATTAGACAATTCTACTTCTTTAATTTTAAATAATTTAATGGGAAATACTTCAAATTATTTAAATTTAACAACAACAACAATTCAACCTTTACTAATTACTGATAGTAATGATTATAATGACGGATTAAATAATATTCAGTCAAAAAATGGAACTGATAAACTACAAACACAAAATGAACCACCGCAGGAACAACAAATTTAAAATTAATTTTTTTTTTCAAAAATTAAAAACATTTAATTAAATTTAAGGGATTTTATTAATTGAAATTATTTAAAATTAAATAATTAATTCTTTGTAAATAAAATATTTAAAAGAACATTTTATATATTATTTATAGACATGATTCTTGCTTTAATTATAATCTTCTATATTTTATTATTAAATCAATTATTCGAAATATTGAGTCAATATTGATAAAGATGTTTTTATTGTTTAGTATAACTTTTTCTCTTTTAATTTCCAAAAAAAAATTTTTTTTAACTAATTTAATATTAAATTGGCAACAGGGCCATAAATATATTTTTTAAATAAAATATCCCAAAATAATATAAACTTAAGTAAGAGTCACAGAAATCACTCACATCTTTATTTTTTAAACGAAAAAATAAATGTGAAAACGTGTTAGTCTCGTGGGGTAATGAAAAAAAGATGTAGGAAATAAAGAAATAAAATATATTAAGGTTTATTTAAGGTTATTTTATTTGTCTAGTTTTTTTAATTATTTATTTAAAAATATCTGTCTATTTATTTTTCCCCAAAATAATTAATACATTAATTTGATAAAAATATGAAAGATAAGCTATAAATAATTTAAGAGAATTATCAATTTTTTGGTGGAAAATGAAGGACTTTTTTTTAAGTGAACTTTAATTTTTTTAGTCCATAAATAAAAAGCCAAAACCTATAAATATGTAACCAATTAGAAAATTAGCTTAACTCATTTTTAAAAATAAATGAAGAAAGTTTAGAATATTTAAAACATTTTTTAGTTTAAAATACAATTTTTAATTAAAGTTTTTATTTTAAAAATAAATTATTTTAAAAAAATTTAATAAGGAATATTTTTTATTTATAAATTTTTTTGTTAAAAAATTAAATTTTGATTCAGCAAAAGTAAATTAATTTAGTTAAAATTAGAGTACCTTCCTAATATTTTTGATTTAAAGAGCATCATTCTTCTTGAATTAAAAAATTATTTTAATTTTATTTGATAACAATTTTTTCAATAAATAAATTTCTTTTTTTTATTTATTTTTCTTCTCCACTTTCTGATATGGAAAAGTGGCTCTACCATTTTTATTTTTATTTTATATTTTGTCGAATATTTATTTCCCCAAAAATTATTTTTTAACAACCTCTTTTAACTTAAAAATAAAATAAAATCATTTAAAATTCAAAAATTATTCTTTAATTTACTTCCAAAAATAATTCCTTAATTTTATTAAAAATAATTTATATAAAAATCGATTTATATAAAAATAAACTCAAGAATCAGTTAACGTGTACTTTCTTTAACTATTTTAGTTAAAGCAAAGTCATTCAAGAAAAAGTTAAAAATAAAATAAAAATATTTTATTCATTCATTTACACTTTAATTCTTTTTTTATTTCTCAATAAAAACATTTGTTTATAAATATATTTCTTTATTTTTAGGAGATAAATAAATAAATTATTATTTAAAAAAATATTTTTTCATAAATTAATTTTTGTTATCCTAAAAAATAATTTAAATTAATTTTTTATTTTCTAAGACTAAATAAATTAAGAAAAATTTATTTAAATTTTATTTTTTAAAATGCCTCGTCTTTGGTTAGCCAATATTTTTTCTAAAATTGGTTTAAATATTGGGAAATACCCATTTACGAGTATTTTAATATTTATTTTAACAACTTTATTACCTTTAATTCTTGGAATATTTTTTGGAGTAAAACCAGAACTTTCCTTAAATGATGGATTTATATCTTTCGATTCTCCTTCAAAAAAAGAATTGTTGGCACAAAAATATTTTTTTGGAGAAACTGTAATTTAAATGAAAGAATTTGGGGAAAAACGAATTTTTTAAAGGAAAAATCAAAAGAATGGTATATGGCATTGTTTGGTATTGCTAATAATGAAATAAATGGAGATAAAGGAGGGAATATGTTGGAGGAGTCTAATTATAGAGAATTTAATTCTTTTTATCAACAAATTTTTAATAATTTGAAAATTAAGGATTTTAAGTAATTTATTTTTAAAAAGATTTTTTAAAAACAATTTTTAAAGAAATTTAACTTACTCACAAATTTGTAATCCTTTTTGTGATATTAATGACCAATTTCTTAAATTAATGGTTCTTATTTTTTTTATTTTTTTGTCTAAATTTTCTTTTAAAAGGAATATTCTACTTCGTGGCTATCTTCTTTAGGTCAAGTTAAATTTAGTTATCCAATTAGTAAAGTTCTTGGTTATGATGTTAATATTGGTAAAGTAAGTATATTTATACATATACTTTAAATTATTTTTCCAGCCCGGAGTTAAATTAAAAAATTCTTTCGGAGAATTAAGGAAATAAAATATTAAAAAATTAAAAAAAAAATTTATTTAAATAAATTTTAAAAATTAAAAGCATATATTTAATCGTTCAATTAATGAAAAAGGAGAAATAATTAATGCTACAATGGTTGCCTTATATTTTAGTACATTTATTAACGATAATTCAACAAAATTGTTTTTAAATAAATTTGAAGAAAAAGTTGCTGAAGAAGCTGAAATATTTAATAATTTAAATAAAAATAATATAAAAATTATTGTTCATGGTTCAAATGTTGTACAAAAAGAAATTGAAAGGGGAATAATAAATGATGGAAAAATTGCTTTAATTTGTTAGTTTGGATTTAATTTAATTAAATTTTTTAATATTTTTTAGCATTTTTAATTTCAATATTCTTCTTTATTTTAATCCATTCAATTTCTGGATATATTTATTCACAATTTACTTTAAATAGAACATTAATTTCTTTATTGTGTATTCCCTCTATTATTTTAATTTTATTGGCTATTTTTGGAGGAATTTCTTTATTTGGATTTCCAATTAATTTATTACATTTTAGTACTCCTTTAATTGGATTAACGATTTTAAATAGTTTGGTTTTACATTTAAATATAAATTAAATTAATTAATTAAGTTGCTCATGGTACTTTCCAATTGGGAGATATTTGGTGTAAATTATTAAATGAATCCAAAGAAAGGCAATATTCTTCAAATGAAAGATTGGCTAAAGTTTTTGAAAAAGTTATTTTTTAATTTTTTCTAAATTAAAATCTTTTATTTAGATTGGCCCTTCAATGTTTTATTCTTCTCTTTGGCCAATTTCAGCATTTTCAATTCTTTCCCTAACATTAACAGCAATAAACTACAAATCTTTATTTTTGGCAATAACCCTTTTATTTATTTATTGCTTTTTATTTAAAATATTATTTTTTTCTCCTTTATTGGCTTATTATTGTCATCATTCCGTAATAAATTTTTTTAATTAAAAAATTCAAAAAAAAATATTTTTTTAAGGTTGAACATTCTCTTTTAGAGAATAGTCCTTATTCTTTATTTAATTTAAATTCAAAAGAAATACTAAATAAAAATAATAATTTATTGCCGCCAACAATTCAACAATTACGTTCTAAAAAAGAAAATAAATTAAATAAAAATAAATTAAAATTATTTAAAAATTCAAAAAAAATATTAGTTAATGGAGAAAAAATATTTTCAAATTTTTTAATTAATTCATTTAATGGCCGCTGTTTTATTTTATTAATAACAATTTTATTTTTATTTTTGTCTTTTTGGAAAGGAATTCCTTCAATTCAAAATAATATGGATTATAGGGAAATATTACCTAAAGAATCTAAAGCAATTAAAGGTTTTGATATCATGGATTTAATTTGGAATGATTTGTTACAAATTTTGTTTATTATACAAAACCCTCCAAATTTTGAAGATTCTGAACAATTTGGAGAATTTAAAGTAAAAATTAATTTAAAAATTTTAAAAAGAATTTAAAAATTATCTCTCTAATAAACAAACTCTTTCTTTGGTCCATTCAAGTGTAAAGCATATAGCTATTTAATTTCTAAGGCTGTGCAGTAGGCGGCGTTGTGATAGCTATAGCCCAGCTGCTTAATGCAAGTGCTCATCCCTTTATTTCTTTTCTCAATATTTTTTTCAAATTTATTAATTATCTTGCCAAATTTTTGTTCACAATTATTACATCCCATTTTTTGACAAAATTTATTAATCAATTTAAAGAAAAAAATTTGTTTGTGAAGGGGAATTATATAAATATTTTTAAAGGAATTCCTTCATGAAGCTACTTTATTAAATCAAACTCTCCAGCCTTCAGCACATATGTCCTGGCTTTTTGATTATTACAAAGACAAATTTAACCAAAATATTTTACAAAATATTAAAATAAATAATTCAAAATTTAATTTTGTAAATATGTCTAAATTTGATTCATTTATTAATAATTTTCCATATAATGCTTGGAAAAGTGGAGTTCGCTATAAAATATTTTTTGATGAAAATAAAAATAAAAGGTACTAATTAATATTTTTAAATAATTATTTATTTTTTAAAAAAAAAGTTCTGTAATAATTAATAAAATGTTAATTTTATTTGCTTATGGAAATACTAAAGGTTTATCTGGTAAAAGAAAATTAATTAATGAATGCCGTTCTGTTGCTAAACGATATCCACAATTTAAAATAAATATATTTGACACTGATTTAAAAACTACAGATTTAATGAATTTAATTGAAATAATTAGTTTTAGGTATTTTTTAAAATTATTTTTTAATTTAAATTTTAAAGATTATTATTATTTTTATTTATTTCTTTAATTATTTGTATTATTTTAATTATCAATTGGAATTTTATTTTAACAATTATTTCTATTATTTCAACAATTTCTTTATTTTCAAGTAATTCTCCTTTTAATTATTTAAATATTTTTATTTTTTAGTGATTTTTGGATTTTCCAAAATTTTATTTAATTTTCAAATTGATTTTATAACAACGCCAACAATTATTTTAATAGCTATTTTTGGAGCTAATTTATCTACAGATCAATTTATTTTTTGTGATTTATTATTTTATTGGGACGATGAAAATAAAATAATTAAAGCTTTAAAACAAACAATTAATTTATTAATTAAAGTAAAAAATTAAAGAAAAAAATTTTTTGGGGGGAGAGAAAGATATTAAAAAACATTCTTTTTTCAGTTATTACCAATTTGGCTATCATTATCACTACCTTCCATTTTATTTTCACAAATTCCATTTTTCAAATTACAATCAAGTCTTCTTTTATTGACAATTTTGTTAACAACATTTAATAGCGTTATTTTATTACCTACAATTATTGGAATTTTACCTAAAAAGTGGCTTACGTAAAAAAGAAAAAACGAAAGATTTTTTAAATTTTTAAAAAGTGCCATTATTCCCTTTATTTAAATATTAATTGTTTTTTACAAATATATTAACATTCCATTTATTTATTAAATTAGATAATTATTTATTTAATAAAATGTTTTATAATAAAAACAACATTACCGTATTTGCTAAAATAATTACCCAGGGTAATTATTGTTTCAACCTCTCGCTGGAGGGAGTAATTAATAGGGAAGGGGTAATTATTTAAACTTTTTTAGAAAAGCTAATCATAACTATTTTTAAGAGGGTAATTATTTTTTCGACCTCTGGCTGAAGGGGGTAATTGATAGGGCTGGGGTAACTATTTAAGAGAGCGATATTATTTTAGCATATACGGTATTCAAATTGTATATACAACTTTAAATAGTTAAAATACTACAAATATATTTGAGGAATAAAGTTAAGAATAAATTTAATTACAAATTAAAAAAAAATTCAGGTATATATTTTTAATGGAGGAATTCTCTCTCTTTTTTTCTCTTTATCCAAGCACACTAGTCTTTAATGGGGGATTTACAAGTCTGGGCATAAATTTTGATTGAGGAGATTTGTTTTGTTTATTTCCACTATCAAGCAAAGAATTAATTGTTTGATTTTGTTTTGTTGAAGTTTTTGGTGGTATTTTATTTGGATATTTATTTTGATTAATTAATCTAATTTTAATAATTAATATTTATTTAAAATTAATTAATATTTACTTACATATTTTCATTATTTTCATAAATATTTTTTAAATTATTTTTATTTAAAATATTATTTTTCTCTTCTTTTTCTTCTTTTTCTTCTTTACTTTCCAAATAATTCATTGCATTTTGTATTTGTTTAGTTGCTTTATTTAACGTTTCTTGCGCTTCAACTAAATGTTTTTTAGCGAACTCCTTTTTAGAAGAATTATTATTATTATAACCCAATGAACGCCAATCAAAATGATTATTGTTATCTTTAGGCTAAATTTTAAAAAATAATTTAAAAATATTTTTAAAATTTTTTACCTCAATATTTTTATTTAAATAATTACTATTTTGTTTGTCAGAAAAAATATTATTATTAACATTTTCATTTTTCCTTTCATTAAAATTTTTATAAAAATTATTTTCATTAAAGTGGCTATTTTTACTTTCAAAATTATCTGTTTTCTGTTTTAAATGTGAAAGATATTTTTGATTATTATTATTTTTAATATGTTCTTTATTAATAAAATTATTTTGTAGATTATTATTATTATTATTATTATGTTTATTTTCGTCAGACAATTCTGAATTTTTGTTTTTAATTTCTGACATTTCTCTTGTAATATTTTTACTTTTTTCTTCGTTCTGATATTCATGATTATTTGGATTATTATATTTTGGTAATAAATTATTTTTAAAATATTTATTTTTCTCCAATTGTTCATCTTTATTTCTTTCTCCATAATGATGTGAATGTTGATGGATGTTATTTGGTTGGTGGTGATGATATTCTTTTGTCCGATGGTTTAAATTTGATTTATTTTTATTTCCTAATCCCTCACTAAATTATTTAAAATATTTAAGAGTAATTAATTAATTAAAGTCTATACCTTTTTTGAACTTTTTCTCTTTTCCTTTCATGAGGATAATAATTATTTTCTGACAAATTTTCGTATTCCTCAAAGGAAGGTTCGTTATCATAATGATAATTATTTTTATTTTCTTTTTTGTAAGGCCATTCAGAAGAAGGTGAAGGAAAATATTCATTTGATGAATGATCCAATTCTTCTTCACTACTAAATTGTTTCCCTTCCTTTTGAGGATTTATTTGATTATAATTATCTATTTAAAAAATAAAAATTATTTTAATTATTATTTTTAAATAAATAAAAACTTTTTAATTTTCTATTCGGCCACAAAAATTGTTTCCTCAATTCCTCTTCAACTCCATCTAAATTATTTTCTTCTTCTTCTTCCATAGTCTCCTCTATTTCCTCTTCAAATTCTGAATCATAATTATCATCTACTTCCCCTTCAAACCAATTAGCGTGGTCTGTTAAACTTTCAATTCTTTTATCTTTAAAATATTTATTTATTTTCAAAATTATTTTAAATTACCTTTTTTATTTTCTTTTTCATTATTTTCAAAATATTCTTCTGAATTATCTGTCAAAATCTCTTCTGATTTACTCAATTCTTTTGAAGAATTTCTTTTAAATAAAGATGTCCCCGTTCTCAAAGTATTTTTTCTCTTTGTTGGTAACATAGAAAAATGTCGTCTAATTTTATTTAAATTTTCTAAACTTTTTGGATTTTTAATATTTTTGTTATTTTGATTTTGTTTAATTTTATCATTTATAGATTTTGAATGAAATTTAGACTGGTTTCTATTTAATTTTTCTGATTTATTAAAATAATTATTTTTATTTTCTTCTTCTTCTGAAGTAAAATGTTTATTTTCAAATGAATTTTTTGTTGTTTTTCTATCTTCAAAATAATTGTTGTCTAAATTATCTTCTCCAAATTCATCTGAATAATCATTTTCAACCCTCCCTTCTTCCAAACTTTCTTCTTCAAAATCATTATTATTTAAATGATCATCATCAATGTTATCTTCATCAACTCCAAATTCACTTTCATTTAAATCTTCTTTACTTCCAAAATAACCATCATCATTATTATCAGAAGAATCATTACTTTCACCACTATTATTACCATAATTTTTATTAAATGTTTTATTTCTTGTTTTAACTTTTTCTGTTTTAATTCTCCCCAAATTGTTTTCATAATTTTCAGTCATTTGGCTATTTTCATTTGAATTTAAATTTAAATATTTATTATTATTTTCTGAATTTGTTTTAAATCTATTTTTATTTATTTTTTGTATTTTAGGTATTTCTTTAAAGTTTTCTTTACTTTCCTCTAAATCTTCCTCAACTTCCACAGAATTATCCTTTTCATTTTCTTCATTTTCATCTAATTCTTCTTCTTCCACTTCATCATCAAAATGTCCAAAATTTTTATTTTTTTCTTTTGATTTAATTTTTGTTTTTAATCTAACGGGAACACTTTTTGAATGTTTTATTTTTGGAGAGGGAATGGAATAAAAACGTTTTTGTTTATTTAAATTATTAAAATGTTCAGACGGGGGTTGTTGTTTACTTGGACTTGTTAAATATTTATTTAAATTAGCTAAATCTTCATTAAATTCTTCATTGCTAGCAACAACAGATTGTCCTTCTTTACTGTCAACAATTAACGGATTTTTTTGTTTTTCTTTAAAATGTTTTTTGTCTAAAATGAATTTTAAAATATTTAAATAAATAAATAATTAATTAAATAACCTTTTTTAATTATTTTGTGAGGTTTTGAATTTTCTTTTTTAATTGGATTATTTAAAATATTTTTAGTTTTCTTTTCTTTTTTATTTAATAATTTTTTATTTTTCTCTTTCAAATTTTTTTTATTATTTTTCCCTTTATTTTTTAAATTATTTGGAATATTTTTAATTTTTGAATTTTTATTTAATTTTACTTAAAAGAAATTATTTTGAAATATTTCTATTTTTAAAAATACCTTTATTTTTTGTATTTAATTTCTTTTTTAAATTTTTTCCAAAAGAATTTCCTGCTTTGCCAACAATTTTATAAGGATTCTTTTTAATTATTTTTCCTTTAAAAAAATTATAAATACTTTATTTTCTCTAAAATAATGACCGATTATTATTTTTTAAATTACTTTTAGAAAGTAATTATTTTAGAGAAAATAAAGTAAATAATTAATTCGCAAAGTTTCTAACCTCCTTAAATTAATTAATAATATTTTAATTAATTTTTTACCTCCATTCAATTTACTTCTCAAAAAATTTCCAAAATCTTTGCCTGCTTTGCCAGCTATTTTAAATGGATTTTTTGGAATTGATTGATTCTTTCCTATTTTTATTTTAAAAATTTTTATTTTAAAATTTAAATTAACCCTTACTATTTAATTTTTTATTTAAAGAATTTCCAACTTTTTTCCCCAAATTTCCAACTTTCTTAAAAATTCCACTTTTATGTGCAGCTACTCCCATACCCATTAAAACCATTCCAGTAAATATTTCCCGTTTATTTCTTTCCAAATTAATTGGAGAATTTAAGGAGGAATTATTAATTTTTATATTTAAGGAAAATATTTGTTTAATTGGAAGAAATAAAAATAAAATAAAAATATAATTAAAATATTTTAAGAATTTCATAATAATTGAATTAATAAAGATGATAAATAATTTGTTTTGAAAATAATTGGAATGAAAAATATTTGCATTTTATTTGGGATAATTTTAATTTTTAAATAAATAAATATATTTATATACACTATGTACTTATTATTTATTTAAAGAAAGTTAAATTTAAATTGAAGGTTCAATAAACAAATCTAAAATAAATAAATAAAATTTATATTCAAATTAAAATTACAAATATTCCTAAAATTGCTAAAATGGTTTGGAACTACTAAAAACTTTCTGTTATAAATATCTAGGCAATAATTAAGCTTTAAATTTTTTATTTTTAAAATTAACTAATCCTTATTAAAAATATAATTCATATATCTTAATTCACTTTAGACATTTTTCTTGTAAAAAATTGTTTTTGAATGTTTTGTTTAATTAATTAATATTTTTTATATTATAGAATTATGAAATAAAAAAAATTATTTAATGAGGATAAAAAATTTAAAGGCTATATGCGCTTTTACCTTTGAGAGCGCCGATTGATTTTGATTAATGTTAAAAGAGGAAAAATGTTTTTCTCTGTCTATAATTAATTATTACATAAAGTTATTTAATGATTTAATTAAAATATTTGGATATTTGCCGTAAATATTCTAATAAAAGCCCTGGGCTTATATTTTTCAATGGGTCTCCTCGGATGGTCTTAGAGGTGGGCTTATATTTTTCAACCTTCAATGAATTTTCAACCAAAATACAAGATAGAAATAGGCCGTAATATTAGGTGAGATAGTGAGAATATAGTGAGATTAAGAAAATTTAGTGTGATATTCACTGATAGAATTATTCTCCGTTGATTCTCCCTTAATTATAGGAATAAAAGAGAAAACTTTTATTTATTTTGAGAATTTTGATTAATTTTATTTTTTCCAGTAAAAAATCCTCCTTCTAATTAATTAGCATTCTCCTTTGGATTCCCAGAAAAATAATTATTTATTTATATTTCCTTTTAAATTGTCACCATAGTAATAAGAAGAGAATTTAAAGTTTCTCTTATTTCATTTTCTTTTATTTTAAAGAAGAAAAAATAAAAGAAAGTAACGGAAATTATTCCTCTTAAATGGAAAATAATAATAATAATTCTTCGAGAATTGTATTTAATATTGGAGGTAAAATATTAATTAATTAATTCTATTATACTTTAATTATATATATTTTTTTCTCTTAAAAAGGCAAATGTTTTGAAACTAGTTCTCAGGTTAAAATTAATTTTGTCACAAATAATTTTTAAATTTAAATATTAGACAATAAAAAGAATTCCCAATACTCGGTAATTAATTTTAAAAATAATTTTAATTTATTTAAATTAAAAGATTGACACATTTGGTTGAGGAATTTGAATTAGTAAAAGGAAATTCTCCTATTGAAATTTTTATTGATAGAGACGGTTCTAGGTAAAAAAGAAAAGGAATAATTCTTGTTTTAATTAAAAGATTTGAATATGTACTTAATTATTTACGTAATGGATACATTGCTAATGGAGATAATGAGGGAGATGAACTTTTTGAAATGTTAGAGAAAGAGGCACAAGTATTTCTTTTTAAATTATTTTAATTAATTAAAAAATTAAAGTATTTTGGTATAAGTGAAATGGCTAATTTATGTCGTTCTATGCAAGAGCCTTTAGCAGTAAAGGATTGTGTCCATTGGAGAAAAGATGCTATTCCTGTAAATAAAATTGTGATTAAAATAAATAAAATAAAATTATTTTTAAAAGCATTATTGGAAGATTTTTCTTAAATGTGTTATTGACCGTTCTTTAATTATTCCTTTTACATATGAGAGGAATAGGTGGTAATTAATTGAAGAAGAATAATTATTTTTAAATTTAATTATTTAGTTTTTTCTGTGCAAAATGTATTGCTTGTGAAGCCGATTTTGATCCAAAATGTTCAAACATTTATTCTGTAAAATATTTAATTTTGCTTTAAATTTTATAAAATTATTTTTAGTTTAACGTTGATGATTGGAGTGCTTTGGGACATCATATGGGACAAATGTGTGGACGGGTGGAAAAAGTAGAAAATTCAGAAAAAATACCTAAATATCTATTATTTAAAGTTATTAGGCCAAACTTGTGTTTTAGTTAAATGGGATAATGGAGTTACTATACATTTACCTAATTCTGCTTTGAAACGAGCAATTCCAATTGGTGGGGGTAGAATGGTTTTAGCAACACAAAAAACTATTGGAGGGGGAACGAGTATTGATAAATAATTATAATTATTTTCTTGGAATTATTTTTAATATATGTAAAAACTAGATTTTTGTTATTTACTCTTTTACTTTTGGAATAAAAAAAGGAAATAAATAAATAAATATAAATGTCAAGTTGCAAGTCAAAAGCTAAGTAAATATTATTATACTTTTGCTGATAATTTTTTTACTTTTTTTTCTTTGTCTGGACTAGTATTTAATATATAAAAAATAAATAAATGTTTGCCAATATATCCTTTAATATTTGTTTTGTTTCTAAATTGCTTGGAATTTTGTATATATAAATACATGCAACTTTCTTTTATCTTGTATCAGTCTTAGAAAGAGAATTCACTTATTCTTTAAAAATGGCTTTAATTAATAAAAATATTAATCATTTAAGGTAATAATTAATTAAATTGTAATTTAAAAACAATAAATTATTTTTTAGTATATATTTATTGTTCTCCACAATAATGGCATTCTCACTTATTGTAGAAAAGACCAATTCTGTATTTATTTTTATTTAAAATTAATCAAAATTTTTCTTTTAGCAATTTACATCTCCAGGTGCCTATTATGTTTTTGCTCCGGGATTCAATTTTAATCCTGTTAAGAGAGGCGTGCCAGAACCAGAACCAATTGTTCTTCCTCAGAATATAACGGATATTGTTGAAACTACAACGAAACAAATTTAATAAAAATTGATATTTAACTAATTTGAATGTACTTGCTATTAATTAAAAAATAAAATTTTAAAAAATTCTACATAGTATTTTGTTTGTTGATATTTTGGAAAATATTTTATATCGTGTATAAAGACAGTTTTTTGTGTGTAGAGGCGAGCGGTTGGTTAGCTTTCCACTCTGCTTGCTGTTGAGCGGAAGGGCAGCCGCCCTAACCAACATTAAAAAATAGTATAGCAGAGAGAATTTACGCTAGCGGGGCGCAACTAATCGATGCGCTTAGGCGCTATATTTCCCAACCGTCCGTCTCCGCTCATATGGAAACTGTGACATATAAACCGTGTTTTACTTAATTGAAGAGAAAATATTTTTTTATTTTTATGCCAAATATTTATTTTTACATCCAATATTTATGGTTAATTAATTTAAAATTAAATTTTTAATGTTAACTTCCGTAGAACTCATAATAAATATTATAAAGGTTTTGCGCGGCGATAAAATATTTTGCCCTTCTTTTCTTCGTCCGCTTGTTCTCCGCTCACCAGCCTTTGATTTTTTACTCGGATTGCTTCACATCAAACAATTTTTTATAAAACGCTCTAGCATGCATACTTCCTTCCAACTTCTAAATATTAATACAATTTCTCCTACTAGTACATATTTCATGTATATTTTTTAACAAAAAGTTTACTCTTAATTTCTAATAAATTTTATTTTAGAAATTTAATATTCTTAAAAATAAATTAATATTAAAATGAAGCGTCGTAGTTGTGGAAGATGGATAAATAAAGAAGATGAAGTATTTGATGAAGAAATTGAAGAAACTGAAAAAATCCAAAAAAAGACAATGAAACAAGAAATTGTTGAAGGAGAAAGAGAGGGTAGTAATACTACAATTACCGCTACAATAATGGCAATTTCTCCAAATGACCAATTTTATGAATTTTCGGTGATTAATAAATTTAATAAAATATGTATATTGTTTTTAAATAATTAATTTTTTAAAGAATATTTCCGAAGAAAATCCTGTCCCCTCAAAAACAACACAAAAAAATAATATTTTAATGGCAGCTCAGTTAGGGATGAAAGGACCGCCACCTAGTGGTGAACAACCAGTTGATAAAATGTTTAATTCACAATTAATAAAGGTGTTTTTAAATTAATTGAAATTTTATATAAAGTTAAGAGTACATCTCTTTAATAGATTAATGATATTCTGGGGTTATTGAGAAATTTAAAGAAAATTGGTTAAGTTCAAAAATATTTTTTAAATTATTTTTATTAAAGTTTGGAGGAGCGTTTCTTCTTTATAGTTAAACAATAATTCTTTGTTTATTTTTAAAGGAAATAAGTCAACATCCAGCACTTTTTGATTTTACTTGTGACGAATATAAAAGTATTGAAGCACGGAATAGAAATTGGGATGAAGTTTCTTCCCATTCTTGTCAACCTCTCGAATTTGTTAGAACAAGATGGAAAACTTTACGTGACAGATTTAAAAAAGAAGTTCGTCGAATTAAACAACAACAATTACAACAACCAGAAAATGCTTTTAATGGGTGTTGGCATCATTTTGAAGAAATGCTTTTTTTGTTGCCTTTTGTTAGAGATAAAGCTGAGGAAGTTGTTTCTCATTCTAAAGATGGTAAAGAGTCTTCTCCAGCAGATGTAACAACATCAGCACAAGCATTAATACAAGCATATACATTAGCTAAACAACGTCAAATAAATAATTCTTCAATTAATATATTAAATTCAGAAAATCAACAACAACAACAACAATCACAACAACAAATGCAATCAAGTACTGCAGCAATTTTAGATTTAGCAATGAATGCTGTACATAAAAATAATAAGGAAATTGGTGAAAATAATGAAAGAGGAGAATGTTTAAATGAAGATGAAAATGATAATGATAATAATGAAGAAATTAATAATGGTGGGGGAGGAGGAGGAGGAGGAGTTGGATATTCTAATGGAAATAATTTGAATATTTCCACAAAGTATTTTAAAAAGAAATTTAAATTTTAAAAATAAAATATGTATTTAGTAAATCTTCCTCAATTTATCGCCAACCATCAATTCGTTTCCAAAAACAATTTCAACAACAAAAATTATTACAATTAAATGAAATAAATAACAGAATTAATAATAATTGGAAATTTCCCGAAGTTTTTGGAGAAAATGAAGATGATGAAGATAAACTGTGAGTGAAAAATAAATTTTTGTTTTTAAATTTAATTTTTAAAGTTTTTGTCGAATTGTTCTCAAAAAATTGGGAAAATTAGATGAAAGACTTAAAGATACTGCAAAAATAAAAATAATGGAACTTTTATTAAATTTACAATATGGGGAATGTAATAATAATCAAACGAGTAATAGTAGTGGAAGATAATCTTTTGTTATTTATTTTGTATTTTAATTAATTTTTTTTTAATATTTCTTTTATAAAACCGGAGAATAAAAAATAATTATAATTTATTGGAGATAATTGTAGAATATAAATTCATTTAAATTAAACTTCTAAAATTAAAAATATTTTATAAATTAAATACACTGTAATGCAGAAATTTATCTACACACAACAATGCCTCCCAAAAAACCGCATAAAATGCTCATTTTTACAAATTATTTTAACAAATAAAACCTCATGTATTTTGTGGGCTTTCAGCTGATGTGAGTGAGCTCGAAAGAAATTTATATAATCTATAGGAGGTTAAAATATTTTTTGAATTTTACAAAGTACTGGGGGTCCCTTACTCAAAAATTACAAAATTGAGTAGAATATGTACATAATAATTTCATTTTTTAATATTTCCAAATCAAAATGTTGATATTTTATTATTAATTTAAAAAAAAACAATAAAACTTTTAAAACAAATGAGATGTAATGAAAAACAAGATCAATTTATGTTTTAAGCATCGGTAAATAAATAAAGTGCTAGATAATATTGTAGAAATAACACGTAAGTAAATCAAAAAAACAAGGCAAAAATTAAAGTATTAAAAGTTGAAAGAAGTGATAAAATCAAAATGTTTCAAAATGAACCCTCTACTGTCATTAAAACTTTAATATTCTTATTGATACTATTTATTAACAATTTTCTATTGCGTTCATATTCGTTTCCCAGCAAAATTATCTTTGCAATGTTATGGCTTATTTAAAATCTACAAATATTTCTAATTTTAGCAATTTTAAATTGTTTCCCGATAATTTGCAAGAAAAAGAACATACCGTGAATACTCTAATCTTTCAATAGGTCTCCTCGGATGGGCTTATATTAGAGTATGTACGGTAATTTCATAACAAAAAATTGGGTCTAATGATAACAATAAAGTATAAGGATAGTAATATGTAGTATAAGGTAATGAATAATTTTTAATAAATTCAAATAAATCATTAAAAAATAATTTTGAAAAGAGTTAACATTTTTCTAATTTTTAAATTTCAATAGTTAATCTATCCCCGATAATTGTAAGTTATAGTTAAAAGTATTTTTAAATTATTAAGTCAATGAAACCCATTCACCATAACATTTTGGACGAATAAAAACAAGCCTCCAACATCCTTCTTCTTCATCTACTCTTATATATTCAATTGTTGCCCATCTTGTTGTCCCCAAATCTTCATTCCGAATTATTCCCTGATCATCACGAATACGGCGAATAAAAGGTGTTCTTGTCATACAATTAGACATTTGTAAATCAGTTAACCAACGCTTCATTTTTGTACAAATTTCACCTCTTCGATCATCACGAATAACAATTTGACATTCAATCTGAGTGTGAATAAAAGTTAATAAAGAAATTTAAAACTCACAAAAACTCCGCCAAGTGAAGGAATTGTTCGTAACATTTCTTTTTGAAGTTGATAAGTAGAAGGATTGACAACAGCAGGAAATAAATCTCTAAAAATTTAAATTTGAACATTTTTATAAAAAAAGTTCCCCTACTTTCTTTCAAATTTTATCCACTGTCCCAAATCAAGTATTTCTTTTTTTTCGTCTGTATCCAAAAATAATTCAACAGCGGTAGTCTCTCCATTACAAAAAGGCCAAATCTTGTAACAGACAACTGCTTTAGAAGGATTACGCATTTGCTCTACAATAACACCACATGACCATCCATTCCAATCAAATACTTTATTTAAATGAGAGAGATCTTCAAATTTGAATGGATTATTATTATATTCTGGCAATAAATCATCATGTTCTTCTTCCCATTTTGATCGTTCTTTTTTGCTTCCAAAAATTTCAGAATATGTTGTTGCAGTTTCGGTTGAAGCTAATGAAGACATTGATGCGTAATGAAATGATCGATTAAAATTAACATGGCTACTAGAGGCTGCTATTGTGCTAAGACTGTCGTCATCAGTGACAGAACCATCATCGCCATAATCAGTTAAACCAATAGTTTCGTTATCGCTTTCTCCTCCTTTCATATCAAATTTAGCATTCAAGATATCTAAAAAAAATCCAAATATAAACATAAATTACGTGACCCGAGTAAGGAAAAATAAGACTAAAACAACAAAATCGACCAATTAAACTTCCCCAGTAATTTTAATTTATAATTTAAAACTCTCTACCTTCATTATAGACAGCCGCCATTCGCACCGCCTCATCTTTCAGATTGGGAAAACAATTCAAGGTTTGTTCGTTTACTTGGTAATAATGTTGATGAATATTCATTTCTGCAAAGAAATTCTTTTTATTGTATTAAAAAATGAATTGAAACAAAAAATAAATAAAAAGTAAGAATATTTACTTTCTTTTAAAAATTATTCTAATTATTTTAAAATAAAAATTTATTTATGCATCATATTCTCAGAAAAGATTAAATGACTTAAAATTTAATAAAGTTAGGTGAAAAAGTATGGAAGCTGGGTTAAAAATTAAATTGAAACAATAAAAAATAAACGATATTTCCATACTTTTCCACCTAATTCCAACATAAGTAGGCAAACAAGAAAAATTTAAGTATAAATGTATAATGCTTTTGTTTCAGAGATGTTAAAAGGAATAAAATTAATTTTAAAAACATTTTTAAAGCTAAAAGGCAAGAGTTTATTGTAGAATCCAAAAAAGAGAAGATGGGCAGAATAAATAATAATTTAAGTAATAAATGAAAGTTAACATTAGCACAAAAATCACAAAAATTGAATTAAAAAAAAAAGAAAAAATGGCCGCGAAAGATTTGTATTTTTTTTCACAGGGCAACAAATATAATGCAAAAGTAATTTATAATACTGAATTGTTGTTGAAATACTGGTCTATGACTTTTCTTTTTAAACGAGTTTAGAGAAAAAGATGGGGGAAATGTTAAAAATTCTCATATACTTTTTTCAAGTCCTCTTACTAATCAATATTAAATTAAATTTAAAAATAATCTCTAAACTCTTTTAATTTATAAATTAATTCTTAAAATAAGTAATACGCCAAAGTTGACGTTCATCACCATTTCTGCAACGGAGAGCACGAAGGATTATATTTGGAGTTTGGTAGTTATTTTCTGACTGTTGATCGATTAAAGTAAAACATCTGTTACCATTAATTTGAATGGGAAATAATGTAGAATTATTTGATATTGACAAGGAAGGCGACAAGGATGAAATGATTATTTTATTGTTAAACTGAAAATTAAAATAATAATTTTTAAAATTATTTTTAATTTTTTACTTGCTCATCAGAACAATGATTAAATATAAGTAGACTACTTTGATCATAAACAACACAAAGCCCAGATAATGAATGCTTTAAACGAAAAGACTTTTCATCATACAACCATTCTTGATTTCCACCATCAACTAGAAATGTTAAATATTTAATTAATTTTTTAAACTCTATTTACGATGACATCTAAAAAGACCGACAGATTGTCCAACTTTTGATCTCCCCAATGAATCCAAACAAAAAAGTCCATTTGAAATTTGTACACTCCGTCCATTAAAGAGATCCAAAGGTTGTAATTCTGGATAAACATTGTCCAAATACCATTTAAAATTTTTACAATGTAATTTTTCACGAATTGCTAGCCGATCAGAAATACTATTAAATATAAATTTCAAAGAGATTTCAAATTTAAATCTCAAGTCTTACTTTCCAAAATCAACATGTCGAGCACTCGGAACAGTTTGAAGATATAATTCTTTAAATTCATCCAACCAAACTTCAGCAGCTCTTCGGGTATTTCTTTAAAATAATTTAAAAGATATGTATTTTAATTTAAAATACCTTTGAAAAACCTTCCCACTTCCACCTGGAAATGTGTAAGGATGTTGTTTGCGAAAAACATGCCCAACACGGCTACAAGGAATTATTTCAAGTGTTCCCCCACATTGCCAAACACGAAATGATAATTCTAGAAAAAAATAGAATTATTTTAATAATCCCTTCAAATAATAAAATTTTATTCAAAAATTAAAAATCACCCAAATTTTCACCACCCCAAACATCCATTTCCATATCATAAGTCCCCAACGTTTCAAACCAATTTTTTGAAATTGAAAATAATCCACCCGCCATAACTGGAGATCTAAAAAATGAAGAAAAAATAAAACGATAACTAGAATGGGGAAAATTATATATTCTGGGTTAGTTTTAATTGCGATTTTTAGAAAGCGCTATAATTTTTTCTTTAATTGCACAAAATTATGCCATAATTTAAATTTGACTTTTTTGTCGTCACAAAAGATTAATGTAAAATTAAATATATTTTAATATACTAATAAAATATTTTTTACTTAATCGGACTTGTCGGATCTTTTCTTCGTTGCCAAGCAGCTTTAATACCAAGTCTATCCCATTTGAATACAAGATTCCAGCCAAAGCCTCCCTTTAGATTAGAACTAGCTGCTATATAATTGAAATTATCCATTGAAATTACATCAATCTGTTAAATTAAATTTAAAAAATAGGTAACTTAATAAAGAATACCACTGGAGCAACAACTGCTTTATTATCCTTAAAAAACAATTTTAAACAATTTTAATTTTTAAGCATTTTTAATATTTAAATAAAACCTCTCCAATTCTATGCAACAAGGGCTGCAGCCATCCAACATTACATTCACAATGGCTATCTTTAAAAAATAAAAAATTCAAACATTTGGACATAAAAATTAATTGAAAAAAATTAAAATTTACCAAGAAATGTTAAAATTGGAGCATTAGCTAATTGTGCCCCTTTTACACGAGAACGAATAAGTCCTTTAATTAAAATTAAAAAAAACATTTTTTTAATTCCAAACCTTCTCGTTTGAGATTACGAATTACTCTAACTTTTTGAATATTTACAAGTTCTTTTCCAATATTTTCTAAAATTAAATGTAATTTTAAACTTTAATTTTCTAAATTAACCATCTAAAGAAAAATCATCAACCAAAATTATTTCACTCAAAAGTTTTGGAGGGGAACGTTCAAAAATACTCCAAATAGTTCGTAAAAGTGTAGAACGTGCTTCGTTATGGAAAGTAATAATAATTGAAGTTTTTTGGAGTTTTAAAGAATTATAAATAAATTGTTTTTGTTTACAACTTTAAAAAAATTAAATAAAAAATAAATTAATAACAGAAAAAAACCTTTCATCTCTAGTGTCAGATATTTCTCTATTTGGTTCAATACTATCAGATATTGCTTGATTAAATTTATTTGAAGCATATGGATCAGCACCAGTTTCAAGTTTTCCACCAGATAAATAACTTTTATAATCAAAATCAGACCAAACAATTAAATTATTGGGAGTATAGATTATTGCATTTTCTAATGATTTTAATGGTAAAGAAAAAGGAGAAAAAGTGGAAAGTTCTTCTTGTAAATCTTTAGAGAACTAAAAAAAATTTTTTAAATTATTTTAAAAATATTTAAAGAAAAATAAACCTTTTCAAGCTCTAGTTGTCTCTCTTCACTCCCTTCATATCTTGGAAGAACAAAAATAAAAAAATAAAGGCCAATATGCCAAAAAATAAGGACTAGAAGTAGAAAAATCCTAAGCCGGGAAATTGAGATCGATAGGAAGACCATAACATTGAAAAGAACAAAAAACCCTAGAAAATGTATTGAAAAATATTTTTGACTTGAAAAATTTCAATAATTTTTTTCAATGAATTTTTTATCAGAGAAAGAAAGCAAAGCAAAATAACATAACGCCAGAAGCTTTAATTTTTAAAATCGGTACTATGCGTTTATATCCCCGCAATTCCGCAAATGTTTGTCCGCACTTTTTTTCATTCTTTCTTCTCAAAAAGGATTAGAAACGGTCAAGTTAACCCTCATTTTTTTCTCGCCTTCTTTCTCCTCTCACAAAGTTTAAAATGTTCAAGTAAAAATAAAGGAAGACAAATATTCATTTCGGTAATCGTTTGTTTGGTACCCCCCTCCCCTCCCATTTTTCTGATTTGATTGGACCGAAATACGTGCCTATGAACATTTCGAATTTTGTACAAACAAATACTCATTTGAAGCAGTTAGCGAGATCAGTCAAATGACCAAAATCATCGTGATTATACAAGATTGGACAAGTTACGATACTTGCTCCATGGTTTTTGACCATTTTGAGCCATATATCTCGGTCCGCAGGCATTTACGGGAAAAAAGAGTGGTACCGTTCGACTCACCACTTTCTATTACCTATACCTTTTATTACCTTTCTATAAGAGAAAGGTTTTTTTCTTCCTTTATTTTTACTTAAACATTTTAATCTTTGTGAGAGAAGAAAAAAGGCGAAGAAAAAATAGGGGTTAACTTGACCGTTTAAAATCCTTTTAAGGAGAAAGAGTAAAAAAAGTGCTGACAAACATTTGCGGAATTGCGGGGATATAAACGCATAGTACCTTAAAATCTTTTAAAATTATTTTTCAACAAAATTTATCAAATTAAAATCAGTTAAACCCTTTCTTCGATAGATTTCCGGTCAGGAATAATGTGATGTTGAGCCAAGGTTCGTGAGTAAGGAGTTGTCTTATTGTGCAATTGGTATTAGTTATGCAATTCTCGTGGCACTAACATTATGTAATTTTTTGAATAAATCGAATTGATAATTTTCTTGTTTCGTCTCTTGATCATAATGAATCACGGATACTGTAATAATTCAAATAAAAAATTTTCATAAGATCATTTTAATCCACTTTTTAATTATCAAAAAACAATTTCAATCAAAAATTTTCATACTCGTTTTTGTTCACTTTTTTAAGTGAGAATTTAATAAATTTAGATTAGGTACTCTCAATTTTCACTTCCTCTTTCTATTTACTTATGTATTTAAGAGTGCATTTACTTTATGATGAAAGTACAACAATAAATAAAATTTATTTATAAACTTTTTTTACTTCAAAGTACATTATTCATCATTAAATAAAAATAATGTAGAAAAAAAATATTAGAAAATAAATAGTTAACACATTGTTTAATTGTAATCTTTTTTTAAAATACTTTTTTTATCACATGTATTATATTTTAAAAAATTGGTCCAGACATTTAAGTTTTTTATTTTCTGAATTGTAAAAGTAACTTTTTTTAATTCAAATTTCTAAATTTCATTTTTTTTATTTTTTTAATGTATTTATGACTTTTATAACTTTTATTATTTTTACAAAGCAAAAATCATTTTTTGTTGTTTGTGTATATTTGAACAAACACAAATCAAATACCTTTTCTTTTTCGTTTTAATGTCCAATTTGATTAACCTCAAATAAATATTTTTTATTTATGAAAGATCAAGATTTTATTTCCATTTACGTTAACAAATATAAAACATTCTCTCTTTTACTTTAATCATTAAATTATCTATGTACCTATTTTTCTTATCTATTGACGAAAATTACAAATAAATCTAGTTTGTTGTTTGACTAGATAAGAAATTTTTGAATATTTGCAGGTCATTTAGAATAGTAAATTTATTCTAATTTTTAGTTTATTTACTATTTACATAATGTATTTTGTATCCAATAAAAAATTTATTTAATTTTTGTTATTTGTTGTTATTCTACATGTAAAAATATTAATCAAACTTTAAATTATCAATTTATAACAGATTTACTATATCCAATTTTTAAAGTTTTTCAGATTAAAAAATAAGAGCAAGAAGCACCTCAAGACATAAAATAAAATCAATTTTTTGCTTCAACTCTTCTCGCCAAATAAATAATTAATTTTCTTCTTTTATTTTCTAAAGTCTAGTAACATTGCCTGATTGATTCTTTCAACGCAAAATGGTAAGGAAAGTAAAAGTAAAAAATACAACAATTTAATATTTTTTAATTCCATTTATTTTTTTTTCCAAAATTAAAATAAAAATACTTGCGCACATTCATCATTTTTAAGTAAAAGGGACAAGAATATTATTACACCCAAACACACTCTCACTTTTTTTTCTATTTTTCTACCAATTTTTATTTTCAATTTATTTTCAATTTATTTATTCATGTCAGTCTTCACACCAACGCTTTATCGCCTTTCTCATTTTCCTATTTAGATTTAAGGGGTATAAAATTGTTTATTTTAAATAAACATTGAAAATATAAAATATATACAAATATTTTTCCTTAAATTATTTTTTTAATTCTATACATTAGTGACCGGCAAAATTATTTTTCCGGACCCGTAAAGGATTCTGGATTTCACTCTCATTCTGGATCAGATCCAGCCGGATTTTTCCAGATAAATTCGGTCCGGTTTAGTTCGGAATTTTCAAAAAACCCGGATTTGAGACCCGGACTCCGGAAAATTCGGCCGGAGTCCGGTCTGGCGCCGGGCACTACTTTACATTTTTAAAAAATTTAAAAAAATATTTTTAGATGAATCTTCGTGAACAATTTTCTACAAATAAATATGCTGCCGGCCGTTTTATGCAATTACCTACTCATAATAAAATTCAAGTTGAATATGTTTGGATAGATGGAAGTATTCAAAATGTTCGGTCAAAGACTAAAACTGTTGATTTTATCCCCAAAAAAGTTGACGGTAAATTTATTTTTAATTAAAAAATTTAAATTTTTAGAATTGCCAATTTGGAATTTTGACGGTTCTTCAACAGACCAAGCATCTGTAGGGTTTTTTTCTAATTTTTAAAATTAATTTTTATTTTTAGGGTGCCGATTCTGATGTTTTTATTAAAGTAAGGGGGTTTAATTTTTAAATTTAAAATTATTTTTAAGCCTGTTGCTATGTTCAATGACCCTTTCCGTCTTGGAAATCATAAAAGTAATTTTTTAAAAATAAATTTATTTAAATTTATTTTTCCAAAAAGTTGTAATGTGTGAGGCTTTTGACAATAAAATGCAGCCTCATATAACTAATAATCGAAATCATTGCCGTCAAACAATGGAAACTGCAAAAAATGAGGCAATTCAAAAAATATTTTTAATTTAATTTTTTAAGGGAAAAAAGAAATGATAAAATAAATTTTTGAGAATAAAATTAAATATTTTTTTAAAATCAATTTTAATTATTTTTAGCATGCCTGGTTTGGAATGGAACAAGAATATACACTTTTGGATGTCGATCATCATCCATTCGGTTGGCCAAAGGCTCCTTTCGGATTTCCTGGCCCCCAAGGCCCTTATTATTGCGGCGTTGGGGCTAATAAAGTAATTTTGTGATTTTTTAAAATTAATTTAAAAAAAATTTTTAGGCTTATGGACGGGATATTGTTGAATCACATTATCGGTAGAGAATATTTTTTAATTTAAATAAAAAAATCTTTTAGTGCCTGTTTATATGCAGGAATTACAATTTCTGGGATTAACGGAGAAGTAATGCCTGGACAATGGGAATTTCAGGTTTTGTTTTTAATTTAAAAATAAATTTTAAAGATTAATTTTATTTTCTAGGTTGGACCTTGTGAAGGTTTGTTTTTAATTTTTTTGTTTAAAAAAAAATTAAATATTTTTGTTTAAAAAATAATTTTATTAATTTTTTAGGTATTGATATGGGTGACCATCTTTGGTTTGTTTTTATTTTAAAAAAATAAAAAAAAATAATTTTGTTTTAAAGGGTTGCTCGTTATCTTTTACATCGCGTAGCTGAAGAATTTGGTGTTATTGTTTCTTTCGACCCAAAACCGATTTCTGGTTAATTTTAAATAAAAATTAATTTTAATTTAATTTTTAGGTGATTGGAATGGTGCTGGATGTCACACAAATTTTTCGACCGAAAAAATGAGAAAGCCTGGTGGTTATGCTGAAATATTAAATGCTATTGAGGCCTTATCAAAATCACATCATGAACATGTTGGAATATTTTTTTAATTATTTTTTTTATTTTAAGATCGCTTATTATGACCCTTCTGGTGGAAAAGATAATGAACGACGTTTGACTGGTTTGCATGAAACAGCAACAATTGATAAATTTAGTTATGGGGTAAGGAGAAGGTAGCCCCCACCCCCTATTTAAGTCTCATTGTCAGATTAATTTTCTGTCTATTCTCTTGTCTCGGAATGGTCACATTTCCTTTATAAATGTTGATTCTTGTTGTTAGTTAAATTTCTGCCGTTGCCGTCCATTCTTCCTAATTTTTTTCACCTAACAAATAAAAGGTAATTTAATCTGAGATTCAAATAGGGGTGGGGGTGGGATATTAGATTAAGTACCGAGAATAAAAGGAAATATTTTTAATCTATTTAGGTTGCTAGTCGATGTTCTAGTGTACGTATTCCTCGTCAAACTGAAGTTGATGGATATGTAAGTGGAAATTCTTTAAAATTGAGTAAATATTTTAAAATATTTTTAGGGATATTTTGAAGACAGACGTCCTTCTTCTAATTGTGATCCGTATTTGGGTAAATTAATTATTTTTATAAAATTTAATTTTTAATTTTATAGTAACTGATGCTTTGGTGAGAACTTGCTGTTTGGGGGTTAAAAAGGTAATTTATTAAATAGTTTTTTGTAAAAAAATAATTTTAGTTGAGTCGTTCATATATTCCTCAAGATGCAGAGGGTATTCGAAAAATGATAAATGAATTACGCAGCGGAAAGATACAGGAATAAATTAAGAATATATTTGGAAAATAATTTGTGTATATTTTTAATTAATTAATTTAGGTTATTAATTAATTGCTAAATAATTTGACTATTTTCTTAAATAATTTTTAGCTATTTTTAGTATTTTTATAAATTTAAATGGTAGATTCTGATATATGATAAACAATAAATTTTGGTTTATAATTTTGTAAAAAAATTGGAAAAATAATTTTATGGACTCTACCACAAAATTCCTTAATTTTTAATTAATTCACTTAAATATAATTACACATTTGACATTGTATTTTTAATTGAGATAGTTTACCTAGTAAAATTAAATTTATAATTAAACAATTTTTTAATAAAAAAAAGAAATTAGCGAAGTTGATTTTGACATGAATTACCGCTATAGCCAATATTGCAAAAACAAAAGTGTTGATTTACAGAACCTATACAAGATCCTCTTCCGCTACAATGTAAATTATTGTCACAGGCTGCTATAAATATTTTTAAAAATTTCTTTAATATTTTGTAGACAACACTTAACTATCTTCACATTTAAACCCTAAATAACCAGAATTGCAACTACAAAAAGGAGCACTTCGAAACCCTAAACAACTTCCATGTCCATTACAATCATTTGATGTGCAAACTTCGAATATTTGTGTTGGGAGTAAATTAGGAGGAGAATTATTTATTATTGAAGGGCTAGCTGCTGATTGTTGCCCTCCAATACTTGGAGATAATTGTTGTGGGGATTGTTGAGGATTATTCTAAAAAATTGTTTTTAAAATTTAAAATAAATTTTTCTTACCATTTCTTGATATGAGAGTCTGACTGGCAATTTTTCTGGCACATCTGACAAAATATTGGGATAAAAAAGATCTAATTATTAAACCTGCAACAGCTTCATTTGACACATTTATTTTCTCATTATTTGTAAAAAGCATTGTAGGATGTAATAAATCAACAGTTTCCGTTATATTTAAAGTATTATTATTAAACTATTTAAATTTTAAATATTTTTCTTAGAAATTATATTTTAGTTTTTACATTATCATTAGTATTTCCATTTTCTATTTGTTGGTTATTTAATGTTTGATTTAAATCTATTTTTGTTTCATTATTTAATTGTGAAATATTTATTTCATTTTTATTTTCATCTTTTAAAGTTTCATTAACAAAATCTTCAATAACTGTTAAATTATTGTTTGTATCATTAATTATTGGAAGAGAAATAGGTTCATTTAATGTTGTTGAATCTATTAACTGATTAGTAATTGTTGCTGTTTCGTTAAATAAATTGGTATTTTCTGATACAGGAACGACGTCAACCTTAATAATTTTGCATTTTTATTTTTAATCTAGAGATGTGCGGAAATAAAAACCCAGGGAATTAGAAATTATTCGCTAAATTTGATCCAAAATTAAAAAATTAAATAAAACTAGCGGTTGTTACTATTTTAGAGTAAATTTCTTTACTACATATAATTATTTTAATAATTCTAATAATTACTTTATTTGTCGAATTATCTTCCAAGCAATTAACAGAAAACACAAATGTGCCAATAAGGAAAGTTACCCTTAAAGTAATATTTTTCTTTTGAATAATAAACATTTTTTATTTATTTTAAATGAATAAAAATGAAAATAAATTTATTTATTTAATATTTACTATATATATTATCATAAAATTTTGCCAAATCTCGATGAGAATTAGTGATTTCTCTATTAAATATATTCGGATAATCCACCCTTACCTCTAAAATAATTCTTTTATTGTTTGACTTTTAAATAAAAATTAAATATAATTATTAATTTAATTACTATATTTATTTATCATATGAATATGTAATAAATTTTTTATGTCAATACTGTGCAAGTAAATAACTAAAAAAGATAAATAATAAACATGTCTATAATTCTAGAGATAATAAATTTTGAATTTAAAAATATTTAAAAAATAATAATACTAATTAGTTTATAATTAAAAGTTAATCAATTAAATATTTTTAAATTTATTTGTTTTTGTAAGGCATATCTTATAAAATTATTTTTTATTTCCGGTTGTAGTATTTAATTTATAGACAAGGAAATAAAAAGGGTGTTTATGACGTGATTGAAATTTGTGAATTTAGTAGATGATAAACATTTAATGATTTTAATTTCGCACTCTTTAAATGTGTGAATTAAATTTTAAAGTTTAATTTAATAAGAATAAAAAAAAAGGAATTCGTAGTATAAAGGGAATTTAGGTATTTATATTATTTAAATCTAAAAGTTCAAATATTTACATTAATTTTCTCCTTTTCAATTAAACAATTAAAAACTTTTTTCTTTTTAATTTATTTGAAAGCCTATAAAAATTTGTCATTTATTTTTTTAACTCTAAAAATTATTGACAAATGAACTCGTTAGACAAAAAAAAAGAACGAACTAGGGGATAAAACAGTAGAATGTTCTTTTGATTTTTTTGACTACACTAACATTTGTTTTTGTTTATTCTCTATTTACTTACAATAAATAGAGAATAATATATTATTTTAGAAATTAATTAAAGTTAATTTTAAATTTTGTCATCTAAAATTTGCTCGTTTTTACCTATTTTTTCCTGCGCCATAAATGTTGCGCCATATTATCCATGTCCCAATTCTAGAGACGTGAAAAAGGAATACATGAAACATGTATGTATTTCGTCATTCATGTTATACACACATATTTACTTTTTGTCGGAACAAATGTTTTGATGCTGACTAATTAATTTTACCATAATTAGTTTTACTATTAGTATATCTTTTTAAACTTTTTTAAACAAAATTTAATTTTTTTATATTTTAGAAATTAATTAAAATGAATTCAAATTTCTGGCGGACATTATTTTTCTTTATCCTAATATTTACTGCAGAAATCCTTGGCAAAAGAGGCGGTGGTGGTGGAGGCAGAGGAGGTTTTGGTGGTAGCAGGTAGAGAAATTAATTATTTTGTTATAAAATTAAAATATTTTGAGAGGTTCATCGGCAGCTCGTGGCAGTTCTGCTAAAAGTGGAGGAGGAGGAGGTGGTTGGTTTGGTGGAGGAAGTAAGTCAAGTTCTGGAAGTGGGCATTATTCTGGAAAATCTGGTGGATATCATGGTGGGGGTGGTGGCGGATTTTATCGATCAAAGTAATTAAAAGAACTTTAACTAAAATTATTTATTTTTAGTTACCGTGATAAAGGGCTTGGCTCCCGTTCTCGTTCGGATATGTTTAAAAATATGATTGTTGGGGCTGCAGCAGGTTATTTGACTTATCAAGCAGGAAAAGCAATTATTCGATCGATGTCTGCTCCAATGACGTAATTTTCTTTAAAAATATTTTAATTTTAAATTCTCTTTAAAAAGATGGAATAATCGGGATTATTACTGGGGAAGTCAGTATTATCCTGGCGGAACGCATCATTCAGACCGTACAATGTGTAGAATGCCAGTTGAACCAGATGATCCCAAATTTGGAAAAGTTTACACTCCAGATGGTTCTCAACCAAAAGAAATTGTTTGGAGTTGTCCTTATAATGAGGTTTTTTAAATAAAATTAAAAGAATTTATTTCTGACAAAATTTAGGAATGTTGTGGTTATGAATGTTGCCCTGGACGTGGAAGCGGCGGCGGATCTGGGTACGGAAGTCGTTATTGGAATTCGGGCCCCGGACTTGGTTTTGGGTATGCAACAATATTTTCAGCTACAGCATTTTTGATTCTTCACTTCCTCCCTCCTTTCTTTTGAAGATTTTATATGAGAAAATTTTATATTTAAAATACTTACATATTTTTGCATTTATTAACTCGATTGCCATAAAATTTTATTTAATAAATTCCTTTCCCCTTTTAAAAAAATATTCCTTGAGGGGGTATATTCTTGGCAATTTTTTTTTGTTTTTTTATTAATTTAAAATTGTTTCAGAACAATTATCCTGATACTTCTATTATTGTGTTGCCTTGCTTGTATTATCAAGGCAGTTTATGACAAACACAAAAATAACATGGGAAATGCAAATTTACAAAATAATAAAGGGGAATATCAAAGAGCTAATGGTAATTTTGTTAATATATTTCTAATATTTTAAACATTTTTCAGTTAATTATAACGAAAATGCACAGCCTCCAGGAGCCCCTCCTCCCTATCCAGCTGCACCTGAATATCCAGTACATATTGGTTTTAAATATCCACCTGCATAATTTTTGAAATATTTTATTTTCTTTCTTCTACTTAATTGCCATTTTATTCTTTTTTAAAAAGCTTATTATGACCCTTAATTATTAAAATAAAATTTAAAAAAACTTCTAAAAATTTTTTGGAAGTTTTTGTAAATACAGTCGAAAATCAAATTTACATACAACTTTTATTCTAGTTGAAAAATCAAATTAAAAAGAACTGTGTATTTAATAAAATAGAAGATATCACTTTAGCTTCCCCATCCTTCACTTAATTTCCAGTATTTAATTTTAGAGGTATATAAATTCGAGGTTCGACTGTGTAAAAGTATTAACCCTCCATAATTTACTCTTTCCTGTCTTACAACTTGATCTTTTAAAGCATTTAGAAAAATTTTATTCGTTTAATTTGTAAAACAAAGTTTTAAAGAATTATTTTTTTTAATAAAAGATATCTAAACACATTTAAAACAATAAATAAAAGAAAACCTATTTTAGATTTCCATTATATTATTCATTGGCTATTAAAAGCATTTTATGTATTACTAATACTTTTACTTTATTTTATTCTAATCAATATAACAAAAAAATGTTTTCAAAATAAATTTAAAATACTTTGTATATTTACAAATTTTTAATTTGTAATTAAATCAACCACAAGAAATTAAGTATGTAAATCAACTCAACAGGTTAATATATACAAATAATTTTTATTAAGATATTTTTAGCTTAATTACTGGTTAATTATTTATTAATCAACAACTTAATTTACGCTTTGATAGAATTGTTTAATTTCACAACAAAAATTAAAATATAAAAAAATGTCTTCATTATTACCTAATATAACAAATAATCAAAAAGAACTAAATTTTGTGAGTAAAGTTAAGAGGAAATTTTTTGGAAAAGAAGATATGGAAATGTTAAGAAAAGCACAACAAACAAGTCCAAATAAAGAGAAAATTAATAGGTAGGGTTTTTTTTTAAATTTAAATAAGAGTTGAAAATTGAGAGTGTTTATTATTGTTTTTTATTAGAATTAATAAATATTTTTTTAGAAATTCTTCAAATTCTGACAATTCTTCTAATCAACAACAAATATTAATTCCAATAGAAAAAATTTCTTTATGTAAAGAAATTGGGAATGGTGAATTTGGAGAAGTCTATCAAGGTTATTTCTATTTTTATTTAAAAATTTAAATATTTTTTAAAGCTATATGGCACAGAGATGAGGAGGAGTCTATCCAAGTATTTTTTAAGAAAAGAAAAATATTTTTAATTTTAAGGTTGCTGTGAAACAAATTCAACCAGAAAAACTTATTTCTCACCATTCTTCTTTTCTTCAAGAAGCGGCAATTATGACAAAAATGAGACATGAAGTTTCTAGAAAATTGTGATAATTTTAATTATATTTTTTAGAATGTTATTCAAATGTTTGGTGTTGTACTTGATATAAAGGCTATAATGATTGTATCTGAATTGGCGTCTTGTGGTTCTTTACTGGAATGTCTTAAATCTAAAGCTTGGCTTCCTTCACTTTCTGTTGATGTTTTGTGTGATTTTGCTCTTCAAATTTCAAATGGAATGAAATATTTAAGTTCGCAACGTTTAATTCATAGAGATTTGGCTGCAAGAAATATTCTTGTTCATTCACCTTCTAAGGTTAAAATATTAAAAAGAATAAGGAGAACGTTTCTTTCGCTTAACTATAACGGAAATGGAAATTTCTATTTTTTAATTTAATACAGTCGGGCCCCGATTTTTTAAAAACTTTATCTAAAAATAACGCGTGTATAGCTTAAATTGGAAGTATTGCTTAATAAGGGTGGCGGATCCGTATATATGGATTTGAAAAAGAGGCCGGATATCCGAAGATTTCCAACTATCCGCCATCCTTATTGCTTAAGCATGACATGAAAAGGATCTGATTTTTGGAGGTTTTTAAAAGCAAGCCCGACTTTATTTCTTTCTTAATTTTCTTAAATTAATTAATTTTTTAAGGTAAAAATTTCTGATTTTGGTTTAAGTCGTTCTTTGGGTTATGGTGAAGAGTATTACCGTTCTGAATTTAATCTTTCCATGAAATTACCGATTGCTTGGTGTGCACCTGAATGTATTAATTTCCTTCGTTTTACGTCAGCTTCAGATGTCTGGGCGTATGGAGTTTTTCTTTGGGAAGTTTTTACTTATGGACAAACACCTTGGGAAGGAATAAGTGGATCACAGGTTTTTTTAAATTAATTTTTTATTAATTTTTAAAAATTTTCTAGATACTTTATGCAGTAGATACTCAGCGATTAAAATTAGAAAAGCCAAAGTTTTGTCCTTCAGGAATTTATAATTTAATGTTAAAATGTTGGGAATGGTCTGCTGAGAAAAGGCCAACATTTGAGAATATTTGTAATGAATTACCAACTTTAATGCCTCCATTATTGGTTACTGTGACAGATTGTAGGCATAAATCTTTGAAGGAAAATATCAATTATTTAAATTATGAAAAGGGAGAAACAATTATTTTATTAGATAAAAGGTTGGAAAATTAATATATTTTTGGAAATAAATTATTAATATTTTATTTGAAGAATTCAAGAAATGGGTTTTGGGGTTAGAACATAGATTAGGTCAAATTCTGTGCCAAAAATCCAATAAAAACTCACGTCAACCCTAAAAAGAAAAGTTTTATTAAAATTTTCTATTTATTTTTCAGCACTTCTCTTCCAGGCTTTTGGCTTGGAGTTTCAAAAACAGGCAATGTTGGTATTTTCCTTCCCGAACATACAATTGCATTTTTGGGTGCACAAAATCCAAATAGTAATTATTCAGATAATATTATTACGTCTCCAGAATTTGAAAGAAAAAGTTTACATTCTGTAATTGAAATAGAAGAGAATAAAAAAGATAAAAATAAAAAAGAGAAGAAAAAGAAAAATGAAAAAGAAAATTTTAAAATGATGATTAGTGAACCAAAAGGAGATTTGAGACATACTTGCCATGTTGGGGCAGATGGAAGAAATTTTGGACTTTTAAATGTGTTTGGAAATATTTTTTGATAAATTTCCTTTTTTAGATAAACAAGACAGAACTGTCAATATCTTCAACAATTTCTCCAAGTCTTCGTTCAATTTCACCAATAAGTACTTCAAGTACTTTCTCTTTAGCACCTCCAAGACCTCCAAAAAATCCAAATATTCATTTTGAAATGTCAAAAAGTATTTTAAGTAATAAATCAATTGAAGAATTAAATCAACAACCACCAGAATTACCTCCAAAACCGCCGAGATTTAGAGAAAAATTTTGTAAAGAAAATAATACAAGAGAATATTTAATGCCAAAAATTGTTTCTGATAATTCTCCAACATTAAATTATAAAAATAATTTAAATAATTTTCCTTTAAATGAAAATGAAAAACAGCAAGAATATTTAATTGTTTCTAATAATAAAAATGAAAAAGAAGAAGAAGAAAATGAATTTGAAGAATATTTACGTCCACCAAGTATTTGTATTGAACAAATTAATAAAAATAATAATTTACAAAAAATAATAAAAGAAGGAAAATCTAATGAAAATATTGATTTAGAAGATGTTGATAATTGTTCTCATTCAACAACGTTGTGGGATTGTTCAGAAACTAAAGAATTATTGAGTGAAGAGAAAAATAATAATAGGTACTTTTCGGGTTTGAAACCTGCACATAAATTATGCTAACGTAAGTATATCAGGGGGTGAACGGGTTACTCGAACCCGAACTTTTTCCTTTGAATTTTTAATAGAAGGAAGAAATCCGGCTTCTTTGCCTTCCAAAATACTAAAAATTCTAGCGACTATGTGTGCCATGAAAAACAAAACTCCGCTTTAACCTATCTCCGTCTAAAAAATATATATTTAAGATCGCCGTCCAAATTTGATGTGATTAATACTAAAGAATATCATTTGTCTCCCCAAAAATCTTTTGTTACAACAATGGAGCCAGCTGAATTTGAGAAAAGAGCATTAAATGAACGTAGACGAACATTTAAACAATTGGAAAAAATAGAAATTGCAGAGACTTCTGCATTAAGACAAAGTTTAAGAAAAATTGGGAAGAAGGAAGATAAAAATTATTTATTTGGTGATTTAACAAAATCTAAAAAGGAGCCTTTGCCTAATTTTTCTGTTGAAGCTCAACAAGCATATAAGGCAATTTTTAAATTTTTTTTAGAATTAAAAAGTTATCGGATATATTTATATGGTATACTTGTAAATACGGTGAACCTATTTCAAATATAATAGATAGAAATAGTGTAAACACCAGGGATCCTGCCGACAAAAAAAAATTCCCGATTTCGGGAATTCGGGATCCCGACACAAAAAATCGTCGGGAATTTCCGATTTTCGGGAATTAGGACGGTAGCTGACACACACCTAACCTTGTATTGGAGTCCGGATCGAGACGAGATCTTGAACGAAAATCTCGATTATCGAGATATTTCGGATAGTGCCTACTATTTTTATAAATATGTGATTATTTTTTAGTTACTAGTTGAATGTGGTCGTCACCTTAAGTGTCACTCTCACCCTGACAGAATAATTTTAGAGGAAAAAGAAGTTGATGAACAAAAAGATGATAATTGTAAAATTTAAATAATTAAATATTAAATTGATTAATTTTTTTAGTCCCCTTAACAATTTTAAATCCACTTAAAACAATTGATAGAGAATTAATTAAAGAAGAATCACAACAACAACAACCTCTTGAATATATTAATTCTAATCTTTTACAAAATGTTGAAAATAAAAAGTAAATAAATCAAATTAAAAATAATAATTAAATTCAATTTTTTCTTAAAGAAAATTTGTTGAAAATAACAATTCTTTAAATGAGGATGAAAGTGTGGCAATCTCTCGTCATATTCTTTCCAAGCTTGTATTGCCTCCTAAACCTGTCCCTCCACCCGTGCCTCCAAAACCAAAATTAAAATAGAATTAATGAAAATAATATTTAGATATTTATTTTTTTAGATAAATATATAATTAATTTATAATTTATTCTAATAATTTTTCCTTTCATAATTAAATTTAAAGATTTTAAATTTTATTCTTAATATTTCCTTTAATTTTTAATATTTTCTTAAATTTATATTTTAAATTGCGTGTATAAATTGCTGTTAATGTCGAATATTGACTTGATATTTAGTAGGGAGGAAATGTAATTATTAATAAATAAATTAATTAAAAATCTTGTTTTTAATTTATTTATTGAACACTAAATTTGTAGGATGGAGTGATTACAATTTTGAATGTCCTGTAAATAATTAAAATATGTATATGCAGTCAATATCAAAATTTTTCATCAAAATATTTAATTCATGGATCTACATATTTCCTTCTACGCCATTAAAATAAATTAAAAATCAAATTTTTTATTAAATCTTTTTTACAATCTTTTTTCATTCCCGTTACTAAGCATTTTTCTTTCGACATGCCTGGCACCGATTTCGGCGTCCTTTATCCAAAAAACAATTATTTTGACTAGCTAAATTATTTTTTTAAATTTATTTCACAAATACGTTTTTATGTTAATATTTTTTAAATTTCAATACAAAACCCCCTTTTGAAAAAGCAACTGCAAACATCACATATCCAACTCCCATAATGCTTTCCAGATGTTTTCTCAACACAAACTTGGCATGGAATTCTTGTTTTAATTTTATAAAAATTTTAATAAATTTTATCTATTTAATCTTCAAGTATTTTTTAAATAAACAAAAAACAAAAATTCATTACTATTTCACTTTTCTTTGTTTAATTTTTTATTTCTAAGTAAATTAAAGTTTTATTTTAAATTTATTTTTTATGTGTTCGTTGTCATGGCACAATACATATTTATATTAAATAATTATTTTGAAAGAATGCTTTTTTATTTAACTTTTTGGTTTCTTTCTTTTCTAAAGTTTTTTTGTTCTTTTTCTGTACCCATATCTCAACGATTCAGCTGCTATGATACCATTTTGTGATACCTTATATTAAAATATATTAAGGGAATATAGACCATTTCCCGCTGATTTTTGAGATTTGAGATCTCGATGAAGAATGACATTACAGACTTCGGTCTTTTTACTTTTCTAGTCAATATCAATGGAAATGACCGTGAAAATTTTTGTAGAATATATATGATAGACCACCTCGCTCAAATAATTACCCCGCCTCTATTATTTACACCCTTCCAGCGGGAGGTGGAAACAATAATTACGCAGGGTAATTATTCAAGACAATATGGTATATCGTTATTTTCTTTCGCAATTTTCAAACACAGAAGACAATAAAATACAAAAAAAAAATTAAAATTCCAGACATATGCCAATATGATTTATTTTAAACGAAAAAAGAAAAAATTCATTTTAAATTAATAAATTAGTAGGTCATTATTACATTTTTGCATTTTTCCTAATTAATAATTATCGTGATATAATTAATAAATTATCGCGCATTATATTGATTATTAAATATAAGTATTAATTTCTTTAACATTTTTAAATATCTTTCCCTTTTAGCGAAGGCTAGAAATTAGTTTCGTAAATTAATTTACGTGTGTCTACTTATTAGTTTGTATATTTTATTCTCATTTTGAATATGTATGTAATAATGAATACCGTAAAAACTTTATTATAATAGAACTCTCTCTCTCTCTCTCTCATCTCTCCAGATTCCCTTTTAAAGTTGTTCACTAATTATTTTTTAGAAATATTTTAATTAAAAATTATGAGTTCCTCAACAACATCTTCCCCAAATTCCTCGGCAGCCCCAACATCTTCATCCTCTTTTGTTATTAACGGTTCTTCAACTTCACTTCATAATCTTCATTTAAATAATATTGGACAACAAAAATTAATAGATCCAAATCGTTATAATAGTTTAGAGTATTTTGAATTATCCGGAAAATTAGGTAAATTATCCGGAAAATTAGGTAAAGGTCTAATCCATTAAATTATCGTCCAATTTCACTTACTTGCTGTAGTTGCAGAATCATGGAAAAAATACTTGTAAAAAATATAATAAATTTCTTAGAGAATAAAAAGTTCTTTAGTTCGGATCAATTTGGATTTATTCGAAGAAGATCCACTACTCTTCAGCTAGTAAGTAGCTTGGAGGATTGGTACGAAGCCTTATTTGAAAAAAAGAATATAGATTGTATTTATATTGATTTTTGTAAAGCTTTCGATAGTGTTCCTCACAAACTCCTTCTTGACAAATTATATGCTTGTGGAATTAGGGGAAAACTACATAGGTGGATTAGTGAATTTTTATCAGATAGAACATATCAAGTAAAAATTAATGATGTTTTATCAAACCCATATGGAATTACCACGGGTGTTCCCCAAGGATCCATTATTGGCCCACTGATGTTTCTAATCTATATAAATGACTTATCCGACGTTATTCCAAACGGAGTCAAAATTAAACTATTTGCTGATGACGTTAAAATCTATAAAGTTTATAAGACTAAAAATGAAAGATTAGAACTAGCAGTTGCCCTTAAAAACGTCGAGGAATGGTCAAAAAAATGGAATTTAGATATATCAGTTGATAAGACATTCGTACTTCATTTAGGTAAAAATAACCCAAGGGATCAATATAAGATTTTTAATAATACTATAAATGAAGTTCAATCTATTCGCGACCTTGGAATAATCATAGACGACAAGCTTAGGTTTAAAGAACACATTAATATAATTATTCGCAACGCCTATCTAAGGATGAAAACAATATTTAGAGTAATAAAGTCAAGAAAAACATCAACTTGGATACTGATATATAAGAGTTATATTAGGCCTATGCTTGAATACGCACCAGAATCTTGGAACACTCTTTATAAAACAGATATTAATTCTCTTGAAAAATGCCAAAAATTTTTTACTAAAATAGTTTTTAAGAAATGTAATTTACCTGAATTACCTTATGCGAATAGGTTAGAATATCTTAACCTTCAAACACTAGAGAATAGACGTAAAATTTTTGATTTAATGCTTATGTACAAAATAGTTAATGGGTATTCTCACTTGGGACTTGAAACACTCTTTTCTCATCCTATTAGAAAATCTAGTCATTCCTCTCATAGAATTATTTCAAAAAAACAAAATTTCAAAAGTTCTAGGTCATTTATAAATAGAACAACTAAAATGTGGAATATACTAGGTAAAAATACTATTTTAAGTAAATCACCCTTAGATTTTAAAAATAAGCTTAAGTCAATACTTATTGTATAAATAAACTGAGTGTTCTTAAAAAAATTAATTAAACTCATCCAGGCTTTCTAAAAAATCCAAAGTTAAAAACTGTATTTTTCGTTTAAATGGGCTTTGCGTCTAAGTGGCCAAATTAAGTTACCTTATATTTTCAAGTGGGCTTGCGTCTATATGGTCAATTAATTTATTTTTATTTTCGCGTCTAAATGGTCAATTAATTTATTTTTATTTCCCGTCTAAATGTTTAAATTAAATTATTTTATTTTTGCGTCTAAGTGGACAAATTACGATACCTTTTTCGTCAATAGGTCTTGCGTCTAAATGGTCAAATAATTCATTTTTATTTCGCGCCTAAATTGTCAGATTAATACATTTTTATTTTTTTGCGTCTAAATGGGCTTTGTGTCTAAGTGGCCAAATCGATTTATTTCTTATGCAGTTGTGCTTATTTTTTTTATATATATTTCTTAGTTTTTGATTTTAATTTTAATTTTCTTATTTTTTTTAGACTAAAATAATCTTAAAATCAAATTTTCTATAATTTATTTTTGCTGTTTTTTCAGGTTTATTTTTATATATGCCTTTATTAAATTAATACACAGATACACATCTAGGCTAAATAATCTTACAATCAAATTTTCTATAATTTATTTTTGCTGTTTTTTCAGACTTGCATGCCTGGTGTGAAACGTAACGCAGTTCATTTCTCTCCAGTGCAATTTGACAATTAACTTATTTATGTATCTGTGTATACCAATATCCGTTTTATTATGATTATTTTTGTTGACTATCCAGTTAATTTATTATTATTGACCAAATATCATATATTTTACTAAGACAATGATGTAAGTGTCCATCCCTTTCATTGTCATTTTTATTCTTGAATAAATAAATAAATAAATAAATTGATTAATTTTTTTAGTCCCCTTAACAATTTTAAATCCACTTAAAACAATTGATAGAGAATTAATTAAAGAAGAATCACAACAACAACAACCTCTTGAATATATTAATTCTAATCTTTTACAAAATGTTGAAAATAAAAAGTAAATAAATCAAATTAAAAATAATAATTAAATTCAATTTTTTCTTAAAGAAAATTTGTTGAAAATAACAATTCTTTAAATGAGGATGAAAGTGTGGCAATCTCTCGTCATATTCTTTCCAAGCTTGTATTGCCTCCTAAACCTGTCCCTCCACCCGTGCCTCCAAAACCAAAATTAAAATAGAATTAATGAAAATAATATTTAGATATTTATTTTTTTAGATAAATATATAATTAATTTATAATTTATTCTAATAATTTTTCCTTTCATAATTAAATTTAAAGATTTTAAATTTTATTCTTAATATTTCCTTTAATTTTTAATATTTTCTTAAATTTATATTTTAAATTGCGTGTATAAATTGCTGTTAATGTCGAATATTGACTTGATATTTAGTAGGGAGGAAATGTAATTATTAATAAATAAATTAATTAAAAATCTTGTTTTTAATTTATTTATTGAACACTAAATTTGTAGGATGGAGTGATTACAATTTTGAATGTCCTGTAAATAATTAAAATATGTATATGCAGTCAATATCAAAATTTTTCATCAAAATATTTAATTCATGGATCTACATATTTCCTTCTACGCCATTAAAATAAATTAAAAATCAAATTTTTTATTAAATCTTTTTTACAATCTTTTTTCATTCCCGTTACTAAGCATTTTTCTTTCGACATGCCTGGCACCGATTTCGGCGTCCTTTATCCAAAAAACAATTATTTTGACTAGCTAAATTATTTTTTTAAATTTATTTCACAAATACGTTTTTATGTTAATATTTTTTAAATTTCAATACAAAACCCCCTTTTGAAAAAGCAACTGCAAACATCACATATCCAACTCCCATAATGCTTTCCAGATGTTTTCTCAACACAAACTTGGCATGGAATTCTTGTTTTAATTTTATAAAAATTTTAATAAATTTTATCTATTTAATCTTCAAGTATTTTTTAAATAAACAAAAAACAAAAATTCATTACTATTTCACTTTTCTTTGTTTAATTTTTTATTTCTAAGTAAATTAAAGTTTTATTTTAAATTTATTTTTTATGTGTTCGTTGTCATGGCACAATACATATTTATATTAAATAATTATTTTGAAAGAATGCTTTTTTATTTAACTTTTTGGTTTCTTTCTTTTCTAAAGTTTTTTTGTTCTTTTTCTGTACCCATATCTCAACGATTCAGCTGCTATGATACCATTTTGTGATACCTTATATTAAAATATATTAAGGGAATATAGACCATTTCCCGCTGATTTTTGAGATTTGAGATCTCGATGAAGAATGACATTACAGACTTCGGTCTTTTTACTTTTCTAGTCAATATCAATGGAAATGACCGTGAAAATTTTTGTAGAATATATATGATAGACCACCTCGCTCAAATAATTACCCCGCCTCTATTATTTACACCCTTCCAGCGGGAGGTGGAAACAATAATTACGCAGGGTAATTATTCAAGACAATATGGTATATCGTTATTTTCTTTCGCAATTTTCAAACACAGAAGACAATAAAATACAAAAAAAAAATTAAAATTCCAGACATATGCCAATATGATTTATTTTAAACGAAAAAAGAAAAAATTCATTTTAAATTAATAAATTAGTAGGTCATTATTACATTTTTGCATTTTTCCTAATTAATAATTATCGTGATATAATTAATAAATTATCGCGCATTATATTGATTATTAAATATAAGTATTAATTTCTTTAACATTTTTAAATATCTTTCCCTTTTAGCGAAGGCTAGAAATTAGTTTCGTAAATTAATTTACGTGTGTCTACTTATTAGTTTGTATATTTTATTCTCATTTTGAATATGTATGTAATAATGAATACCGTAAAAACTTTATTATAATAGAACTCTCTCTCTCTCTCTCTCATCTCTCCAGATTCCCTTTTAAAGTTGTTCACTAATTATTTTTTAGAAATATTTTAATTAAAAATTATGAGTTCCTCAACAACATCTTCCCCAAATTCCTCGGCAGCCCCAACATCTTCATCCTCTTTTGTTATTAACGGTTCTTCAACTTCACTTCATAATCTTCATTTAAATAATATTGGACAACAAAAATTAATAGATCCAAATCGTTATAATAGTTTAGAGTATTTTGAATTATCCGGAAAATTAGGTAAAGGACAATTTTCGGAAGTTTTGAAAGCAAAAAATAAAATGACTGGAAGAATGGTTGCAATAAAGAAAATTGAGGTAATTAAATAAATATATTGAAAATAATAATTAATTAAAATATTAGCTTGATTTAATGAAGAATAAAAAAGCAAGAGAAGATTGCCGGAAAGAAATTGATTTACTTAAACAATTACAACATGAAAATATAATTAGATATTTTTGTTCATTTATTGGTTGCTTAATTTTAATTAATTAAAAAATTAATTTAAAATTTTTTAGTTGCTGACCAATCAAAAGAATATTTAATGATTGTTTTGGAATTAGCTGAAGCTGGAGATTTAAGTCGTCTTTTACGTGTAAATAAATAAATAAAATATATGTATTTTTTAAAATAATTTATTTATATTTTTTTAGACTTTTAAAAAGAATTTTCGTTTACTTCCAGAACGTAGTATTTGGAAGGTTTTTCTTTTAAATTTAAATATTTTTTAATATAAAAAATATTTAAAGTATTTTGTACAAATAAGTAGAGCAATTGCTTATATGCATAGCCGTTCAATAATGCATAGAGATATTAAACCAGCAAATGTTTTTATTAGTTCTGGAGGAATTGTGAAACTTGGTGATTTAGGTCTTGGAAGATTTTTGTCAATGGAAACAATGAATTTAAGTACATTTAAAAAAGGAATGGTTTTTTCTATTGTTGGAACACCTTATTATATGTAAAAAAAAGAAATAGAAAAAAATATTTTAAAATAATTATTAGGTCTCCAGAAAGAATGAATGAAAGTGGTTATAGTTTTAAATCAGATATTTGGTCTGTTGGTTGTGTTTTATATGAAGTTATAGACATAATTTTTAAATAAATTATATATTTTAATTTTTAAAGATGGCAGCTTTGCAATCACCTTTTTTTGGTGAAAAACAGAATTTATTGGCATTAGTTCGTAAAATAAGTAAATGTGAATATCCTCCAATACCCTCAAATATTTATTCCCAACATCTTAAATTAACTGTATCTAATTGCATTTGTGCAAATCCAGCACGCAGATTTGATGCTAGAGATGTTCTTACTGTTGCCGGTTATTATAGAAAAATATTTTTAAAATTATTTTTTGTAGAGCATATGCATAGCCATTTCTCTTCAATTTCCAAATCACAACAAAAAATTCATTCAGCCCCACAATTAATTACAAACACAACAACTATTCGTCAACCACAACCTGTTAGACGAATTCAAGTTTCAGATAATCGAAGTCCTACAACATTGCCACAATTGGGAGGAAGACAAAATACGCAACTTTAAAATGTTTTTAAAAAAGAGCTAAATATTTAATAATTTTCTATAAATTTATTAATTAAAAGTTGTCAATTATTATTTTGACTTGGGATAAATATAATTTTAAAGAAAAAATCATAAAATTTATTTTGAAAAAATATTTATTGAGAAAAATAAGTGAATTGATTAATAATCAACAATTTTAGTTTATTAATTATTAATGTATATCCCTAATATAAATAATAAAATATAAATATTAAATATCATTTCAATGGCACTTATTATTAGTAAAAGTATATTTAAATTTAAAAAATGTCACAAATTCTTTCCCTTCCCAAAAAAATAAAAAAAAACACTTCTTCCTCCCATCACCATTTCAAATATATTATTTTCCTTCTTCAAACCCCAAATATTTTACTAATTCTGTCCAAATCACGGCAATTAATTGCTTCAAAAATTTCATTGTCCAATTGGATATTCTCCATACGAATTATAGCAGAACGAAGTCTAGACCATATAAGTGATTGTTCTGGCGAATGTTGAATTTTAAGAGCTGCCAAAAAATGAATAGCTGCTTCTCTTAAAATAAAATTTTTTTAATTTTTTAAATTTTATTTTTTACCGAAAACTTTGCAAATTCATACAAGAAACTCCAAGATTATAACGAACACGAACATATGAGGGAGAAATTTGTAGAGCTCTTTTATATGCATTTATAGCTTCTGCTGAACGATCAGCATTAGCTAAAGTTGCACCCAAACGGTTCCAAAGAATTGGGTCCTTTTAAAAATAATGAGAGAAAAGAATATTTTTTTATTAAAAAAATTTTTACTTCTGGTTTAAAATTTAAAGCAGAATTTAGACATTCAATTGCTTTATTGTAATCATTACTTAAATTATAAAGTACACTCCTAAATTTAAAATAAATTTTAATTAAATAAAATATATAAAAAATAACATAGCATTTTGTAATTCAACTAATTCACATTCTTGTTGAACAAATTTAATCACTTCAAGAAATTTAGCTTCAACCTAAAAAATGTTAATAAAAATTAATTTTTTAATTTCTCTTAAAGCTATGCTTATATAAAAAATGCAAGACACTGGCGGAAAATGAGGCTTAGGTATGGGTATAAGCACGCAAAAAAGCGACAACAAAAAAACAACCAATTTTTTCTCATTTTCCCATTGTTTTTTTGTCGCAAAACGCGAGCGATTTTTATATAAGCGTAACATTAGCTAGCTAAAAATATATCAAAAAAATAATTATTTATTTAAAACTATTTCTTTCAAAATTTACTTTTAAAAATTCATTTTTGTCCAATTTTTTGTATTGAAATCCAAAAGAAGTATTTCCTTCTTCTTTAGGCATTTCTTCTTCAGAACAATTTTTATAAATACAAATAAATTTATCCAATTCATGTAAAGCCAAACAATCAAACCCTTCATTAGCCAAAGAAACAGACAAAGCCAGAATTGCTTTTAAATATTTTGGATTTAATTTTAAAGCATTTCTTAATGCACAAATTGCTTTTGGATCTAAAAAATTAATTTAAATAAATTTTATTTATTTATTTAAAAACCTTGTTCATTTTCTGCCAAAGCAATCCCCAAAGAATACCTTTAATTTTATTTCAATTTTTGGTAAAATTGAATTTCGTATACGCACTCCTTTTTCCAGCCTAAAAATGGGTAAAAATGGTCAATCTGTTATCAGATTATAGAACTCGTCGAGCTCTGTCGAATAACACCAAAATCAACCCCCGTTCATAACTTTTGGCCGAGATACAGACAAAAACCTGCGCAAAGCAAGGGTATTGCACAAGCGTCTCGCCGACACTAAAGGATTACTTTTATGTCATAATTTTGTCAAATCCTTTACAATTTCGTTGATTTTGATGTCATTCGAATCAGCTCGACAAGCTCTTTCGAATGAGCTATTATTTGTTTTATCGAATTTTTAGCCCAAAAAAATTAGCTTGGCCCACCCTTCTATTTTTCAATTTTCGTGGGTCTGTATCTCGACCCAAAGTTATGAACGGGGGTTGATTTTGGTGTCATTCGACAGAGCTCGTCGAGTTCTATAATCTGATAACAGACTGACCATTTTTAAACATTTTGAGGCTGGAAAAAGGAGGGGGTATACGAAATTCAATTTTACCCAATTTTTATATTATTAATTTATTTAATTACCAAATTTCAACATTTTCTGGATCTTTTTGAATTGCCGCCTCATAAAATAAAATAGAATTAGCAATTCTTCCATTAGAAAGATTTTCTTTTGCTTTTTCAATTAAATTTTCTTCATTTATAAATGGATTATTCTTTAAATTAATTTTTTATTTAATTTTTTAAAATTTCTTTTACTTTATTAAATTCAAATTTTTCTTGGTTTTCTTTTGAATTATAATTTTCCCAAGCACTTTCATAATCAAAAAATTCAATTTTTTCTTTTTCTCCCACAAAATCATTCAAAAATTCATTTTCCCAATTATTTAATTGTTTCCCATTTAAATCGTAATTTTCTAAAAAATCTTTAGCCCAAACAGATCCTTCACTAAAAATAAAAAATTTTTTTTTACAAAATATTTAAAAATAAATTTACTTTATTTTCCCCCATTCATTTTTCATTTTTAAATTTTTTTGTTCCAAAATAAATTCTTCCATCCATTTATTATTTAATTCATTCCCTTCATTAAATTGTCTAGTCCAGTCATTAGCCAAATTAATTGAATTACTTTTTTAAATTTAAAAATTAATTTAAATATTTGTTTTTACCTAATATTCAAAGAATTATTCCAAAAATATTCCAAATTCTCAAAATTTAAATTATTTTCAGGTAATTGTTCCAAAAGTTGTCTCATATCAAAAGTATTTGGAGGTAATGTTTTATTCGATATATTTGCCAAATATTCTTGCACAGACTAAAAAAATTAAAATTATTTTTCAAAATTAATTTTACCAGATTATTATTTTTATTTTCTCCAATAAATCCATTAATTGAACGTTCAACACCAGAAGGAAGAATTGATTGGGTATTTCCATAATTTTTAGATAATGTAATTAATTCATTTTGATTTCCCTTCTTTTCTGAGATGTCAAATAATTGTTTTAACATTTTTATTTATCTGAAAATATTTTTAATTTTTAATAAAAAATTAAATAAATTTTTAAGAAAATATAAACAAAAATATAAATATAAAATTAAAAGAAATATTGATTATAAAAATATTTTCTTCAATTTATTTGTAATTGATAACGAGAAAATAAAGAAGAGAATGATGAGGTGACCAAGTAAAGAGCAAATAAATATATTACTATAATTATTTATACAAAAATTGTGTTTGATAGTTCAAATTGATAAGAATTAAATTTTAGGGATTAAATAAAATATTGTTTAAAATATTTTAATTAATATAATTTTTAATAAATAAATTCTTCTTTTTAATCATTTTCATTTAAAATGATTGATTTAATTGAAGATAAATTTTGACAAATTTTTTCTGATGGGAAATTTAACGCTCTCCCCAATTGTTTTAATTTAATTATTAATTCTTCGCAAAAAGAAAGGAAAGAATTTTGGAATGTCTCAAAATTATATTTTAATTCAAAGTCATCTTCTGATTTCTCCAAAATAGAATACTAGAAAATGAAAAAAAATTATTTTTAAATAAAAAAGGTTTATTCCAATTAATCTATCCGGGATAAAGAAAACCGAAATATTTTTTTAGTATCGTTAAAAATAAATTTGAAATAAATTAAATAATTAAAATACAAACTTTCGGTTGAGTAGAAATAATAATCTGTTTAGAAATTAATTTTTCCCCATGCAATTCTTCAATATCAAACTTAAAATTAGATATATTGTTATTCAATGAAGAGGAGGGAGATTCTTGAATACGATGAATTAAAAGATTAGATGACTGTTGTAAATAATGGTCTTTCAATCTAAAAATATATTTTGGCATTGATGAAAAATTTTCCTGAAATTTTCTATTTTCTCTCGGCGGTACTTTATGGATATGTCACCCCCCTCCTATTTTGAGTCTCAGAGTTTTCCTTATACGTAGAAAATGGTCAGAGATTTTTTTCTTTTCCGTGTCATTCATTTTTTACTTCTTCAAGTATTTTGCTTTTTTATTTTGCCTTTTCACATATTTTTGAAATTAGTACTTACATTTCACTCATTTCGTCTCCACATTTTACTTATTTTGCGTGAAGAAAAATAAATGATTGACACGGAAAAGAAAATAATCTCTGACCATTTTCTACGTATAAGGAAAACTCTGAGACTCAAAATAGGAGGGGGGTGACATATCCATAAAGTACCCTCTCGGCTAATCCAGAGTCGAGAGAAAATAGAGAAAAGTTTTAAAAAATTCGGTTTATCCGGTAAGGATTGATTTAGAGGTAATTGATGAGGAAATGTATGTAATAGAAGCAGCTCATAGCCAGAGGACTATTTTCGGCTCCGAAAATGATTACACCCCGAAAATTTTTCCCGGTTACGGACCTGCAAAGAAGTGTAATCAAGTAGCAATGGGCGGCATGATATACACTCCTTTCAGTAATATTCGTATATATTTTAAATAAATTTTAGAACCTTCGAAAAGTAATTTCAAATTGTTGAAAATTAAATTTAGAAAAATAAAGAGTAAATGATTTCAATAAAAGGAAACAAAGTTCAGGTTCAGAATATGCCCAGTCAATAATAACCTAAAATATTTTAAATATAATTTTCAATTATTTCTAACCAAAGAATCAAAATTAATTTTCTTCAATAAAACAATAAAAATCAATTCTGGATCTAACATTTTTGGCAGTAATATTTTGTTTTGTTCTGATGAATGTAACTTTAAAAAATTAATAATTTTAAATTTATTTGAATATTTACCCTCATTATTGCTATAAATGTAAGTAAACAGCGTTCATCATTTTCCATTAAAAAATAAACAAAAATATTGGGTGATGACGAAAATATTAACTCGAATCGGTTAAAGAATATATTAATTTGTTTTTTAGAAATATTAGCTTAAATTTAGAGAAAATTCGGAAGATTTTTAAGAAAAAATTCCTTACAAAAAATAATTTCTTCTTCTGCCAATCCAAGTAAAATAATTCCAATAGAAAAATAAATAATTGAATTTGACCGAGTATTTTCAACAGATTTTGGACTGTCAAATGATAAATGAATTGATGAATTTGGAGCAAGATTAAATATCTGAACATTTGAAGTACCAGCAAACCATACTTTTTCTAAAATGATAAAAAAAATCATAATTAAGAAAAATATTTTTGTATTGCTTTAATTAAATAAAAAGTTGATTTTCAAATAAACCATTTGTAAATTGAATTTCGCCAGCAGAATTGAAAATTTCTGAGGAAATTCTGCAAATTAATGGATGTTTTAACCAAGTAAATTTATTTTGATGCCACTCCAATTGAATAACATTCTCAAAAATAGCAAACAATCTTCGACGTTTTGGCGATTCATGCAATAAAAAAGAATTAATTTTTTCATTTTCTTCATCAAAAAATTCAGTCAATTTGTCAATACAGTTGTTGAAGGGATCATTTGGAATCATTTAAAGTTTATTTGAAATATTCAACTAAATTTTAAAAACGTTTAACTAATAGAATAAAACAAAGTATAGAACATTACTTGAAAATAAATATATGTAAGTACATGCTTCATAAAACGAAACAAACCAAACTTCAAGCAAAACCTAACACCCTCCTGCTTGAAATACTTTAAGCTTACTATCCACTAAATCTCCAACCAAATTTGCACTATTTTGGCATTCTATCTATTTTTGTTGGTTTACGAAATTTAATCCCAATGCTTTTTAAAATCTATAAAGATCAATAAATTTTCAATTTTAGATTGCCTGAAACTGGTTCGTTTTTAAGACTTCCTACTTGCGATTCTTCAAGATTTCTGTACATATCAGATCGTACTTTTATTCATTGTAATTTTACTTTTTGTTTTTACATTTTTACTTTTTTTATTTTAGATATTCTAATAAATTTTAATGGCTCGTTCTCGATCACGCTCCCCAACTTCTCGTAATCAACATGGCCGTTCATCTGTGAGACGTCGATCAAGATCTAGATCTTATGATAAAAGGCGAAGAGAAATGTCTTATAGAAGAGATGAAGGTTTTAGCAGAGAGCGGCTGAGACGGGATCGAATACAAGAAGCTATCATCAACAGCAGCAAAAGATCAAAGGATGCTTTGGAAAGATCTTCAGATTTGATGAGAGATAGAAGATCAACACGTGAAAAAAATGATGATAGACTTCGTTCAGAATTAGAAAATTTAAAGAATGTTGATGATGAATATGATAAAAGTTATAAGAAGCACAAAGAAAAGAAGGAGAAGAAAAAGAAGAAACATAAACGAGAAAAGTATTTTTATTTTTTAAAAATTATTTATAATTATTTTATTTTAAGAAATGGTAAAGAACCTAAACCAAAGAAATCAAGAAGAAAAGATACCGCAGACGAAACTGATTTAGATTCAGATGACGAGAAGCAGTTAATTGAGAAAAGAAGAAAACAACGTTCTGAGCTTTTGGAGAAAATTAGAAGCGAGAAAGGAATGATTGACGGTGAACCTATGCAAAGGTAATTTAAATTTTCGTATTTTAAATATAATGTAAGGATTATCACGGCCGGGATTTCACGGGATCCTTTGACGAATCACGGGTTTTAAGCGGAGAACGGGATTTAGGGGTTCCCGCCTTTTGAAACTCAACCCCATTACGGGATCCCGGAATACTCTGTAAATTGACTTTAACACTAAAAAACAACTAAATCTAGCTTCTTGGTCTTCATATTTCTCGAAATTTTTGTCTCTGGCGCGCACTCTAATAAGAATCCTAATTATTTAATGAAGTCATTAACAGTACAAATTTGTTTTATTTTTTATATTCTTTGATTTTATTTTAGTGAAACCCCAAATCCTCCTGATGTTGTTGTGGAGGAAAACAACTCGCAAAATAAGGATATTGAGAGCGGTTCGAGTTCTGACGGTGACGACAGTCAAGAAGTTGCAAGAGAAGAAGCTGAACTTGAGAATGAACAAAAGGAATCCAAAGTCGATCGACTTTTACGCGAAGCTATTGATGTTCTTAAAGAAAGTGGAACGAAAATAACGGATGTGGAAGCTTCTCCAATTTCTTCACCTCAACTTTCTCAAGCATCGGATGACTTGGTAGATTTCTTTGGAGAGCAATGTGCAAAAATATCACATATTCGTAATAGAGATGAGGTTCGATTATTTAAAATTTCTAATTCTAAATTTATTAAATTTAGGCCGAACGTATACGTAAACAAACAGAACAATCGATTCAAGAAGAAAAGTCTAAAATGGACAGAATTTTAGGGGAAAAGATTTTAGATGAAGATATCGAACGTTTAGAATCTGAACGGGAAAAGACAACAAAACCAGATAATACAAAGATTGAATCACTTCACTTTGACATGTTTGCTGATGAGGCACCAGTTGAGGTTTTTAAAAGAAGATTGTTTAAATTTGTTAAATTTTATTTTTTTTCAGCTGCTCTCTAAAGCTGCTACAATCGAAACGAATGATTTAACAACAGCTGCATTGAAAGACAATTGGGACGATACTGAAGGATATTACCGTTTGTTTATTTTTTGTTTTATAATTTGAGTAGTTATATTTTAAAAAGTTTTATGCACTTTTAGGAGTCAGAATCGGAGAACAATTAGATGGTCGCTATCGTGTTTATGGCTACACAGGATCAGGAGTATTTGGAAATGTTGTTCGTGCGACAGATATGAATAGAACTGCTTCCAAAGTGGCTATCAAAATTATTAGAAACAATGACCTCATGTAAATTATTTTAGTAATTTTAATTTTTATTAGCTTTTTTAATCTTTAGGCGGAAGACAGGCGTTCGTGAATTGGAAGTATTGAAAAAACTTAACGAGGCAGATCGTCTCGATAAATATCACATTTTGCAACTTTTCAGGCAATTCTATCATCGAAATCATCTCTGTCTGGTTTTTGAAAATTTAAGGTTTTTTAAACTTATGTTCGAACTTTTTTAAACTCCTCATTTTTAGTATGAATTTACGAGAATTATTAAAGAAATATGGAAATAATGTCGGTCTTCATATGAAAGCTGTTCGCTCTTATGCTCAACAATTGCTTTTGGCTCTAAAATTGTTAAAACGTTGCAACATTCTTCACGCAGACATTAAACCTGATAATATTTTGGTAAGCAATATCTTGGGGAAATTTATAGTTTCGAGTTTTGTTAAGGATGCCAAGAAATTTATAACAGTAATTTGTCTCAATATTTCGAGAATAACATAAATAGAGTTATGAGTGTTTTAATCTGGCATCTTTAGACATGCGATATTGTAGAGTATTCGAAAAATTATATCTTATTGTTAGTTTTAGTAATTTTAGTTTTCCGATTCGTGTACTGAATGATTTTTAAAAATTTTACCTGTAGTAATAGGTTGACACGTGCATTTGATTAATTGGGTCTTCGAATACTCCTCAATAAATTTCTTTCCCTTTAAATCATTCATAAATAATTTCCTTTTCCACTCATATATATTGGCCAATTGCACTAATTCACAATTCACATCATTCAATTAGATGTTTTATCTGGTTTGGGTCTCATTGACAACCTTTTCTCAATCGACTTTTTCTTTGAATGATTGATCAAGCTGCAAAAAGCCAATCATCTTTGAGAGTTGATCGTACGACCCTTCGCATGAATTTATTAAGCTATAAAATTAATTTATTTGTTTAGGTTGACGAGACAAAAATGCATCTTAAATTATGCGATTTTGGTTCAGCTTGTCATGTTGGTGACGTTGAGCCTGCTCCTTACTTAGTTTCACGTTTTTATCGAGCACCGGAGATTAGTAAGATTTTAATTAAAAATATTTTTTGTTAAAATCTAATTTTTAGTGCTTGGACTGCAATATGATTTTGGAATTGATCTATGGTCGCTTGCAGTTACTCTTTATGAGGTTTATACGGGAAAGATTATGTTTCCCGGGAAGTCAAATAACCAAATGCTTAAATTTATGATGGACCTTCGTGGAAAATACCCTAACAAGGTGATACGGAAGGCATTGTTTAAGGACCAACATTTTGATAACAACTGCAACTTTATTTACCACGAGACAGATAAAGTTACTGGAAAGGTACTGTTTAATTTTTTGGGGTGGAACAATTTAAAAATTTGTGTTGTAAGTAAATTTGATTATTTATTTAAGTAAATTCGAATTTTAGATGCTTGACAATATCCCTCGGATAGTCGTTGCATAGGTTTTTCTTTTGTAATTTTATCTGAACTGGCTTGTTGTTAATATTTATTATAATTAAGAGGGCAATGTATATTTTATATTTGTTAATATTTCATTCACTTTTTCCACCCTTAACTTTCCACATTTTCAAATAAATTTACTTTTCTTTTAAAGGATAAAGTCACTGTTCTCGCAAATATAAAAATGCAAAGAAATTTATTTGCAGAATTGGCTGGTGACCAGGAATTGGATAAAGATGGATATACTCGTGTAGAACACTTCCGATCTTTACTTGAGCAAATGACAACATTGGACCCAGGAAAGCGAATTACGTGCTCAGATGCTTTGAAGCATCCTTTTATAATAGAAAGGTGATTCTATGAATGAAAAAGTCAGGTGATAAAAACACTTGTTTTCTTTTTGTATTTCATATTTTTCCTATGTGAGTAAAATCTTTTTTAAAAATTTTACTATAATGTGAAAAATATTTTAATTATTTATCACATCAAATAATAATTATAGGTTATACCTATATACATATAGGTTTTGAATTTTTTACTTCCTTTTCTTTCCTTATAGGGCTAATTATTAATGTTAGACTTTTTTCTCCACTTTGAAATTTTTTTATGTGCTACACAAGTAGCCTTATTCCGCACATTTTTCTTTGTGAGCCTATACATCGAAATTATTATGAGCCAAAAAAAAAGATAAGAAATTCAAAATTTTTAATTGTGTGAGATCAAAACTTGATGAGTATTTGTCCCTATAGAAAAGTATCATGAGCAGTACTTGAAGCATTACTTAACCCGGCTATAGATGTTTGCCTTGGTGATCCGCTCATATATCTGTAACAGCTAGAACTGCTTTTTCGGTGACAGGCAAGAAGACCAGTATGGATAGTTGGCGATGGTGAAGAAAATCTTTCCGAGACAAAGTTTTTATTGACTTCACCTCCTCCTCCCGTGTCATTGTTGGCATTAATAGCATAATAACTAAAACATTATAATTTCTACTAAATATTTGTCAAATTTACCTTCCGACAGATGTTTCCTGTTTTCTTTGCATAATACTGCCAGCAGCTTCTTTACGTACATTTTTGTGTTTTTCAAAAAGTATAATGTATATCTTTGGTGAAAATATACAAACGAGAGCAACATTTGCGCTCATACTAATTGATATACAAAATGCAGTTGTTTGAATCTAGCAACATGGATATAAATTTTGGATATGTAAATTACCTGAAAGTCGCTACTTGTTCCAATAAAAAATAATATAAGGCAACACCAAAGCACACAAGTTGTGTACCTGTTTAATTACATGTTTCAAAATTGGATAATATAAAATGTGTGTTAGATAAAATAATAATTCAAATCTGTCTTATATTTTAATTATTTTTAATTTTGAATTTACATTGAAAATCCAATATATCTTGTCTCGTTAAAATTCTCTGGTACTTTGCGAGTTTTTATTGCATATACAGTACATAAAATGAGTAATATAGCTTCATAGGCTAACGAATAAAGAAAATGATGATCAGGCACATTACAAGCCAAAACAACTTCTGCACGTGTTGGGTATATATGTTGAGTACCTAAAAATATTTTTGATAGGAGGAACATATTTTCATTGAAATACCGGGTGGTTGAATAAGAAGCCAAACTAGTGTAAAAATTTGTTTAGAACCTACAAAAGCAGCAGTTAATGCTAATTGAGAGATTGGGGAAATCATTGGTGGTGGACGTCTACTTCGAGTTGCCTTAACAAAAAGAGAGCTTTTTATTAATTTAAAAGAATAATTTTAATAACTTGTGAAAATATTCTATAAATTCTATTAGTTTTAACAAGAAGTGCTGAATAAAGGCAAGAAAATGCAAGGCCAATACCAATTCTTCTAATTGTACAAACAAGAGTATCTGGTTTTGAAAGCAAAACAAATGTTATAATATAACAAACAAGACATGAACAAAGCAAAACATGGCTAAGTTCTCTTCCAGATGCTTTAACTACGGGAGTATCAGCATAACTAGAGAAAATATTTAAATAGTTGACCTTTAATCATTCCCAATTTTAAAAGCCCCTCCATTTTAAACACAATTTATTCAGAAACAAGGGGGTATTTAAAATCGAAGTCTGCCTGTATTTAAATATAAATTCAAACATTGTGTATATAAGCAAAACTAAAAGAGTTGATAAAATTCCAATTACAGCCAATGCTGTTGGAACAATTGAATACCTACAAAAATAAAAATAAATTAAAAAAAATATTTCTTTATTTATTTACCAAGTATTCCAACGCATATGTTTTAAATGTTTATCAACCAAAGAAAAACAACTAGTTCTGTCTTTATTTGGCCAATTTCCTTGTCCACAATCTGCACAAGCAGTCTCATTAATTAAATACTCGTAATCTTCACATTTTCCACAAGCCCAACAACAAAGTTCATCCTTTTAAAAAGATTGTTTTTTAAAATAATTTTCAAATAATTTTACTTCTTTAATTAATTGTTTTTTATAACCCAAAGGGCAGGGAAGTGAACAAACAGAAAGAGGCGGTAATTTTATTGTTTTTATTTTATTATTGAAATTTTGTTGATTTCCTTCTTCTTCATTATTATTTAAATTCCAAAAGAGAAGGCTTTCATCTATTTCTAATGCTTCTTCTGACCAACGACCTACAACAACATAATCTGATCGGTCAGAAGTATCAGAATTTGTTGATTGTAATAAACGTCTTCTAGAGGGTTGATAATTTAAAATTGTGTAGTGGGCGGGGCCGTCACCCTAAAAATTATTTTAAAAATAATTAATTTAAAAATAAATTGCCTGAGGGCTAAAATGAACTCTTTTTCCAACCAAATCTAGTAATTAAATATATAAAATATTTAAATAATTAGTAAATACCTTCAAATTTAACATTCAATAAATGTTTATAAAAATTCTCTCCGTCAATATGCCTCATTGCTGGACAGACCTATTTATATTTAATTTAAAAATAATTTATAATTAATTAAAGACTTGTGGAAGTCTAGCATAACGTGAAATCCAGCTACTTTCAATTGAATCATCTGGACATACTTTTTCTTTCATTGATTGTAATGCATGGGCAATAGCATCTTTAATTGAAAAATATAAATTTCTTGACAAAAACTACTTACAAACAGCTTCTATAACAAATTGAACTTTGTCGTCAGCACTAAAATTGTCTGCTGATTGCCGTTGTGCTTCACATCTTTAAATTAATTTAAAAAAAAATAATATTAATTAAATTGCCTATTTAATTTAGATTCTTGAGGCAAATCAAATTCACAATTAAATTTATGTCTCCATAATTCTCTAAAATTATTTTTTCTTTTCAAAATTAATCTTTTTTTCCCAACAATACCTTAGCCATTTATTTCTTTCAAAATTTTCATTTCCTGGATGTAGTGAAAGATAATACTAAATTAGTAATTTAAATTATTTTTTAATTAATTTAAACTTCTTCAAATGTCGGCACTCTTTGTGATTCAAGCATTAAAACAATAGCCCCTTCAGCTGCCAATTTTCTACTTCCTAATGTGTACTTTAATTAAAACAAAATTAAATATTTTTATTTTATTTTAATTTTTTTACATGTTCATTATTTCTATCCCATCCTTCACTTGCTAACCAAATAATTCTTTTTCTTTTATAATCTCCGCCTAATCTTTCACTTGCCTTTTAAAAATAAATTTTAAATTAAAAAAATACAAAACTTTTTGTAACAAATCAGGAACATATTCAGTCCCAACAAACAAAGCAACAACTCTAGCCCCAACTTGTTTATCTTGTTGAAGTCTTTTTAGGAAATTTAATATTTTTTTAAATTATTTATATTTTTTACTTTTTAGCTAAATTATCAATAGAATCTCTTAAAGATTCTGGCTTCATAGAAACTCTTTCTTCTATAGCAATACAAATTTTGGCACGTCTAGCTTCTTTTTTAAAAGCATCTGCACCCAATTCCCCATATTCATCAGCAGAATATACCTTTTTTTGAATAAATTTTTAAGAAAAAAATAATTAAAAACCAGAGAAACATAAGTCCAATTAAAGTGAACGGCAATATCAATCATTGCCCGGGCTTGGTAATTATCGCTAGGTACTGTTCTAAAACAAAATTGTTTTATAAATATTAAAAGTCAATATAAAATTTGTTTTTTTTAAATTGGATATCAAAAATTATATACCGACAAAGTAAATTATAAGCTTAATTTAAAAATAACTCGAAATAAAAATTATTACCGGGCAAAATATTCAAAACGATTTTTATCGCTCAAATCGGCATTTGTGCTTGCTACAAAATAATTAAATTACTTAATTTTGTTTAAAACAATATTTAAATTATTTTAACTAATTTTTAAAAAATAACTTGCCAGGACTAACTTGAACAATTCGAAAAAGTCTAAGTAAATTAGCTATCTAAATATATAAAAATATTTTTATTTTTATTTATTCACTTAATTACTTGAACAGTTACAGAAGAATAACTAGCACCAACTACAGCAACAACACTCTTTTTAGGGCTTGAATTTCGTAATAATTTTGGTTGTCTACCATCACTGCAAGTATATTCTGACATTCCAGAATTACCTCCAATCATTTCTCTCACAAAATCTCTAAAAGAAATAATTTTATTCAAAGATTATTTTTTAAAATTATTTACAGAGATTGATTTAAAGCATAAGCTGGATTAGAACAAGAATCTAAAATTAAAGCTCCCTAAAAAAATAATTGTAATCATTTAAAAAAATATATTTTTAAACCAATTTATATCCTCTAAGAAATTCAGTTTGAGCATTAATCATATCCAAAGCATAAAGAAATGCTTCTACTCGATGAACACCTCTCGTTTCAAAAATCTCTCCACAAGGGGATATTCCCCCGCTTCCTTTAGCGTGAACGGGGAAAACGCCCCCAATAATTAAATCACCGGGAATTCTAAGTTGACGAACATTTTCAATTGGTTGTCCACTAAAAACACCCGAGGAGTCCTCAACTGCTAGAGCTAACATATGAATATGTGTTAATGTACGTAATGTCATTGAAAGAAGAGAAAACATTTTTTTAAAGAATTTAGTTGAAAATAAATATAATATTTTTGTATAAAAAAGAAAGAAAAATAATTTTTTTAATAAAAATTCTGACTGTCAATAAATAAATACGCATTATTATTTTTATTTTATTCTCAAAGGTATTAATTATTTTTTTAAAATTATTTTAAATAATTCAACAAATAAACAAATATAGCATTTATATATAATATTTAATTATATAAAGCTTGAAAGACAAAATTTGCGTGCGTAGATAAATAAATATATACATTTTCTTTTAATTTTAATGTCAAAATTATTAGAAAGTATTTTTAAAAGTTTTGTTAAAAAATATCAAAATGGATTTCAAAAAAATTAATTTTTATATATTTTATATAATCTGACTGTCTGTCTATGTATGTATAATTATCATTTAAGAGATAAAATTGGAAAATAAAAATATTATTTTCTTGTTAAAATAAAATAAACTTTTTTATTGAATTTTTTGGACAAAAAAAGAAAAAAATAAAAGGATTTATTTTTGTTAAGGATTTTAGAAATTGATTTAAAAAAATAAAAGACGATTCTACGGCAGATTTTGCGTCGCGGCATTTGGTAAATAAATGGAATTTCCGATGACCGCCGACATTCTCAGAGATGTTTGGGTGACGACTGTCTTTTTATCAAGCACTTGAGAGCATATTTACACACAAACACTTTATTTAAAGAGAAATTATTTATTAAAGTATTTCTCTTTTTTTAAGTTGTTAGCGTTCTTTAAATAAAAAATAAATAATAAATGTTTAATAAAATAAAATATTTTTGAAAATAATTTTGTAGAGGTTGAGGGGAGGGGGGTGTGGAGGGAGAGGAGAGGAGAGGGGGGGTATTTAATTAAAATTTTAAATTATTTAAAAACATTTCTTCTTCAATAAAAAATTTACTTATTTATGTGTGTGGCATACATATTTTTATTTATAAAATATGAGAAAATGAATAAGACAAATTAGTATTTGTTTATGAAAAAATAGAGAAAAACACATTTTTAATTTGTAAATTTTAAAGAAAAAAAAGAAAATAAATTTTAAAAAATTATTAGAATATTCCAACACATCCTTTTTAAATTATTTAAATTCAAAAAAATATTATTTTAAATAATAAAGAAAATAAAAATTTTTTTATAAATGTTTAATGTCTTTATTTAAATTTAAATAAAATACTTTAAATTATTTTAAATTTCTTTTTCTAAAAATATTAATAGGTAATTTAAGGCTTTTAAAAAATAAAATTTATTCGAAACATTAAATTCAAAAAAAAATTTTTTCATAATAATTCAAAAAAATATAATCGATTCTTCAAGACTACAAAAATGTAAAAAAGTATAAATACTCCCGAGAGATTTGTAGTTTTGAAACAAAAAAAATAAAAAAATATTTTTTTAAAAGTATTCGATTTTTAAATAAAAAAAAACATTTATTTTATATTTTTTAATAAAAAACTGCAAAAAATATTTCATTTAGATAATGAAAATATCAAAAAGAATGAGAAAGAAACCTACCCAACAACTAAATAAATAAAAGAATACATATATTCACACAAAAGGAAATCCCTCAGGATGTTTTATTTAATAATGAAGAATTGAAGAAAGGTGTTTGTTGTTAGTCTAAAATTTTTGAATTAATTTAAAAGAAAAATTTTTTTTAGAAATTTTGTATTTAAATTAATCTAATTAATTAATTTAATAAATAAATTAATTATTTTTTAAAAAAATAATTTGGTAAATTCTACGCAATATTTATTACTAATTAATTATTTTGTATTTTCTTAAAAAACTTACTAATATATTATAATAAAATTAAGTATTTAAACAATCTAATATTTTACAATTTAATTAAAAATTAATTTCTCTTTTCCTCCAAAAAATGTCAACAAAATTAATAATTCCAATTATTTTAATTATTTTATTAATATTACCAGAAGGAGAATGTGATTGTGTACAAATGTGTAAAAATTCAGCTTGTAGCCAAATTTGTAGTAGAAAAAAGAGGGAAGGAGGAGGGGATGAAGGTGTTAAACGATTAATTAAAAGGGATTTTAATGGATGCCAATTTACCCAAATGGGGGGATTGGCACGTGAAGATTGTTCTCAAAATGGTGGGGTTGTTGTTGTTAGGAAGGTTAGATAGATAAGTGATTGTTATAGTTAATTATTAAATTTACAGGAAGGACGTAGAAAGAGATTGGCAAACTTGGAGAAAATGAGAGAAGGAGGAGACTTTCCTTGAAAAAAAAGAATTTAAAGGAAATTAAATTAACTATTTTTTATATAAATTTATTTTTTCTTCAAAAATTAATAGATAGAACATCTACTTATAATAAATTTAATTTCTAAATAAATACAAGTTTTCTGGTGATTCATTCTTTGCTCAAGTTCTTCTACCAATTTTGTGAAAAATAAATATAAAATTGAGAAAGAGTAAAAGTATTTAGTAATTTGTTTTGTATTTATTTAAAAATTCTTTGTCGAGAAATTTATAGTATTTTTTAGAATATTTTTATAAAAATAAAGTATCCATTATTGAATTTGTTGGACTCGGAATCCTGCCAAAATTCATATTTGTCGTACATTTACTTTTGTATAAAGACGAGTACGAGCAAATTTCAAAATTCCAAACACTGCTTGGGAGATAAATATCAAAACTAAAATCCTTAAAAATTATTTTGTAGTTAATTCTATTTGGCGCAACCCTTTTCTATATTATTTTAAATTTAAAATTTATTATTAACAAAAAAATATTTGAATAATTTTTAAATTTTAAAATGATTAAAATATTAATTAATTTATTTTTTGTAATATTTTTAATATTTTTATTTGGTAATTGGAATGGAAATGGAGAATGTGTTATTACCGTATTTTTAAATTAATTTTATATATAAAAATTAAATTTAAATTTCAGACAAACGGAGTAACAACATATTCAGAAGATCAAGATTGTATACAAATTGTTCAAGGCTACAAATATTTTCAGATTTTTCCGGTTAATGGCACAAAATCTGTTTATATGGTAATTAATTTTTAAATAAATTTTACTTTTAAAAATTATTTTTTAGATAAATCCAATTTTGTTAATTATTGCTATTTTAATTATTTATTTGTAGAGAGGAATTTATTAAATTGAAAATGAAAAAGGAAATAATTTAAATATTTAAAAAATACTTTTAAATGTAATATTAATTTTAAGTTCAAAACTCTAAATAAATTTTTAAAATAATATTTCTTCATGTTAATATTTGTGTTTAAAATTAATTTAAAATAATTAATAATTATGTAAATTTTAATTAAAATAATTTAAAAAATTAATTTAAAATTAATATTTGTGAAGTAGTTAAGGGAAAGATTCTGTCATATTTTAAAAAGCGGCAGATTGAGGGTGGAAGGAAAGAACCTCTGGTTTTTAAGTATTAATTTTTAGATTTTTTTATTCAAAAAAAATATTTAAAAGTGAAAATTTTATAAAAATATTTTATGAATTACTCCTTTTCCCATTCTTTCTCTTTTAAAATACACTCATTCAATAAAAATTGGTAGAGGCATAAATACACAAACACACACACAAATATTATACACATCTTTTGACCACATTGCTGACCAATATAAAACAAAATATTAACAATTTACTTTACAAAATTTATTTATTTAAATCAATATATATTTTAAATATTTTTATTTAATTTTAGCAATTATTATTAAATAAAAATATTTTTATTTTCAATAAATTTATTTAAAAAATCGGAGATTGTAATTATTTTTATTCTTTGATTATTTTAGTAGGTTACCATTTATAGAAAAAAAAAGAAATGATAAATTAATCAAATATATATTGCTAGACAAATTTAACCAAAAAAAAAAGAATTTTTAATTTAAATAACTTTATATCATTTTTATAAAAAAGGAATATATAAACCTGTTTTTAGCTTTTATTTTTTACTTTTTAAATAAAATAATAAATAAGCTAAAAATAACGTGTAACTAAAAAATTAATAATAAAAGTGAATATTTTAATAATTAAAAATATTTATTTTAAATTAATTTATTTAATTATTCCTGCTATAAAAATACATTTATATTATGGTACCTTTCTGGTATCTCTCCCCCCTCCATTTTAATTTTTCTTTATTTGATCGGCTATAACTTTTCTATACTTAATCCAACCCGAATAAATCTTTAACCATTCGAAAGCTTTTTTTCTCCCTTTTGAGAATGCCCCCTGGTGGTAATTTGGAAAGGGCCACCCTGTTAAGCATTTAAAAAGTTATATAAGATCAATTAAGAAAATGGAGAAGATGACAGTAAAGTACCCTAAATTATTAAATGATTAGGCCGTCGATACATGTATATAAAAATAATTTCTATACATATTTAATTTATATATTTTTTTATTTTAAAATTTTTCTGAAAAAATTACCTATTTTTATTTCAATTTAAATGTTTCATTTACCTTCTGAAACTTGGCTTGATATATTTAAATTTGTTGACTACAATGGATTATGTAATTTATGTTTAACAGAACGATTCTTTTCTAAATTAATTGATCGACATAAAAATGAATTGGCACTTAAAGAATTTTATAGTTTTGAACTTGTTTGTGTTTTGAATATATTTTATTTTGATTAATTTAATTTTTTAAAGGACCGTGTTGGACATGATTATAGAAATTTGTGGGAAAAAGCTAAAGATATAGAAAAAGATATGGAATCTAAATTAGGACGAGGGTTTTTTTGGGGGTTTGAACCTGACGAGAAATTAACGAAGAAGGTAAAATTATTTTGATGGTAATTTTAACTCCCCCTTTCTATTTTTTACTCAAGCCTATAATGGTCAGACTTTTCTTGCCATAGCTCACCGAGCTGAGTTAAATCGTACATAGCACGTTTGGATGGATTTTGAAAATCTATAACCAATTAACTAAAGCAACTTTAAAATTCTTTTCTAAAACTAACATTATTTGATTCAATTCGATGAAATTCTTGAAGGAAAATAGGGGAACTAAATTGAAAATTACCCTCTAAATTTATTGGATGTCAAAATAAAAATAAATAAAAGAAAAAAGTTGGGAAGATACAAAATTTAAAATTTACAAATATTTTTTTGTAATATTTCTAATTAGGGACGAGAGTTTTGTATAAAACAATTTACTCAAAAATCGAATAAAGGTGTAGCTAATAAATTAATTAAAATTATATTTCCGTAAATATTTTGAGGAGAATTATTAAAAGAATTTAATTATAATTTTTAGTGGAATACAGCATTATCTGAAAATATTCCAATGTTTTTACCAGATATATTTACAAGATCAATAAAAGCAGAATATGTTATTGTTATTACTAAAAAACGTATAAATATTTTTAAAATACTTTTTAAATTTAAAAATATTTTCAAGAAAGAGATCCATATAATCAACGACTTCGTTTAACACTTCCACATTTTCCCCACAAAATATTTGAATTAATATTTATTCGTTATTGGCTAAAACAATTATCATTTTGTTCATTTAAATCTTCTTTCAATTATTGTGACTGTTATTTTGCTATTTTTAATCCAAAAATGTTAAAATTAATTTTTGAAGAAAATAATTCTTTTTTAAATTTTTATACAAAAATTGGTGGTCTACATATTGCTAAAAATGATTTTGAATTTAATAAACAAGCTATTGAATTTATATCAAAACATTTAATTGTAACAAAATGTTTATATTTATGTATTGGAAATAATTTTAAAGAAGATATTATTAAATTTATTTTAAATTTTGGGAAGAAAATAAATAAAATATCTTTTTGTAATGATTATATTAATAATGCCCATTCGACTTTAATTGATATAATTATTGAGGTAATAATTAGTAATTAAAAATTATTTTTTTAATGGGTAATAAATAATGATAATAATAAGATAAATAATGAGCCCTTTGCGCATTTTTAGGAATTAAAAATTTGCCCAGGAAGTGGCAAGAAGTGATAAATAATAATGGACATTATATTGTTTCTTGATTTCATTTCATTATTTAGTTAGAGTAAATTGTTTGATTTATGCACTAGTGCTTATTATTTATCAAACAAACCATTAATTTGGGGGTGGTGGTGGGAGATGGATGCCAAAAGGACCCCCTTTATTTTATGATATATATTAGGGATGTGGCCCATAAAAAAGTAAGCTGCCAACTTCGGGAATAGGTAATTCCAAAATTTTTTAAAATTACCGATTGGGTTGATTAGATCACTGATGCATAAAGTAATTTACCTAAAATTCCTATTTTGTGTACCGATAAAGGATACTTGTTGTCTGTCTCCCTCGAAATTGAAGAAAACTTTTACCAACTAAATATATTTTATTTTAATTTTTTTTCAGATAATTTTAAATTCAACAAATTGCTTGGAGATTGTTAAAGATATTGAAATTACCAGAATTAATAATTTACTTGTACCTAATTTATTAAATAAAGTAATTAAATCAGAAGAAGGTTTTAACGAGGAAGAACATTTTTTCAAAAAATATTTAATTTGTAATAATCAAAATAATTATTTTTATATTTATTTTTCACATCCAACTGAAACTGGAAAATTTGATTATTTCCGTATTTATCAGACATTTACAAATTGATAAAACTAATTCTTTAATATTATTAAATTAAAATTTAATATTTTCAAGCTGATTTGTAATTTTTTAAGAAACTAAATTAATAGGAGGTTTATTAAAATGAGGCTATTAAGTCGTCGATTTTTGGTAGATTAAGCAAATTAAAATTTATTTTAGATAAAAAATTTCCAAATTTATCAAGTTTATAAAAAAATATATACATAATTCGTTGTAATAAATATTTTGTCAAATATGGAATAATTTTTAGAAGAAGGGAGTATAATCAACTTTGAGAAAAAATTATATAACAAAATTTTAAATAAAACTTCTTACTAGATTGGAATATTTGTATGTACATAACTGAAGGTTTAATAGGCAAATATGGGATAAATTTTAGGAGAGGTGTCTCCTGTGACAAATCAAATTTAAAAATATATCGAATTAAGAGGGGTGAAAAATGAGGTTGAAAAAATCGTAAATAAGGTTATATACGAGGTCCAAGTGTATCTGATATTTACATATTTTTTGTACAATTGCCACTCCCGCAAATATACCCTTTGATGAAATTATCAAAGGTATTTTCAAATATATTCTTTTTAATTCTTAATTTGATCACTTTCCATTTCAAACTTGTCTTCTGCATCTTTATTCTCCAGCTCTTTTATTTTTTCCCAATTAAAAAACATAAATTTAATTGCAGATTCTCTATCATTAAACCAATGTTTGAGAAATTCTGTAAAAAAAATTTTATTTAAAAAATTTATTCAAAAAAACTATTTTGTTCAATTTCAATATCTTCTTGTTCTTCATCTAATATATCATCATCCGACTTAAAATCTTTAACAATTTCATTATATTCTTCGGTACTCATTTTATATTTATTTAAATACTCTTTAAAATACTCCTTCATTTTTTCTAATTTTTTTTCTTTTAAAAATAAATATTTCCATTTTAAATCCAAAAATAAATTAATTCGATTAAAGGATTCTTCTTTTGATATATTTTTTGTGTTACTTTTATATAAACGTTCAATTTTTTTTAAATTTAAAGCGATATTGAAATCAACTTCTTTAAATTCATTTACTTCATTTGGCTATAAATTTAAATTAAAAATAAATTTTATTAAATAAATATATTTACTTCTTCGTTTTTAACTTCTTCAACAATTCCCTCAAAAATTGATCAACTGATTTTTCATCAGGCAAAATAGAAACTTTAATTAAACTTGCCAGTGGAGAAATTGGAAATTTAAAACGACGAAGAATAACCTAAAAAAATATTTGAAAGTGTATTTCTCGATTAACGGGATTAATAACGAAACAAGGTATTAACGAGATAACACTTTAAATATATTTAAAATTACTTAACTGTCGAGTTTCAGACAATTCAATACTTAATTCCAAATCCGACCATTTTGCCCATATTTTAGAAACTTTATCAAACGAATAAATTAATTTATTCGGTCCTCCATTAAATTGTTTTATTTTTAAATTTTCATTTGGATATTTACACTCTTCCAAATCTGCTAAAACTGGACAAAGTTTTAAATTTTTGAAACGTTTCTCTTTTTTAATTTTTTTAAGAAAATTAAATTCTGAAAATTTTTCGGCTTCAAAATCATTAGAAATTTCAACAGAAAGTGCAAATTCAATTGAAGATTGATATACAAAATGATTAATTCCATAATTAATTGCATCTTTTGTTAAATTATTTTTAATTGTTTCTTTTACACAATTAAATTTTTTGACCAAACAAATAAAACAAAATAATAATAAAAATATTTTAAATATTCCTCGAAGTGAGGAAAAATAATTTTGTAAAAACATTTAAATTTAAATATTTTTTTAAATAGGTAAATTTAAATTTATTTAAAGTAAATTTTAATGAAGGGTAATATATAGAATTATATAAAGTTCTTTAAATGAATTGAAAGAGGGGGAGGGGGGGAGGGGGACAATAATTGAGAGGGAGGGGAGGCAATAATTGAGAGGAGGAGGGGGGCATTAATTGAGAGACTTAAACAATTAAAAAAATCCACGAGTTTTTATTAATTTAAAATTGATTTTAAAATTAATTTTTTATATAAAAATCGATAATTAAAAGAATTTTTAATTAAAATAAAATTTAAAATTAAATAAATAAATTTATTTATTTAAATATTTAAAGGTTAATGGATTTGTTGAATGGCATTTTCTAAAAGAATATATTTATGGAGAGAGATGGTAAATAAATAAATACGCGCGCAATTAAAAATTCCTTGTAAAGAAAAAACAAAAATTATTAGGAAATTAATTAATTCAAGAAGCTTTCCGGTAATGACATATAAACTTAAATATGCTAATAATATATTAATAATTATTATTTTTTTAATACTAAATAAATTTTTTATTATTGTTTTTTTCAGGCAAAAACTTGTAAAAAATATTAATTTTGTTTAATAAAATTGGCTCGTGACAAATAAAAATATTAATTTAAATAAAATTGTTTATTAAAACTTTTCAATACCAAAAATTTCTTTTAACTGTTTTGTGTTTTATTTGCAGATTCAAACAAATAAATTTAATTAAATTGTAAATAAATAATTATTTTTGTTTAATTTTAATTATTTATAATAAAAACTTTCAATAACTCATTTAATACTTTTTTACCTAATTTATGTGTGTTCCATTCGAACAATGTTTTGTATAGTTAAATCTATTGGAATAAACTTATTGCCAATTACGTGGTTAATACCAGAGTTTAAGTGTCGGGTCCTTACCAGTGATTTAAGGGTCCTGACCAGGGATGACCGAAATAATATTCGTTCGGACAAAACGAAATAAACGAAGTAAATTAAAAATTTAAAAATATTTCTTTCATATCTAAAAAATGTTTTATTCTGTGGTAAACTGATAAATATGCATCACATAGACCTGGATTTGAAACGAAGACTTAATATCAGGGCCAAGAGAGACCACAAGAATTGACCTGTAGACAAGAAATGTCATTGAGAAGAAAATCATAGATTATAGATCTTTATATCTCCAGAGATCTCTCCAATTCCTCTGATATCCCTCTATATCACTGAAGAATAATGCACACCAACCTCTCTTAATCCCCAAGATCCACAGATGTCATGTTAATTTTTTAAATCCCTTCTTAATTACTATTAATCCTTCTATACTCCTTCATTGGACTAGTGGATGAATAAGTGCCAGGATGTCGCAGGGTAGACATCCTGGCTTTTGACAAAGTAATTAACGCTTACTTTATCAAAAAATTGGTTAATCAAAATTTTATTTTTTATTTTATGCGAAAAACTAATTCAAATTTTAACATGGACAAGGATTTCAGTAGCTTCATCAAGATATATCTGCAGGTATTTTTGTACTCATTTATAACCTTAAAACTTTTAAGTCATACCCAATCCGCATATCCATCTAGAATAAGAAAAGCTGGTCAGGCCCTGGCTAAAAAAATCAGTTACTATCTAAAAATGCAAAAACTTTTTTGGATTTTTAATTTATGGAATAGATTATCACATAGATTATTTATCCCTTTATAATAATTTTTTTCAAATTTTAACATCTCATTTGGGGGTGAGATATGTTGGGAAGAGGCGTTTCCCCAACATCTCTCCTCAAAAGAAAGAAGTTGAAGGAATTAACCAATACAAAAATAGGGCGGGAATGTAAATAAAAAAGAGAAAATAGTATTACATAGTAATAATATATTTTATATTTTTATAAACCTTTAGGGGTTGTAATCATCTAAAACAGCCACTGTTTGTTAATCTTTTTTGTTAAAAACTTTAAATAATATTTATATTTAATATTATCCATGAAATAAAGCTGAAGCTTTTAAAAAACTTAAGCTTGCAAATGCAACAATTATGTGTTTTCTTAAATATTATAATATTTTTAGTTTTAAAAAGGAAATCTAAAATTATAAAAAAAACATTTTGATTTTATTTTCAATTTAATTTAAATAACTAAATTTTATGTTTAATTTCTCAAATTTTACCATCCCTTCATAAATAATTATTTAAAAAAATATTATTTTCTTTTCTCTACAGTTAATCCTGTCGTGTTAATCTTTACCTTTTTTAAGCTTTAAAATAATCCCTTCAAGACTTTTACAGTTTCATATTTCTCTCCCTCCCTTTTACTGTTGATTTCCATACAACCAAATATTAATTTTTAATCAAAAATGTTTTTTAAAATCTCTCACCTTTTTTTAACAAATTAATTTTTAAATATTTTTTAATTTCAAAAAAAGAAATGACAAAAAATGTCAAACAGTCCTTTAAATAATAATAATTCAAATAAAGCAACAACTAATAATAATTCTAATTGTTCTCCAAAACATCACCAATCTTCTTTAAATAATCCAAATTGTAATTTACAATTATTTAATGGGTTTTTAAATTTTTAATTTAATTTAAAAATATTTTTAAGCAAAAAATCATTTTAATTTTCTTTTCTCGTTTTTAACTACCTCGAAAAGCCAAAAATGGATAATTAGCCAAAACACATCAAAAATATTTTTAGAAGAAGCTTAAAAGACAGGAAAAACAAAATTAGTTTCTTTCTCGTTTTTGGCAGTAATTCTTTTATTTTTTAGTTTAATTATTTCTTTTAATTTTAAAAAAACTAAAAACAATCCAATTTCTTCCATTAAAATATAAAAAATAGTAAATAGATCCCCGAGGAAATTTGCGCTCCTTTAAAAGTATTTTATTAAGTAAATATTTTAATTAAAAATTTAACTAGCTTCTCAACTTTTTGACAAACTAGAAGATTTAAATTATGATCAACAAAATAATAATAATCTGTTATTTGGAGAAGAAATAAATAATAATAATATGTCAACAATACTAGATCAACAACAACAATTAAACCTTCCAATTTGTGTTAATTGTAGACAACGTAAAAAATATTTTTCAAATAATTATTAAATAAAATAATTATTTTTTAGCAATTTTGGATCCTTTTATTCTTCGTCTCCATCCTGATTTAGAATTTCATATTGGATGTATAAAAGTAAATAATTTAATTTCAATTTTATCTTTTATTCAAAATATTTTAGTGCTCAGAATGTGGTATTCCTCTCGATGAAAGGTCTGGTTCTGCATTTTTACGTGATGGAAAAATTTTTTGTCGTGAAGATTATAATCGGTATTTCTATTTTAAAAATTAATTTAAATAAAATTATTTACAAAAATCCAGAAAAATTATCCGTTTAATTTCATTGTCTATCAAAAATCGCCTGAGGCTATTTTTTATTTATCCAATAAAATTTTTATGTTTTGCCTTTTAGCCCCTCATATTTTCTTCTTTTGTTTAAAAAATTTGTTTATGTATTTATTTACTTCCGTTTAAATAAAAACATTAATTTTCATTCATCCATCATCTCCCTTTCACCTCTACCTCTCCTATTATTCTTCCCGCAATTTTCCCCATTAGAGAAAACAATTCCTTGTTTTCCGGGCCCGTTTCGATTTTCTTCGTTTTTTTTCATTGTTTTCTTTTATTTTCGTCTACATTTCTTTTTCAATGTTTGTTAATATATTTATTTGTTTAACTTAAAATTTGTTTTTATTGTCCCTAAAAGTGTTGGTTCCTTGGCCCTCTCCCCTCCCTCCCCCTCCCCCTCCCTCCCTCCCCCCTCCCTCCCCTCCTCCGCCCTTCCCCACCAAAAAAACTTTTTCTTCTTTTCATCCCAAATACGACTTGATTTGGATTGACAGAATTTACTCTTTTTACAAATAAATACATTAACAAAGTGTCGCCGTGGGCGAAGGGAAAGGAAAAATTTTTTGTTTTGAGGTAAATTTTGTGGGAAGTGAATCCGTCACATAATGTTAATTTTATTTAATGAATAACAAGAATTTTAAATAAAATTAAATATTGTAGGGACTAAATTAATATATTTTAAAATTAATATTTCCAAATATATTTTGATAAAAAAAGAAATATTTTGTTTGAAAAGTACGTTTGAAACTCTATTTTAATTATATATGTAGTATGTATGTACATATACCTCTAGGCTTGATCGAAAATTATATATAAATATATTTTTGGACTAAAAATAAAAAATTAATTTTAATTTAAAACAATCCGAAAACCAAAGGATTGTGAAAATAGCCTACATAGTATTATATAGGTACATAATAACAAGCAGAGAATTAGTCCCCAAAAAATGTCTTCAACCCTTTGAGGGAAAATTATTTTGGAAGAGAAAACTGACCCTCAAATAAACTCAAAATAGTTTTGTAGATTGCAGGCCATTTTCTCATCATTGGGAAAACCTTAAAAAATTGAGGCTGCCAAAAATTATTATTTTAACCGACAAAAAGAGTAAATTAAAACAAATAAAAACATTGAAAAATAAAAACAAAAGAAAAAAATAATTTGTTTATAGAAGCAGAAAAAATGAAAAACTTTCCGCGCAATTTATTCACCCCCTCCCCTCTTTCAATGCCGAAAAATTAGAAAGGAGGGTTTGGATTGGTTAATCTTTTATTAAGAGGGAGAGAGAGAGAGATGACTTTTATTTAAATATTAATTGTTTATTGTTGAATATCTATCTACCTATATAATTAACAATTTTTTTCAAAATTTATTTGAATAGGTCAAAAAATAATTATTTTTAATTAATAATTCTAAAAAAATAATTAAATAAAATAATTTTTAAAAATAAAATTCTCTCTCTCCAAATTTAAGTAATACCGTAATTATTAATTATAATCTACATATTCATTTTTTTCTTATCAAACTCTCAAATCTATTTTTAAAATAAAAACCTTTTTTTATATCCACGCGTCATCTATTAAACTTAGCGACAAACACCCCCAACAATTTTATTAATCCCTTTTTCTTCCATCAAAATACGGTATTTCTTTTATAAAGTTTTATTTTTTTATTTTCAACAACTTTAAATAACAACTTTAATATATTTATTTATTTAAATAATATTTTTTAAATTCAAAAAAAAATTCCTTTACTTAATTAAATTTCACGTCTCTAATATTTTTTATTTTCCCACTTCTTCCTTTTTATCCTTTTCCATGCGCATTTTTAGGGCCTAAAAATGAAAGCGGATTAGATTTCATGTGAGTATTTAGATGAAAAAGGGAGAGGGGGATAGAAAATTTTTGGATGGATATTGGAATTGATGGATATAAACAAAAAAATGTTTTTAAAAAAATAATATTTTTGTTGGCACACACAAAAATATATTTATTTATTTTAGTTAAAAGGCGAGATCATCCTTCTCTCCTTAAAGAAAGGGAAAAAATAAATTTTTTGTTTGCTAAACCCATTAACTCGTTTGGTAATAAAAAAAATGAAAGGAAATAAAACAAGCATATACTTCTTCAGAAACCTAATATGGCTTTAAAATAAAATGGATATTTTTTGGAAAAAATTTAGAAAAAAATAAATAAATAAATTGAAAGAGAAATTTAAAATAAATAATTTAATTTTAAAAAATAAATACAAAAATAATTTTTTAAAAAGGCTTTTCATTCAACATTGCCAAAGATGTGGAATTCCTTGTCAACGTAATGATATGGTGATGAGGGCTCGACAATTAATTTTTCATATAAATTGTTTTACTTGTATTGTTTGTCAAAAACCAGTTAAAATTTTCTTTTTAAATTTTGTTTTCAAAAATAATTTTAATTAAAGTTAAATACTGGTGAAACATTCCTTCTTAGACAAAATGAAATTTTTTGTAGACCAGAATGTTTTATACAAAAAGAGGGAGAGGTTTTATTTACATATTAAAACTTTAAATTTAAATTTAAAAAAAGTTATTTCAACAATTTCCCCCTCCCCAACAATTTATTAATTCAATTCCTCCACAACAACAACAACAAACAAATAATATATTTAATAATAATGATAATAAATTATTTGGGAATTTTGAAAATAAAGGAATTAAACAAAATGTATATTTAAATATATTTTAATTGAATAATTGAGGGGAGGGAGGGGGGGGGGGATTTTAAAAATATTTTCTTTAATTAAGTTAACAACAACAATAACTTCATTTATTCGCCCCCAATCCCCAACTTCTTCCTGTAATTCCCCAATTTCCTATTCAAATCCAGAAGAGTCAATAACCCCTTCATCAACAAATGCTTCTACACCAATGGCAAATAACGGACTTTTTTTGAATGGACAGCAACAACCACAAACTTCTTTTCTTCATTTAAATAATTTTGATCATTCGGGAATTTCAAATTCTGGTTGGTTATTTTTAATTAAAAATTAAAATTGGAAAAATTTTTTCTTTAAAGGATCATCAGCAATAGCTGCAGCAGCTGCTGTATTTGGTGTAAATAGCAGTAGGGGAACAATTTCTAATTGTTCAAGTAGTTCTGGCTCCTTAACTGTTCGACAAAAACATTCAATTAAAAGAGGAAAAAAAGAAAAACCTGTTAAGAAATTTAATTTTATTTTTAAATTTTTTTATTTTTTAGACCCAAAGAATTCGAACAGTTTTAAATGAATCCCAATTAAAATTATTAAAACAATCTTATAATACAAATCAAAGACCAGATACTTCAATTAAAGAACAATTAGTTGAACAAACGGGATTAAATGCTCGAGTTATTCGAGTTTGGTTTCAAAATAAAAGATGTAAAGACAAAAAGTAATTAATTTATGTAGATTAATTAATATATTTATTTATTTAGAAGACAAATTGAACATCGAGAAAAACAACAAAATATGGAGAAGGTTGGTCTGTTTCTTAATAAATAAATTAATTAAAATTAAATTTGAGAAGCTGAAATATTTTATTTAAACTGAGTTAAATTGTAATTAAATTCACTTAATTTTATTTTCAAAATTATTATGCTTTTACAAAAATCACTTTAATAAATAACTGGAGACATCGTGAAAAAAACATTTGAGTCCCCCTTTTACATAGAGTAGAATTGAAAATTAAAAGAAAACTAATTTAAAATTTTAAAATATTATTTCCATCCATTACTTTCCAAAATTTTAGTTATTTTTTCTCAGTTTTTAGCTATTTTCTCTGATTTAATTCACCATTTGGTGACCGGCCATTTTTAAATAAAATAACAAGAGAAACGCAGGGCTATGCCATTTTTGTGAAGAAAATGCGCGCAAGCGCGATAATTTGATTATTAATGGGCGGTGGGGGAAATAGAGAAAGGAAGGAAGGTTCTTCTTCTTCTTCTTCATCATTATAATCATTTTCTTCTCCTTCTCCTTTATTTCCAACACCTACATAAACACACAAAAACCTCTTAATTAGTCGCTATTTCTTTCTACTATTTTGCGCTTAAAAATTAGGCGGCAATGACTTTTTTTGTTTTCCATATCCGGACATAGGCAGGAAAGGAATAATTTTTAGAAAAAAATAAATATTAAGAGAGAGAGAAGGGCATTGAAGCATTAAAGGCATATGGAGAGAAAAATACAGTAAAAAAGGGGAAAATTAAGAAGAATTAAATTTTGAATATTTTTATTGATAAAAAGTTTAAAAAGTAAAAATATATTGCGATATTCAAATATGGAATTAAAAGTAAATATAAATTTACTTAATTTTGACTATTCTTTTCACATCCACAAAAATTATATTTTTAAATCAAAGACCACACAAACAAAAATATTTTTTTGATTATGCAAATTTCCTCTTCCTTTTTTAAAATTTTATTCAAAATATATTTTATTTTTTTAACATCAAAAAGACACCCTCACCCCTCCCCCCCCCCCAATCGGGCAAAATATACTCTCGTCCATTTTATTTAAACAAACAAAAAATCTTTTTTTGGATGTTTTCCTTTCAAGTCAATGTCCATAATGATTACATAAAACTTTTCCATTTTTGAGTGGGAATTAAAGAAAAAGATTTTTTTAAATTTAAATCTATTTTTTAAACAAAATTTGAAAATTTAAGGATTTATTATATGTATATTTTCCCTTTGGACACATTTGGTGTATTTCTTTCCTTATTTCCTTCACTTTTACATTCTTTTTTTTTGTGTCCATTGCTAATTCATTAATTTAAGTGCTTTGAAGGATAATTTCTTTTAAAAATTGTGAAAATCCTTCTTTCCCTTTAATATATATTTTATGTACATATATTTTTGTCATTACAAGTTTATTTTAAAATTAACTATTTTCTCACATTTTTCATGATATTCCTAACTTAGAAGAGTAAAAAAATTGAAATTGAAATTTTATAAGATGGAAATTGGAAGGTTAAAATATTTCCTCAGTACTGACGGAAGTACTATTTTCAACCCTCCTCTAAATGGCATTGCTATTTGAGAAAATACTGTAAATAAAATTTTAATTTCTTAGTCTAAATTATAATTTGGATACTTAATAATCACAAAAAATAATTAAAACTCTAAATAAAATATATAAAAAAATATTTTAAAAATTAAATTTACTTAAAAAACGAAAAACATGCAAGAGTGAATTTCTTTGCCTCACTGAACTTGTCTTTAATTTAAGGGTTTGTGTACGGTAAATAAATGTACTTAAAATTTTGTTGAATTAAGGAAGTAAAAAGCAAAATAAAATGAAAAAACGAGGGGGGAGGAGGGGGATATAAAATATATTTATTTAAATTTTTCTTTAAAAAATTAATTGAAAATAAGAAAATATTTTGGTGAAATAATAAGAAAACAATAATTTTATTGTTTTATTTCAAGTTCCATGACTCTAAGCACTCAATTCTTTTTGTTATTTTAATAAATAACAATAAATTGGAAACTTAAAAATACATATTCTTTTACTAAATATTTCTCGAGAGGAGACTGTTACTTTTATTGTTTTAAAAGTATTCTCTTTTTTTAAATGTTTTGTTTCTAATTTTTATTTTTTAAATATTTTTTTATTTTTAAGTTGACCTTGGCTATTTTAATAGGTTGTTGTTAACACTAATAAGTAATTATATTATAAGCTAATTTTCTTCCCACGTCCTTGCCAATTAGTGAAAAGTGAATAAATAAATAATAGGTAGAGTAAATAATCAACAAACGACCCGAAAATAATTTTTTATTTTACTTCTTTTTCTCTTCTAGTTGAATTCTTTAGGTATAAAAAATATTAAAAATCCATTAAATGTCTATTTTTGATTTAATTTTTAATTTACTTTAATGGGCTAAAAGGGCATTCAGGCGTTGGAAAGTTTGCGTGTGAAAATTATTATTTAGGGAATTATTTTTGACATTTATTATTGGAAATATATTTTTTAAAATATTTATTGAGAATATTAGTGTTACAAGTATAAATTTGGGATTTTAAAGAAAAAATTTTAAAGGTATTGAACATGAATAAAACAACAAAAAGAATATTAATTTAAATATTTATTTTTTTAAAAGTTTTTCAGTTAAATTTATTTATTTTATGTTTGGAGGATTTATGGGCACCTGAATATTTACCTATATTTTTTTATTTCATGCTTTTTATTTACATTTTTTGCCAAACATTTAGTTTGATCTCGCTGCTCTCTGCGGGATATTTTAATGAAAGTTAAAAAAGCGGATGTTTAAAAAAGCGGATAAATAAATAAACTGTCCTGTTAATCCCCTTTAGAAAAAACATAATAATATAAGGTAGATTAACCAAAAATGTTTGTTTTTCTCTTTTCGAGTTTGAAGTATGTTCGGTAAATTTTGGCAAAAAATATTCAAGCCATAAAAATGTCTTTTAAATTTTAATAAAAAATACTTTCCAATCATTTTGTATATATTTTCTATAGGAGCAAGCACTACGAGGTGTTCGACTTAACGGCGTTGGCCCACTAACTGTATGCTCTCCAGGCCCAATAAATTTAATAGAACATCAACAACAAATTTGTGAACAATTCCATAATGCCGTAGAAATACATCAAATTCAACAAAATCCAAATATTTGGGAGGGAGTAATTGGGGTTGATGAACAACAACAAAAACAACATTTGATAGAAGCATCTTTCTCTAATCAATTGGCAATTGTGAGAAAATTTAAAGAATTATATTAAAAATAATTTTTAACTTAAACAATAATTAATTTATATATTTAACATCTTTTATCACAAAGTCTTCATTCCGAATGTTTTAAATTTATTTCAGATGCCTTCTAATCACTCAAATATATTGAATGTTCCTGTGTCAATGGCAACAATGTTTCTACCGCAAGCTATCTCCGAATGATCAAAAATTAAGGAAATATATAATCTGCATACATTAATATTCTCAATAAAATTTTTATTTTGTAATTTTATTAGAATTTATAAATGTGTTTTTTAGTCAAGAGTTTTTTAGTTCTAATCTATCCAAAAATATTTAATATGAATTTTTATGTTGAATTTTTAAAAAAAAATTTAAGCAGCAGGTCCATGATTTATCATTGAGGGGAATTCTGTGTCATGTTACCAAGCTTTAAGAATATCACACGTGCATTTTTTAAATTTAGAAAATGTACTAACACTCACTCCGATTTAGAGGAATTGGCAACCGATTTAGAGGAAAACTCGTCTCACTTGGCAGGTTTTGTCAATGTTGACAATGTTTCCACCGCAAAATATAGAAACATTTAGAATATCACCCGTTAAATTTAGAGATAAAGATTAAATTCTCCAAGGAATTCACAAATAAATTCAAAATTTATCTATGTGATTCTTAATTTATGGGTTTCTATTACCAGAATATCAGTTCTGGTTCATCTTTATAAACTAATTAAGAAGAACAAACGATTAAAAAAGCTAGAATTAAAAAATTGAAGACGTGGTGAGACTCAAATGTTCAAAAACCTAAAGGTTTAGGCTTCAAAAGGATTAGGCTAAAAGTAACCAGGTAACGAAAGAGTCTTAAAATATGGCATAAAAATTAAAGTTTTTGGGCCATAACTTTTTTGTTTTTAAATCAATCCAAATAATTTTTGCTTTAATTAAAAGCTCTGAATGTGCTGGTTATTTTCCCCAAAAAATTGTTTAGTTTTACCGTCTTTCAAGAAAGTTAGGAGCCGTTAACTGCGAATAATCGTGATTTAACATACTTAGGCGGGTGTAACTTTCTAAGAAATGATCGTATCCTTTCATAAAGTTAATAGAAAGAATAAAAACAAATATAGATTTTAATTGATAAAGAAAATTTGTGGAAATGATCGAAATAAAAAAAGTTATGGCATAGAAAAAGGCGTTTCGATGCTAAGTCGACGAGACTCTATTGTCAAGCAAGCCTAAAGGTTTGGGTTTGTGCTGAGACTGAAAATAAATGTAAAGACAAAAGAGTCTTGCTGACTTTTTGACATTTTTCAAGTCAATTAATTGTTTTCATCTGTTTCTTTACAGATTATTTATGCCATTATAATATAACAACACCATTTCATCATTTTACTAAAGAAAACCGAAAAATTAAAGAAAATTTTAAAAATTTTAAATTTGTTGTTCGTACTCCGAATCGTCCCTTTTTCCCCGTACTCTGAATCGGCTACTCCGAGTCGTCCCCTACCCTTATTATTGCGTATCATTCTTTGTAATTGGCTGATTATAATCGTTAAAGTCCTTACATGACCGATAATTAACGACTGATAAATTTGTATGAAATAAAGTTTTATGTATTTTAACTTCCTTCAAAAAATAAATTTTTTTGTCTCCTTGGTTACTACAAAGAATTTTTAATTTTATTGATTTATAGATTAAAGCAAATTTCTTATCTTTTATTTAACCAGAAAGAGGCTATTATGGTTTTCTTATTTACAAAACTTTTTCGTAATATTGTTCTTCTTGTTGTGGCTTTTAATTTGGTTAGCTCTACTTATTTTTTATTTTATAATTTTTTAAATTAAAGATTGGTTACTACCTTCGCTGGAAAAATTACAACATTCTAGCCAAGGACTTTAAGACAATTGCAGCGGCTGCAGCAAGTTTGTTTTTATTAGGAATATTTAATAAATAAATTTATTTTTTAGGTAATAATGCTCTATCAGCAATCTCAAAATTCCAATCTGATCTCAAACGTACATACAAAGGACATACGCTGATCGGAGATTCGAGCTGGGTTTGTTCATCGCTTTTCACTAGAAAGTCGGGGGATTCTAGTACATATATGAAATTTTCGGTCACACTAGACAATGTCCTCTTATTAGAATAAAATATATCAGTGTTTTATGCATTGTTTTTAAGGCATCTTGTCTTGGTATCCATTTGTTTTAATATTCCTCTATCATTAAATGATTAAAATTTTAAACTTGTATAATTTCCTTTATTTTTTTAGAATCCTCTTTCTATGGGCGGACTTCAGCTTCGTTTGCAACTTATTTATGCTACTCCATTTGAAGCGTAATTCAAACTTTTTTACTCATAAACTTTTTTTGTTAGTTTAACCTTTATGGCTGCTGCATCCCCAACTGTTGGCCGTTCTGGACTTCATTGGGCTAATTCTACTTGTACTGTTTTGACAGGAGAGTGTATTCGTCATTCGGATTCGTTTAGCAATTTGGTGAAGGAAACATTCACTTCTGGTTTGTTTAAATTTTTGTGGAAGAGCCTAAATTTCTGCTAAAATTCAGGTCAAAACTTTCGGCAAGGCCAGTTTGAGAGTTATGTCTATGAATTGAAGGAAGGCACTCATTTGGTATGCTACTCGCGTGGATTTATTCCTGCTAGTGCTGTGCCTGCCCTTTCCGGTTCTTTGGCAGCTGGTGATCCTCTTGGAGCTGCTAAACTGATTTATACATATACAAAGGTTTTTTTAATTTTTTTTAATTAAAAATAAATAAAATTAGGTTTCATTCGAGAATATGGCTGCAACATTTCTTGAATTGTTCCATCATTATAAGACTAGAGTGACAAAATTTGAGCTTTAAATGAAGACAAGCTCTTGAGGACAAAAGCGAAAAAGTGCTTCTTTCATTTGACCTATTTTTATTTGGTTTATTTAAAGTAATCTATTTATTTTTGGGGTCTTTGACTGCCGTCCCCTTATTAAATTGTTTTATTATTTAATCTTCTTTCCTGAGACATTAAATTATTTGTTAACGAGTTATTTTTTGATTTGATTCTGAATTTCTAAAACAATTCTGTTTTTGTTAATTGGATTTTTGTCTTTTAAAAAATCCCTGAAATTTTTGATATTTTTCTTAATAAATTTCAGAATCTCTTTCAATGATATTATTTTTTAGTAAAAAACATTTTTCTATATTTATTTGGTTTTTTTTCTCAGCCCACATTTAAATCAAAATTTTTCGAATACCTTTATTGGATATATAATTGTTTGGTTTCCCCTATTCTTTCTCTAAAAATTAAATTTATTTTTTCTATAAAAGCAGCCCAAAAATTCATTTTTAATTGTATTTATTTTCATGGAAATATTTTTGATGAGTAAAAACATTGAGAAATTTAAAAATATTTTTATAAATATTTACAAAAAAATATTTTGCGAATTCACTCAACAGAATTACATAGCCCTTACAAAAATTTTTACTTTCACCTCATTGCCCCATTCTCAATTAATGGTTTCGAAACATTAAGTGCAAACTGTCCACTACGATTAGAATTTCCAGCTGGCCTATAAAATGCGACTACAATTACCGATTTACTATTTCTCTTTAAAATTTCAGAATTATCTTCTTTATTTGTATTTTGTTGATTTTCAACAAATGATAATTGAAGTTTGACACGGCTTACTCCTATCTTTAATTTAATTTATTTCCATTAAATAAAAGTATTTAAAAATTACTTCTTTCGTTGATTTCCAAACAATTTGAGTAAAATAATTAGCACCTAATTAATTGAAATTAATTCTTTTTTCAATTTTTTTCTGCAACCTGCTTGCCATCCAGGTGTTTCATATTCGTATTTTCTATTTTCATCATACCAATAATCAACAATTTCTTTTGCACTAATATCTTCGGGAAAGACTGTGATATTCTCGCCAACACCTTTTTTTTTATTTTACCCAATTATTTTAATTATTTTTTACCACTTATTTCTGCAAAAGCAACATGTCTTTTTTCTGACAATTTGTTAGCCCATTTACAGGCCATTGTAATAAGTTCGGAGCTGAGAACTAGTTCTGGAGCACCATGCTAAATTAAAAACAAAATATGTAATGATTTAAAAGGATTGAAGGAATTCGATGAAAAAATTGTGAAAATTTGGCTTAAAATGTCTGGATTTAAAAATCTAGACATGGTCTAAAAGAGGGAAAGCAGGAAATGAATGTCAACTCATTTCAAACCGAAATAAAGACGTTTTTTAAAGGTAGAAAATTTTCCTGACCAATTTTCTAAGTTCATTATGCCTATTCAGAAAATGTTCAGCAAAAATAGTATCTTCACTAATATTGTTGACTGAATCAATTGTCAATGGCAAATTATTGTCAATATCTATCATATTTTAAAAAGCAACTAAAATATTATAAATGACGAGAAAGAATGACTAAAAGAAGGGACTAAAAGACATGTCAAAATACAAGCACATCATTTAAAAAGTAGCTTTTTCTTATAGAAATGTGAATTTAAATGGGGATGGCAATGATTTGTCAAAAAGTGGTTGCAACAAAAATATCTATATGTACACGTTTTGTTTTTGAACTATCTTCATCCCCAAAGGTAATAAATATAAAAAATAATAAAATTAAAGTAATAATCGATGGATTTCCAAATATTATAAATTTTTAAGTCAAAAAAAAATAAGCTAGCAATTGCCAAATAAGAAGGACCGCAACCCTTCCCTTTTAGCATTTGTGTGCTCAACTACTCTACACTCCTTTTAAAATAAATTCAATTTTAGGGCCACTCTCTTTTAGTTTTTTCCTTTTATACAATTATCAGGCCTATAAAATTTGTCTGTATTTTTTTTTACTTTTTTTAAAGAAAAGTTTGTAAAGTTGAACTCAATTAATTAGAAAAAAGGGTTAAAAAATTTTTTATTTATTAAAAATATTTTTTAATTATTTCAATGGAAAGATCTGCCAAATGAGGGTGAATGTTGATGCTCTGCCCGTCGACGTTGTTCTTCAAAACGTCTCTCAATTTCATCTAATAATTTTGGGGTAAAACGTATTGCAAGCTTTACTGATCCTTTTGAATTTTTTAATAAATGAACGGCCGTTTCGTGATTTTCTCGTTCAACATTATAAAAATTTTAAAAATTATTTTAATTTTTTAATTAAATAGTACCACTCCATTTATAGAAATTAATTGATCACCACGTCTTAATCCTCCATGTAAATCAGCCACACCACCTAAGAACATTTTTTATAAATTCTTCTTCAATATTTTTGTACCTGGTATTACATGAGAGACATAAATGGGAGAATTCTGTTCTTTTCCTCTAAAATATATGCAAATACTTAATTATTTAAAAAATTTTAAATTACCCCATAACATTAAATCCTAATCCTTGATCTGTTTTTGGCAATTCAATTATACGTGGATGTGCAGCGCCTTCTGCAGCAGAAAATACAGCAATTGTTGATTTTGCTGCAGCACTCGCCAAAATCTTTAAAATAAAATTTTTTAAATTGTTTCTTTTTAATCTATTGTTTTTTTCTACCTCAGGTGATGCTACTTCCTCATCAAAATTTGTAACATTTTGTTGATAAACATATTCATAAACATTTCTAATTGAATTAAAAAAAGGTGACTGCAAATTTCTTTGAAGTTGTAAAAGATTAGGGAAATCACCAGTTTTAGTTAAATTGTCAATTAATTCATTAATTCGCCGAATATCTAAAAAAAGAATTTAATAAAAGTATTCCTCTTTTCTCCCCTCCAAAAAATTAAAAAAATACCTCGATCCAAACTCAAACCTTCCATTAAAAAAAGTAGAAAATATGTAATTGTTTTATCCTATAAATAATTATAATTTTATAAGTATTATTAATTAACAAATATTAAAGAAAATTTAAATTTACTTTTTAAAAATATATTGACATTCTTTATATAAAATTTATATTTAAAGTTTTCTTAAAAAATTTATATAAACAAAAAATTCATTTATGTATAATAAAGAATAAATTTTTTAGTTTAGAAGGGAATGTAATAGATCAACCAACGGGGAAAATGCAAATGCACATATTTACCACAGAAATGGGATTTTTTAGAATAAGAATTGGACTTTAAAATTTAAGACAATCCTCACAAATATTCCTTCAAAAAATTAAAAAAATTATTTCAAAAATAATTTTGTCCAATTCCTTTAAGAAAAATATAGAAAATTCAGATTCGGCGAAACATATCGACATACCACGCCGACGAAATGCTAAAAACATTTTTAGTATATATATACATATACACATTTTGACTAAAAGTAAATTTTCTTTAATTCTTTTCTTCATTCCATTTTTATTCCTCTATAAATTTGGAAGGCACAATTCTTCGTTATATTCTTTTCGAAATTCTTCAATTTCCCAAATACTTGATGAATATCTACCAAAACTTTGAAAGAGAGCAACAACATCATTTCTATAAAGAAATTTCAAAAAGACTTTAATTAAAAAAAAAAACCTAGTTAATTTGAATGGAATTGAAGTATTATCCATTTTTGAATTTTCAATATTTTTTGTTGTTGAAGCACCATTACGAGGTAAATCAGCAAAAAGAATTTTTAAAGCAATACCCATTCCATGTGTTTGTACTTTTCCCCACAATCTACATTTATCACAATCAACACAATCCATAATTCGTGAAATATTCCAAAAATGTTGACGAAATTCTTCTCGAAGTAAACGAGCATTTGATTCGTGTAAATTCTAATTTTTATTTTTTTTTATCAAAATATTAAACAAACTGAGAAAAGTTGGGTTTCATCAAATTGGTCGGGGAATTCTTTCAAAACTCCAAATAGATCTTCTAATGCTTGACGGGTTTCGATATCCTCATAAAAAATTTTAAAACAAATTATGATGATTACTCTATAAAGTTTACATTTTTATTTCCTGTATAAAAAAATTTGCTTTGTTGAATATAAGGGCCAGCTTTGACTAAAGCGCGCAATTCAAGCATAAAAGTAAAATAAATATTTTTTAAACGTTCGGGGCCTTCTTTACTCCATTTTGTGCCAAATCTGTCAGTAAACATCTTTAAAATTAAATAATATTTTATTTAAAATAAAAAAAAAACTTTTGTATTGCGAAACCAAGTTCCTTCTCCAAAACCAACAGGAGCTGAAAATTAAAAATGAAAACAGTAAATTTTAAATAAAAAAGAGGGCGTCATAAACTAAAAAAATAAAAATCATGCTAGGTACAACAATTGGCCCTATTTGAAAAGAAAGGTCGATTCAATTATCAAAAATTCAATCGTAAAAATGGAAGACGGGAGATGAATGTAAATGTGAAGGACTTAACACAATAAAAACAAACAACGTAAACCTATGGGAGTTGACGAGACGCTTGTGCAACTTCGTTACAGATAGGGCCCAGATTACCCCCAAATGTAAAGGTAAAATCATTGGTAAGAATTTCCAATTGCAGTTTCTATTTATTTCCATAATATCTTTAAAATTAAAATTAACCTGGTTTATAGTTATTTGCAGCAATAGAAACAGTAATTGCAGAATGAAGCCCAGAAATCAATCTATAGAAAACACGCTTCTCCAAACACATCCCTAAAACAAAAAATAAATTTTAAAGACTTTTTTTTGTAATACCTATAGGAGTTGGCTGCAAAAGAAAATTTTTATCAAATTTAGGGTCAGGCCTGAAAATTAAAATTATTTTAATTTAAAAATATTTTTTTTACTTGAAACAATTTTCACTGTAAATACTTTTCCAAACTTTTAATGCAGAATTGCCTTTGTAGCCAGTATAACGTTCAGGATTTTTAGCCAAATTCACATAATGTAATTCATCAAAATTTTCATCTATTTTTTAATTAAATAATAAAATTTAAAAACAAAAAAAAAACCTTCAGCAGCACAAAATTTGTTGTTATTTGTCTCGAATATATCCAAATCCCTCAATTGTGCCTTATCTACATCAGTTAGAGATGAATCCAAGGGATCAAATTTATTGCTCTTTTTCCCATCAGAAAAACAATCAGGTTCAGTTAAAGCCTCATTAGACTAAAAAAATAAAAATTATTTTGTTAATTTACGAGAAAACCAACACTTGCATTGCTTGGACGACGAGGCAAATCACGAAGAGCTTCAGGAACTTCATTATCACAATAGCCAATCGTGCATTCTTTAGATGCACACTGTCCAGAGTCATCAGACCAGAAAGGACAAGGTTTCTCCATATTGACCTAAAAAATTTTAAAGAATTATTTTTATATTTAAAGAAAAGAAAACCTTGTAAAATTTAAAAGGTTCTCTTTGCAAAAGTCCCTGTAGAGAAGGATAAACCTTCACATTGTTTATTGCATCAATAGTTTTTCCATCACAAGGGCAACTTTCTATAGCCTCCCCAACTTTACAAAAACACGGTTGATGCAAATCAAATTGACAAATAATTAAAGGTAGAAAAGGCACAATTAAAGAAATAATTAAAAATAAATACAAAATTTTATAGTATAAACTTGTAGTTTTAAGTTTAATCATTTCTAAAAATAATTTAAGGGATGAATAAACAAAAAAAAGATAGAAAATACATATGTAGTTTAAAATAAAATACATAATTATACATATGTAATTTAAATTAAAAAATTTTTAGTTTTTATTTTTAAAATAATATTTACATATTTAAAATTTATATACTAACAATAAATATTTCTTTAAAATTCATAAGATTTATTAATAAAAGGGTTTTTTTATTAATTTTGACTGAAGGAATGAACAATTGGAAGACATAGGTAAATCCACGTGTATATATTTTTTAATGCAGAGATAGAGAATAAGCAGACATACAGAGTAGAAAAATTGTTAGTAATTTTCATTTTAGGAAGTAGAAACTTTTGTTGAGTAGTTTAATGGAGTGTTTGGATGATTTAATATAGAAAAAAAATATTTTTTTAGTATGTATTATGTTCATAAATCATTAATCATTCCAAGAATAAACAGATATAAAAAAATAATACTAATTCCACCAAAATAATCGAGCAGATACATAAGATTAGTATTTTTAATAACTGAATTTAAAAAATTCTTTTTCCAAATCCCTCAATTAAGCCTCAAGTATCAATAAAAACTCCATACATATTTTTCAAAAATTTTCATTTCTCAATTGTCAAAAAATAATTATTTTATTAAAATAGGTAAAATTCAAATCCACATTGCCTAATATTTTTGCAAAATTTTCTCTCTCACAAAAATTAACATACATAAATATTTACAAATATTTAAATAAAAAAAGTTTTCAAAAATTATTTTTCTTTTTGTTTCTTTATTAAATAATCATCGGAAGACATTGAATTTCTTGATAAGGAACGTGAACATGGGGACACTAATGTTCGACAATCCAATAATCTAGAATCAATTTCGGCTATTAATCTTTTCATTTCCGTTGTTTCATTCTTTAATATAAATATTTTTTAATTTATTTTTAAATAAATTTGAACTGTTTTTGCTTTCTTTTTTGTATACATATAAGGAACACCCAACCCTCTAGGTTCCCCACGTGATGTTCTGCCTGATTCAAAAAATGTCCAACGTCTATGTCCAATTTCTTCTAAATAATTCTTTTGTTGTTGCCCACTAACTGAATGCCTTTCCATTGCGCCAACAGATAAATTAGCTGAAACAGCTGCACCCGAATATGTGGAACAGCCTGGCTAAATTTATATATGTAATTAATATTTTTTTGAATTTTAAGAATTAAAAAAATTTTTTTTCTTCTTTTCCTTGAATAATTCACTTCCTTATTTTAAATTAAAAAAAGTTTGTATGTATATCTTTTGTCACACCTCTTAGAATGAGTTATTTTTATTGTTATTTCACCCTTAACAATAAGTCGAAAATAATAGAGGAGTGACATAAGAAGTTTACAAAACTTTTTGAAATATTTAAATTTAAATAAACTTGTTCATTTAAAGGCGCTGAATGAACAGAACCACGAGTTTGAAAAGACGAGGAGAGAGAACTTGTTTGGCGACGTTGTGAGTTACTAGGTAAATATCTACCAAAAAAGTTTAAAATGAAAATTTTAATAAAATATTTTTATTTGAGAATAATTTTTAAAAAATAATTAATTAACTTGGAGTAAATATTTTTTTCCGATTATTTTTTAAAAAATTACCTTCTAATGTAAGCTGTTGAAGAACTACTTGAAGTACTAGTAAGTGCAATTGGTGATGAAGATAATGAAGAAGAAATAGTATTATTAGCCCCTCCACTAACAACAACTCTCAAAGTATTATTACTCTAAAAATTAAAAAATATTTTTTCCTCTTATTTTTTCCAAACTTTAGACGAATTAATTGAAGGGGAATTTGCTAAAATAACTTTTTTTGGTTGATTTCTTTCTTCATTTGACTGATTAAAGTCCAGTTGTTGTTCATGAAAGTTAACCCCTTCATTAATGACTGTTGACATTTCTGAGGATGAATTATTTGTTAAAGTACCCTAAAATTAAAATATTTTTAATTAAAATTTATTTTTCAACTTCTTCATCCAATTCTTGTGTTGCATAACTAAATAAATTTATATCTGGTTGATATCTAGCAAAACTTCCATGTCCATGTTGTAAACAACAAAAATCTGTTTGTGTCGATTTATGATGCTTAATTTAATTTAAATTTGAGAAAAATAAATTTATTCTCTTTACTTTATTAAAGCGCATTTGTAATCTCCTCAAAATTGCTTCTCTTCTCATTTTTCCAAACGGAAATAATTTAACTAGTCGATGAAAATTACTTTCTGATATTAAATTATTATTTGAAAATTGTTTAGATTGTCTAGGTAATAATAAATAATCTGTTGGTTGTAATTCTATTGAAATTTGTTTTTTATTTTGTAATGAAGGTAAAATTATTTTTTGTTGTTCATCTTCTTTAATTAAAAATATTTTTTTTAATATTTATCCATTTAATCTACCCGAATGTATTTGTGTACTTCTTCTTTGTCTTCTTCTTTTCCAAACTTTCCACAAATCCATTAAAGACATATGTGGTTCTATTGCTGCTGTTATTTCCTCAACAGTTTGTCCAGTATCTCCATACTCTTCCATCATTGTTAAAAGTAATTCTTCAAATAATGCTTCTAATTTTAATTGAATAACATTAATACACATTGATACCTTTAATTTTAAATTTTAAAATTTAAAAAAAATCAACAAACAAGTGAAAGGCCAACAATTATAAATCCAAACATTATAAACATATCCTCAGAATTTGTTGGGGTAACATCACCTAAATATAATTTAAATTAACAAAAAAATTATTTTCTCCTACCGTATCCAATAGTTGTGAGAGAACAAAAAAAGAAATAAAAACTTTTAAAATAATCCCAATCTTGTTCAAATTGAAGAAAAATAGCAGCACATAAAAACATCCAAGAAAAGGCAACCTATGGGTAATAATTTTAATTTTTTCTTTAACAAAAAATTTAACTCCAATAGCTAAAAGTACAGGCATTCCACCAGAACCTTGCACTTTTCCTTTTAATTTTTCAGCATCTTTAACACAACTAATAAATTCCATTAACCTTTTATTCAAAAATTAATTAATTAAATAATTTAATTTTAAAAAAACCAAATAAGTTTATGCCAAAAACATTCTAAACAAAGAAGAAAGAAACGGCCAAGTTTGTGTAAAATCCTTTAAAAAATATTTTTTTATTTTTCTAAAAAATTATTTAAACATAAAAGTCATTGGAATTCCAATAACTGCATAAATCATTGCAAAAAATTTTCCGAGTCTTGTTTTCGGCACAATATTTCCATAACCAATTGTTGAATAAGTTGTTACTTTAAAGGAATTAATTTAAAAAAAACGAAAAAATATTTAAAAAATAACACCAGCTAAAAACATAGAATTCCAAAATGTCCAGGAAGGTGTAAGTGTATGTTGTAAACCAACAAATTTATTAAATTCATCAATACTAACACGTAAAGCTTTATTTAAATATTCTGGTTTATGTGCTCCATAACCAAGTTCCCAACAACGTTCGGCTAACTAGAAATAAATATTTTTTGACTAAATTTTTTTTTCAAATTTCCCCTTCCCCTACTTGTTGTGTATAATTTCGAAGAGCCAAAATACGGCCAATACCAAGTTCACCCGAACCTGATTGGAAATGTGTTTTCCATAAACGTTCAGGGCTGCTTGGATTTAAAAGAGATGACTAAAAAGAATTAAAAACTTTATTTTAAATTTAAATAAGTACTTTATATGTCTCTTGATCATTAAGATAATAACTTTGAAGTACATACCAATAAATAACCTTTTTAAATTTTAAAAAAATTAAACAAAGAATATTTATCGGTACTTTATGTATTCTATTCATTGCTAACCGCCGATATTTAAATATTTCTTTATTTAAAGTAGTTATACTTGCAAATGTCTCTAATATTTCACTTTTATTTTGTGTACTTAAATTGTAATTATTTCTCATTTCTTTTAATTTTCTATCAATTGCCAAAACTTCTGAGATTATATGTTTTTCTTTTAAAAAAATAAATATTTTTAAATTAATATTTATTTTTGATTATAGTACCTTCCCTTTCTACATATTCTTTTTTCTTAATCAAAACATTCTGTTCAGCCGGACTCTGTATTAATTAAAATTGTATTTTTAATTTTAAATTTATTTAAACTTCAATTGTGTAAAATATAGCGCCTCCAAGAAATGAATAAATAACTAAAACAAGTATTGGCAATAAATAATGAATACGCGATTTTTCATAAAAACTCTTTAAAAAATTAAATTAAATTAATTTTTAAATTAAATTTCCAACCAACAATCTGTCCGTAATTTTATGTAATTTTGTTTTTGGAATGTCGTCAATATTTTTATTTCTTATTGAAAATAATTCTGAAGATTTGTGAGTTGTTGGATCTGATAAAGTATAACGAAATCCGTTATGAAAGGGGACTAAATTAATTCCGTGAAAACTTAAACCTTTAAAAATAAAAACAGAATAAATTATTTAATTTTCTCTCACAAACCATCAGGACCAAGACAAAAATGTGACTGAAAAAATATTTTTTAGAAAAATACATATTTACTCTAAATACTACAAACTTTTTCAAAAGAATTTGTAGAAACTCTCGAACTTCTTCTCAATTCATTTGTCATCAACAATGCAGCAGTTGATTTTCTACGAAGATGTTGGCCAAGTATTGACCCAGCAGAAGCCTTCATAACTTTGTTTTGAAATAAAGAATTTTTTCGTAAATGGGATTGAGAGAAAGATGAACAAAAATCGGCAGATGGCATATTCATTTAAGAAAAGTTTTAATATTTAAAATTTAAAAATGTGAAAATTAATTTTTATTATTTACCTATTGAATATTTAAATACATAAATTAAAACTTGATTTTAGAAAAAAAATACTTTTAAAAATAATAATGTTTTTATAAAATAAAAAGAAAATTGAGGACATAAATAAAAGAGAGTATAATGAATAAAAACATGTACCTAAAATAAAAATAATTTTCTCTCAAAGCTTCTAGTGAAAATTGCAGGCCAACGACCCAAGGAATTGACAAAATTTATTGTTTGGAATTGAATAAAATGTGTTAATTAAATCAAAATAATATAAGCAAACAATTTTTTCATAATATGTAGAGAAAGCTTTAAATCTCAATAATAATAAATTATTAAAAAATTTAAATGGATTTTCAAATTATCTGAAATTTATTACATCTTCTTTTACCCACAATTTATACTATTTAAACATCAAAATGACAACACTAGCCAAAACAACCAACACTCATTCACCCTTAATTGGTGGTCTTCACTGGGTTTCGCATTATATACAGCTTCCATTGTGGCTCTTGGTTTTCGTCATCTCCGTGCACAACCATCAAAATGTCAACGTCTTCCAGTGCAAGATTCGACGCCTACTACGACGATTGTATGAACGAGATCGAGGAACTTTCTACTCTAGCAGACGAAGAAGTAGCTCGGGTGCCTTTAATAATTTTCATCTCCTTTTTTTGCAGGAAACTGGAATGACAGGACTTACGAATCAAGGATACAGCTGCTATGTGAATTGTGTCCTTCAGTCACTGCTCAACACACCAAAGTTCGCCTTCCTCTATATCATGAAAGCCTTAAAACCATACATCAATTCGAACAATACACGCGGAACAAAAGGCGCCATAACAGGAAGTCTAAGCGCCGTTGCCGATTGCTTCTGGAGTACCAAGTTCAAATCTGTGAACACGAAGGATTTTCTGGTAATAAACATTTTAAATGTATCAAAGTTCCATTTAATTTTAGAGAGCATTCTCCAGGGAGATAAATGCGGACTTTGACGGTAAGGCTGAGGAGGATGCACATGAGTTTCAGATGCTGCTGTTAGATAGATTGGCAGAGGATGTTAATCGGGTAAGATTAAGGGGGAGATGGATTTACTTTTTAGCATATTTAAGGTAACCTGGCCCGTTAATTTTGCACAGGAGTACAGTGAAAGTTCCAGCACTATAAACTCAAAAACGATCACTAGCTACGCGAATGACTACTTCACAAAGCAGAAAAAATACTCTTCGTCTATAGTAAACGACATCTTTCGAATTGTTCTTTGCACATCATCTGTCTGCCCCATATGTTTAGTGACACGGATCAACTTCGAAGAACTGGTCAGTTTTTAAAAGAAATTCAATAGAACTCTCCGTTAATTCTAAAGAAATGCTTATTTTTTACAGATAAACTTGAGCGTGAGCCTTGCTACTGATGGAAAGAGCAATGCTAGGAAACTCGAGCCACCACCGATTAACCTCATCACTTGTTTGAATGCACACTTCGAGTCATGTGTTAGTTTTTACCATTTAATCTTGTTGAATATAACTCGATTCTTTTCATTTTAGACTATGGAACGGACCTGCTCCAAATGCGGAAAGCAAGAATTTCTCCGATCGCTCTATATTTGGCGTCTCCCGGAAGTACTGATCATACATATTAAACGCTTCAATTTTGTAGACGGGTAATAAACACATAAATTCTATAAAGGAAAAATAAGTTAAAATTGCAGACAAACGGTGAAAGACAGCCGAGCAATTGATTTTCCTGTTGATGACTTGGATATGCGGCGATACATTCATCCTGCATCACCAGATAGTTCAAAGGAAACTATTACGCTCTACTCGTTATACGCAATTGTTGTAAGTGATATTTCACTAATCTTTGTGATCATATGTAAATTTCTTTAGGCACACACCGGGACTGCTAATACGGGGCATTATACAGCGAGGGTGAAGAATCTTGACCGATCTACTGACTTTTGGCAGCTGTTCGATGATCTAGATAGGCGAGAGCTGCAATTCCGTGATGTTAAGGTAATCCTCGTTTTATTTTTGATTATAAAATCACTCTAATTATAGACTAGCGCGGCATATATGTTGTACTACGCCCGCAATGCCATGAGTAAGGTTATGACTCCTGAACAAATAAGTGGTGAGAAACGACATAATGGATAGAAGGATTAACTAAATAACAATAGATATTTTATTGTTCCTCTTGTAAATATGTAAATATACCCAGTACTTGTACAAATATCTTAATTTTCCTGTTGTACATAGTTGTCACTTAAATTGTCCTACATATAACTAATTGTAAGATAATCGTTTTTGCCTTAACTATATTCATATCACTTAATAAATTTGCTATTTATGTAGTTGATTTTTTTATTAAATTTTTGTGTCTCGGTCCGCCGGTCAAAGTCAAAGGTACAAAAATTACAGAGGTTTGATGAATTTTGAACAATTTCGAGTTTACCCCGAATTCGACTTTGCCGAATTCGGGTTCGGGATTAGAAACAAATAAAATTTGAACTCATTCGGATTCAGCACACTCGATTAACTACTGGAAAGCCTCAAAAATATCGAAAGTACTTGCTTATTTTTTCCTAGGGGCCAGTAAACCCCACCTTTACCTGTACAATATAGTTTTTTTAATTTCTATGTCTCTCGTCTGAAAGTGACAGCTATACACAAATATATTGATTTTTGTTTTCGGCTGTCAGATGTTATCTTTCTCTTTTAAATTTTATTTCACTTTACAGACTTTATCAACGTCATTATTAACATTTTGAGTTTACTAAGCAAATTTAAAATCATTTTTTTCTAGAAATATAAATTTATGTAAGTCTTTTTAGGCAGCTCAAAAAGGCACGTGGTCATAACGATGCAAAGCCATAGCTTGCTTCAAGATTTCCGAATCTTAAACGATTCCTCTCATTGAGCTAAAGAGATTGGTACTAAAATTGAGAAGGGCCAAAAATTTTCTGCAGGTTATGGCTTTGCGCCGTTATGGCGGCGCGCCCTTTTGAGCTGTACCCCATTTATGTATGTAAGGATTAAACATTTTAAGTGGTATTGCATTAGCATGATGTAATTTTAATTTAGTTTAATACTAATTATTTCCTCTATATTTCCTTGCTTTTTACTTATTCCAATTTTAAAACATTTCATTTAAAATATACTTGTATTTTCAGCACCTCATTTACAATTCCTAATTCCATTTTAATATAATGCCCCCAATTCCGGATGGACCTTTGGAGGATGGAAAGACGGAAAATGACTTAGAATCTGCAAAATTTACAAAAGTTTATTCTAAAACAAATTTAAAAATGAGTTAAATTTAAGGATAAAGAGACTGTTGATGTTGTACAGCCAACAGCTAAATTAATTGGTTTAACTAAAGAACAATTAGAACAATATCGAAATGATCCATTTTGGAAGGCAATTCGGTAAAAATCAGAATCTTCTCTTAATTTTTTAATTTTTAAAGTTATGCTCTATTTATCGCTTTCTGGCTTGTCTGGTTGGCAATGTTTGTTGGGGCAATTCTTATTGTAATAATGAGTCCAAAATGTGTTGATGTAGAATGGCAAAATAAAATGACTGTTTATAAAGTTTTTTTAAACTTATTTTTTCAAATTCTAAAATAATTAATAGATCTTCTCGTTGGCCTATAAGGATGTTGACAATAAACTTGATTCAAATGCGGGTTTTGGTGATTTTGATGGAATTAAAGAAAAGCTTGGAGAAATTAAACAAATGGGGATTTCTGTCATTTGGCCGTCTCCTGTTTTAAATTATGACAAAAATAAACTTTCGCCTGAAGCAATTATTGATTTGGAAATTTCGACGGAATTGGGTGGACAAGAGTCGTTTAAAGAATTAATTAAATCAGCACATACAAAGGATTTGAAGGTTTTGGTTGATCTGCCTTTAACTGTAGCTTCTGGAAATGGAAATTGGGTTAAACAAAAAGAAATAAAAAATGGACTTTTGACACCTACTGGTTTGTTTTTAGATTTATTTAAAAAAAAGTTTTAAGGACCCAGTCGTGTGTTTAAGACTTGGTCTACGTTAAATTTCGATATTTTTGATAGGGCCGATTTTTTTTCGGCCTACTAGGCCGAATTGACGTGACTTCCGGCTCAGTACTAATTGAGGTGAATGATGTGGATCGGGCATTATTATATAGAGATTTCACTTTAAATATAAACCTCTTTTAAAACGAAAACATCTCAATTTGAAGCCTAATTTATTTTTTATTTTAGGTGATGCTACTCTTTTGAATTTAAAGAATCCAGAAATTCAAGAGCCTCTTTTGGCATTGGCTCGAAACTTTGCAAAATTAGGAGTTGATGCATTAAATTTGGCAGATTATGGACTTTTAGGAAGAAATTCGGAAGATTTAATAAATTTTGCAAATAAAATTAATTTGGATCCGGAATTGAAAAATATGTAAATTAAATTTTATTTTTTAATTAAAGAGAATTTTTTTAAAGTCATATCTATTCCGAAGCTGAAGGAATTCAAAATAATGGAAATATTAATTTAATTCGTCCACTTTTTGGAAATGGAGAAAAGAAAGGATTTAATTCTTTATTAACAAAATTAAATGAAAATATCGATTCTATTGACTTGAAATCAAAAAATAATGAAAATAATACAAATGGAAGTGCTCAACAAATAATTTGGAATGTTGGAAATATAAATGCAAAGGGTTATAGAATTGATCAATTATTGACTGATATTAGGTAAATTAATGAATTTTAATCGGATTGTATTAGAATGTGGGGGAAATTGCTTACATTTTTTGATAATCTTTTTAATTTCTTTACAAAAAATCAAACAGTTTTTGGTAACTATTTGTTTCAAATTTTTATGAAATAACAGTTAATAGAACCTGAATGTTGGTTTTTCTGAAAATGGATTGTTACCTACACATTTTTAAAAATTCCACGCTCTTTAAATTCTTTTTAACATTTAATTTAAAATAATATTTTTTATCAATTTTTCCTAGTTTGCCTGATCAACGTCGACAAATTTCTCATTTATTTTCTCTTGTTGAATTATTCATCCCTGGATCTGTTAGTGTACTTTATGGAGAAGAATTGGCTGCATTAAGTGGAAAAACTGGAAATAAAAATCCAAATCAAATTGTTTATCCATGGGATAATTCGAGTACTTACACAAAAGAAAATCAATTTTTTGCTGTTCCACAAATTGTTAAAAATGGGGATTATGAAGTTTGTTTTAATTAAAGAATATTTTAAAAATTATTTTTAGAGTCAAATAAAGGATGAAAATTCTCCACTTAAAGTATTTAGTAAATTGGCTAAATTACGTCAGGTATGAAAAATTAAATATTTTTGAAAAAAAAATTTTTTAAATATGTTTTTAAAGCAATCTGATTTTGCACTTGGCCAGTTAATTCACAATTCTTTGGCTACAAATTTGGATTTATATTTAATAAATCGTTACCCATCTGGTTCTTCTGGGCATTATTCTTTAATAATTAATTGGAGTGGAAATGGAAATTCGATTTCTTTAAAAGAATTATTTAATAAAATAAACTCTAAAAAATTTACAATTTTGGCTTCGACTGACAAAAATTTTGGAGAAGAAACACAAAAATTATTTGATGGTGGAGATGAAATGGCAGAACAAAAAATTGTTTTTCCAGCATTTAGTGCTTTGATTTTGAAGTCGGATTGAGGGAAAGTTTTTAAAATATTTTTTTGATAATTTGGTAATTTTAAAAATTAATTGACTCTTCTAGCACGTTGGTATTGATGAATTTTTCTAATTAAAAATTTGTCTGAATTTTGAGGACACTGAAATTTATTATTCGTCAATATCATTTCTTTTCCTTTTAATTTTAATAATTAATCTAAACTTATTAATTTTTATTATGTCGCAACAATAACCAATATATTTTTCATAGACCTTCGTAAAAACTAAAATTGTCATTTTTTTAATTTGGAATAAATTGTTTTGGGAATATTTTTTATTTCTACATATTTTTTAAAAGAAAATAATTATATATTTAACTTTTTCAAATCTTTTATTAATTTTTACTCTTTTATTGTATTTAATTAATAATGGCTGGTAATTTTTGGAGAAGTTCACATTTGTAAGTTTAATTCAAAAAATTATAAGAAATTTTTTTAAGCGAGCAGTGGATATTAGAAAAAGGTGATCTTTTGAGAGAAAGGGGAGATGATTTGAAAATTTATACAGAGGAGGAATACCAAAAATTGATGATTTTCTTTATGAATTGTAAAAGTTTTGAAGAAATATTTAAAGGAAAATATTTTTTTAAAGTTATTCAAACAATGGGACAGTGTCTTGAAAAAGAAGTTAGTCAATCAATTAATGAAGGGAGGGATAGACCTATTTTAAGAATGCAGGCAATTGCTTCTGCTTGTGTTTATTTTAGAAGATTTTATTCAAAGTAATTTTTAAAAAGAAAATAATTTTTAAAAATATTTTTCTTTTTTAGAAGATCTTTAAAGGATATTGATCCATTTTTGTTAGCTGTAACTTGTATTAATTTGGCTAGTAAAGTTGAAGAAATGGGGCATTTATCCCCAAATAAATTAATATCCGCGTATACAAGAACAAGTAAAAAATTTGAAATTAAAAAAAATATTTTTAACAAAAAAGCAAAAAAATGGCCGGTTATAGAATCTTTAATTGCTCATAATCACCAAATTAATTCTCATCAAATAAAGGGAAGTGAAGCAGAATTTTGTTTAGTTGAAATGCTTGATTGTTCTTTAATTGTTTATCATCCTTACAGATCTTTACATCAATTTAGAAATGTTTTTTTAGAAAATATTTGGTGGGACTAAATAAATTAATTTTTAAAGGATATGAAGTCTTGTTCTATTCAAAATGTTGATCAACTTTGTCAGGATGCTTGGCGAGTATGTAATGATGGAATGAGAAGTGATGCTGCTTTACTTTACCATCCTCATATGATTGCAATAGGCAAATAAATGAGAGAAATTAATTTTTTAAATTATTTTTTTAGCATCAATTATGATTGCCGCTATTTTAAATGGCCGGGATAAAGATAAAGAAAAGGAATTGAGAAATTGGTTGGCAGATTTAAATGTTGATTATGAAAAAGTTTTTGATATTCAACAAATAATTTTGAATACATACAGAGTTTGGAGGAATTTTGATGAACAAACACAGTTAAGGCCTTTAATTGAAAAATTACCAAGACCATTACATTCTACACAACAAATGGCTAATAATAATAATATCCAATGAAAATAAAAATTTGTAAATAAATTTTATTATTTTTCATAATAATTAAAAACCTCCTTTAAAAAAACCTTTCCTATGTGAGGGTGAGGGGGGGGCAAAATTTAAAAAAATGCCCATCCCCCTATATTTATTTGGAATTATATAGTAACTTTATTGTTAATAAAAACTTTTTAAAAAATTTTGTTTTTAAACGAAATTTAAAAAAAAGTCCCTATTTTTTAACTAAGAAAAACTGAATATATTTCAATTTCTATAAATATTTATCTTTCACTAAACTATAAAATAATATTTTTTAAATAAAATAATTGAGCATTTATGTAGTATATTTTTTTTATTTAATTGCTTTTTGTTCTTCAACATCAGAATATCCATCCTCTTCTGGACTACGTCTCCGAAGAGTTACCCAAATACCACACAAACATGTTAAAATGATAAAAATGCCAACCTAAAAATAATTTAAAAAAATTTAATCTTTTAATAAATTATTACAGCTATAGCTTGTATAATTAAACGGGAATTATCAAAATTTAATTCAACAGGCAAAAGTTCGTCAACCTAAAAATATACATATTTTATTATTTAGCCATTGAAAAAGTTAATCTTTTCTGCCCCTATTTTTTAATTTCTCCAATTTTTCTTTTCTTTTTTTACCTTTTCAACGTGTATAATTTCAAATCCTCCAAGTCTCTGTATCTCATTCATTCCTTTAAGTCTACTAACCACAGTACTTGCTGATATTAAATCATTTTGAGAAAGTGGAGGTAAAATATTTCTTTTTTTATTTTTACGTAAAACAACAAATTGAACAATTACTTTTTCATCTAATTTTGGAGTTTTTAATTTTCCTTCATTTTCATCTTCTAAACAGCGAAGTCGAAGGAATATTATATTTCTCTGGCAACAAAAAAATATTTTTAAATTATTATCAACTCTCGTTATTAGCGACAAAATATAAAATATTAGACTCCCCCTCCCTCCTAACTGGAAAGGAAAAAAATATTTAACATATGAAAAATTCGTCATGAACAATGTCGCTACTAACAAGAGATAACTAAATTTAAATACTTTAGGAATTTTAAAGTTTCCACTTATTTGGGTTTTAAATTTTTCTTCCAAATAATTATCTGCCCAATTACTTCCTTTTTCTTTGCTTTCATTTTGTGGGAAAAATAATTGTTTAAGACGAAGCTTTACAGAAATTGCTTCAAAATAGTTGTCTCTTTTATTTGTAAAATTGAGTAAACGACTACATGTTTGTTCTGGGGCTGGATCCTTTAAAAATAATTTTTTATTCAAAAATCCCCTCTCCCCCTCCCTCCCTCCCCATACATACACTTGATCCAAACATTGTACAAACACAATGAAATTCCCTTTCATCTTCCTCATTACAAATAACATTTTCATTTAATGGACATAAAACTCTTTTTTTATTTTCCATTTCTTGTTGTTTTTCTTCGGAGGAATCTTCTTCTTTAACAACTATTGAGGATAAAACAAAATTTTGTTGTAAAATTATTATAAAGAATATTAAAATAAAAATGTCGAAAATCCTTTTTTGTTTCATTTTCTATTAAAAATATTTAATTTTTAATAATTATTTTATAGGAAATTCTTGACACTTAAAGCTGTAAACTTGTCGAAGAAAATTATTATACTAAAACAAATACTTATTGAGAAATATACTGAAAGACAAGATTAGTTTGATTAAAAGCAGGTTGAGATTAAAATAAAAAAATATAAATTTAGGTTAGTTATGATAGTCAGAATTACGTCATAATTCGTAATTATGACTCAACTCTAGTGAAATAAATTATTAAAATTTCTTAATAATAAGAAGCCAGTTTAACCTATTTAACACTAAAAAAAGTTATTTATTTATTGGAGGTTATCTTAATTTTTAAAAATGTTTATAAAAAGAATATAAAGGAAGGAGAAAATGTAAATAAAGCTTTTTAGTTAAAGCAGCCAACTCGCGCACATTTAGAGAAAGAGCTATTTAGTATCCTCAAAAAAGACTTTAACCATCATTTTTTACTTAAAACCACACCCTTTCTTCCACTTATATTTTTCTTTTATTTTTTCGTTTTGAAAGTGAAAAATAATCTGCTGAATTGAAATGAGACCTTTTTCTTCCGTTTTTTTCTAAACAAACACTAAAAAAGCCAAGAAATGAATGAACATAAACAAAAAATGGATAAAAATGTGGCTTAAACTTTATAAAATGGATGGGGATGACTTGGATATAAAGTAAAATTTTGGCCATTGTACAGTTTATGTCCAATTAAACTTTGTATGTCCAGTCACATTTTTATGCATTTAATAAAATTGGGATCTCGCATTATAGTATAGCAATGAAAATTTTTTCATAATTTTTTAAATTCCTCCAAATTTTCTTGTAAAAAATTTTTCCCCTAAATTTTGCCCGTACTAAAAAGGTTATTGACACATAAAGGTTGTTAATCTTGATAAATTTAAGTTAAAATATTAAATTTTAAAAATCCTTATACATAGTATAAAACAAAAGTAACAAATAAAACATATTTAAAGGTTTACTTTTTAAAATGTGAGAATATTTTGTCCTTTAAAAAAGAATTTAGTTAATCCTATAGAAATATTTAAATTAAATTTTAGTTTTTTTCTTTCTTTGCTTTTTCTATTTCAACAATTATTTGGAGACTTAAACAAAATACTATCTAATCGAAATTTTTAATTTTCCATAATTCTTTTTAATTAAAAAATATTTTTAGATTAATTTTATAGAACTTCTTGTTTGATTTAAATTAATTTTAAAATATGAATGTTCTACCTAATAACAAAAAACATTTAAATTATTTTTTAAATTTATTTGTATTTAAAACATTTATAATAAAAATCAACAACTAAGAGGATTGGGGGAATATGGGTAATGACAGAGAGAGAAAGAGAAACTTCGAATCTCAAAAATTTATCAAAAATTTTTTATATTTTATTTCTCTCCTTTGTCAGAAAAAATAAATTTAATTTGTTTTCCACAAAAAATAGCCACCCTTAATGTTGTGTGGCAAATCCAAATGGAGCAACATTAGCAGAAGATTCAGAAAAGTTCGTAGAATGAATAGATCCACCACTAGAAGCTTGCTTTTCTGCTGTTTGTTTCTCCTTTGCTCCTAACGCTCTCGGCTCTTCAGGCGGCGGAGGCATTTGTTGTTGTTGACCCATCATCCAAGTTGCAGTAAAGCGATTCATTAAAAGACCAGCACCTTCAATCATTGCCAAAATTATTCCACCAAATGCTGCTGAAGCTATCATTGGACCTTTTCCCATTCGAGCACAAAGAAGACCACCAGTAGCAGCACCAGCCATTATTGAATTCCAAGGATCTTCCTAATAAATTATTTAAGAAAAGCATATTTGTTATTTGCAAAGAAGCACCCACATTTTTTCATATTTTCGTATCACCTTTTTCCCCTTTTTCGTATTCCCAGTTCGAGTGAATTTTCAGATTTTCAGGTACTTTGTTCATATCCTACCCCCACCCCTATTTGAGTCTCACATATTAATTTTCCTTTTATTACTATCAAACACTCATTTTTTAATGCCAATCATTTTTGCCTTCAACTATGGGAGACCCAAAAAACGTCGCAAAGCCATAACTTGCTTCAAGATTTTTGAACCTTACCAAATTTAATATTAAACGACTCCTCTCATTGAGCTAAAGAGATTGATACCAAAAATTACAAGAGCCAAAAATATTCCCGAAGACACAAATAGGGGTGAGGGGCAGGACATGAACAAAGTTTTCAAAATTCCTAATTTATTTTTAAAAACCTTTTTCCGCACAGAAACAATACAACAATCAATAACCGAGAACATCCCTCCCCAAGCTGCAAATTGTGATCCAGTGACAGGACTTCGAATACGTATCTCGCGACCAGCGTTGAGTAATCCTAAGAAAAATAAAATAAAGCAAATTTGCTCAATCAAACTTTGGTTAAAGCCTTTTGGTGCATTTCGAAATCCTTTAATTCCATGGAAAATAGAACCACCAATAAGACCCATGGCAAAAGCACTTCCAGCATCAGCATAAATTCGATGAGGACTTAAAAAGGAAAAAAGAATTAAATATAATATTTAAAAATAAATACCAAGGCTCTCGACCATATTCATCCATAATTATATTTTATTTTTAAAGCACAAAATAAGATTAGAATAAGTCTTAAAATTAAAAAAATATATTTAGGTATTTATACTTTTTTAATATTTTGTATAAAAATAAAAAATGTATAAAATTTTATTTAAATAAAAATTTCAACAATAAAAATTAAATTAAGTATTTTGAGCTGTCTTACGAGTATTATAATCCCATCTCAATTAAAAATTCACTTACAAACGAACATTGTTTGCTGTGAATACGAATTTATTTTGTTTCGATAGAGGACTTTCAAATTGCTATTCCGAAGTGACTTTCTTTTAAATGCAAAATGACTTTGGGCCAAAATATGCCAGGGCTAACTTTCGGTTTTTTTTGGGGAGGGGCATTTGAGTATGTTTTAGACAAAAAAATATTAAGATGTTCTCGCAAAGGAAATGGACAAGGAGCGGCCGAGAGTATTTCCATCGGCAGTTTATTACTTTGACCAGCCGTATCTCGGCGTAAAAAAAGAAAGTCGTCACTTCACAATAGGAAGTTGAGTGCCTCCATTGTTAAAAAATCTATCAGATAAATTAAAAATTTTCCTACCAAGTACATAATAAACAAATTAATTAGTAGGTACTTATTGAAATTTTTGTATATTATACTGTTAAATTAAAAAAAAAGATTTTAATTTGTTTATTACAATCTAGTTGAGATTAGAAAATTTAAGAGATAACAACTGAAACTCGTAAAAATGAAAACCTGAGAATTTAACAAAAATAAAGAAGCGTATTTAGTTTCACAAGAATAATGTAATAAAATTTTAAGTTTTTATATATAAAAAAATATACTAATTTAAAATTATTCTAGTTCCAAATACTCTTAAATTGTAAATATATATTTCTGGGTTTATAGTGTAAGATTGTCATTTTACAAGTATATTTATATATAAAAATTTTAAAGAAAATTCCTATGAAATCTTTATTAGTTTTTAAATTCCTTATATTTTTTTGTTAGATGTTTTGTAAAAATTTAATTTAAATTAAAGTAATTAGTTCTACATCGTTATCTCCATTTTTTCTAGCCAAAAGTCTCAAAGAACTTCGCCTACCTTGTGATTTTTTCCGAGAAGTTTTGCTGCTTTTTGGTGGTGTTTGAGCACGGATTTCTTCCATATTTTCCATCATTGAGTCACTTCTTTTGAGAATTTTTGCAGGAACAGGACAATCATTATTAGTATCATCAACAATAATTCTATCAACATTGTCAATAGTCGATCGCTGTATTTATATTTTATTTTCTTATATATGTACCTCCCACTTTAATTTATTCTTAAAATATTTACCCATTGCAGAACATTTTCTCTCCAACTGAACGGAACAGGAATTTCATCGACAAGCCTTAGATACCATTGGGTCTCAGTGACTACAGCCTCAAATATAAAAAATGTAAGAAAAAATTCGAAACCAACAAAAAAATTATTTAACCCGTTGAGAACTGCTCTGTAACATAAATTGTTCAGTTTCCTCTTGGACAACCCTTCTAAACTCAAGACTAACACCATTTTGCTTCATTTGTTTTGGCTCAACATCTTGATTAGGCAATAATTCAGTGGGCTCCTGACCATCGTTTAGTGGATTCGCCACGGAATGCAACCTGTCCAACGTTGTCTAAAAAAGTTAATTTAAATGGTATCCAGTCAATTGTCACGGCTTTTCGCACTACTTTTTAAAATTAAAATAACCTGCATAATCCATCGCCTATATCGGACTGCTTTTCGACCAAGCCTCTTTCTTAACTCTTTTCGTCTGTTCAGCTCGTCATGTTCTGCTCTAGGTCCAATAATAAGAGCCATACGTTCTTCTATTTGGCTATCTTCCTCATCACTTGCTATATCCATCATTTTCTAAACCTATAAATTATTTTAAAAGTCCACTTTACATTTAGATTTAATAAAAATCGCTTTTATAACGCACTTTCTGTGAGAATTTAAATGGCACGAATTCATAAATTTAATGTTAATTTATAGTTATTAATCACAGCCTTTTAAATTATAAAAACAAAATAAATTTTAAAAAATTAAAATCAATTAATCATTAAAACTACGCAGTTTCTTTAATATTGTTTCATAGAGCTTATGTCGATCGCCTCTATTAAGTGCGAAAAAACCAGCGTTTCGCTTCTCGTATTCTACTATCCTGAATTTAAATAAAATAAAAAAAGTAAGTCAAATAAACTTTTCAAGAAGAATAGCAGCATTTGAAGCTTTAACTCGAGTATATTTTGGTGCCACGCTATTTTCAGTTCTTTGTTGTTGAGACGCATCTCTTTCACTAAAAAATGTTGTCCAGTCTGGCCCCATTACTAAATCCAGTAATTGACGTAAATGTGCAAATGTAATAGCTAGAGCATTGTCTTCAAATCCAGGCACCGGACACTGGGCGGCGAACAATTCACACTAAAATAAATTTATATATTTAATAAAAACAAGTCTACCTGCATAACATCTAAAGAAAACTGCTCAAGAGCACCCATACTAATGGCTTTATGTTTAGGCGACAAAAGCATAGAATGAAGACGTTCAGCCAAGAATTTACAAGCCTAAAAAAATAAACATAGTAAAATTAATTAATAATTAATTATCCACCTGCATGCAAATATGCCGAGCTAAAACATTTGGCAAATTGGTGAAATTGATGAATGTTGAGGTGAGAAATGTAATCATATCTGAAATATTGTCACTAGCTACACCAGTTGGATGTTGTAATTCCCAGTCATAATTTACTAAATTAATTATTTGAAAAAATTTCTTAAAAAGAAAGTACAATTATCAAGAAATGCTTGGACTTTTTCACGAAAGGCTTCATCAATTAATTGTTCAACTTCAGAACGTGAGTCACGGAATACTGAGAAAAGTGATTTAGTAACAAATTAAAAAAAAATTTAACATTGATTTTTAAGTGCTACAAAATGTCCAGCCGTGTCATCAAATGCGAGTGCCGAAAGATTTCCACTTCCACCGGAAAAATTGCTAATATCAGTTTCGCTTAAATTACGCGCTGCTTCAGAAATTATCCGTTCCAAAAATTCACAAGAACGTTCCAAATACCCCATATTGATTGTTATTTGAATAAGCTAAAATTAAAAAAAAATATATATATAAAATTTTATTTTATAATTTACTTGAACTAAAGAACGTTTCTGGCAACCTATAAACATTTTCAATTCATCGGACCATCTTGCAAAAAGAACATTACAATAACGCCTAACTGTATCACCAACTTCAGATTGTGAAAGTTGTAAATCTTCCATAAAACGAACACAATCGGTAATAAATGCCTTTGCTTGTAAAGAATAAACTTGTGGGACAAAACGAGAAAATGGAAATTTTCTTGGAAAAGCTTCCTAATAAAAAAATTTTTTACAGCATTAAATAATAATAGAAATACGTGATCTATTCCCCTTCGATAAATTGGAAATTCAGAGATAACTTGTCGATATTCTTCCTCATTTTTAGTCTCTATCGGAGTGCAATCGTCACTTTCAAGTGTTTCTTTAAATTTAATAGCATATTTTTCTATTAATATTTCACTATATTTATCTCTAAAAATTATTTATTTTTAAAATTAAATAAAAATAAAATAAACCTGAAATTTTGTAAAAGATTGTAAAAAGGATTAGGATTATATCCGTAACTCTTTATAGTTAAAGAAAGTAAAAGAATTAATTTTTTCATTTCAAAAATAAGATCAACATTTGTGCAATTTCCCTAAAAATTTGTTTTATAAAAACTAAAATTAAATTACAAAATGAGAAGTAATTGTTTCAGTAATACGACATAAAGTTAATTCCCAAAGCTCCTCTTTATGTGATTCAGTAACCAACGTTGACTGCATTTGTGCAATACGATCTTCGATTATGAAGAAGCCAATTATTGTATTAAGATAAGGAATAAATGAATTAATTGAATTTAAATTTTCTTTACTCTAAAAAAGGTTAAATTTAAAATAATCAAAATTAATTAACCAAATAATTATGCCGTTCCAAAATAAGTTGAATTTGATCAAAACGCTGCTTTCGGTAATAAACTTCAAATTTCTCACGATCACCCTAAACAAAATTTATTTAAATAAAAATTTAAATCAAATTAAAATATACCAAAACATTAAATATTTGACAGCAACGATGAACTGGTCCAAAATCCAATTTATCATATGCATCAAATCGGCAATTAATAGGTTGATGTTTTTCAGTTGAATTAGCTAATTGTTGCTGTAAATTTTGAGATGAATTTGAAGTTGATATATTTGTTTTTATGACAGAACCATCTGCAGAGAGTTTAATGTCCAAAGATTGCTGTTTTCTGTTCAATGTAGGATCCACACTACAAGCCTGTGAACGTTTAGAGCTAATAGTGCATAATTGCTGTTTTGTGTAAAATTCATCTACCTAAATATAAATAAATAAAAATAAAAAGAGTAAAATCATTAAAACGTGTTTAGAAGCATCAGCGCCAATCCGTTCAGATGACTTCTTAAAAAATAAAAATTTATAAGGAAAAATTAAAAAATTTAACCATTAAATTCTCAAGAAAATCAGTTAATTCAGAATATGACCGCTCGCGTATTTGATCACGAATTGGGCCAGTAGATTTAGCAAACTGATGAGCAAAACGGTATTTATGCAACTGATTGAGGTAATTATGTTCAAGATCTTCCAAAACTTTGAGAGCTTGCAAGTATCTGAAAATAGAGGAAAATATTTTCAGAACAAAATCTACGAATTTCGTTTAAATTAATTAAAAATACTTTTTCTGTTCCATTAATTTCTCCAATTGGGCATAATTCTCCAACATTGGCAAACACATAGAAATTTGTTGAATAGCATTGTTTGCATTTCTTTGCAATTTTCTATAGCGAACAATCTCCGAACTACGCTTTAACAATGCTCGGCTTTCTTCTTGAACCAGCTGATTAGTTTCTTCTGCATTTTTCTAAAAATTAAATGAAATAATCTATAAACATTGACTCAATTTTATTTTTATTTAATTGAAAGTCTCAAATATTTAACAATTTAAAATAACAAACTCTAATTTCAGCACATTTTTCTTTTAAACCACGAAGTTGTTTCAATGAATCCAAAAATCCTTGATAATGGTGGGTACATACACGTAAAATGCTTTTGTCATAATGTGTTATACGCTTATCCAATGCACGAGTAAATTTGTGAACACTTCCAGTATCATAGATTGCTCTAAATTATTTTTGAATTTCAATTAGACTGCAACCAAAATTGAAGACAACTCAAAAAGCCATGGTTCCAAAACCAAGAAACAAAATGTCTTTAGTTACAATTATATAGTTTAGCTTTGGGTAATTTTCATTAAATTTTAAGCCGAATGAAGGTTTCCTTAAAAATTATCAAAATTTACCGCAAAACTAATCCTATGCTGGAAGAGTCAGATAATGTTTCCAATTCATAAAGACAAAATTCCTGTTCGGCACTAATTTCTGGATCTAAAAATTATTTTTTTAAATAAAATAATATAAAATTACTTGCTGAGGATGACTCGCTACTTTTTGAATCTTCACAAGTATTAACACTGGGCTCGGTAGAGACTATACTTTTCATATTAAATTCCTAGAATTAAAAATTCTGCATATTTTTTGAAGGATAAAATTTAGAAAATGATAAGACTATTTAAAAAATAAACATAAGAACTATGAAAAATATCTTGGAAAAATTGTTGATGTGAGAATAATCAGACTATAAATCAACCACACTGAATCATCTTCCCTTCAAAAAGGACCATTTATTGTTGTTGATTGAGTGATACTGTAAATTGAGTGACGCTGTTTACTTATCCCTAGTGACCGGTAAAATAGATTTTTCCTGACCCAGATTTGCAACTTAAGGACTTTTCCGGATTAATCCGGTCAGAAAAAATCCGGAGATCGAAAAAAATCGTTTCATATTTAGAATTCCTTAAAATTTGTTTTAACACACATTATGATTTTATACAAAAATTTAAGCCAAATCGGTTAATAAAAATCCGAAAAAAACGATGAAAATGTGTCTATCGTATAATTATAAATCAGGACTTATTTACATTTTTATACATATTTAGTAGCTATTTAAAAATAAACAAAGAAAAATAAATTTTTATGAGTAAAAAGTAATCACAGAATTATCATTTCCCCTTACAAAAAGCATTGGAGGCATATCTCGAGATAATAATTCTAGCCAAAGTGCATAAACAGGTGAGAGAACTACAGCGCTAGAAGCTGCTGGAAGTGAGCTTAAAATTAAAAATTCTTTAAAAAACAAAAGAAATTTTAAAAATTGTTTACATTAAAACGACTGAAGAAGCTGAAGAAAATTCTAAAAGTAATTCTCTATGTCTCAAATATCTATATGTTCTTTCCCTCGTTCTCTCCAACATTTCATCAGTTATTATAAATTCATCATTTGAAGATTTCCTTTTAAGTAATTCCATAAGTTCTTCATATTCTTCTAATCTAAAAAAGGAGTATTTTTAATTTTTCCAAAAGTTTTTACGTTTCTGTATAAAGTTTTTGACGATCATAATCTTCAGAGAAAACATGTACCATAAAAAAATAAATTCTGAATTTTTTGAGTAATTCTACTAAATTTTGATAAACTTTAATTGGATCTAATTTACTCGAACAAATTGTAAATACACGCAATTTTGCATTCTAAATAATTAAAAAATTAAAATTATTCTTAATTTTTAGACTAACAGGTAAATAAGTATTATGTTCTCGAAGTAAATGTGACAATAATAATAAAAGGCCTCCATCATCCTGTAACCACCAAACATCAACAAATCCTTTTTTAATTGTTAATAATATAAATTGAGATGAGAAAAGGTAGTGAAATAATTAGGGTTGTTCCCCGTCCCCGAAAGTCGGGGAATTTGAGTTCTTTTGACCCACCCCCCGTCGGGGAACGACCCTAACCCTAATTAGAAATATATTTTTCCCCTAATTCCCCTAATCTCGTAATGAATTTAAAAATACCTCCACGGAGTTGTGTACGAAATTTAGTATTTGGTAGTGGTCTACAATGAAATTGATCAAATTTATTAATTCGACATCCAAAAGAGGAATTAATAGATAAAGGTGAATGTCTTCTTCTTTGTTTTTTCTTCTTTTTTGGTTGTGAATCAAGCGAATTTCCGCTTAGATTTCTTTCTATTTGAAATGGATTATCAAATTTCCCTGAAGGAAAGATAATTGCCGTTGAAGAGGCAGAGGGGCGTAACGAGGATTTTGCTTTTGGACGAATCTTACGTGCCTCTACTCCTCTACTTAAATCATCCTGTAGTGTTGAATTACGATCAGAATTAAGCTTTGAAACAAAAGAAAATTATTTTTAAAAAAAATATTTTTCTTACCAAATCAGGTAAACGAACAAATAATTGTTCTTCTTCTGAAAGTAATGCTGAATGATCTAAACCATCATTTTCATTTCGAAACACACAAACAGCCATTTTTGCATCAAAAGCATCAGCAATAACCCCCATATATTCTTCATATTTAGATTTATCAGAAACACATTGCTTTAACCAATGAGAATTATAACCAAGCATCTAAATACAGAAAAAAAGATTTAGGTACTTTAATTTTTCCCAAAAAAATCACCAAAATATTTGGCTGCATTTTCCCTAAACCAACGGTTTGCAAAAGGCATTGAACACCTGCACGAAGGGAACGATGAGCAACAGCACAATAAAAAGCTTTAATATGTTGATCATAAAGCCAGTCAGTAAATCTTTAAAAAAAAAGAAAATTTATTTAAAGGAAAATATTTTCTAGCCTATTATTTAATTTTCGAATTAAATCTGTTGCTTGGACTGAAGATTGGTGAGGGGTTACATGTCCACAAAGGAGAAGACTTCTTCCATTAGAAATACAATAAGCAAAATCTACAAGGGCCTAAAAATAAATAAATTTATTTTTTGTTAGGTTCGAAAACTACTTGTCTAGCAACAGGATTTCCAGTCAAAACAAGTAATTGGGGCCTATAATTTTTGACATGATCTTCTGTTCTCGAAATTTTTAATAAAGAATTAAGTGCTCGACGATAACGATTTGCATCTGTTGAAGTACCCCAATTAATGTGAGATTTGTTATATTTAATGAAAACAAAAAGAAGAAAAAATACAAAAAATGTTACAAGAGAAGTTAACCAATTTAGCATAAACTTTTAAAGAAAATTTTAAAAATTATTTTATTTCAATTAATTTAATGAATTAATTTACCATAATACAAACACAAAGAATCTTTAAAAATTAATTAAATTTTTTAAAGATACATATGTAAAAACATACAGATCCAAACAAAGAAAGCCATTTATTGTAAAATCGAAAGCCTGGACGAAAACCGGGAGATTTAGCTATAGAAGCATCAAAACAAGCAAAATTGGTTATTGCAAATGCAGCAAGAAAAAAATTTGAGATTAAATCGGCAATTGGATTAAGCTCTCCTAAACATTTAATTTTACTCTGATTTTCCTCTCTTTTCTACTTTTTCTCATTAATACTTAGGGAATGGAAAAGACTTCTTTTTAAATTTTCTTTAAAACTATCCCCATTCCATATATTTTTAATTCAAAATACTTTTTAAAACATAAAACTAACCAATCATAATAACTGATAAAGCTATTAAAAGTGTAAGAAAATAAGCACGAAAAGGATCATTATTTTTTCCATTTCCTTTAGCAAATGGGTGAATAAAAGGAAAAAGTTTATCACCACATAAAGCCTATAAATAAGTATTTTTTGTATAATTATTTGTTTTACTTGAAATATTCTAGGAGCACCAATAAGACAACCAGAAACTGAACTTAATGAAGTGGCAAAAACACCAACAAAAATTAAAGGATCCCAAGCTCCTTGTAAAGTCATTACCTTTTTTAATTTTAAAATAAAAATCTTTCAATTAAATTACTTGGTAATCATTAGCCAATCCAAAATGACAAGTATCATTTAAACGGCATTCTGGGGGAATAAAACGATTTAAATGTTTATCATATTCGGGTAATGAATTTCCTGTAGCATCTCTGACTGTAGTTAATGCTGTAATTACCATACACCTTTTCAAATTTTGTTAAATTATTTTTAAAATTCTCCTTTCTAAATACCATCCATATGCAAGTGTAGTAATCCCGATAGCACAAAATGTTCCTTTAGGAATTGATTTTGATGGATCTCGAAGATCGCCTTTAATTTAAAATTAAATTTTTGAAAGTCCTCTCTTCGATAATTACCAGACATATTCGCCCCCGCCATAATTCCAGTCATTGCCGGAAAATAAATTCCAAACATGTGTATAATCCCAATAGAAGCCCAATTAAAACTTCCATAAATAGCATCGGGAACATTTCTAAATTCTGGCCCTAGATTGTCAAAAAGAGCAGCCAAAGAATATCCAACAATTCCTCTTTTAAGTTGATATTCATTTAAAGGTAAAAATGTTCCAATTAAATGACTTATAAGTGTTAACTTTAAAATAGAAAATAATTATTCTTTAATATTAAAACAAACACAAATAGTCCCTAACAAAGCTAATTGCATTCTATTTTCAAATTCAGTTCCAACAAATATAATTAATTGTAAAATTAAACAAATTAAAGAAGCATAAATTCTAACATCATTTATCCCTCCATCAATTAAAGAAAAATTAAAAGAATTTTTTAAAACTTCAACACAGGCTTCTGCTAAACCAACACAATTCATTGACTTCAATAAAATAAAAATATTTTTTTCAATTATTTTTCTAAAATTACAGCATTAACAGTATTAGCTACATAAAGTATTAATCCAATACTTCCACCAAATTCGGGTCCCAATGAACGAGAAATCTAAAAAATATTTTAATTGAAAATATAAAAATAAATTTAATTAAGAATTAACTAAATAATAACAACCACCACTTTTAACTTCTCCATTTGTTGCTATTGCTGACATGGAAATTGCAGTAATAATAACAACAATAAAAGAGAGAATTATTACAAAAATACCCAGAACTTTATATAAAATTTTAAAAAAATATTAAAATTTATTTATTAACTTAATCCAGCTTGGCCAACAATCCAAGACATTCTTAAGAAAAGTGTAGCTCCAAAAATACAAAGAATACAACGAATTAAAACACCACGAATCCAACCAAAACCTCCTTCTCTTTCATTATCAAAAAGTTTTTCTCGAAACTTTAAAAAAATTTTTTTAATTTAAAGGAAATTTATTTGAAAAAGAAAAGAATTATTATTCTATCTGATCATAATTACTCGTATATTTTTCCTATATCTTTTTGTCCTTATACCATTCTGTAGCCCCGGATCTGCTCTTTACTACCACATTTTATTTTCAATATTTATACTCATTTAAGAACCTCTAGAATATTCTTACTCGGGAATTTTTTAGTCTTTAACGGAATATTTTAAATGAATCTCAAATTCTAAAATTTTAGATTTTTTGGATAGGTATTTCAAGAGTTATGGACTATTTGCAATTTGAATAAAATTAAAATACGCGGGTAAGTATGATAGAACCAAATACTTTTTAATAAATTGAAATATTTTTACAATTTCTGGATCGTCGCAAGGATTTATTGTGTCTTTTCTTTGTCTAAATGTTCCTCCTCCATCTTTAAAATATTCATTATCCCCATTAGTTTTAGAACGTATTAAACTTCCCAAAAATTTTGTTTTTGCTTGAGAAAATGTTTTTTCAAATGAATTTTGATTATTTATTTCTTTTTTTAATTCATTGTCATTTAAAGAATAAAATTTTTGTTGTTGTTGTTGTTTATTGTCAAAACAAATATTATTGCTTAAATTTTCTTCTTCCTTAGTATTATACTTAAAATTAAAATAAATTTATTTTTATTTTTCCCCCCAACCTCTAAACTAAATCTTGGCTTTTTTGCTTGAATTTCTGTTTCGAAATTTTCTGAATTATTTTTGACTAAATTATCGGTAATTATTGTTGTTGTTGCTGGATTTTTTAATTTAGCAGTCATTTTTTAAAAATTATTTTTAAATTAATAAAAATTAAAAAATTTATTTAAATGATAAATTTAAAAATTAAAAAAAAATAAATTTAAAGAAAAAAACGATTAAAATAATCAGAAAAATAATTCTTTTTATTTGAAAAATATATTTATTGTTCCTCAATTTAATTTAAAGTGTTTGTAAAGAAATTATATTGAAGAGGGTTAAAAATAAGAAAAGAAAAAATTTTTTAAAGGAAATTTTGAACAAAAAAAAATTTTTTTTGATTTTATTTTTTAAATGAATTTAACTTTTAAATAAAATACATATAAAACAACCACACATAATTTTGACTTTTTAAAAAATAAACACAAAAAGTGCGAAAATAAATATATTTGTTAAAAAAATAAACCGATCAAGTTTATTTTACAATAATATTTTGTTGGTGTAATAAGCCGATAAAGAAGATTAATTGACAGCTTTTGTCGAGGACACGCGTCCCATATATACAATTTTGTTTTAAATTAAGACCTATTGGCCCTTGAGCAAGGATTAATCTTTATTAAAAACTCTTAAATTGTTTTATTCTTTTCTAGGAATGAATCTTTTATGGAAACATATTAATTTCGATCGGGACTTAAATGTGGACTTATGTCCTCAACACTAATTTAATTTTAAGGGAAATAAAAAGTTTTTATAATTTAGATTTTTTTATTGATAATTTTCTTTTCAATTATTTTTTTATAAATTCATTTTAAAATATTTTAAATTAAAAGAAATTTTAAAAATGCAATAAATCAAAAAGAGAAATTTGTGTACTGAACAAAAAAGTTATTACATATTATTCTTACTATAGACAAAAATTTTTATGGCGAATGCACGTGTCTATTCCCGATATGTGTGATGGTGATCTTTTGTTAAGGACGAAAAAAACTTATTGTTAGAACAAAGGTCAATAATTATTTCCAAAAAATTAATACTTTATATTTGTCATTTTACAATATTTAAAACTAAATATAATCAAAATATTTTCGATTTTTATTTAGAAAAATTAATGTTAAGGATTGCTTAGTTTAACTATCCAATTTAAAAATTTAATAAATTTTTTCTCTAAAATTATTATTTTAATACATTTGTTTATTCTCTAAATAACCATTTACTATAAAATAGTCAGAAATTCAAAATTTAATTTTAAATCAAAAATTTTATTATAATTTCAAACATTCTGACTGAGCCTTTCATTAATAGGAAATAATGTTGTTGTTTTTTAATATGTTGTTCTAATTAAGGTGACTTGAGCATGTGAAAGAAGTAATTCAGATAAAAAACGTGCCTCTAAATGAAGTTGTGCATCACGAATCCAATCATGAAAAGTTCTAGCAGATTCCCCTCTAAAATTATGTAAAATAATAATTAAAATATTTAAAATTAATTTACTTTAATAAATTAGCCAAACGAACAGCATTTTTCAAATCACCAATTTTAACAAAATATTTAATTCTATTTAAAATTTCATAAGGCTCGTATTTGTCAACATCAATTTTATCATCTTTTGAATATTTGGCTGATGCTATTTGAAGAACAAATAAAGATTGTAACCATGAAAGAAAATATTCAAATGGACTTCCTCCGTTTTCACCAATTTGAGCAGTACGACGAGCTAATTTATAAACCTAAATTAAAAATAAAATTTCTCTGCATGAATTAAATAATTGTTTGGAGGGGGGGGGGTGGGGTCCAATCCTGCATTGGATACAGTTTGTTGGATTTGGCTTGACGAGCTATTTCGAACGAGCTATCCATTTATACACCAAAAAAGCGTATGAAAGTGAATTTGTAGAAGGTTAATTGTAAGAATAATTGACTAAAAAATGTTCAAAAAATCTCTCCAAAAATGCTCTTACTTTTTCATGAAAAACTTAAAATTCAAACCTTTTCAAAACGCTTCTTTAACCCTTCTTCTGTCTGAACATAGTTTGATTCATCTTGTTTTATTTCTTTAGGAAAACAATTACAAATTGCTTGAACAAAACTGTCAAGTTCACCCAAATTACTAATTGATTTAATCTAAAATTTAAAATTAGAAAAAAACAATAATTAAAAACTCTAACTTCATTTAATTGTATAAAATGTTGAGAATTATTTCGACCAATTAAAGAATCCACAAGATTTTGACAAACACTCCAAAATATTTTTGCACGTCGATTTTCTAGATCCTTAAAAATATTTTTATAAAAAATATTTTTTGAATTATACCTGCGCTGTTCGACTATTTAATGCATTTTCAATTCCATTTAACCTTTTCTAAAAAATATAAAATTAAATATATTTAATGGACATACCAAAGCCAATTCAATCTGTTTAGCAAACTTATTTCGTTCAATATTAACAGCTTCCTTAAAATATTTTTTATTTAAAATTGAAGTGGACAAAAAATTTTTTGACTGTTAATTAATGAAAACCCCTAAGAAATTTCCAATTTTATTAATTATCGTTGATATTCTAAACACAAAATTACCTCAACGATCTGAGCATTCTCAATATCATGCAACTGTTTCTGTGTTCTAATTACTTTCTCCAAATGTTCAGCATGTGCCAAAGCTGCATTTCTCAAACGAACATCTACTTCTGTCTCCCATTCTTTATGGAATTGTTGCCTCTAAATTAAGTTAAAAGCTTATTTTTTAAGAATTTGGCTCTTTAATTTTAATACCTTTTCTTCAATTAATTCATTTTCGTGTTTTTTTGCTTTCTGTAATTCGATATCTACATGAAGTTTGGAAAGTCTAAAAATTAATATATATTTAAATGTAAAATAATAAACAAACTTTTCGTCAATATTTCGTTGTTTTTCCAAAGCTTCAAAAATCTTTTGACTTTCCCCTGACTAAAAAAAAATAAAAAATTATAAATAAACACCGTCAATACCTGAGATTTTTCAGCTCGTTTTTCTAATTCATCAACCCTCATATTTGCTATAGAAATATTTTTTTTACTTATAAATTCGAAATTTACCATAAACAATTTGCGCATTTAATTCTTGTTCAGATAAACTACCATCCACCTTTCCGTCTTTGTTTTGACTAATATTTGAAAAAGCTGTTGAATTATCTTTTACATTCAATTGTTGGCGTCCTTTATTTACCAATTCTTTGTAATTCGAGAGAACATTGCCTTGAGAACGTTCTTTCTCCAATGATAAATTTAATTCGTCCAATCGGAGTGTTAACTTTTTAACAGTTTCAACTGAATTTGTCAATGCTGGCGTAGAAGCTTTTTTAGGATCTAATCTCCATTCATTTATTTGCTGAAAAAGTAAACAAATACATAATCTACTAGGTCCTTTTATGAAAAGTTAGTCTAGATAGTTTTACGAATAGAAAAATAAATTTTTTGGGGAGGAAAGGGGAGGGATTTACAGGTATCTCTGACAAAAAAAAATTTAAAAGATAAGAACACACTGAATACCCAGCCAACAAAAATTCTCAAATTCTCGGATCTATTAAAACATGATATACATCCACCAGAGTTTTTAGTAGTTAAAAAAATTTCAGAAATCTAACCGTTTTTAATGAATCAATTGATTTCCTTGCTTCAGCCTCAGCAAATGAATCCTGTTTCGAGAACTCTTCTACTTGCGAAGCAGCATTTTCTACTTTTCCCCAATCAACATTGTTACCATAATTCGGGAGGCCTTGATCAACCGCTTCCCTTAGCAATGTTGAATGTTTTTGCATAGCGGAAATTGTTTTCAATTTTGCATCTTTTGCCACGCTTGCCTTTTCAGTAGCCAATTTTAATGATTCAATTATTTGCACTTCAAATTCTAAAAAATTATGGACTTATTCTAGGCGAACAAGCGAGTGCTTTCCCGTTTCCTTATATTCTTATATTGTTATTTTTTAATTTCAGAAATATATAGAACAAACCATTATCCAAACTTGTATCCTTTGATTTAGCATCCTTCTCATTTTCGATTTTTATTTGTTTACGAACTTCTATAGGTTCAATTGAATCAGCACCTTTAACTTCAGATTTAGTATCTGGTAAAATTTTAGCGGAAGATTTTGGAGTCAAATCCAAGATTGATGTTAATTTAAGTTTGCCATCTTCGGTGTTATTGCCCGGTGGCTCATTGGATCGAGACTCTTTACCATAAAAATTAGTAAGTTGACTGATATCAATTTCTTTAATTTGTTTACTAAAATTATAATTAATTTTTAGATTTAAATCAAAAGAATAATGAAGACCTCTTTCTCTCAATTGTACTAAAAACAGCATCAAAAACATCTTTTGAATAGGGAATATTCTCCTCAACAGTTTTCCTTACTCGGTCATCATACCAAACTAATCCACCAAAAAGTGCAGTACCAACTCCCAAAATTGCAGATGATTTTAATAAAACGCGTGATGATCGTCTTCTGGTATTTTCACCTATTAAGTACAGTCATTAAAATAATATTAAAATCAGACCTGGTTCAGTAGAATAATTTTTCAGAACTAAACACGAACATCTAGATCGTCCAAGAAGCAAGGAAGCACTTTGAATACTTTTCGTATTTTGAATAAACATAATACTCGAAAGAAAAATTAAATTAAATCAACTCTAATTGTAAGTAAACTAAAAAATAAGAATTGAGACTCTAGAGGAGAAGGGGAAAAGAAAAAAACGTCATTTAAGTGTACTATTTCTCTCATACTTTCGTTCTTTCGCCACACACTATTTTGTTAGAAGTCTTGAATTTTTAAGTCTAATTATAATTTTTCTTATTTTTTTAGTTTGACCTGCAGCTTATTTTTGTTTTAAAGTTTTTAATGTTTTCTAATTTAAATCTTAATGATCTTGTGAATATTTCCCGATTAAGTGGAAAATTTTCTGCTTCAGAATTGGAAGAATTAGATGCTCATATAAATGAAGACAAAAAATTAGATGAAATTCGTAAACTTTTGACAGAAAAACTTGAAAATGCAAAAAAGAGAATCAACCAGCTGGGATGGACGAAAATTAATTCAACACAAAAATCTGAACTTCTTTTTGATATACAAGAAATTTTGTACGAAATGCAATTGGTTGAGCATGCAGCTAAAACTCCAATTCTGCATTTTGCAAAAATTATTTTTTCTGCAAATCCCTCGCGTTGTATTTGTCGTGAAACTAGTCCAGGTTTTTTTTCAATTTCGCAATATTTTTAAAATTTCTCTGAATATAGATAACTGTTAGGAAAATTGCCTATTACTTAAAGCCTAGTTTTTCATTCCTCTTTTTTAAATTAACTTTTAATTTAACAAAAAGGAAGGAAAGAATTGAAAGAATATATTCAGATAGTGCAATTTCATTAAAAAAATCACAAAAATTTCAGCTAATTTAATTTTAATTTAACTAAATTTCGGTACTTTATGGATATGTCACCCCCCTCCTATTTTGAGTCTCAGAGTTTTCCTTAAACGTAGAAAATGGTCAGAGATTATTTTCTTCTCCATGTCAATCATTTTTCTTTCTTCAAGCAAAATAAGTGAAATGTGGTAAATGTAGAAACGAAATGAGTGAAATTTAAGTACAAAATATGTGAAAAGGCAAAATAAACAAGCAAAATACTTGAAGAAGAAAAAAATGATTGACATGGAGAAGAAAATAATCTCTGACCATTTTCTACGTTTAAGGAAAACTCTGAGACTCAAAATAGGAGGGGGGTGACATATCCATAAAGTACCTAAATTTCAGCCAAGTCAAAGCCGCCCAAAAGGAGAAGAAATGAATTAGGAGGTCTTGGCAGTGTTGGCAGTTCAATCGGTTCGAATGACGAGGTTCGCTCTGTTTTTGGCATTGCTAAACGAAATCCTATTCGCGATGTGGATATTTCTATGCAGACTCATAATCTTTCGGTTAAATAATTTGTAAAATTTTAATTGCTGTCTTATATTAGGAAGAACAAAGAAATAATTCTGATGAATGGACTCAAAATTCTGCGCCGAACAGTCGAAAGTCTTCAATACGAACAACAATAAAACAACCATATCAACGAAAAAATTTAATTGTTTCCAGAACTCCCTCTGGAAAATTTCAATGTGACAGAACGCCCTTGTCACCTTCTAATGAAGTTTTGCAAGATTTTTTGGTTTCAAAAGGCATACAGAAGCGAAATAAGGTATTTTGTTGAGACTCGAACAAACATTTTGTCTTTTTGAATTTTGCGAAATAAATTTGTAAATTACCTAAGAGAAATAGTCGTTCGCGGTAGAATCGTATCGTGGCATATTCTGTATTTTAACTAATGCTTACGAGAGATCCGGACTTTACGCTCATGCTTGATATGACCCGGCCGACTTATAATAACTTTTCCTGATAAGTCCGGGGCCTAAATTCAGGTTTATTCGCTATCTCAGGATTATTTTTAGACTGGATTTTTTAAACTTTTCCTGGCAATGTTAATGTTCTAATTTATTATTTGAAACTTCATTTAAAATTCAAAGCAACATGAGAAGGTGTAGTTAAAGAGATAATAGATTGTTTAAAAGTGGAAAAAATCCAATTCGGATGATAAACACTACCCCCAATTATTGCAATTTTAGGTTTTAACTTCTCTTGACTTTTATTTTTTAATTCTGATAAACTTAAAGGATTCAACAACAACAAATGAAGATTTCCTTCAAAATGACAATTATGATTGTTTGGCTGAATTAGAACAAGCACTACCCATTTCTTATCAAGACTGTCCATCATCTCCATATAAAAATATAGATGAAAGATTTCCATCAACTTCAACAGCTTCATTACTTTGTGGATCACCCTCGTGGAATGGTGGGTCGTCCGAAGCTTCAATTAACGGTGCAATTGAATTTTCACCTCTTTCAACGAGAGCTGCCAAAAAACAACGTACTTGGGGAAAAGGTGGAGATACAACTAATAATGATGGTGTAATTGTTGGAAAAAGTCCAAGAAAACGATATATAGAACCGAATGGTCAGTTAATCAATTTTAGCAATTTTTTAATTTTATATTTTAGATACACAAATGGATGGCGAGGTACATAGACCCACAGCTTCTGCTGATGAGCCGACATATTGTCTTTGCGAACAAGTCAGTTTTAGTCATTAATTAACGAATCTATTGTAACATAAATTATGAAAACAAAATTTTTTATCTGCAATTGTTGTAGCACCAAATTTTCTCTTTTTAGGTTTCATTTGGTGACATGATTTGTTGTGATTATGAGCTCTGTTCTGTCGAATGGTTTCACTTTTCATGTGTCAATCTCAAAAGTAAGCCAAAGCAAGGAAAAAGATGGTTTTGCCCCTTATGTAGACACAATGATAAACCAGGTAGTCTTAAACCAGAATTACAGCAAAAATTGGATCAAATACATAAATTACAGAGACAATAAAATATTTTTAGAATTCTAATAATTTTTGTAATTATGACATGTGTATGTATTACTTATAATGAAAAATAGGATTTTTTTCTGTTTTTTCCTCACTTTTCTATTTTTCATTATTTTCAATTTTATGTAAATTTTTTGCCATAGAAGTTTATCTCTCATAAAGATTTAAAAAATTCACGTTTATGTTTTGCATTTTCATGTTCACGCAAAGAACAAAAGCGAAATAAAAATTAAAAGCAATTTTTTGATATTCAAGTGCAATTACAAAGAAATCGCACAAAAAATGCCAGTGAACTTGTTTATATTTTTATTTGTTAATGTTGACTGGTTCTTTCACAATTAGTAGAAATAAGCTGAGTCTCACTTCAATTATAGAATGGGAAGAAATATTAAAGCTAAAGTGTGAGAGCAAAAAATTTATTTATTGTTAGATTAACAATAAATATATTTTTTAAATGAAAATTATTTTTAAAAATTATTTTTAGAAATATTTTAAAATGAAAATTGAGTCAGAAGTACGAGAAGCAGCTTATTCTTTTGTAGTGAGTTTGTTTTTATATTCGGAGTGAGTGTGTTTCTAAAAGAGATTAATTTAATTACGAACACCCCCACAAAAGGTTGGCATTGCTTTTGTCCTCTCTTTTGCCATAACGTTTTCTGTACTTGTTATTATACCTATATCATATCAATACATAAATGGTATACAACACCGAATTATAGATGAAATGAAATTTTGCAAGGCAATCTAGTACAAATAAAAAGAACTTTACTTTTTACTTTAAGCTTTCGATAAAGGAAGTAAATATTGAAATGACAAATAAACAATTTACACCCTTGAATAATGAAAAAGAATTAAAAAATATCACTGGATGGAGGAAAAAGAGATTAGCACAAAACAATGGAGATTATTTCAATACAAAAAGTAGTTTTGAAAAATGTTCGGGTAAAACAAAATTTTCAACAATTAATATTTTAATAAAAGGATGTTGTATTCCCGGCCTTCCTGGTCCACCAGGACCTCATGGACGCAATGGTATACCCGGACGGCCTGGTGCACAAGGCCCTCCCGGATTTTATGGAATGATTCCAGCGTATCAATTAATTTTTTGTTTAAAATTAATCAATTTCAGTATATGTGAAGAAGTAACATCACCACCTTGTGTTGCTTGCCCACCAGGGATAACCGGCCCACCAGGACCTGCTGGCTCGCCAGGCAATCCAGGTCCGGCAGGCCATCCTGGTCGACCAGGCAATGATGGAGCACCTGGTTGATAATGAAAATAAAATTATTTAAAAACTTTTTAAGGTCAGCAGGGTCTAGCTGGTGAACAAGGAGAACCTGGAGAGTCAGGAAGAGAGGGTATGCGTGGAGAAGCTGGTCGTTCAGCAATTTCTATTCCTGCGATTCCTGGAGATACTGGGTCGTTAGGTGAACAGGTATTAGATAGAAAGTTTGTTATTAGGGTTGAGGTTAATAGGAATGAAAATAGGAATGTCCTACATATTTAAAATATCCAAATTGATAATAAAATGTTTCTAGGGTCCTCCTGGAGTGTCTGGATCTGCAGGTGAACCAGGTCGTCCTGGCTTAGAAGGATCCCCTGGGCCTCAAGGACCGTCAGGTGCTAATGGCAAGGTAGGACCACAAGGAATTCCTGGCGAAACAGGTAAAATTGATAAAAAAATACAAACAAACCCTCGGATTTAAGGTTCTCGTGGTGTTCAGGGTTCTCCCGGAGAGCGGGGAATTTGTCCAAAATATTGTGCGTTAGATGGCGGTGTTTTCTTTGAGGATGGAACTCGACGTTGATAATTATTTTGTTATTTTAATCATACATATTTTAAAAATTTAATTTTTTCTGCTAGCATCTTCGAATTTAGTTTGTCAATCAGGTCGGGGTGTTCTCCGTCCCAGAAACTCTTTAGAATTAAACGAGTAAAACTCAGTAGAAAACAGATTTTATTTTTACCACAATCAACAACAAAAATAGAATAGATACATACATAATATACATATTACAATTTAATATTTGTCAGTTTTTAGTTAAATATCCATTCAATCATCTTAACATGCTGAAGTCGACGTCGTTCCAGTCATTAATTGCCAGTCATATGGCTCTTGAAGAGAGCAAGAGATCCGTTTTGCAACTCTTTTGATCATTTCACGCATCCATGCATAGTCTACAAGATCGACATAGTGAAGACCTGCCAAGTACACAATAATCTCACGCAATTCTTGCTCCTAAAAAATTAGAAAAATTTCCAAGTTAAATATTTTATTTTTAAACTTCGTCCTTCTTGAAGAGAGTTTTAGGAGCTTTCTGAGCATCGTGTTTGAGCCTACGAAGTCTGCGTTTATCCTCTACATTATGCCAAGGTAGCTTGTCCTGATCAATCAAATCAACAATCATATACATCCAGCTCTCACAATCGTCTTTCCGACCCAGATCGTCTCCTTCATGCATACTCAATGATGCAAAACGAACTGTACCTTTGAATCTTGTCTAAATTTATCAAGCATTAAGAAAAATTTTAAAGATTAATCACCTTTTTGCGTGGATTCCGAATTTTTCCGTCAGGCCCAAGGAACCTTCTTGCAATCCCGAAGTCCACCATGTATACCGTATTCTGGTTCTTTGTTCGTGGAAGCCCTATGACAAAATTTCCCGGCTTTATATCTCGATGAATATAACCGAGATCATGCAAATCGCGAACCGCTTCGAGGGACTGTATTGCGCAATAGTATCCGGTATTTGGGCTAAACGATTATTTTTTAGTATTTTATAAATTATATACTAAATTTACCTGAGGATTTTGCCTTGCCGTCCTCGTTTTATGTCCGCCAACGATCTTCCGAGCAAAGACATTACCATGAACATGTGGTTGGGCAGTGGATCGCTATTATCGAGGAGAGTCGGAAAGTGCCTCCTAGCGTTTTCAGGACGTTCACCAGCCTCTTTTAGCACCTGTTAAGAAAAGATTATTTTTGAAAGAATAATTTCTGCATATCAAAGCAATTACTTGGACTTCCATCATGAGCTTATAGTGGTCTCTTGAGAACTGTCGCTTTTCAAGTTTGAGTGCATATCTGCCATCATCCTTCGAGCATGAGACCTCATATACAGCTCCGTAGCCACCATGAGAGATGCTACGTATTACTGTGAATGTCATGTTAAGCCTTCTAAAAATAAAAAAATAAAACGGAATTAGTAAATAAAAATGTAGAGAAAACATACCCAATAAATTCCGCGCCATCTTGTACTTCTGACAATGTTGACATTAGCAAGAAAGAGGGAGGAGATTATAGCAATTTGTTAGTTTTGTTAGGTAAATGACTGTTTTTATATGATCCGAATATAGAGATCACAAACACTTTTTAATAAATAAAATCCACCAAAACCCCCATCTAACAAATTTTGTGATTTTTTTCTCTTATCTCATTTATTGAGGGTTGTATTGTTGCAAATTTGTTTATTTTTATTATTCAATCATATAAACGACAAATTAAGTATAATAAATATGTATTTATCTATAGGGGAAATATTTGTAGTTTATTCATTTACTCATTCAAAATTTCTTTATTAAATTGAAAATAATTAATTTTAAATTACAAAATAATTTTAAAAATTATATTAATTTTTATTCAAAAATTAAAAAAAATTATTTTTGTTTGATATAAGGAAATGAACAATTTTGAAATGAATTATTATTATTTAAATAAATATTATTATTATTATTTACATTATAATTTGTATTAATTGTTGGTGGTGGTGATGGTGAATAAATAAAGTTTGGAGTATTTGAATTTTTGATTAAAAATTGTTTTTGATTTTCTTCAGAAAAATTTAAATTCTATAAAAAAAATAATAATTAAAGAAAAATAATTCTTTTTTTTCAAAACCTGACAAAAATTAGTTGAATTCTCAGAATTATTTTCATTTTTAATTTTATTTTGTTTTTCCAAAGGTTGCTGTTTTAATAAATCTTCGAGATGTTTAATATATAAAATTGCTGTTTTTAATGTTTCTGCTTTTGTTAATTTTCTTTCATTACAAATTGGCTCGAAATTATTTAACTAATTAAAAATTAATTTAATTTAAATTATTCTCTCCCTCTTTTCCACTTACAGTGTTTGCCAATTTTTCATATCCATCATTTACTTGCTGAACTCTTTTACGTTCCCTTTCATTTCTCCTAGCTACTTGATGGGGCTTTTTACCCCCAAATTTAATTCCAATAATTAAATTTGGATTATTTCTTTTTCTTTTTGATATAGTAACTTTAAAAAAAAAGAATTTCTTTTTAAAAATTAAAAAAAAATATTTGTGTACTTTTATTTTTTTGATTTTCTTTTTCATTTTTATTTAATTTTTGTTGTTTTGAAGTTTTTATATTTAAATAAAAATTGTTGGAATTTTTAATTGAAGAAGTTGATTGACAATTGTTTAGAGGAAAATAAATTAAATTGGAAGAATTAATTGAGGGAGATGAAGAAAATGATGAAGAATATGAAGAAGAAGTATTTTGTTGGGTAGAAGGCCAGGATGGGGAAGAAGAAGAAGAAGAGCATTCACGCATTTTAATAGAATACTTTATTAAAAAAATTTTTTTAGAAAAATATATAAATGAACTATATATTTTTGTATTTAGAAATACAATTCGAATTTATTAGCTCGTGTATATTCTGCTTACATTGCCGTAGCTTTTTGGCATCGCGTGCCAGAAAAAATAAAAATATAGGCACAAAAGAATATATATTTATTTTAGGTTGGGTGTGTGTGTGTGGTTGTGGAAATTTGCGGGGATGGATGGATCGCGCGGGTGAATTAGGAAGCTGAATTATTGAGGGAGGAGAAGGGCGGTGCTTGATAGATAGAATTTTAGGAATGAATGGCTTATAAAGGGTTGGTTGGTTGGTTTGGAGTAAAAAAGAGAGAAATGAAGAAAAAAAGTGTAGTAAATGCAGATGTCCTCATGAAAAATTTAAAAAAATCTAATAAATTTTTAACGTTTTTAAGGAAAAAAGAAGATTTATTTTTATAATTATATTTTTTAGATATTAGAAAATTAATTTAAAAAATTAACTTCTTTTTATTTACCATAAAAATTTATTTGTATTATTTTATTGTTTAAAACATTTTTACAAAAATTTATTTTTTCTCCCGTTGTGACTTAAAAAACTAATCCGCGGCACTTGTCTTTTTTTCTCGCCTTAGTTTGAAGTGTTTTTAAGAAGATATCCCATCAATTCATACTTTTTTAGGAACAATCCCCGCCAAATTAAAAACACAAATAATTTTTATATTTAAATTCTTTCAAAATATTTTTTGTGTCTATTGCCCTGAGGCTTTACCGCCAAAAAGGTTATTGTATAGAACTGGGCTATTTCATACTCGTGCCCTAAAAAGAAGCCTTTAAATATTTAATTTTTAACTCCCGCAGAGGTGATCAAACTCTTCTTTATTTTAAATTTATAAAGAAAGAGAATATTTAGTAGTCAATTTAATGTTGATATTTAATATTTCTTTAAAAGAAGAATATTTTAAATTAATTTTAAAATTTTTTAAAAATTATTTTTAAAAAAAAGAAATGCCGCAAAACAAATAAAAAAATTTTTATTTATCAAGAAGATTATTCGCGCAATATATTTTTCTCTTAATTTACAACTATTTTTGGGTAAAAATAAATTTTTAAGCAAAATTCTCTTCAAATATAGCCGTAAAAAGCGGCAAAATCAAACAAATGTTTTTCCAAAATCCATTAGCTAAAATAAAGTTTTAAGTTAAAATTGAAGGGAATAAAAGCAAATAAACAGAGAAAAAAGTAAATAAATAAATATAAATTAAAAATACATAACCTTTTTCTTGACCTTTTTTATTTAATTAAAACAAAAATATATTTTTTGTTTTCCAAAAAAGTAATACATACATATAATCCTTAAATTTATATGTTAATAATAATTATATATATATTATTGTTAGTTCAGTAAAGTATATGTTCAAAACAGTCATTAAAGGATTATTTAACTGGCCAAACAAAAAATTAAACAAAACAAAAATTTTGTTTTTTTCTAAATTCACTAAATTATTACATAAATTTAGAAATATTTTGAATTATTTTTGTAATAACAGTAAAAACTTTCTCTAAATTTTAATATCCAATTTTTATTTATTAAAATTAAATATTTAATTTATATTTCATCCAAAGCGTACTTACTATATTTTTCTTTCCAAAGCTTTATTTTCGACATAAGGCTAAAATACCTTATGTCGCGAGAATGGACTCTTTTTTTGATGAAAAGGTAAAGGAAAATAAGCGGTATATTTTAAATAATTTTTAAAAAGAAAAAAATAATTGGCACAAGAATTGAAGGGGAAAGGATTGAGGAAAGCAATTGACTGTGATTTTCTCGTTACCTTTGTCGGTTCATGAGGACACTCGATTATGGATGAGGACGAGAAAAATAAATATTTTTTTAATTTAATAAAAATAAATTATATTTATTTTTAAATTTAAATTAATATATGAAGAATTACTTAAATGGTTTAAACTTTTTTCATCAATTATACATATATCCATCTCAATCCATCAATTCTTTTTTCTGTGTCCTAAAAATTCGAAATGTTTGCCTATAATGAGAAAATGTGAAATAAAAATGGCAAATACTAAAATAAAAATATTTATTAGAACGAGGGAGAAAGTATGTACTTGCTACTCTACTACTTTTACTATATTTTCCCTCTTCCATTTATTTGGAATATTTCAAACTAATTAAAACACAAAAAATAAGGATCGGGTTACAACTACTACAATTACTCAGAATTCTTCTTTACTTTTTCCTTAAGAATATTTATATTTGAGATATCATTAAATATTCCCGTTCATTTAATGGTAAGTCGGTACACCTCAATTGAGTCCCGACTCAATTGAGTCCCGGACCCTATAACTTATGAAGGGATGGTCACTTTTTTTTGCTCTTGGTACCATTGGATAGGGCATTAAATAGGCTACAATATACCAAAAAATCAAAATTCCTGACCGACTGGTAAAAAAGTTATGATCGATAAAGTGCCGAAAAATCAGATTTTTTTTGAAAAAGTTAGTTTTTAAATCATAACTTTTTTATCAATCGGTCAAAAATTCTGATTTTTTGATATATTGTAGTCCATCTAATGCTCTATCAAAAGGTACCAAAAACATTAAAAATCATCAACTCGAACTTGAGTTATAGGGCCGGGACTCAATTGAGCCGGGACTCAGTTGAACTGCTCCGATGGTAAGTATTTCCTTTTTTTCGAGAAATTTTGGCGGGAACTTTTTTTATTATAAAAATAAATATTTAATTAAAATTAATTTAGGTATATATTTTTTAAAATAATTTTTAATAAAAAAAGAAATTAATATTACGCAATTTTTAAAGTATTCTATTTTTATACATTGGATTATATTTAGGTATATGTAGAAGTACTATGTTTAAATGACTAAAGAAAAGATTAGAAAAAATTAGTAAGGAGAGGAGAATTGGTATATGTAATTCAATTTATTTAAAAAAAATTTTATTTAATACATACATACATATCTTCTTGACTCAAGTGGAATTAATTGAAAGGAAATTTAAATAAATAATCCGTAGGATTTTTTCAGAGTTCGCGTCCCAAGTCTGGATATTTTCCTCTCAGGATTTTTTCAAACCCGATTAATCCAAGAAATAAGATAGATCTGGTCCAGCTTGAAGGCTCATTCAAAATTTTGTTTTCTGAGCAGGAAAAATGATCTTGTTGGGAACTATTAAATATTTCCTACAATACATAAATAATTTTAATCTATTTTTTAATTTTAAAATTAATATTAGAAAATTTAAATTCAATTTATTTAAAAATATATTAACTATATAATTTCACACTTTCCGTCACGCTTTTTGCCGTTTTTTAAAAAGAAAAACAGAATTTGTTTTGACACGAAAAGTTTTCTTTTTAAAAAATAAGAGAGAAAAATTTGTTTTTCTCTAATTTTTAATGGTAAAGTTAGGTGCCGTCACGCTTTTTGTCCTTTTTTAAAAAGAAAAACAGAATTTGTTTTGACACGAAAAATTTTCTTTTTAAAAAATAAGAGAGAAAAATTTGTTTTTCTCTAATTTTTAATGGTAAAGTTAGGTGTAAACAAAAACAACCAGCCATCTGCCATTTAGACGCGGCAGTTACCAGCCGTCTGCCTTTTATTCGCAAGCAGTAATTTTAAAAATAAATCGCAGCCTTTAAGCCGCAAACACTATTAGAGCCAAATAAGGATATTGAGGATTTTAGGATTAAAAAAAAATAAAATTAAAAATTATTAAAGGGTGTTTGGTGATTAATTGAATACTAAGTATTTGAGGAGATGAAGGTGAATTAGGATAATAAAGTTAACGGCAGATTTGTAGGGGATTAAGTGAATAACGGAGGTGAACTGTGATTCGGGAGAGTTAATGCAGAATGATGTATGGGGGTTTGAGGATTGTAAAGATTATCGGGGATTTGCGTATTAAGAGGGTAAAAGATAGTGATAAAGGGGATATCGTAGATTGTGGGAAATTAAGGGAATATTGCGACTTGAGCAAATGTATGGCGGATTTTGAGGATTAATAGGGATATCAGAGATTGGAAGAAAAAAGAGAAATAAAGAAGAGTTAATAGAGATATAAACTATCTTGGGAACTTACGAGTGAGAGTGTTAAAGAGAATATCAGTACGTAGAATTGATATTGGGGGATTTACATTAAAAACATAAGTTCTGTAAAGATATGGAGGATTTGAGATATAAAGTGGGATATATAGGGGATTTTTTAGTTACAAACATGATAAATGCGGATTTAATGAAGGGATTTTGGGGATTTCGTACATTAAGACGGATATTGGGGAGCTATACGGGATTTTGAGTATTTGGGGTATATTAATATGTATTTAGGAAATACAAGAACAGCTTTTGGTGATTATAAGTGACTTTGATGTGTGATTGGAGAAAATCAATAGTTTTGTGGGCTTAATATTGATATTGAGGGATGCGGATTAAGATATGATTTTGGGGATATTGGTAAAAGATTAGTATCAAAGGATAATAAAGATATCGGGGATTAGGGTAATTAAGAAGGCTTTCGAGGATTAGAGTGATACGCAACACAAAAATAAGAAAAATGAGTGAAAGCCTATGAAACATAATCATTGGAGACTAAGGGATTAATAGCAAAAAGGGGAGTTATTGGAAGGATTTCGAGAAATAATGAGAAAGATTTGGTAATTAAGAGGGATATCCAGGATTTGGTATGATTAAGAGGGATATCGTGTATTTGATGAATAAAGGAATATATTGTGTTTTGGACAAATTACATCTGAGAGTTAGATTATTTAACTGGAAGGATATCGATGAAAAATATTCAAAAATAATATTCAAAATAAAAATATATTAAAGGATATCTTTAATCTTATATGATTATAAGATTAAAGGGTATTTATGGTTACGTGTATATCAAAGAATTTAGGAAGATATCGTTGAATTAGGGATAAAAATAGGTAGTTGGGGATATGTTGAGTAATATAAGTGGATTTGGGACAAATAGGTGGGATATCGCGGATTTACGGGTTTAAAGGTGATATAGAAGGATTTGGGAGACCAAAAGTGATATAGTGGGAGATAAAGGGTGATATCTGGGATTTTTAAAAATAAAAAGAGATATTTGCGACGTGAAAAATAATGAGTGATATAGGGGGATTTGATATGAATAAGATGGATCAAGTGTTAATGGTGATATACATGAGTTTGGAAATAGAGTTTTGGGTGTTTTGGGAGATAATAGGCGATATTTGTATTTTGGAGAATAAAATGCGTTTTCAGATAATAGGGGATTAAGAAGAATAACATAGGATTAAAAGTGATAACGTACTTTTTGTCTCAGGGATATTAGGGGTTTCAGGATAAAGGGTGATATCAAATG